TCCCTTCACTCGCTCTTACTCCCTTATGAATATGCAGTAACGTGCGCGGAATTTTCCTCGGTCACGTGACAAATGAAATCTTGAATATTCACTGAATCTTAACACGCTTGCAAAACGCTGTCTCCGTTTAATAAGGACTTATACAGACATTTATATCTCTATATCTGTATGTCATTCGTAAAGAAAGTATATATCACGAATATGGGCTTGGCGAAGTGCTGCACCATGATATTCATTGATCAAAGCCCCTTTTGCTTTGATTCTCCAAGTGCGGCATTGTTGAAAGACGCCTTTCCCGAGGGATCTTTGCCTCCTTACCAGTCAGTCGGCGGTTAATTATTAAATAAATATGATAATTACACAAAATTCCTAAAGACCCCCGGCCTCCTACTGGCTACGCCAGTTTAATTATCCAAATAATCTGTAGTATGCAATATATTCGAGAGTAATTTATGGTCCCAATGATAAAGCTCGTAAGCCGCTCTATTTAGCCAATTCTAGTTAAGTAAGCCTATACTTAAAGATTGCCATTAAAAGAAGTCTTATCTAGTCCCAACACTTTGAAATCGATAGTAGACAAAAAAAAATTTTTCAACACTTGAAAGAGTTGCCATTTTGTTATTTTTTGTATTTAAAAATATCTCGTTATTTTAATTATTCTCAAATAGAACTAACAAATTATAAGAAAAAAAAATAACAATACTAACTAGCATCCGCCGGAAAAATATTGGCCTTCTACAAACGCGTAAAACGAGTTGGTCACGTGACAATGCGATATTTTGCAACTAGTCGTTTGCAGCGAGTTTGCCAGAGGCTATATATAAATATATATGTACATATATTTCGGTCCCTTTTAAGCTTATTCAAAGGGTATTATAACGGATACAAACTTATTAGCAATTTATTTATTTTCAAATATGTTTAATAAGGAAGAAATAATTAAATTTTATATAAAAAAAAAATATATTAAAATTTAAATTTCTTCCTTTTCTCTCTTTCTCTTTTACTCTTTTCACAATTTATCAGATAGGTTATCTGTCAATAAAATAAGTTTCATTAATTGCAAATTATATATATATATATATATATATGAATATAGATTTAGAAAAAATACTATCCTATTGATATAAACTATTTAGATTCTTTTCTCGCAGATAGTACGATAGATTTGTTTTATACTTTATATTAGTCGTTATTAAATTATTTACAATATATGTTCGATATAAAAACACCATTAACTATAAAAACTTAATTTTTAAGAATTAGGACAATTGTTGTTTTTAATGAAAACAATGAAAAGTAATACCATGTCAAAATATAAACCAAAAACTATTAGTTAAGTATTTTAGAACATTAAACCAAAAGTTAAAAGTTTAAACCAATATGTAAAAAGTTGAAAATTTTTTTTAATAATTATTATTTTTAATTAACTTTGTTTTTTTAATAAAACAAAAAGTAAGTTTTTAATCTTTTTTTTAAATAACGAATACACTTTACCTGTTCACTAAAAAATGTTAAAAAATAAAAGTGAAAGGTAAAAAGTTAATTAGTTCTTTATCAAAAGAACCTTTTTTGCTTTTTAAAAATTAATTTTTCATTTTTTGGTTAACTAAAATATATATATATACACTATTTGAATGTATAAAAAATATTCCCACACTGGGAAAAAAAAGACAGAAGGTGAACAAAACTACTATAGAAATTTGACATAGATAGATATAAAAAAAAGTTTTATGACATTCATTCATTTTCCATATAAAAACTTATTATTTCTTTTGAATATTTCTAAATTTAATTTGATTTAAAAATGAAAAACCAATTAAATTAGTCTATTAATTTTTTTTTATTGCCAAAAAAGGAAAAGTTCTCGAGATTAAGCTACTTGAGAAATTTCGTATTCTATTTTTCTGTTCCTTTCCATATATAATACATATGCAAATATATTCTTTTAAAGAGTCTATATTTACATAAAAGTAGTTTAAGAAAAGTGAATGACCTTTTAAATAATAAATATAATTGTTTCAATATATCAACTTAAACAATTTCTATTATTTAAAACCCTTTTTCATAATTTTATATGAAAATATTCTAAAAGTTTTAACAAGTGTTTTATTATTTATTATAAAAAGGAAAAAAGATGAAAGAAATATCTTTAAAATCAATTTTCAAAAGAAAAGAACTATTTATGACTCATTCAAACAAGCAAAAATATATCTTCGTCTCAAATTTCCCGTTCTCTCAAAAGGCCTATTTCAAAAAAAAAAAATTACACAACTCGTAACTAACTATAGCATTGTATAATAATGATAATAATAGTAAAAAAATTTATATCTTCCTGATAAGCCTCTCTTTTTTTAATTTGTTATATCATATTTATATATTCGAATGTATTTATCTTTATATCTATATATATATTATGCATTGAACAAAAAATCAGTAAATAATGGTGAAGGAAAATTCTTTATTTCATAAGGAATTGTACTTGAAGTGTTATGTTATGACAAGAATAACGATATTCTATACGATACAGTATTAAAAAAAAATCACATGTAGTATTATGTATTATGCATAGAGGCCAATTTTTAATTTAAATGAGAATACATATAACTTATATATATATGTATTAATATTTGTGTATTTATAAGAAAAGAAGGAGGGGAGGGGGGGGGGCATGTGAAAAAGAGAAGAAGAGGATATCAGAAATCGAAGTATTGATCTCATGTTATTCATTCAATCTATATTTTTCCTAATAATTAATTCACTTATTCAAAACATTCATTCTACTAATAAAAATGATTTTTTATTGACAATTTCCCTATTAATAATCTTAATATTTTCTTTAGTATTTTTCATGTCCTTTCTATTTAAATATATAAAGTTCAGTTTTTGTTTTATTTAAGAAAAAAAATCAATGGATAAGATTTGTATTGCTTTTACATTTAACATTTATGATTATAAAATATTATATATCTTATTGACAGATAATAATCGAACTCTTAAATCAATCAATCAACAATCGTCTATCTGAACGGATTAACCATAATGGAATGCTAGAAGGTTTTGTATAGTGTCAAGTGTTCCCTTTTATATCGGAAGAATATACTATAACATGCAAAGAACGACTGTATTATAATAGCTGTTTATATATAGTAATAAGAAATTGGAAAATATATGTAATACAATAGTTATTCAGTAGCCTCAACTAGATTTTACGCATTTTCAGTTCTCTTTTAAATAACTAAAGATAATTGAATGGAAAAGAAAAAAGGTTGAATAAAATTGAAAAAATCTCTTAAAATCAGGTCATATAATTATACAGTAAAAAATGTTAATATATTATGAAACTGTAAATAAATACGAAGAGAAATTCATATTTCATAAGAAAGTGAATTTTAGAAAAATAATATTGAATATGCTAATTAGATTATATATATTTTTTGAAGAAGACAAAAAGAAAAAAATTGACATCTCTTTTAAGAAAACATATCGTTTTTCCTCTTCGACGGGGCAAATATCATTGTCACGTCTTCTAGAACACACAAAAAACCCACCCGTACAAACATATTTGCTAAATACATTTGTATACATTATAAATATTTCATGATTAATATCGAACAATTGTTTTGTCCGCATTCATCTTATGAAAGCCACCATTACTGGACATAATGGAGAAGCTTCTTTTTTAAAGTTTACCCAACACACTTAACCTTAGTGACACTTCCTTTTACTTCTCACTATCCCTGACACGAACATAAAGATATAAATTAAAAATCTTATAAAATTTCACCCTTCAATTTTATTTACAAAACTTCACCTTCTTATAAGCAACAAATATCCGATTTTGTCCATCTTATATGTCAAGAAAGCGCAATATTTGATGATATAGCTGTTCTACAAATATGTAAACCGCAATTATAGAATATCTTTACTTTTCTTTTTTTTTCTTTCTTAATATACTCGTCAAACAGTATCAATTCGAATTGTAAATATATTTAACTGCTACATATTAAATATTGAACTATATTCGGTCGAACGAAAATAAAGCGCCTTTAAAAAGTTAATCGCTATTCGACGCGAGAAACTGACCAATCAGGCGCGAAGAAAGAAAAAATTGAGAACATATCATTTTTTACGATACGGACGTAGCTTTTATTTCATTTTTTAAACAATAACAGTAAATTTAATATTTAATATAAAAAAACAAAAAAAATAACCATAAGTCTTCCCTTTTTTAAGAAAAAAAATGGTTTTGGTAGATAGAAATTACATAGCCAAAAATTTGTCCCAAAAAGATGTGTACGTTTTGCCAACTTTTGTAATATTAACTTTTAAACGGCTACAAGTCATATTTAACAAGAAAATTGATCATTTAACGATTCTTTATTAATTAAATAATTTTTACTTTGACAAAAAAAATCAATAATCTTTCCGCAATAGAAAGATATTTAATATCTAAAATTAGAAATTGTTATTTTTTTTATATCCTAGTTATAATCTTTCACTTTGTATAAATAAATTATTAAAAGGAAATGAGCAATTTTAATGTGGAACTATTTTTGGAAAATTCCACCTGCAAAAGGATATCGTATTAGTCTATCGGAGAAAAACTAATTAAATCTGGAAACGCTTCGGGGAGGTAAAAGTAGAAAAGTAACATTTGTTTTAATTTAAAATTAATTTGAACCTAATAATATTACTATTACAAAACAATAAGTAAAATCAATATAGTATATAAATTAATATTATTTGATGCTTATATGTAATTTATTGGTAATATTTCGTAATTTGTTATAGTTGGAAAATTGCTGTAAATTTAGATTTTGCATTAATAGAATAACCGCTTTATTCGTATTAAAATTTCGTTAAGTTTCTCTTAATATATACTCTATTTAAAATAAAAAAGAATTGAGTAAAATAGGGAAAATTTGGCGGGAAATAGATCCGCCATCATACGGGCACTTTTTCCTCGATCACGTGGTGAATAAATTATCAGCAGCAGCGGTTTCTCACAGCAGACGACAGGCTAGCAAGCACGTTGCACTGTTCTCTCCGCAATTTTCTTCTCTAAACCAGTGAAATCGAACGCTAACAGGATTTTAAGGTTGGTTTGCGAATCCTTATCTATTGTACTATGGATTCATGTTGGTGTCTTGTCGATATTAATATTTCGGTAAAAACAACGTAGTTAATTTCCAGCCTTCGCTTAGCCGACTGTATATTTTCAAGATGGCGGCGTAGTCGTATATATTGCTATCCGTATTTAGCAGCCATATGCTTGTTTATCAGGAAACCAATGTTTGTTAGTCGATAGAGACGGTCGGTTGATAAGGTTGTCATATAGGTATCGGACATTTAATGACGGGAAGTACACGGAACAATTGTCAAAAATTTTAGAAATTGGTCGTTTTAAAAAATTAATTTACGAAATATTGCCTAATAACCAACACGAGCATGTAGGTTGAATGACAAGGTTCAGAACGACCTACCAGAACCAATGTGTTCTCTTTACTTTTTCTACTGCTGATAGGGTACTTCCACTTAATATGGTTTTTATCATTAACCTTATATTACTTTAAAAAATTAAGCCTAGAACCATTTAGCGGATAGATTAAATTAACCAAACTTTGATTTATAAAAGCGAACTCTTATTAATTAGCGAGTTATTTGACACTATAATATGCTTTCGTCGCTCATTTTTCGGACCGAGTCGGGAATTACGTTTAGACGCTTGGTGGCGCTGTGCAATCGCATATTGACCGCAGACTTTCAACATAGTCAGCTGCCGAACGGCAGCTCTTTGAGGTAGATCGAACTAAGCTCTTCGGAACGATTGGGCCTTATCGGTCCGTTTTATCTCTTATGCTGAGTTTATCTCATGGCGAAACGCAAAAAAGCGAACGGCGGCGCCAAGTATTTACGACAGATGGATGTTTATGGTAAGTTAAACTCGCGGTTTCGTTTCTTAAATTCTTTCTCTTCTTTTCGATACACTCTATCTCTTTATATGGTTTAGTAATCTACTAAGCATACAAGAGACAATAAAACGTTTATGTATAAGCCATTATTTCGTATCGTCACGTGATTTTTTTTGTTATTGACGTCATCGGATGCTGGTGTGGAACCGAAATAGAAGTGTAAACAGAAAAATAAACATATAATTGATTAATGCTTGCCAAAAAATAAAGTCTTCCCTTTTCTCCTCTTAGAAAAGCTTTGATTTCTAGAATCGATTAAATTTCCATCTTTCATCAAAACTTCTCATACGGTCTAATTGTTAGTTAATGATGCATAAAAATTAATATGACGATTTTTTTTATTATACTAACTTATAGTCAACTTTTTTAGGAGATAGTCTCTCTCTCTTTTGTTAAGGTCCAACTACTTTTTTTTTTTGTTCAACTCTTAAAATATAACCAATCTAGTTTTTTCCCTTCTTTTTATAACTGATATACGAGAGGTTTGTATGCGCTGAACATTGTTGCGTGCACTATGCTTACATAGGGGACATTTGAGATACGATCTTAGTGAACTGAACATTGGAGATAATCGATTGGTACGTACTAGCTCAATATATAATATATGTATTTCACCTTCAATTCGACCTCGCCTAATTGATCGACTCAGCCCAACGGCTAATTGAGTACTCCGTATAGATTAGATTGTTGCAGTTGGGGGCTGCTGCAAAATTTTGCAGATGTTACTGCCACGACGCAGGTGGTGCAGGCGGGCTGCTGATTCGTTTTCGATAGACATGCGCCTTAATTGAAGAAACGTTTTTACGCGTGTGTGTATTTTTAGGCCTACAAGATAAGTTAGCGTGCTCACTAATATTATCCATATAAATAAAATGAAGAAGCTACAAAGAGAAAAATTTGTTCGTCTATTCGATTCTTTTCTTTCTATCTGTTCCATGCTTCTTTTTTTTTTATACATTATCGGCGTCTCGCTCTTTGATGCCGAGCACGCGCGTGCGTAAAAGGTGCTCGAGATAAAACAGGCTATGTCATAGAAGTCTCTTGCATTGTGATTCTGCATACTAATACATGATTTTGTGTTTTCTTATTATATTACTTTTATATATTTTTATTATATTGATAAACTTTATTTATTCGAAGTTTTTCTTCACTACTTTTCTCTTACTGCACGATTATTTTGTCGTCTTGAGTAGCATATTGAAATAGGGGCTGAAAGTGCCGAAAAATCTGTATAATTTATATGCGGATAATGAAAGGTATGCATGACTGGTCTGTCTGAGGCGCAGAGCGGAATTTCCAATAGTTTTGCGTTTGTAGACGTGTATGCATAGACGTATACTGATTACAAGCAGAATATATTGTATTGTATATAAACAGTCTATAGATAATTTATATGGCTGTCTTCGGTTATCTACAAGAAGCTCATTGTTTACTCGTATTCTAGTTTATTAAGGCTTTGGTGTTTGTCTATAGATTTATACTTAATCTTTAAAAGAAGACAAACTGTAGCCTGTCAGTATTTTCTACTATTTGTTATCAAATTTTTTTTTTTTTTGATTTTATCTTACGGCGCATTGTTGCGTGACAAACAGTCATGTTACGCTTCTTCATGAAAAATAGGCTTAAATGACAGTAGAAAAAAAATTCTTGTTTTATAAGCTTTCGTTTGTCGTTTCTATAGGGTTTATAACGAACGCTTTATAGTGTGTTGTTTTCTAACGGATGCGAGCTTGTTTGTCAGGCAGCTAGCACGTCAATTTTTGTCGCCTTCTACGGCTAGTTTCCCACCTCACAGTTTATGCACGACGGAAGGGAATCGTGTATAGTACGAGTTTATGTGTATTTTTTTCAGCATTTACTCGGCTTGTTTGTCAGACGCAAAATATCAGCGTCGAAATTCTATATTGCCGACTCGGTTGGAATTTTGAAGCTTTTTAGCAGGTGTGTTTGGTGCTTAGCGGCTGGGTGGGAGATGTTCGTTTTGCCATGCTCTTAATTGAGCTGCATGATGCGAGTTAGTTTATTCTATAGGGTGTTTTCGCTCTTATCTACCCTACTTATTCATCGTCACGTGACCGCATTTATTCGTCTTTCGAAGCCTCGGGTCTAGACGTTCGTTCGAACGCTGCCAAGTTAATGGCAATCGACACCCTTATTTGCCCTCTTTCGCTCATTACACCAAACGTATACATTTTCTCGCAATGACGTAATAAAAAGTGGGGGATGAATTTGTTCACATATATTTATATGTATATATATACCATTGTGTAGCCCATTTTTGACTGTATTGTTTGCATAACAGGATGAGATCGTATCAAACAGCAGAATTACATAAGATAATTAGTTGTAGGTTTTGTCTCACGATGTCAGAAATTTTCAAGAGGATTTTTAGAGGAAATGAACTTATAGACGAAGAAAGCAATTTTGAAAGTGACGTCAAAGTCAATAACTCGGTACGACGGGGCGTCGCTAGACGCCTTATCAGCGGGTAGACAAATCCCCTAAATCCCCGAAACAATCATGGCCGAAGGGCGTTGCACATCCGACTGTATTTTATTGCAAAGAGTTTTGCCGATATAATAGGCGATTTATGCCAAGATATCGACGCAAAATTACACTCTTCATTGCTATGCCGCAATGGCGACTGCAGTTTTTGCCGTATCGATTGCAGGTATATAGCTGCACGAAACTTTTTGTCGTTGATTACGGGCATTTTACTCTTTCAGTTTCCTAGCGACGTCAGTTGGACTTGGTATAATTAATCAATTTCATACAAATCGGACTTTGCGGGGGGTTTTCCACCCTTTTACACCATGTTAATTCGGCAACTACAGATGTACAGTTTTTATAATACATGTATAACGATGATCGCCTTACGTCACTCTCCAATTTGTACATATTCTTCTCTTATCAATATGCAGATTAGAAATTCGTTGCAGTCAATTGCCGGTTGCGTCACGGTTTCTATCGACGTCAACCAGTAGTGACGTTTCCAAGGTAACGCCGCGTTACTTCCGGTTCAGATTGGTAGTGGCGCGCGACGGGCGTCGAATTTTTCTTCTATGTACACTTTATATTTTGCGTGTATTCTCATATTTTTTTTTTTCGAACGCATTGTATATTCTATACGTTAGCTGTCAGTGGAATACCCATAGGCTACTAGCGCGAATAAGCTCTTTCTTTACCTTGTGTTCGCTTTCTAAATTAGTATTCTATAATTATGATAGAGACTGATAACCATCGTCTATTTCTAAAGCAGTAAACATAGTATTGGCGCAATAGAACGACGATTCGTTTTAGGGCAATTTTATATAATTAACAACCCTGAAAAAATTTTCCAATCATTCAATCCATACTCAATCCCGCCAATATCGTGTTAGATAATCACGTGATCAAAGACTAAATACAGTTACAGACAAACAGGCTGTGACACTGTAAATATACCAATTAGCCGCTGATAGGAGAGCCAGTACGTGTGTACAACGTATGTACAGCATTATTATGTAATAAGAAAATATTACATTCAATATAATTATATAGCGTATCCAGTTATTAGTAAGGTGTTATTGTTCATCCTCAAATCCATACGATAGCTCCAATAGATTAGTTGACAGACTGGAAAATTTTACTATTTTCTCTATTTACAAGTCAAAAGAATTGTTCATATTGACAATGTTGATATTGGAAGAGGTTAAGTCGACCGGTCTTTAAATATATACCGCACGATATATCGTATATAACATATAGATATTTATATGTCGTATATACGTAATGTACGAAAATATTCAAACATATTTATCTAAATCGATTTTCGTATTTAGTACACATACACACACACTCTCTCTTACACACACATATATATATATATATATATATTTATTGAAGTGGATGGTATAAATGCTATATTGGCGCCAGAAGGATCTATATAAGTAGTAAATATTTATTTATAGCGTTGAAAGCGGGGGCTAGGTGAAAATGGTGGACATTGTCCACCTTGCATTATACTAGAGCTCGAAAATCTGGCCTTAGGGTATCCTTGTATAGGCTAATAGCTAATTGGTCCCCTTGCTACGTTGCTGTACCAACTTTAACACTTTAAAATCTACTAGAGGGGATTAGTCTTCGTTCAGGATACCACCAAACGCCAGACCACTGTTTAAAATACTATACGGGTGTTTTGACACTATAAAAAGGAAGGAATTTTTTTCCACTTTTCTTTTCTTTTATTTCTCTTAACCCTTTTTTTGAAAACGTCAAACCCACCACCACGCTTACATTCATTGCCAGCAGTTGTTGAACGACGCTTATTTAGGGCTAGTTCGATTAATGAAAGCACAAGGTGGTGATTATCGAACAATAAATAGTCATGGCTAACGCTGGATTTATTTGTATTTATTTGGAGATAAAATTTACTTTTTCCTCCTTTGTTTACCTTATATGGGTGTGGTTAAACTTTGGTCAATAAAATTTACTAATTACGATAGTATGGAGGTACGCTTCGATTTCGATTCGAACTTTCGTTTGAACGTAACAGGTGTGTTTGGAAGATGTCGGTGGCATCAAAGGGATTAGAGAAAGAAGAGCATGCCAATCAAAAGTAGGCCTATTGTTTGCTTTGGTCGGTATTAGTTTGCAACTATCTCATATTTCTTTTTACAATCGATTTGTGGTATATATTTTTCTTTTCTTTCTGGCCCGTGACCAGTTTACGTTTGTGTGTGGTCGTTATATGGTTCAATTGAACGTTTATGTAGGCGTACTTGGACAATTTATCTTATGAATATTTATTAGCTTTTTTCCGCTTTCTACTAAACAACCGATCGAGTCGAGTGTACAAGGCTATTATATATTAACTAATGGTTTTCCATTGATCATCGCATTTAGGAAAGACATTATAGTTAATTCCCGAGAGTTGAGGCGAAAGGAAATTCCGAGCAGATGGTGTTAAGGATAAAAGTATATATATGCCTTTATGGAGATCTATACTTATTTTATTTATATAAGCCTTTATCACATTATTATATTTTGATTAATTAACCATAATATATGCATAAAAAATGTTTTCTATTAATTATTATTTAAATTCTGTACTGTATTAGGATGTGAGATGAATGATAGAAAAGCTATCATTAGCGAGCTCATTGATCATACAATTTTCAATTTGAACTACTAATAAGCGTAGACTGGTTTATGCAGCGTGATAAATCGCCACCAAGTGATTAGTTCACGGATGACGTCGGGTTAAATTAAAGTGAAGAGTCACGTGCCTTATCGATTGAATGGGTTTCTGAATATGTGAGCTCAGACAATTGTGCGCAGGAGACGTAATTACAAAGCGGTATGGGATTCTAACGTTTTTTCATATAATGTTAACATATGCTTCTCCTTATTGGTGTTTGGCCTCTGACCCTATATATTATACCAATATTTATTCACTGTATTAGATGTTCATTGGAAAGTCGATGCGTCGCTCCTCTCTCATATATCTAAACTAGCATAGATTTGCATAATTAATTTGTTCTCTGGAGTTCTCCCTTTCTCAAACGAAAATTTTCCGTGACGAACACTTCGTATCCTATGACGTCACCAGTTTATTCTCTCTCAAAGGCGTTCTGTTAATCTGGATTTAGATTGAATTATTCACAAACTCAGCCTTTGTATCGCTTTTAACAATTTATACCACTTTCGCCGTACATTCAATGTTCAAGTTATCGTAGTACGAAGTACTATGTGATTATACTGTTCAATTGTTAAATACTTCTACCCACTACACATATATTTGAACACTTTCGGGGCTACATTGTTGCAAAATTCACAATAGTATACTAGAGCAAAGTCATATTTGATCACGTGATTTCGCGTCGCAGTTGGAGCACTTTTGAAATTATATAGTTTTAATGCTAAAATCTCAGAAATGTAGTCTTTTGTCCCTTTCTCCCAAATACAGACACCCGTATCCCTAATCACGTAGACTGTAAAAGGCGTTTAATATATAGCGTACACATGGTTTACTGCGCGCGCTCGTTTGTCATGCGGTTGTGCAAACTGTTTCATGCATGACTAACAGGATTGTTCCGTCGGTTTGTATTATATAATTAAAAAAATTTATGTCAGCGGATGTCTACGTGCTTCCTATCATTTTAGTTCGCCTAACTGTTTTCTTTTTTTCTTCACATTACTAACGTAAACTCTTATTCAGCAGGCGTCTATTAAAAAATGGACAGAGACGGGAAGGGGCATCCGGTTCGGCAAATTCAAATCTCGAGCCTGAACGAGAGCATTATGTGCGCCCTCTGTGGGGGGTATCTGATTAACGCAACTTCAATTACCGAGTGCCATCATTCTTGTAAGTATAAAAAGCTCCAGTTTCAGGACACAAGTTATGCAATCACCTACACGTATTCTTGAATATCCACCTTGATAATAGCATTTCTTTTAACGCGTGCCTTTTTTTACTTACTTTTTCAGTTTGCCGGTCGTGTATTATGAGATTCGTGGAGACTAGTCGTATTTGCCCTATTTGCGACGTTAAATTACACGAGACCAGGCCATGGGAAAGTCTGAGGTTGGTATTGAATGTTAACGCTAGCTCTTTTTTTTCTACCCATCTTCTTCACCCCTATTCGCCCTCTTAAAGCTTTTTTTTTGCCCTCTCCATTCTCTCTATCGCACATTTTCCATTCTCCCTCTGTCTTTCACCCGGCACCTTTTTTTATTGTCTAAATATATAACGCGCACGTACACGCGTGTATAGACTTATGTACAAATATAACGCCTTAACGTAGCCGTTTGTTGACGCAAGTTCCGAACAGATGTTATAGTACAAAAATTCGTTTTTTTCGAGCGTATTGAATTTCGTCTATGGTTTGAAAATTTCTTTAAGATGTTGATATCTCTATTATTTACTATATGCATAGTGTTCTTTCTCCCACCCTCCCCCCCCTCTCTCTCTCTCTCTCTCTCTTCTAACTCCTTGATTTTTTCTTTATTTGGCTAGTATTAGACTTTTTCGGGCAATCTGATCGCTAGCCTTTTTTTCTACATTGTAACTATTGTAAAAGATATTATATTTTGCTAAAAAAAGAAAGGTTCGATAATAACGTACGATAAGACTTCATTTATATAATATAATATACTCTTTATTCAAGTGAAAAGTAGACCTTTGAAGGTGTAATCAAACACTTAAAAATTGATAGCTGTTTTTTTTTATACTCTTAAATAGGTTTCTACCTATTTGTTACAGAGATTATCTTTTGAGATACACTATAATGGTATTTTTTTTTCTTCCCAATTGAACAGATTGGATTTAACATTGCAAAAAATCGTCTTCCAGCTTGTGCCTGGCCTGGCAACAAGAGAATTTCTTCAAAGGCGGAGATTTCAACGCATCCAAAAGAGTATGTTTAAATTTTACATAAAATTTACATATATTTTTCTTCACATTTTTTCTTATTCTTTTTACGCCAATGATTAGGTTGTGGAAGAGATGAAGAGGCGGACGAAGAGGAAATTCCTCAAATGTCTATCTGTTTGGAATGTAAAGAAAATAATCAGGTATGCTCCAAAGTTTTGAAATATTTTTTTTTATTCTCAAATATATATATACAAAAAAAAAGAAAAAGAAAGTGAAAGAGAATTCCTTTATATAAAAATTTTCACTTGTTGCACTCAATTAAAATTAATATTAATAATAATACAAAAAAAAATATCTTCCACTTAAACAGACTCTCTATGATTACAAACGTTACTTGAAATGCCCTGTTACAATGACGATTGAACAGCTAAAAAAGTTCATAAGGAGGAAATTCACATTGAATGACAAGATAGATGTAAATATAATTTGAAAATTGGCCTTCCATTAAATTTACTGAAAAGGAAAAAAAATATATTTTTTTCAGATTGACATCTTTCACGCGTTTGAAGAACCATTAGTCGACGCGAATACAATACTCGATTGTGCGGTTATTTTTGGATGGACAGGGGTCAGTTAGATTATTTAACTTATACTCTCTCTAGATATATATATATATATATATATATTTATATACTGTATATGTATTATTATTTATTTGCTTTTATTTATCTGTTTATTTATTGGGTTGAAGCCCTTTTTTAATATTTCTCTTCCTATTCACCCAAGTGTAATTGATACCTTCATTCTTTTTTTATTAAGTAAAATAAGCAGAAAATTTTTTGAGAATAAGCGCACCCAATAGGCGGGTAAATGTTTTAAAGGGAAAAAATACCGAAGGGAAAACAAGCAGTAGATTTTATAATATAAATATATTTTCTCATTCTATGTTAAACGGCCAGAGTCCATAGAGTAGACAGCTTTATAGAAGATAGATGTAATGTTGATAGGAAATGATGGCATATTAAAAGTGTATCTCATGAATAAACATTAAGGAGAGATCGTTTAAAAAATATTGCTCTCATCGTTATTCTATGTTTAATACATTGGATAGAAAGTATATAAACTCTTCCTGAAGAAGGTTAATTGCCAATTTGCTGGGAAAAAATATGTGCTGAATGAGGCTTATTACGTAACGAATTCCGTAATTTATCGACTTAACAGGCGAGGCGCAGCTTCTTGCCCAATTATTTCGCATTCGTGTCTTATCACGCGATAAAAAAAAGGGTCAAGAAAAACATACTTGCATGATTAGTTGTTGTCGAAACCTCTATCGATTTCTTTTGTTTTCTCTCTTTGTACCCCTTCTCGCATATTGTTCGTTCGAGAGAAATTATGAGAGTCTAATTACTAAATTATTATCATTGCAGGTGGAACCTTTTCATCTTAACTTTACGGTGGACGAAATAGAAAAGGACACTGCACAGCCCCTTCCCCTCTCTCTTCCGGTTACGCCCAAGAACGCACGCAAAACGGCTAGTAAAAGAAAGGCATCGCCCGAAGCCTCCCGTCGAAAAAAGAGTGAAGAAGGCGAAAAGAAATCGAATTGCCACTCGGATGCTCAGCCTACTTCAAAGACACCGTCACAATCGGTATCGCCACCTATTGACGAGATGGATGAAGAGATGGAGAACTCATCAAAGGATCTTAAAAAGTCAAAAACGGATTATACTATAAGAGCTATCATGTCCGACGAAATTCGTCCTCAGCGAAGAGCGGCAAAACGGCTGTCAGCAGCTGAAAAATCTAAAGAACCCTCAGGGTCAAAGGTTAATAAATTAGCAGAAACCTTGCGGCTGAGGGAAGAGAAATCTTTGGCAGAAGCCACCTCAAATTTAGAAGAGGAAATCAAAAAAGCTCTTCCGAATTCTGCCAGAGAATCATCTTTGACAGCTTCCATTGCAAGCTCAAACAAAAAATCCAATCATCCCAAAAAAATTGTAGGCCTGTTAAATTATCATCGCCAAAAACAAAAGGAAGAAAAATTAACGTCTCATCTCTCTATTCCTACTGTCTCCTGTCGACCTCCCGCTAAGCAAAACTCATTAATTATTAAAATTAAATTGCCATCTAAAGATGGAGATAAACACGATTACCGGTGTAAGCACAAAAGGAAAGACTTGACGGTAATTAGGTCAGCTGATTCGACCGCTGCCTCAAGTCCTGTTAGATCACCAGCAAGGTCACCAAAGTATGCAACATCGCCGCCAAGTGCCCTAGTTTCAACTGATCCAACACAGGTCTATTCCTTCGACGCCCACAATAATAGCTGATTTATGAAAACTAATTGTTAAGGATTAATATCGAAAGAAGATTCATTCACTCATTCGCTCTCATTTCTCATCAACTCTCATATGCTCTCTTCACATTCGCTCAATCTCTCATTTTCTCTCCTATTATCTCAGCTTCTTCTCATTCTATGTGACACAAATAAGGATATACGAACTACAATATTTATTTATACATATATGTATATATGTATCCCGGTTAACAGGCCTACATCATGTGCTTCATGGCGGTAATTTGAGATAATTATACAGATATACTTTATCTTCAATGGAATGATACGGATATGCTTTTAAAATTTAACTATATTTTTTCGTATGATATATTTTAATGAAATTAAAAAATTAGTTTGTCAGAGAGTTTTTTCCTTCTGTTCAATTCTTTAAATCATGTTACGTATGAAACATACGAAGAACTTTTACATTCTTTCCTGTAAAGAGATAAGAAACAAAAGGGATATTCATAAGATATCATGTATATTTTACGTATATGTACACTTACTGTATATAAAATATACTCTATGAGTGTATATGTATAAGAATACGTGAATGTATGAATATATATATATATATATATATATATATATATATATATATACAGTATATATATATGTGTGTACGTGGTTTGTCCCGGAAGAAAAAAGGTGTTGTCAAACAAATGTCAAATTTATTGATAGAAATAAACTTGGCACTATTGGCCGGATATAAAAAATTCGTTATCACTTATATATTAGAAAAAAACAGGCAAAACTTTGAATTATATGTAATTACAAACAATCTGACATTTCAATTATATTACATTTTTACAAGGGAAGCAGTTCACTTGTTACAGAATATACATAATGGAATAACACAGGGAATTTGTAGCCTTATTTGTTTTTTAGATAGCTTTTTATACAATTACATATGTATATAAAAACGCATATATCGTAATTTATTTATAAATAGAAACCTGAGAAAGAACTAGATATCTTGATTGGAATGAGCAATAGAAAGTGACAATGGAGAAGAAGAAAAAAACTCTAGAATTATAATATTTCTTTAACATTTTCATTACTATAAAGTATTACTTAAATTACTAGGCAAACACAACACTAAGGCCTAAAATTTCATATCAACAACTTATTTACAAGTATTAAAGTAAATAAAAGTTAACATTTTCATAAAAATTTGAAAATATTCCTATATTTTTTTTTATTATAAGCTAAGAATAAGAAAGAAATCTTTTTCAAGTATAATAATTTATTAACTTTTTGTTTCGACAATTGCCTATCGCCGTTTCTCTATCTTCGTTCTTTTTTTTTTCTCTGTTAGCTCCCCCCCCACCTCCCTCCGCCCGACATTTCATTCTCAATTAGGGGAATGTGCTGGAATTTGTTAATAACTGAGTTTCTTCTTTCTCTCCCGCCCTCCCCTTTCCTCTCTGTACCCTATTTATAATTCTTAATATAGAGAAGAAATTATAATTCTTCTTTCTCTCTCTCCTTCTGTCTGTCTATCTATATCTCTTACATTCTACCAAATCGGAGAGTAAAGATTTCATCAGAATCTACAACTGAAAAAAGAAGAATATATGAGAATTTTCATTATTTTCTTATAAAATTAAAAATAAAGAAATTATTAAATATTTAGTTTTTAGCTTAAATTTTATAAAGGAAATAAAATATATTCATATAGCGAATATATTTGTATATATTAAATTGCACGAATGCTGTAAAAAGCGAAAAAAATTGATATGTTAATTGGTCAATAGAATTTGGGATAAAAGTATTAGGTTACTATATATTACGTAAAAAAAATAAAATAGAAAATGTACGTAAGCAGTAAAATCTTATGTTGTTGAATTGTTGAATTGTATTTAACAAGAGCTTAAAACTATTTCGACAAAATTTTAGCGAGGTATTAAGAACGGTTCAAAATTCTTATTTAAATCAAATATAACGTAGATGCTATTACGTAAGTTTAGTATTTTGTAAAAGTAAAAATAGCACCTTTGGGAAAGTCTTTTTGAAAAATCGAACAAGGACAAATGTAATGGCGTAATCGTATCGGTTGTCTGAGGATTGTTGGTGATTGGCTGAGCCTAGTATACTTTACCGCCCTCTGGAATTCCGACGCAAATTTTTATATCCAAGTCAAATTTCTTTTTACTCTAAGTACGATTTACGTAAGATTTATAAATAAGTTTTATTTTTCTAAATTACCCTTCGTTATCTCTGAAGCCGATAAGAAAATGTTTTTTTTTATCTTAATCCATAAATTTTCAAGATTAATTCAAAAACTGTGACAAAATTTTTTTGACAAACTTTAATAAAAAAAAAGGTTTTAGAAAAAAGTTCTTTAATCCTTTTTTTTCTGTTCAACGCTTAAATCCCCAAATGCGTATGCACATATAGAAGAGAGGAATGTATATCATATAAACGAATCATTTGCATTGAGAATCCTCTTTAAAAACTTTACTATATACGTGAACAATCATTAATTCTTTGGCTGTGGATTATTTACTCTTTATTATTTTCCACTAATATATTCTAAAAGTTAACTTTTTTTTTTAAAAAAAAACGAAAGAAAGTGGCAATAGGAAAAATAAAATTTTCACATGAAAATATAGAAATATGGAATTAAAAAAAACCGAAAGTTCATTTCGTAGTTTATTTCTAACTCTGTAAATTTTATTTATTATACGAGAATGTCTATATTAACTGTGATGCTAATGGAATGAGATAGATAGGGATGAATAGAGGGAGACGGAGAGACAGAGAGACAGAGAGAGAGAGTGTGTGAGTGAGAGAGAGAAAGAGAGATAGAGAGAAGAACGAAGAAAAAAAGAAAAAATATCTATTAGTAAAATGAAAAAGAGAAGAAAAGGAAATATTTAATAGTGTAATGATTGTTGTTTTATTGTAGGCATTTTAAGGATATTCATCAGTTTGTAAATTATTTAATTAATGAGTTTTTTCTTGAAAAAAGTTGGGTTAAAGTTTAATGGGTAACTTTCATTTTTTTATTATTATAGGTATAATACATGCATACTTTGAATGACGATACGCATAAATGATAAATATTAGCGGAGAATGGTAGAGGAGGAGTGGATAAAGAGAAAAGGGAGGGATATATAACAAATAGGAGGGCCGATATTTCTGAGAGAACGTGTGTCCTGCAAAATTATATAAAGATGTAATTAAATGAATACATGTACGCATTCATTCATGCGCATAGATGATACAAAGGATGCAGCACCGTGTATTTCCTTCAACAAGTACCGCCTCTTGAAATTGAATAAAAGTACTTACGAAAGTAATTTGTTTTTGCGTATTTGACGGAGTAAAAAAAAAAGGAAAACCCAAAAATATTTGCATACGTAAGTCTTCATTTTTTTAGGCAACTGCGTAATATTTTTGGCAGTTTCTTCTATTAGCTATTTAGTCATTTTAGTCTATGGCATTGACGCAACAATGACATTGAATATCTATTCCTCCGCTACATCTATGAATTCTGTTAAATAGGCCAAACGTTTAAATAATATAACTTGAATAAAGATTTATTTTCATAACATAATTAAAATTGAATGGAATAAAAGAAGAGAATAATGGAAAATTATTTTATTAATAATTTATTAAATTATTATAATTAAATTCATGATACTCAGGCTTAATCTAATAATAAAATCATTAAATATTATAAATGAATATTGCAAGGCACGAAGTCATCTATATAAATTAGGACAATGTATGTTGTTATATAACAGTTTGTAAAGCCAAAATTTATTACGTCTGTATATATACAATATATAGTAAGAACGGAAACTTATTGAAAACGATTCATTTCACGGTGTGAGTCTTGAATGGCTACTACTATTCTGTCATTCTATCTGGTTATTATTTTTCAAAATGACCTTTTCGTGATACACCCTTATCAAAAAATTGTATATTGTTGTGAATGGAAGGGAATGTCGGGAAGGGAACATGTTCAATACTGAATGCTGAATGTTGATTCAGCTTTGTAGGCCTACGTAATTCAGTCAACTACTGGGAGTCTAGATAGACTTGAGAAAGAGCGTAAATATTTGTGAAACTTTTACGATTTACTGCTCTTTTAGTTTTCATTTAGCTAACAGTATATTTGTAGCTAAGATGGAGGAAGCCGATAATGAATCCCGATCGTCTGGAAACAAGCTGTTATACTATGTAAATGATACACCGCCGTGGTACTTATCAATTTTGTTAGGTTTACAGGTGAGATTTATTTTCATTTTTATACAATGTTAATTAATCTATTAAAGGTAGGTAATGGGAAAGTATCCAGCTGCACGAATATCAAAGGGTAGAATATTGTTTATATAAAGCATATAACATCCTTTTATACATGTATACCGTATTGTTTGATGATCAATAGTCGCCATATATTCCCTTTCTTTAATTTTAGCACTACTTGACCATGTTTGGTGCAACTATTGTAGTTCCACTTGTACTTGCACAATCCCTGTGCTACGATCACGACAATGTTGCCAAAGCTGAAATATTATCAACCATATTCTTCGTGTCAGGCCTTTCCACCTTGTTACAGACCACCTTTGGAACGAGATTGCCTATAGTTCAGGGGGCGACCTTTAGCTTTCTTATTCCCACTCAGGCACTATTTTCAAAATGTCCTACAATACCTACAAATAATGGAACATTGATAAGTACTCCATCAGTACCAGAATCGAGTGATGATGTAGAATGGAAAATAAGAATGAGAGAGCTCCAGGGAGCTATTATTGTTGCTTCTCTTTTCGAAGTTTTTCTAGGCTTTACGGGTCTCATTGGAGGAATAATTAAATTTATTGGGCCTTTAGTTATTGCTCCTACGATAACTTTAGTGGGACTGTCCCTATTCGAAGCGGCATTTAATTTTTCCTCCCAACATTGGTGGATAGCTTTATTGTAATTACATGAGATAAATATAAGTTACATTCAGTTACATTTTAATTACGATATTATATCCTACAGAACGGTAGTTTCAATCATCATCTTCTCTCAGATTATTCATAATCTAGATGTTAGAATTCCCGCTTATACAAGGGATGGAGGCTGTTATATAGGCCGATTTCCTTTATTTAAATCCTTTCCTGTATTACTCGGAATAGCCATATCGTGGATTTTATGTGCTATACTTACTGCCACAGACGTCTTCCCTAATGATAAAGATAAATGGGGCTATGCAGCTAGAACAGATACGAAGATTGACGTATTAACAAATACAAAATGGTTTCGCTTTCCATATCCTGGACAGTGGGGTAGGCCAACAGTAACTGTAAAAGGAGTTTTTGGCATTTTAGCTGGAGTACTAGCATCCGCGGTCGAAAGTATAGGAGATTATTACGCTTGCGCTAGATTAAGTGGGGCACCACCTCCTCCACCTCACGCTGTAAATAGAGGTATTGGAATAGAGGGTATATCCTGCGTCTTGGCAGGGTTATGGGGAAGCGGTAATGGAACAACCTCTTATAGTGAAAATATAGGAGCGATTGGATTGACCAAGGTTAGCTAATATTTTGATCAAGTACAGAGCATATGTTCTTTTCGATAGCATATTGACTCAATGCTAAATTTTTATTAGGTTGCAAGTCGAAGAGTCGTACAATGTGGTGCATTATTTATGCTTCTTTTTAGTCTTGTCGGTAAATTTGGAGCCGTTTTTGTAACTATACCAGATCCAATAATTGGAGGATTATTTTGTGTTACATTTGGAATGATTACGGCTATTGGTCTATCAAACTTGCAATTTGTTGATTTAAATTCATCAAGAAACCTCTTCGTAATAGGATTTTCAATATTCTCTGCTCTAACAATATCTAAGTGGATGGCGAATAATCGATCGAGCATTAAAACTGGTGAAGAAGTAATTGATCAGATATTCGTTGTTTTATTAAGTACAAGTATGTTTGTTGGTGGTTTTGTCGCCTTTATTCTTGATAACATTCTCCCAGGTTGGTTATTATTGTGTTTTTTTACGATGAATATATCATCCCATTTTATTATTTTTGCTATTAATTAGGCTCTAGAAAGGAAAGAGGTATGACAACTTGGCTGGAGAGCGCAGAAAGTTCGTCTAACGTTAATAACGACAACGATGAAATCTATGACCTACCAGAGATACCATTTCTTTCAAAATATTTAAGATGTTGTGGTTTATCCACAAGAAAATACCTACCCTTTTGCCCAGGTTTCCAAGGTCTAAATGTGTGTGGAAAACGCAGCTGTCCCTCAGTCTGCCGCTGTTATAAGAAAAACGATTTTGAAATAAACGAAAATGGAAAGTCTAACGCTGGTTTCGTAGATGTAGAAAAAGAAAATAACTCGACGAAGAACATTTCCGTGACAAAAGTATAATTTTCACAAATTTTAGAAAATTATCACTTCCACCTTTAGACTTTACTTGAACGAATATTACGTATCAATATTTTATACAATAGATAGTAAAGATAGATATCTACTACTGTAGCTTCCCCATATCCTGTATAAAAAGGAAGAGAATCTTGATAATTAAGATGCTTAACTAATGAAAATATTTGTATTATTTTTTTTCAATTAAAAATTTACAAACTTATAACAAAAGATAACATTTGAAAAAATACGTGCCGACATGGCATACAGAGGTGGAAAAGTCAGCCATGCAATTAACTTAATCCCATCCTGTGGGATTTTGTAATAATGCCAAGTGTGTATACTGTATGTATGCTACATATAGTTTGCATTATATATTTATAATGTATATACACAAATACAGTGTATATCTATATATAAATACGCTGATAAAGGATATTCATTACTCTGTGTGTAAGCTTAGATAGAATGTATAAATTCAATAAAATGAGTAAAAGGATAGTTTTACTTCCTTTTAGTATGCATCATAAGGATGCAAAATATAGAAACATCTTTTTTTTACGAGGAATTTATATGATATATTGCTTTTTCTCTCTTTTTTTTCCTACTGAATCGATTTATCAAATAGATGCGATGTTAGAAAATTCTATTTCATGATACTAATCGAGGTGTCTGCCTCTAGGACATATTTCATCTATAACCTTTAGCCCCTAAGAAATATCACTCTATATTCATGTTTTCAATGAAATAAATAATGTAATTTGTTCCACTTGTTCGCTTCAGAGGGAGCACCAAGCTTATAATTCTAAAGAAGCATTTAAAATACCTAATTTCCATATTACTCTACAGCTGTGCCATCTACATCATCAACTTTGAACTAATTACAAATGCCATGGGAAGTGCAGGCATTCATAAAGATGCTGTATATAAAGAAATTGAACATGCACTATAGCTTTCGTCCAATAAAAAGTTAATTATTATTCATAATGAAAAAGCTCTTGTTGGAAATTTATTTCCAAAGTCTACTGTTTTATTGTAATTCAATAATTTTAATCCCAAAGAGATCTCGTTTCGAGCGATAATTAAGAGTAATATTACCTGTAGAATTAACTATTAATACTAAAATATTAACTATGTAATTCTACAATTAAACAATTACTTAGCTGATAGAATAATTAATTAGATTCATTTATGAGCCAATAAACATTGAACGGCTCGATAAAACTGATAGAAATGATAATAGATGCTATCAGTCCAAATATCACAACAAAAAATTATTCACTCGCTTGTCTGCTTAGCAGACAGCTATTTAAGAGAAAATATAGGTTAAATAGAGAAGAGTTCAAGACATAAAACCTCTAAAATGTGGTTCATGAACGCCTTGTCAGATAATTTCTTGGTACAATTAGCTGGAACTGGTGGAGGAGTTTTAATGTTATTATATTTTCTTCAAAGAATATTAAACAGGAAAAGATTGCTATTAGCAGAATTGAGAAGAAAGAAGAAAGTGGATAGAGAGGAATGCTTTAAAAAATATCGTAATTATTTGGATAAACAAAACGTATTTATTTAAATTCTGCCTTCTTTTGAATATAAAATCTATACCAAAAAATATATTCTATATATAGATTTCAGAAGAAACTATATCAGAAATGGTAAATCAAAAGTTTATGGATCTTGTAGAAGGGTACAAAACTGGTAAACTAGATCCAGAGTTAATTTTGAAGTCATATCAAATTAAGGTTGACGACATGATATTAAAAAAAAGTCTTTTAATCCATTTTTTATTATTGTAAATTATGTTATTTATTAAAATAAGGCTTTGGAAATTCATGATAAGACGAACTGCTTGACTGATCCGATAATCGAGGCCAGAGTAAGTAGGCTTAAATAATATTCTTTTTCTTTTTTTTCCTACTTCAATGATAGTGATTTGAGGAAGGCATATAAATATTTGGAATTTTCTTTAAAGCCCTCCAATGCAAAGGGAGCTTTTTATGGCATTCCACTCAGCGTGAAGGATAATTATCAAATTAAGGTATTTTATGATATTTTTCGATACAAGTGTATGACTAACCATTTTACGACCTTTTTTTTCTTCTATCCCTTCCTTTCTTTCCCGTGTTATCTTCATTACGCATCTCAACATATCTTCCCTAACTTTGTTATATTGCGAAAAAAAAAACATTAGGGTTATCATACAACGTTAGGCTGTTCAAAGTATCTATCCGAAACGGCTGAAGAAACTTCAACTTTAATAGAGGTAATTAAAAACAATAGTATTACTTATAATTTAAATAATTTGAATATTCGTTAGTTTTTGGTAAAAAATGGAGCTATACCATTCGTAAAGACAAATATACCGCAAACACTTGTAAGGTTAGTATCTAGTTTTATATATTTTTTGAGTTATTTAACTAAAAGGATAAAATACTTCATCAATAAAAAACAAACAAACAAGAAAGATAGAAAGAAAGAAAGATTACGTGGAATTTAATACGAAAACTTTAAAAAACACATAGAATTTATGAGCTTTAGAATTCTATCATGCGCCATATTTTAAATGTTATCTTATTGAGAATATTTATCTGTTACGAGTATACATTCGGTTTTTGCCCCGATATTCGTGCTAATTATAGTTACACTATCATTGATATATCTGATAATACTTATTTCAATTTAACTATGATTGGATTAATTACAAATGATAAGTTTACTTTTTATTGGAAATCTGTAAAATCGAAAATTGATGAGCTATCTTATCGGCGTTTGATCGTGTCCGTTTATATTTGTCGAACTTATTCAGTAAATTTAGATTTCTCTCTGGATGCGTTCGGAGTAAGGGAATTTGGCTTTGTAAGAATTGAAGAATCGAAATCATTGATAATCCGAGAAAGGAATTTAAACGATTCGATTAAGATAAATAAATTGATATTACTAAGAAATAAGGATCTAAGAATAAATAAAAGAGCATTTTTCAATGCTAGTATAGAATTTTTTATTATCCGCTCGTCTTCTAATCGCCCACTTATTGTTCATCCAGTTGCATTCAGTTATTGTAGAATAGAAAAGTTTATGTTTCTTATCCAATCCAAAGATTTCCTTTATCCGAGAGCTTTCTCATCTTGCCTGATCAATAAAGTTTATTTATTTTGTCCAACGGAGGATGAGGATGAAGACGAACGTTTTATCACTTCTGTAAATAGACTATTACAATCTGGAGGTGGGCCGAGACATTTATATATTCGATGTAAATTAATAACTAAGAGTTTAAATTTTCGAAGAGATAGACTACAGGAATTGATTATTTTTGCCCAAGATAAAACTCTTGCCTGCCAACTCCTAACACCAATTCTAACAGAGTTGAATGAAAGGAACTTGATATGCGATCGTCTGATGAATTCAACGTTAGATTATAATTCCAAGGTTGTATTCCGTTTGAGATCTGTCAACCGAAACAATTTCATATCATTGATTATCGCATCGTTAATTCGTCATGTCAAATTGGGCGATTGTTACCTAATAGTTTCCAAATTAAATGGTAAAACTCGATTCACATGCTATGAAAATTCTTTTGAGAAAAAAGATAGATTAGAAATAAAACTTGTTAAATATAACAATTCTAAAAATGTCTTAATTAGTTGTCGATGCGATCCTTTTTTTCCTTTGATAAATTGGACTGATGATATTATTGATCTCCCTTCCCAATCTACACAAAACCCAACGGTTTACACCCGTATTAAGAGATTAACACCGCTAAACGGGGAAGATTATCTTTTCAATTTAATAATTGCGTCTACTTGTCTCCTACTAGTTCCTTTAGTAGTTGGTATAAATATAACAAAGGAAGTTGTAAAAAGACGGATTGCCTGGCTAAAACGTCCAAGAAAAGAAGGTCTATTAGACGCTATTGAAGCTCAACTAGAACAATTAAGTAAAGAAACTCAATCATCAATTACTAGTCAAACAACTAGAGATACATCATCAGATTTTGCATCAATTATCGAAGAAGAAGTAATAATATCAAAAGATTCTCGTACTTGAACAAACAACTCAATTGAATTCAAAACAATAGCGTGTAAATTACTGTTTTTCATTATTTCTTAATACTTTTCCAGTTGTTGTTTTTCTACCGTAAAAAACTGTAAATTATTTAGTAGTTTTTATTATTTTACTATTCGTTTTAAAAGGTTTTGTTTTGTTTCTTTTTTTTTTAAAAAAAAATTAACAACCAAATTTATCTCAACAAAAAAACTTTCTGTCATAAATATAATACTTTTAATAAGTTTAATAATTGAATTTTGACCCTATTAATATATAATATAAACAGTATACAACATTCAATCATATTATTTTATTATCATTTTCATGAAATGTTAATTTTATTGTTTTAGCTATTTAAAGTATTTAAAATGAAATTTTGTTATACAGTTGGGAAACTAATAATCCAATCTATGGACCAACAAATTTATTGGGCTTCAGTAATCGTAACCCAGGAGGTAGCTCGGGTGGAGAAGCTGTTCTACTAAGTGGTCAAGGCTCTATCTTGGGAGTAGGCTCGGATATCGGAGGATCTCTTAGAATCCCATCTCATATGGCTGGTACATGTGCGCTAAAATTAACTCCGAATAGAATTGGCAGTAGGAAGATAAAAGGTGTCCAGGTCGGACAAGAAGTAGTTAAATCTTGCTACGGTCCTATGGCTCGTGATATAGATACTATACGCTATTTTCTTGAGAATGTACTAGTAGATGAATACTTTAAAATGGATCCACTTGCTTATCCTATCCCATTTAATAAAGAGGTAAGAACTAAATAACAAGAGAGTCAAATTTCTTTTTAATTCATTAAAAGAATTTCTTCGAATTCACCGTAAATAGATGTATAACTCAACAAGAAAACTAAAAATTGGATATTATGATTCCTTGAATTACTGCAAATCATTTCCAGTAGTGCGAAGATCTATAAAAATGGCAAAAGAACAACTTGAGAAGAAAGGATATGAGGTTAGCAAGCTAATTCTGCAATATTTTATATAACATACGCAGTCTATTGGTGCTATATGCGTAATATATAATATATACTTGTATATATGTTTTTTTTTACCAGCTTATTTTTAATATATATTAAATATACAATAACCTATATACAGTGTATATACTGTATAGGCTTCTGGTTTTTTATGTTTGGCTACAAATTCTTTAAGTTGTTTCTTTTTCTTGATTTTTCCAGCTCGTGCCCTTCGAATTACCTGACGTCGAATATGCTTTATCACTGTTTATAATTTCACTCTATGGTGATAATGGAAAATCTATTGCAGATGCTACGTTAGTAATAAATTTCATCGTATTAATATCGATAATTCTAGGTTTGACCCATTTTTTTAATTTTTTTTCAATAGAGAGCATGATGAACTTTCATCAGCCATCAAAATATCAGCGACACTTTGTCAAATAGCAAAACCAATGAAATATATAATTGGATATATCGCAAAATTGATAAAACCCGATTTAGGGCGGGCTGTCCTTGATCTCTTGCGCATACGTTCAGTTTCGGGTTGGTGGAAACATACTCATGAAGCGAACATGTATAGAAATAAGGTATGGGACAAGTGGAATAGTTTGGGTTTGGATGCAGTTTTATGTCCTACATTCCCCTGTCCTGCTGTAGAATTGGGTAAATTTAGTTTTGCTGCCTCTGCCTCCTTCTACACTGGTATCTACAATCTGTTATCCTGTCCAGCTGGTAAATTATTAGATCGATTATTTTTTTTTTTATATTTTATTTAACAAAAAAAAAATAGGCAAAGTCAAACGTTAAATGGCTTAAAAACATAAAGGCAGTTATTTAATGAGAAACGATTTTTAACAATGGCTTAATGATACTAACAATAATGATAATAGTAGTAATAGTATTGATTATTCTGTACCAGGTTAACGTTTAGTCATTTTCCATGAGTAGTTTATACATTATATGCAAATGTATTAAAAAAGTATTAAGTTCCGGTTTTTATCGTTTAGGAAGCCTACCGATGACGAAAGTAACGGCGGAAGATGAAATGGAATCTAAAAAGTACCAATCAGTTACAACACCTGAAAAAGTTTTAAAGGATCAATGTACATCTGGATCGATAGGCCTATCTTGTAGCGTTCAAATTGTTACAAAACCGTTCCAAGACGAATTGTGCTTACGAATAATGAAAGATCTTGAAGTATCAAGTGCATGAGTTAAATAATTTAGTGTATACTGATAATAAACTTGCATTAAAAATAAACTTTGGGAGATTGTATTAATATATTATAAACACAGAGGGAATAAACGACTTTAGAGGTCGCTCAGTGTGATTCTTCTTTAGTTTTTACTTATCATACAGTTATAGAGAAAAGAAATTTATTTCCAGTTGCCTATAGAGGGCGGTGTAAACGGCTGGAAAATCATTGACACGCGAGCTATCTGCAAAGCCTCTGCAGCTTCGTGATTTACTCTTACGGCTGTTTACGTTATATTCGAGGAAGGGAGTGAAAGAAAGTACGAGATTAAACAGATAAAAGGTCTACTCCGTAAGAATTCATAAAAAATTTCTCCTCATCGATTGTTATTTTGATTACTGAAAAACTGGAAAAAAAGGAAGCAAATACATTCTCTTTCGGTCTATCCTCTTCCATTAAGATGAGGTAAGAGCTTCTAAGGGATAATAAAAATATATATACTATTTTTCCTCGTATATTTTCAAAAAAAACCGACGTCCTTTAGACGCTTTATCGTAAGCTTTTATATAAGTGTTGACGTCTAACTGGCGAAAGCTATGTTAATAGCGATTGGTAAAATCAATATGGCGCCGGTGTTGTGCTCGGCGGTGCGTCTTTGATGATAAGAGTAGATCGCGGAAAGACTACTGCAAAAAAAAAGAAAGTAAAAGAAAAAAAACCCAGAGAAGACATAATTATGCACATCCGAAATGGCAAGCGTTCTTTTCCTATATCATTCGTTAAATTGATACATATATAGGTCATATATTGACATTTATCGACCCAATGTGACTCCAGTTTCTTTACTATTTACCATTATCAGTAGTAGATAAGGAAAAGCATTTTTATGCAATATGGAACACCTGCTCTTATATGGAACCATTACATCCTACTGCATAATTTATTAGATATATACGGCCGTCGTATATTGCAAGCTTGTTTATCTTGTGCACGCTTGAATAATGCATGGAGAAAAGGCTGCTTAAGTGGTACACAAAGGTTTTGGTTCAGAGAAATTTCCCGCTTCTCCTCCGTCACAGCACCATAAAACTTATTTGTATAATAGATAAGAACCGATAAGAGAGGAAAAAGCGTCTATATTAGTGTAAATATAAATAAATAAATAGATAATTATACACTGCAGTTGGATTGTTAACTGTAAATACTCATTTTATTGTTCATTATACTGTAATAAAAATGTACGTGTGTCATAATGTAACATGTATACGTTCTACTGGTTGCCAATGGCTACCATTCGGTCAATAACTACTAGTCTTAACTATACCCCCTCCTTCTTCCTCCTGGACTGTGCCCGGAGTAATAAAGGAAAGATGGCGTGACGTAAAAAAAAAGCAAATAGATTCCGGTCATAGATACTACCAATTGGAGTGGAAAAATAATCGGGAGTAGATAAATCGATATCTATTTCCTTACGAATGTAACACTCGACCGCTGACTGTCGTAAACATCTATAAAAATAATTATAAAGTTGTCAGCTTTTTTTACGAATCAGAAATCCGACGCTTTTTTTATTCGACGCCGTAAATCGTATTTATAAACATTGTCTTACATTACACAACAAACAACTCGTAGGCGTATATAATCATAGGTGCGTGCGCATTTACTAATTTGCGTAACCCATGCATATCTAATCAATTGTCTCTTTTTTTAAATTGCTAGGTCCATGGTTCTGTAGAAAAATTAAGGGATATATTATAATGGATAATATTAAGCGATTTGACATAGAATTGGAGAGGGAATACTACTACGCCGGTGAAAGAGCAAAAGGATGGGTGATTGTTGATGTTACCGAAAATCTAAAGGTCAGAGGAGTTCGTGTTTTGTTGAGGGGAAAAGCTCATGTTGAATGGAAAATTACCAAAGGAGGAGAGAGGAGAACCGTCAAGGAAGAGCAGTATTTCGTAGATGATAAAGTGGTGGCTTGGGGTAAGGATAAGCACGAAGAGGGTACTATTCCCATAATGCCACGCGGTAATCATAAATTCCCGTTCGAGTTCCGACTTCCGGAGTCTTCTCTTCCTTGCTCTTTCGAATCAAAAGTGGGAACGATCAGATACTATTTGAGGGTTATTATAGATATCCCATATGCCTCTCCTCCCCAAGGTCTAAAATACTTTACCATTATCGGTCCAAGAATTGATGCTACCTCTGAAGCCTATTTGACTCCTGTAAATGTTATCAAATCGTCTAGCGTCTGTTGCAATGGACTCTGCTGCTCTTCCGTTCCGATTCAGTTGGAAGCCACACTAGAAAGAACGGCTTACTGTAGTGGTGAAAAAATCAAGTTGCGAGCGGAAGTTCAGAACGGAAGTGACGCCAATGTCTGGCTCGTTTGTAAGCTTAGACAACACGTTGAATATAAGATCACCAAATATTCCGTATTGGGTTTATTAAAAGAAAGCGTTCAGGAAGTGTGGAAATATAAGGGGCCAACAGTTGCGGCTCATCATACAACCGAATTTCGACACCTTGAACAACACCTGCAGTTGCCAGTTTTACCGCCATCGTTAAATGATGTTTGTAAACTTATAGAAATTTACTATGTTCTCAGAGTTAGTGTTGAGAAGGAGAAGTCCGGAGAAGAATTGCATGTAGATTTGCCAATAGACGTCGCCACTATGCCCTATAAGATAGCTAATCATCCTGATCCGGAGTTGAAATATGAAGTATCTTGCCCAGTTGTAGAAGGTGGAATGTACATATCTCCCGAATTTCAATTGGGTCAAGTCTATGACGGTTCGGATCACGATCATGCTCACGATATAATATTATATAGGTATATACTATTACTATTTCCTACAACCAGTAGTATTTAAAATGAACATAAACGATGTCCACAATTTTCTCTCTTTTTTTTTTTTATATCCTTAAAAACAACGCAAATAGCAAACAACAAAAAATTCGATTCTTCCATCTAAATTATTTATGACCAGAGTTTATCCTTTTAACGTTTTTCAATAATCTATTTTGCTACAGGCGTTTAAAGATTTTCTTAGAAACTCTAACTAATTATAATAAAAAAAGTCTACATATCAAATCCTTAGTTTTCATTAGACTGCAAAGTCACGAAGCCAATCAACAACCGTATTTATTACAGGCTAACCTCTTTTTTCGGAGAGGCTATTCTAATTGCTTTATTTGATGTATGCGGTTTATTTCCAGTCATTAGTGATGTGCAGCCTAAATTGATTATTGATTAGGATAAAAATACGGATTTAGCAGTGAGACTTTACAGGAAAAAATAATTCCATACAAAAGGAAAGATCGGTTAAAAAGGAACTAGAATTACAGATGATAGTTTAGTTTCATTTTATAGGCCTAGTAGTTCCATATATAGCCACTTTTAAAAACATCAGATCTCTTTATATACCCTCTAGTCAACAAGTTAGAACATACTGTATATAGTATTATATTACTTTGCAGAAATAATATAGAATCAGTTAAAAAAATATAAAAAAACTGCAAACTTTCTGTATATAGGTACCAATGTTTTTCTTTTTTTTTACCTTTCAGGCCTGTTTACGTGTGCATTCCAACCGAACAAGTTCAAGTTTCGTCTTGCAGTAATAATCATTCACAAGATGGCGCTGCTGAGATGACCAGTGTTTGATGCAAAAAAAAAATGAGACACGAGCAAACTAATACTGCCTTCTTTAGAAAAAAAGCAATGATTAAAAGATTCGAACTTTTTAATCCTTTATCTAATGCTATTTAATCTTCTTTTCAACGAGGAAAAACGACAGCGAACTGTAGCCTGTATCCAAAATACTCCATGTTCAAAATATTATAATGTTAATTTAATTATTAATAATATAAATATAAATAAAATAAGAAACTTGACATATTTACAATAATTTTTACATCAAACAGTATAAATTTCAAATACTTATACCGTATTAATTTGACATATATTCTATAAACTGCATGTATATATATATATATATATATATATACTGTATATGTATATATACTGTATATTGTGCTATTGCATTTATATACTTGTATATATGTATAAATATATATTTATGTTTTTAATACCTATAAAAACAAACTTAACAGAATGGAAATTTCACTCTTGAACAAAGGAACATATATTTGCTATCATATAACAAACTTACGCCAACCTATAGCATATAGGGAAGAAAAGTAATTTGTCTTTATTACCTAATTTTTCAATTTTTTGTTTATTTCAACAAAGAATTATGAGCAGTTTAATGTAGAGAATTGTCTTTTGCCTTTTTTTTCAGTAACGTTGAATAATTGTCTTATACTTCAGTTTCGACGCCTGGCCGTAAATTTGATTCGCTGGCGTCGCCATCTTCGTCCATTCTTCTTAACACTTCGTTAACTCCGCCGTCCTCGGTCGCGTTATTCGATTGGTTTTCTGTACGTGTCCTCCTCATTGAGAGTAGGTCCAAAAAATTATTCATTTGAGATTGGTAATTTACATCACCATTTCTTCTTAATATTCTAACCCTATGACCAGAAGTTGCTCTCTGATTATTTGTATCTCTACCACTTCCGGTTCCATCACCTTGCGTTTGATTTACGGCGTCTGAGATATGTTCCTCATGCAATACCGCCGGTAGTTCATAATGATGAAAAAAATAGACCATTGAATGCTGAAAGGATAAGAAAGTTGATAAAAAAAACATTGAATGGGAGAAGAAAATCGAAAGTATTGAAAAGAGCAGAGTAAAGACAACCGCATAATAAATAAAACCTTACATTAATAAAAAGCCAAGAAGTAACAAGAGCTAACGAACTGTACTGGCCATTGAATCGATAGTGATATGCGTAGAAAGCTCCATGATACAAGTAAAAAAATCTGCAAAAGTAATAATTAGTTAAAATTCATTATTTCAAAACTAATACTTTATACATGCATATAAATATATATATAATTCAAAAGGAGAGAGTACTTAATTAATTTATTAATAATAATAAAATCAAACCTCAGCCAATGTCGCTTTGTTGTAGCTGTATGACAGCAGATAGCATCGTATTGATCAGCTAACCAAATAGTCAATATAACATAAAATGCTGTTGTTGTATCATTAAAAAACTCCGACATAATTGCTTCCATACCTGAATAGTACCAAAAAAGAAAATGAAATATTATGTGATATACTTTAAAAATAATTTCAATATGCAAGTATGTACTGTACATAAAGATAGTATGTAAAGAAACAAAGTCACGATTAATGTCATAGAAGACATTTGTTAAGGTGAAATAATAATACAGTATTAGATAAAAATAAACTATAGACCTTCGTTTACTTCGTTTATACGAGTCAAAGAGATGTAAAACAAAAATAGAAATAGCGATCCCTTTTTTTTTTACTTAATAGTAATTATTATCGGCAGTAATTGTAGACTTGATCATTATTTTTCAAGTACGTACGGATTTATATCTACCTTGCCTTTTGTCGAGTGCAAAATTTTTCGAATCGTTGCAAAAACACCTATTATACACCTCTCTATTAATTCTATAATTTCTTCTCTCCCTCGTTTTCGATAATTAATGGTTTAACAATTAATTGATTTATTATTGATCTTTTTTAAATACTAATGTTAATTTTTTTTTTGCTTCATTTAAATTCTTTCCGTTTTTTACTTTACTTCTTACTAGTTTCGATTAAAAAATTATTAAAATGTAAACTTAAATTTAATACACAAACATTATCCAAATTAATAACATAATAAATAAGAAAGTATATATATATTAATATATATATATATATAAGCGAGCGAGACAGGAATAGAATATTAATATATTCTCTTGTCAAGATAAAAAAAATAACCTACTAAAAGAAATCAACACTTGTACTGTTAATATATGCTTATGTAGAAATAAATATGCTATAATACTCCATATTATAAATATAGTATATACATACCAACGAGCGCCAATACGACGGTTAGTAAAGGAGCTGCCGGAAACAAGATTGGAATTGTCCAATTATTCCAATTTTCAAGCATTTGTAGGAGTTCAACTAAAAAAAATTGTATAAATGAGAAATGTTGGATTAAAATTAACCTTGTAGCTTTATTGTTATTACTATTATTTTTTTATTTTTACAGTTCTTCTGATATTTACCTATAAATACGAAAATTTGATGATGGGAAAATCTTAAAAGCATTGAAACCGATAGAGTCTGGAAAAAAAATAAATGGAAGCGTTTGTAATTAATAGTAAATCGTTTGTTTTCCTTTCTAGCTTACAAAAATAAACATGACCAAAATAGCTGCTAAATAAGCAGTTCTAGCCATCCACATAGATACAAATCGAAAGTGTTCACCCGACACGACATTTCTTAGAAATCCTGTAGATAGAGAAGATAAAAGTAATCATTAAATTTAACCGTTCAACATTTAAAGAGAAATTTATAATATACGTTATGAATAATGAATAGGTTTATACATATATATATAAATATTTCACCTTTATTATTTTCCTTCTCCGCTAAGTATTTTATACTAGACATTAAAACATCGTCATATCCCAAAAATTCATCTAAAATAAAGCGAGCAAGTGGATCACCAAAGCAACTGTCCCGTGACGGATCTGAAGTAAACAATAAATAAGAAAAATTAAAGATAAAAATAAATTAAAAGAGAGAAACAGAGAGAGAGAGAGAGAGAGAGGAAATAAGCTAAACACCATCTATTCGATATTTCTTTATGGAAATAAAAACATTTCAACAATCAACGCTTTATCAGCAATTTTTTACTATTTGTTAACTAAGTATGCTATTTTTTTTTCAAATTTCAAGGATAACGATAATTTTTTAGATAAATTTAAAAATATTCTCACAGCTCTGCCGATAAGTATAGCCTGACTGTTACTGTTTACAATTCTCACTTCGACTTTGAATACTAAAAGTTTTCTTTAGTTTGAAGCAGCGTTTGAAAGGTAGATGGCGTATAAGCTCTTAATATTTACCTAATACAACCAGCATCACAGATATATTCAATTTTTGCCTTGTTCCAGGGGAAAGTCGAAGGAAGCCGTATTCAAGAGCGTACTCAAATATATACTTTTCTTCAGGCCAGACTAAAAGTTTTAGATGAAATATGAATAAAATGACTCATTGTTTGTTTTATTGATTATCATACCCATTCGGGATAACTTTTCCATGTCTGAAATAGCCCTTTCAAAAGGCAACCTCTTTCCTTCACTCTCCTCCGAATCTTTAACGTCATATAACATATTCAAAGTGTTGTTTTTAAACTTTGTTTTAATAGGAATTTTTGATTCCAAAAACTCCTCATTATCAATTGACAAATTTGTATAAGGAGCTTCTACAATACTATGGGCGCTTTTCTCTATCTCCTCCTTTTCGTCTAATTGCTTCTTTATATTAACATTTTCATACTCCTTTTCGTATGATTCAATTATTGAATAGTCTGTTCGAACGTTCCTCACTACTTCCACCCGTAGAACACCGCTTTTCGGCCAATCATTTTCAATGTGCCGTAAGCACGTTGTCGGGCCATGATTAAATACAATATGTATATAAACCAGAAGACATAAGCATATTACGGCCTAAAAATAATTAATAATTACTTTAGTTACATAGTCAATGACATTTAGATATTTCGTTTACTTGAACGAGAAAAACAAATTCTATAATACGCCTAACAGAGTGAGGCACTTTTCTGGCATAGGTCAGAGTTAGTCTTCTGAAAAGAGCATGAAATAAACGATCTCTCACTCCTGCCATAGGATGCCGCCTGGTATTCCTCCTTGGTATCTCATCCTGAAGAAGAATAGCTTCGGCAGGCATGTTATTTGGTCTTTGCATAATTCGTACAGACATCTGAAAGATTAGTAATCTTATTAAAATAGATAGACAGGCTGTAAAAACTAAAAGTACCAAAATTTTAAGAAGTTTTGTTCATGTTAAGCCATTGATCTGTAAATTTATTAGAGTAAAATGTACATTAAATTATTTAAAACGTATTAAATCAGGCTTGGCTTGCAGGTCTGGCGATCTTGAGAGATTTATTATGAAATTACACTGACATCTACTTCCGATTCACACTATTTTCGTACGAATTTTTTAAAAATACAAATCCCTTAACTTTTATTGATTGCTGTCTGTAATTAATACATTAATAAAAGATTATAATGTTGTTATTTTTTCTCGCATAGTAAACGATTTTTGTCCAGTTTTCCCTCCATGCGCATGCGCATAGTAGATTGGAGCTATTGATGGTGGTTGTAGAATATAAACCGCCAAGGCTTTATTTCATGTAAATTGAGTGCAATATGATTTTTTCCTGATCGATCTTAATTAAATGTTTAAGAAAAATAAGTAAGAAATTATGGGAAGACTAAAAGTTTTGGAAGTAGTCAATTTTAAAAGCTATAAAGGTCGACAAGTGGTAGGGCCTTTTAAGAATTTTACCGCTATTATCGGCCCCAATGGATCGGGTAAATTTTTCAACAAATTAACTATATTTTAATTTATATTCCAAGAAAAACTTTGCAAATAATCATTATAAATCTTCTGGCCTTGAAATTTTAACGTTTTTTTTGTGATTTAAGGGAAATCGAATCTTATGGATGCTATCAGTTTTGTTCTTGGAGAAAGAGCAAGCAACCTGAGAGTAAAACGTCTTTCGGTTAGTTATTTCTTCTCAAATAATAAACAAAATTGTGTTTACTATAGACTAAAATCTATTAACACCTTTCACTTTCGAATAGAATGTTTGAATAACAGTTTTAAATACTGAAAAAAGTTGTTTCTTGATTCTTTCTATAATTATATTCTTTTTACGTACATTTAGGATTTGATTCATGGTGCTCCAGTCGGAAAACCAGCTAGTAATAAATGTGAAGTTAGCGCTGTTTACGAAGATCCTGACACAGGCGATGAAATTAGATTTTCTAGAAGCGTTATCGGAAATACGTCAGAGTATCGAATAAATGGTCGAGTTGTTAAAGTTGAGGAATATTCAACGGCTTTAGAAAAAATCGGCATTTTAATGAAGAGTAAGAACTTTCTCGTTTATCAAGGACAAGTTGAGAATATAGCGATGAAAAACGCAAAAGAAAGAACCGCAATGTTTGAAGAAATGAGTAGATCATTGGAATTGAAGGAAGATTATGATAAGGCAAAACAAGAAATGCACAGGGCTGAGGAAGAAACTCAGCAAAATTATCACAAAAAGAAAGGAATCGCGCAAGAACGTAAAGAAGCTAGATTAGAAAAAGAAGAGGCTGATAAATATCAAGCTCTAAGAGAGGAACTCAACGTCAAAGAACAACAGCTTCATCTCTTTAAACTCTATCATAATGAACAAGAAATAAATGGAACAGATATAGAGCTAAGGAAAAAACACGAACAAGCAGATAAAGAAAGCAAAAAGAGAGAAAAGGTATAATTTGTCATTTAAAGTCTGCAGTTCCTATTTAATAAATCTAATAATTTGTCTATAGATTGAGAATCAGTTAAAGGATAAAAAGAAGGAAATTGGGGTATTTCAAAGAGATATGGCAAAAATTGATGAACAAATTAAGGAAAAGGCTGCAGAAGAAATGAAAAAGCGACCTGTTTTCATAAAAGCCAAAGAAAAAACGACCCACGTCTATAAGAGATTAGAAAGCACGAAGTATGAAATAAATTAGCTTGTTTAGGTTGATATTAAATATTTCTTTATCAACAGAAAATCTCTCAAATCAACTCAGGATTCTATTAAAAGACGAGATGAAGTTATAAGACAATTAGAAACCCAAGTAAATGAAGTAGAAGAGGAAAAACAAGAATTTGAAGAACGTCTAGAAGAGGAATCTCAGAGAGTGGGAAAAAATTTGCAACTCGAAGAGAGCCAAATGAAAGAATATCATAGGTTGAAGGATGAGGCTGGAAAGAGAGCTACTAAGCTCACACAAGAAATGGATTCTGTCATGAGAGAACAAAAGAGCGATCAAGATCGAATGGATAATGACAAGAGAAGAAAATCTGACTTAGCGCTAAAGTTACAAAATAAGGTACACGAAGAAGAAGAGCTTCGTAAACGAATAGACAGACTCGAAGAAACTATTCGGCAAACTCAAAAAACACTCGACGAACAAAGAACAATGGAACAACAAATGGCCTCTGAAATGGAAAAAGTCAATGAAGAAATGTCTACTATTCAAAGAGATCTTGAAGAAGTCATTGATCAACTCGGTCAAGCAAAAGTTGACAAAAATGAAAGTTCCAGGGCAGCAAAGAAAAAGGAGGTCATTGAGAATTTAACCAGACTCTTCCAGGGAGTTGTAAGTGATAAAAATTAAAAACAGTATGGAGATATTACATGTGTTTTCACCTTTCAGCACGGAAGATTGATTTATCTCTGTGAACCTAGCCATAAGAGGTATCAAATTGCTGTAACCAAAGTTTTGGGGAAAAATATGGACGCTATAGTCTGCGATACAAATAAAGTAGCAAGAGATTGTATTCAATATCTCAAAGAACAGCGTCTCGAGCCTGAAACTTTTCTTCCGCTGGATTCCCTTAAATTTAACGAAATTAATCAAAAACTTCGAGAAATTACTGAGCCTAAAAATGTCAAACTTATATTTGATGTAATTAGATATGAAAAAAGTTATGCTAAAAAGGCTCTATTATATGCTTGTGGAAACGCTTTGGTATGTGAAACAACCGATGATGCCAGAAAAGTAGCCTTTCAGAGGGGAGATCGTCAACAAGCCGTTTCTCTAGACGGTACAATGTTTCAAAAGAATGGAACAATTTCAGGTGGAGCAAGGTATACTTGTTTTGTAATTTAAAATTTTAGAAATCAAAGCGTCACAAAACGTTTTTCAGTGATCTCAAAGCTAAAGCCCGACGATGGGATGAAAAATTAATGAATGAACTAAAGCATAATAAAGATAAGCTTAACGATAAATATCGTGAGTTGACAAAAAAGAAGAGGAAAGAAAGTGACCTTAATGCTCTACGAACACAAATTCGTGGGTCGGAATCCAGATTGAGATATGTTCTCAGTGATCGGGACTCAACGGTTGTATCAAGAAACTTATTCATAATCTTGAATCTAAAATATAATTTTTTAGCAAAATAAATCACTGGCAAACGTCCTCTTAGAAATAGAACGTATCAGGGATGAACTTGATAAGCAAGACGTACGTAGAAACTTTAATTGTTTAGAAACCTAATCAAAAGTTTTTATTTCTCTAGCCCGAGTACAAAATTATCGAGGAACGCATGAAGAAAAGAAACGAACGTATTCAGGGCGTAAAAGAAAAGCGTAATCGAATAGAGGACGAGATTTTTACCGAATTCTGCGAGCAGATTGGAGTTTCAAATATAAGGTAAATTATAAAATTACAAAATTATACACTATAGTGTTATATTCTTAAATAGAGATTACGAAGAAAGAGAATTGGCTGAACAAGAAGAGCGTAGCAGAAAGAGACTCGAATATGAAGATCATTTAACCAAGTTACAAAACGAAATTGATTTTGAAGTTTCAAATAATAATGCTGCTGAAAGTAAAGAACCGTTATATTTTTACTGCTATTTTCAATAAAAACACGTTTGATTTCAGCCCAAGTCGCCAAATTCAAGAAAAATATCAACGAATTAGACAAAGAATTTGAAAAAGTTAAGAAAGATGAAAAGAAACACCTGCGTACCATAGAGGAGTTGCAAGATGAGCAAAATGAGTTAAAAAACAAAAGAATTCAGTTGAAAACCGATATCGATAAAGGGGAGGAAGAAGGTTTAGAACTTAGGAAAAAGGTCCAAAACGCTCTTAAAGATGCTGCACAAACGAATAAAATAATAGCACAGTTAGATAACAAACTGGAGCAAAAGAAATCTGAACGCCATTCGCTGCTACAAGCTTGTAAACTAGAAGACATTGATTTACCTCTTGAAAGTGGCTCGTTACGAACACTTTATGATTCCGAGGATTTCGAATCGTCACAGAGACAATCCCAGCGTATGTACGAACAAGAGAGCGGAATTGTGATCAATTATTCGAAACTGCCAAAGAACTTTAGAGACATAGATTCACCAGAGGGCGTAAAAAAAGCTCTGGAGGCTCTTATTAAAGAAGTAAATGACAAACAAAATCATTTGCAAAGAATAAATGCCCCAAATATGCGAGCTGTAGAGAAATTAGATGGAGTTCGCGAACGCTTGCATGAAACCAACGAGGAATTCGAACAAGCCAGGAGGAAAGCTAAGAAGTCTAAAGCTAACTTTGAACGTTATCGAAAAGAACGATTTGAAAGGTTTATGCGCTGTTTTGAACATGTTTCGAATAAGATTGACGAAATCTACAAGTCATTAGCTAGAAACCAGAGTGCTCAAGCTTTCTTGGGACCCGAAAATGCTGAAGAGCCCTATCTCGAAGGAATAAGCTACAATTGCGTAGCACCAGGGAAACGATTCAGACCAATGGATAATTTATCAGGAGGAGAAAAAACAGTTGCGGCTCTTGCTTTACTATTTGCTATTCACTCTTTCCAACCAGCACCGTTTTTTGTTTTGGACGAGATTGATGCAGCTTTGGACAACACAAACATCTCAAAAGTCGTGGGATATATATGTGAACAAGCGAAATCAAATTTTCAAATGATAGTAATCTCATTGAAAGAAGAATTTTTTTCCCATGCTGATGCGCTGGTTGGAATTTATCCAGATTTAGAAGTTACAGAAGGAATGGTCGGAAGTCAGGTAGTCACCCTAGACTTAAGCAATGTTCCTGATACGCATTTAATGCCAAGCGATGGCGTTGTACAATATTAACTCTTCCTTCAAAACTTATCATTTCTTTCTGTGTTCATTGATTTTCGTTTATCCGATAAATTGTTCAGTTCGCGTATGTTGTAAAAAGACTCTGTGTATAGTTTGTGAAGTTCGTTGACTATTAATGATAGTTAATGATTGGACTTAGGGAGCATCTGGATATTTTTACGTTTTTTACTTAAACAAACCAGTAATTTATTTTATTGACTCATTTTTCGCATTTTCATTATTGACATCTATTACATCAACAAAACACATTTAACAAAGTACAAAAATTTTGTACTTGAATTGATAATATCCGATGATTTGAATGAAAAGATGGTGGAAATGATCCTTAAACATTTGTTTTGTAGACCTTTACTATATTTGTTTTATCGAAGAAATAATTTTTCGAGAGATATTTTGTCTCTATACAATTTATATGTACACAATTTATCAAGGATTTAAATGAGAATCATAAAGTATAATCCTATCGGCAAGTTAATAGGTCAAAATTTTGTTGTGCAGTACATGAACACTCAAAAAAAGGCTGTGTAACAAAAGGAACAAGAGCTAGAGTAATACTGATCAAGAGGGAATGATTAAAGAAGGGAGGAGTAAAGAGTAGGAAGGATGAATGTAATCACAAATTAAAGGTAACTTTCTTTCTCTTCTTTGATCGTTGCCACGGGGAAGACTGAGGGAGGGGAGGCAAGATATTTGCCTGCCCGTATTCTGCAAGCTTATGTAAAGCTCTAATTTGTCTTGCATCTCTTCGAGCATTCTTCAAAATAGACTTTCCACCACATAAAGACGATGTTTCTGATGATGTTTCATTCGCTGACGGAATGAGTGTCAAGTTATTGACGGTTGGTTTAGTAAATGTCATAGCTGGAATTTTAGGTGTCTGAGTATGTTCCTCTGTTTTCTTATTAATCCATGGTCTATCAGGAGTATCATCTACAGGCATTGTACAAGATCTAACAAATGAATTATATCGCGGTTGCAAAGGTACATCGTAGACCATCTTTTGCATCCTCTGTAGTAAATCACCGGCTTTCGTTGGAGGTAAAGAGGAGACAACACTATTAGCAGAGCTTTCTTGGTCCGGAGTGGATGAAGGTGGCGGTGGGGTGGGCTGTCTTTCGATCTTTTGCAATTTTAAGGCGCTAAATTTATTCAATTTTTCTAGAGAAGGCGTTGTCGCCCTTCCACCAATAGAAACCTTATTAAAGAATGTTTCAAACTTATTTCTATGTTTCTCATTAGTCCAATTCTCTCCTACTGGATCGCTAGTTAGAGGATTTGCAGTTGAAACTGCATTAGCAGTTAGGCTCACAGCTCCAAGGCGTCGAAATGTCCTTGGCGACGTTTCGTGAAACCACGAGCCATAGTCACTATTAGAGCTGCGGCGGTCGGTCAGAAGCATGACGACCCCTGTCAACAACTAGCTTGTATATCTTAATAAAAAATACATAATAATAATACTTTAATAAAGAATAAAAAACTTGCTTAAACTCCTAATTCTCTATCCTATTCAACTACCACCTCCTCAAAAAATTTTCTATGGTACACCGTATGAAATTTGTTCTTCTTGAGGGAGTTAAATGAAAAGCACTTCTCAGAAGCTCTTAATTACCAGCGTTGAACACTAACTAACGTCTAAGTGGATTAAAACTTCCCAGTTAACTCTATGACGCATTGATTGATTATTTGACCTAGATAAAAAAAAGTCTCTTTCTTCAATTATATAATAGCCGTACTGCGTGTCATTTGATTTTTTTCAATTATCTTATCCTACATTTTGATTATACTTGATTAATCCGTCTATTCAAACAGGAAATTGATTGTTGAACAATATATTTAAAAAAAATGTTTTTTTTTGAATATATTAGTCAATCTTTAACTCTATTTGTAATACAAAAAAATTAAAAATTCATACTAATCTATCGTTAAGCTATTAAAAATGTTTTTAACAACTTTCCTTCTAGTTTTGTCCAATTATCAAAAGAACGTCAGTAATTAGACAAATCTATAAGGGATTTAATGACTGAATACACTTTCTCAATGTTCTATTCAGAACTTATAATTAATTTATTTAAAATAGGAATTGATACGTTCCCCGAACACTACTCTAAGATTAGTAAATATTTACCATTTAACATATTAAGAATTTAATAATTTGTTTGTTATCGAAAGCTTTTAAAATTACACGTTAATCTGATGGGATGATTATACAATATGTTTTATTAATCTAATGTACTTGATAAGTAATCATTTTTAATATGTTATATATGAAATATCACTATCTTCTAACTTTCTGTCTCTCTCTCTCTCTCTCTCGCCTCTCTCCCGCTCTAATTCTTTCCCACAAAATTTTTAAGGTTAGTCTCGTTCTTAGATAGAAAAAAAGGTATAAACTAAACATTTCTAACGATATATCATAGTTTTCAAAGTGAACTATTGACGCTAATTTTCCTATTTCGAAGTGGATTTAACGATTGAACGCTCCCGTGTTCGCGTCTTATTGATCTATATTCCGTCTGGAATAGTTGTTAATTCTTAATTCTCAAAAGAGCGTTAGTCTATAACGTCATTATTTTAAAAATTACAGTTTTTAAGCCATTTTAATAGCTTAACTAGATAGAATAAACCTATATTTCTATATACATTATATATATATTTATATTTATATAACTAATATATTATATTTACATAAAAGAAAAATCTTTAAATAAAGATTTTCCATTGGTCTTTTTAAAGGAAATGCAAAGCACGTAGTAATGCTCAATAGACTGGAAATAGTGACGATACTCTTATGCAAACTTACCTACTTCGTTGGCGATTGTTCAATATTTAATTATTTGCTTCTACCAAACGTTTAACCGTTTAAGCCAGACCATGAAGACGGCAACCTGCCGCTCTAATTACCAGGACGACGGCCGACTTCTAACAAGGCTCCCCGTTCAGTCCGTATATGAATACTCATTCAAGTTAGACTGGATCGTTAACAAAGCAAATAGGCTAATATAATAGAAATGATTTTCACAAGACACTACATTTATAAATGAATTTATTATTATTGACAAGAAGAAGATATGAATACTCTTTTGTTTGTATGTTTGCATTCTTTATTTATTCAGGGTAATCTCTTGTTGTCTTCCCTTTGAAAACAACTCGAGCAGGAATTCGAACGCCAGCTTCTTCAACGTCTAAACCATCGACGAAACGAACAAGAGGCGTTAAATTCAGATTCGCGAAATCGATGAACGACGTAAAGTTTACGGGTTGCTTCGGTGACGAACCACTGCTTCTAAACGGGATCAAGGTCCGTCCAACATCGAGGTAGACATTTTGTCTCAGTTTAAAATCTCTTTTCTTCAAAACTCAAACCGCTTTTCTTTTGTTTTGAAAAAGAATTGAAATAAAATCGTGTAGGCCTACAATAAATCCTATTGCAAAGTGTTATTAAGAAAAATAAGAGAATGATAATCAGGGTGAAAGTCAATCTCTTTCTCATTTTTTTTTTGAAATTTTAAATATTTCATGTGAAAGGACAAACAGCGCCATCTACCGATTAAAAAATATTGCAACACCTAATATTTGTAATAGGGATTGTGATATAAAGAGTTACAAATACTGTATGAATTCCCCTTCATCGTTCTTTCAAATATGATAATTATAAGCTGACGTCGACATAGACATACATATTAGTTGATATAATTAAAATGTACAATTGTAAAGAAGACTCTTCATCGGGTTGTCGTATTAAACTGCATAAAATAAGCGGCAGTTGGAGGATTCGTATAAACGTGCTTGTCAAGATATTCTTTGTGAGCATTTTGCTCCATGCCGAGTCTACGATTTTCATCAGACACTTGTTTTCTAATATCTTCCTCTCTCCTTCCCTTTTCTCTCTCCAACAATTCTCCAGCTCTTGCTTGACCCGATCTAAGATTATCCCACTCTTGATCTCTTCTACGTTCTTCGTCTTCACGTCTTTTCTTGTCTGCCATTTGTTTGGCCTGTTCTCTTCTTATGTCAGCTATTTGTTCGGGAGACATACCCTTCCAGCGGTCAGGTACTACTCTATGCGCTCCAAAGGCCGACTGGGCAACAGCAGGATTTTCGGTCAGAATGTCACCCATGATTTGATTGGCTATTTCTGTCGCTTTGTCATCTTCATCTTGCTTTTGTTTTAGAGCATCTCTGGCTGCTTTCTCGTTAGCCAAAGCTTTATTGTAATCAGCAGTTGCCGAATTTATAGCTCTTCTGCAAGCTTCTTCAGCTTGTTGTAATTCAACAGCTCTATTATCTAACTCTCTCATCTTTAGATCATTAAGATAGTCAGCTCTCTTCTGGTTCTTTTCGGCTTGTTCTCTAGCTCTCGCCTGTTCGGCGTTCCAGTGTCGCATTTGCTCCTGTTGGAATCCTTTTCTGGCCTTACTGTTGAGATCTTCTCCCTCAAACTTTTGAAGGGAAGAGCTTCCGCAGCGAGGATCATCATCGTTTACTCTTGCAGGTTTATCTTTTCTAAGTCCATCTGGATCATAAAGATCCCATTCCCTACGTGAATTAGGTTGTTGATGAAGACTTCTAAATTCGTTCAACGCTTTAGATAGTTCTCTCTGATCATGTTCTTGTCTTTGTTGAAGCAAGCAAGCGATCTTGTCATTCCTTGTGGCATCGGCAGCGAAAGCCTCCTCTCTTCTCTTTTCCATTGTAGTCATTTGCTGTCTATCCCGAATTTGATAATCTAAAGCCTGGGTGTCAATACCTATAAGACGAGTTTTGGCATTAAAAATTCGGCTCTTCCTCTCCTCTTCTTGAGCCCTTCGACGCTCTATGGCAGCCGCCTCTTTTCGATCAAGTGGTAAATCCAATTTATACATTATTATCCTGGATTCCTCTATTTACTTTTAAAATAATCTTTATTCAAAAATTAAAATCCTTTTCTTGTTTTAATCGACACGTTCCAAGTCGGGATAAGATTGTTTAGTTTTACGCCGTATATGTTTGGATTAGTCGCTAAGGAAACTATAGGCCGAATAGCGCTTATTTCAAAGCCTGATTATGATTGGATACTCTATGGCCATTCACTAAATTAGTTACAAAAATGGCGGGAGAATAGATTAATATTCTTATGTTATGTTTGAGTGCTAGTTGTGTTACTTGATGTTGTGGGTTTAATATCAATAAGCTGTGATATATATCTTAAAATATATAATAATATACATTTGTATAGATAAATATTTTATACTTTTTTACATTTACATAAAAAACAATGAAAATAAATATTTTTCAAGACGATCCTAAATATAATTCATTCATGAAGTTATCAACAAAGTCTTTCATTTTATCATAATTCAAAAATTCTGCTGCTGATATAGCATTTGCTATTGCTATGGTTTCCCTAGCTGATCTTGATTTTATCCATACTCTACCATTCATTGCTGCTATTACTTCCATTGCTGTCTCCTTGCCAATATACTTAAGTAACGGACAATCGGGATGTCTTAATTTATGAGCTAAATGTAGAGGCACTTGGAACATAAAGCCTCCATCTGGAAGGCATCCTTTTCCTTTACTTTTACCATCCCGATCAACACAGGTCAATTCACATTCAGCATGTTTATCAGCTATAGACAATTTAGCATAGACTAAATCTCCATTTTTCACATCAGGACGATTTCTTTTTGTTGCTCCTTCAAAGTTTAAGTAGGATAAAGAGGCCTGCTCGCTAGATCCTATATCGACCTTAAAGAGTTCCCCTTTAGCATTTGTAACAACGCCAATTACATCTTCATCTTTTGATGGGACGTACTAAAATTTGATTTATAAAGTGAGAAATGAAATGTGCAAGTAAATTCGAAAATATTACTCTTTTTTGATGACTTTCAATCCAATAAATATTAGGTTCGCGATACTTAAAAATTCCTGGCCTTACTGCTATAACTTCTTCCCCATCCCTTTGTAAACCAGGTCCTAATAGTACTTTGCCTTTAGACTGAACAAAATTGTCTATTTTATCGCCGGGAAGAACAATATCTCCAATATCGCACATGGTTTTCACCTAAGTAGATAAAGTATTCTAATACTAGTACCAGTTTTTATTAAACAAATATAGCAGACGACGAAAAAATATATAACTAGGAAAACATTTGATTTATTGGTGAGAAAGGTCTATAATTTTAATTAGTGACGATTAATGTAATACCGAACATATGGCTACAAAAACGTTACTCGAATTGAGTTCTGGTGAGGAATAAATTGAGAATTTAGATCGTAGTCAGATTATTTATCTATACCCTATATCTTAGAACATTCAGGAGCTTCATCTAAATTTCCTATAGCCTGTCCAGAACACATTGTATGTTCCTCAAAGGATAAGTTACATTTTAAGAGCAGTTATGTGATTCATATAAAATAATTGATTACATAACTTTAAAATAGATATTTTGTTTGGACGTGTGTCAGGAAATGGATCGTGAAACTTTTACAGTAAGATCTGGGTTAGTTAAAAATAATAAATCATGTATTAAAATATTTTTTTAATTAAAAAGTTATTTGTAAAAACAGAAGCACATTCTCTCCTTTGAATTTAGTCCGAAAAGCGATTGCAATATTTATGGAACAAAAATCTTCATGCAATAAGAATCATAAATATTCCCTTGTCTTGGTTCACGATGAGTGTAGCTGGGTAAAAAATCAGATTTCTGCCTCTATTTATAAATTAATTATTAATAAATAGTATTCTATATTTTAATAATTTCTAGATGGTACCTTTTACAACACAACATAAAGACATCCTAAATGCTATAGACGAAATACCAGAGTCGAAAGCACATTTTGGGCATTTCACTTTCGATTGCTTATTTAAACTTTTGTAGGTTTAATTTAAAAGAAACTAAAAAATTATCTCATTTCTTAATCACTTTGCAGTAAAAAGCATGTTATTCTTCCGCAATCTCCAGATTCTACCGTTTATCGTGCTATCTTCATATACGGTCGATCGAATTGCATGCTAAGATCGCTATGCGATAGCCCTGAAAGAAAAGAATTTTTGGAATCTGCAAATTTTTATATCGATGCCATTTATATACATAATAAATTGGTTGAAAATGCCGAAAATAACAAATGCGAAGAGATTTATCGAGAATTATGCGATCTTGATAAGGAAGGAAAATACTATATCTTTGAAGTCAGCGGAAATACAACAAAATTCTTTACTATTTTTGCTAAATTAATTGCACATCCAAGGCAAAGGGCACAGGAAGTTTGTATATTTACTTTAAAATATCATACAATTTTAGTTAATTAAATATTTCTCTGCTTTTCATTTCCATCATCAGTCAATCGCCTTCAAAAAGTCAATTTTAGATATAACTTTGGATGAAGAAGTTTAAATTCGAATAAGAAGAAACAGAAACATCGCCAATTCTAATCTGGATTTTAGTTATACCTTATATAAAGAAACAAAAGTTTTATATTTTAATATTATAAATTTATTAATTAAATTTTATAGAATGGAAAAAAATAGTTTACATAGATATGAATGAAAATGATAGAATTTTAGCTTTTTTCACCAATCCTAGTGAAACTTTACATGAACATTTGAGACGATTGGAAAAACGCTTGTTAAACAGATCGTTGTTTGGACATAAACTATTACCATCCAGAGTAGTCGAAATCGTCCGTAGTAAAAACTTTAAAATATGCAAGTATTGTGAGGAATATAACAACATTACCACTAGACACCAAAGCGGCCGCTCCTGCTTTTATCTGATTTTTTTAAATGCTTTAGATAATGAAATGCAAACTTGGGTCGAACTTACCACATGGTTCTTAGCTAATACGATAGGTAAACCAAACGCAGATATGACGATTCCAGTTGTGAGGAAGTAGCATGTTTCTAATAAAGCATTGCTTGATTCTAAAACATCAGTGTATCGTCTTGCAATAAGAAGAGGTACAGGACTTAAGAGATAAAATATCAGAGAAAACATAGGCCACCATGTTCTAAAAAATATTCACGGTAAGAAAGTGGTTTAGCGAAGAATGGTAATATTGCTGTGTTGTCAGCTGTTTATTTTACCTGTAGGGAGGGAGAGCACAACCTAAAACGAGTAAAGTGATTCCCAGAGCAGCAGCAAAAGCTAATCCAACTAATCTATAATTAACATAACAATCTAAATTATGATCAAATTAGTTTCAATCAAGACTTTATCACTTACGCTGCAGTATTAGCCATTATTTAGTTACACGATTCAGTCGGATGAGGACGATTTCATGAAGAATAAAACAGAGCTTTAGTTACACGATTTTAGGTTAAAAATGTTGGCCAGTTGATTGTGAATCATAATACAACTTAAATAGATTGTATAAATCAATATAGATTAGGCTGATAAAAAAAACGTTGAAATTTTTTCGCGCGGTTCCTTTAAACTGATCACAGATTTGTGAACCTTTGGACTATTCACATCCTTGTTAATATTTTTTATCGTAGCTATGTAGATATTATTAAATATAATCGTAAAATTTTTAAAGAAAATTCACAAAAGCCAACGAGAGTCTTAATATTATAAGATAATCACCTTTTATACCAGCCATGTTAATGTATTCAGTGACGTCATGTGCGTTAAATTTCAATGTAACACTCTCTCAATGTTTAAAATTATAAAAAATAACAATATACTCTATTATAAGGACTAAACAACTATCTAAAAAAGATTATTGTTTTCTAAAAGTTTTATTCTATTTAACTAAGCTTAAAGTTTATTTAAAAAAAAGAATAGAACTTTTTTATTGAACAGCTCTAGAGATTTTCAAAAAAAAAAGGAAATCAGTGAATTGTTATCTACTAGAGTAAATTAACTTTAACTTTCGTTTTTCTTTACACAATGTATTATATAATTTATACAAATATACAAATGAAGGTAATCAAAGAATCGTCAATAAACAAGAGTCTTTCAGTATTACTTACTCTTTTGCCCCCTCCCCTTTAAATGCTAAAACGGAATCTTAGTAATGTTAACGATGTTTTTCTTTAATTCTCTCTATAAATACTATTTATAATTTCCTTAAGAATAAACACTTAGGGAATCTTAAATAGGGATATTCATGTATTATGATAAAGTTTACTATGCATTCCACAGCTGCAAAATGTTTTGATTAGAATACTAATAGAATTGATTGTAAATAAATTAACACAGAGTTCATTTGTATAGTTTCATTCTGAATTCAAGTTGTACCTGAAAAATTGAAAATTAATTGATTTCCTTTCATGTATGAAATAGTTTACGATTTTTTAAATAGCGGAAAAGCACGCTAATCGATAAACTGTGATTTTGGACAAGGCGCCAGAGAAAGAGAGCAAGAGGGACCAGTTTTTTTGTGAGCGCCATCTGTAAAATAGAACCGGAAGTTCCGCAATTACTCCTGTCAATTTCTCTAGAAAAAATGAGATCTTGTAGTCGTATTCGGATCTTTCAAGATATAGGTTGACGAATCCAGTTGCAATGGATAGGTTACAATGTTCACCTAGTTCGAGTACAGACTCGATAAGTTCTGAAGAAGAAGAAAAGCTTAGAAGGCTTTTCGAAGCTTGCGATCGCGATGGAGATGGATATATAGACATGTAAGCCTAAGTTGTTTTGATTTTTCACTTTGTTTACAACTTGTAAAGTTTCATAAATATAGCATATATACTTTAAGAAAATATATTCTATGTGTGAGTCAGTATGAGAAAGTCTAATTGAATAAATGTCAAGAATGATTTAGATTCGACATAAAATTTGTACCCTTCTTTCTTTTGGAGAGAATGTTTTCTATTGTTAAATTGACTGTAAATTACATTAAGCAAATGTTCTGTTCTCTTTTCTAAAGACTTTTTATTTTATTTGCAAATTTAATCATTGAATGGATAAGTTACGTATGTAGAAAGGAAAGGGTTGGCGTTAGAGGGCTGTGAGCATTTTATATTTGTTGACTGGACTATCCATTGGTTTAACAATTTGCCTATATGTGCGCAAGAACGTGAGCATTGAATTTGCACTTGTAAGATATTTAAGGTGTATTGAAAGATAAAAATTTAGTCATTAATGATCTGTTATTTTATATTTACATCCTCAATGATTCATCCTGTGAAATGTAATTATTTGTTCCATCGCCTAAAGCAAACTTTGAATTCATTCTACCAAAAGTCTCTTAAGAGTCTTTTGCGTTTTTTTTATGGTTAATTTTCATATAAATTTTACGACGCTGTTTTTTCACTTGACCTAATTCTGAAACTTTTAACTTTTTTTATTTTCATAATGAGTTTTTAAGGGCAGAGTTTGCAATAAAATAAAAGAAAAATAGAGACAATAATTGATGAAAGATGCTATAATGTTGCCCAGAAGGAGGGAAATAACTTATTTGAATGGTTAAGATTGATGCCCTTATTGACTCTACGCTATTTATTCAACAAACAATACCGCAAACAGTACAAACAATGAACGTTTTGCAGGGAAGATCTGAAAGAAATGTGCCATCAATTACACTTGGAAGACTCCGTCGAGGAGATCATCGTCCATTTCAACCATCAAGGCCTGTACAATCGTATTTCCTATGAACAATTTGCCAGATGTGGAATGCAGGTTTGCTGATTTATATTTCTCATTATTTATAGCCGTATTTTCCCTTTAAGCGTCACCCGCCCAGAAAATTTTCACGAGCACAATCGTAACGACGCTTAACGTGGCGAAAACGGCACCTGGAACGTTTTCCAAATAATTGATAGGTAGACTGTGGGAGGGACTGAGGCACAAATCAGCTTAATTCTTACCTAAGCACCTGCTTCTTTGTTGTAGTTTGTCAACGGTTGTAAAAGAAGCTCCATCTGTTGTCCGTCTTACAGCACCATCTATAGGACTAGTTAGCTTATTACATTTGCTCTTAGATTGAGTCTGGCAGACTTTATTCACAGGAGACAGATTAGGAGCATTCGAAGTATCCTCAGTTCGCAAAGGCAGATGTAGAGTATCAAATGACCTACTGTATAATATCTCCAATCGGCCGTTAAATTCACTTGCAATATCCTGTTCCGTTTTATCGACCTTTCTATTTCTTGAGGTTAATTGTCTCTCTTTCCTAATCCGATTTAAAGCATTCGTTTCCAACCGATCGCAGCTAATTGATCGGAATAATGGACACGGTTCATTCCTAAAGGAAGTTAAATGGGGCTGGCCGAGTAGTCCTCTATTTATTTTACTTTATAGATACCGTCCATTTCAATTTTATTCTTTCTCACTATTTCTTTGACATCTCTTTTATCTACTTTCGAGTGTTTGGTATACAAATATATTCAACTAAAACGTACATTCTATGTTTGTATATATAATTTATTCCAATTTCTACCCTTTTTTACGGACGTCTTGTTAGAATAAAAAAATAATACAAAAGAAATGCAGATCTTTGATGGTGCAATGGCATGAACAATTCCTTTAGCTGATTTCTTTTTCATACAAACGATCATTTCCCGTTCCTTTTTTCCTTGTTAAATGCGCATTAGTTAGTCAGTACAAAGTTAATTTCGCCTTTAGGATTTTTAATAAGTATCGTTGAATAAGGCCGATTATTAGCTTTAGAAAAAAACTATTTGGTCTTTGTTTTTTTTTTAAAAAGGAAAGTATTGAAAACCAGTAGAATATCATAAAAGAGACAACTAAATCGAGGAGATTTTTAAGTACAAATTCCTGGCGTTTAAAAGAATATTACTACAAAAATAGATTGCTTCCAATCATTATTGGCTGTTGAAAAACTAGAAAACACCGGAAAATTAACAAGCTTCAATTCTTATTGTTCTGCCTATTGATTTTTCCATGATTAGGTTTTCTTGGAACGATAAGAAGATAATTTAAAAAAAAAGCTTTAGCCTATCAGTGAAAGAAAATAATAATTTGATTTCTTAAAATTTATCTGTAAAATTAATATTCTTATTATAGTGAAAATAATAATTAAAAGAGAATTCCAACTAATTTAAATTCAACTCGGCTACCCCCATACTCAACTGTTTCAATTAATGAATCGTCCAAATCAATTAACTTCAGTTGTTCCCAAATGTTTACTCCTTTGTCGTCATTTTGAGAATTTTCAGACAGATAATTAAACTTTTCCTGTTGTATGAGGTCTTTATCATCTTCTATAGTTTGCTTTATAAAACTGGGTAATTGTACATCTAACATTGGTTCCTGAGTCCTGCGTCTTTCCTCTACCATCTTAGAAATTTCCCAACGAACTGCTTCTTCTATTGAGTCAGTTAGATGGATGGGCGAGTCACCTATTTGACTTGGTTCGCTAAAGCCCGTGTCAGATGAGAGACTTTTTGTTACAAAACTATCTCGAGTTATTATATCTTCTTTTTTCGAGTCCTTATCACGTTTTTTCTTTCGTCTAACTCTTCTTGAGCTTACAGTATCCGAATTTATTATAAATTCACAAGATCCAATTTCAACATTTTTAAACTTTCTCCGTTTAGGCATTGCTGAGTGAGAGTGAAATGCCCATAGAGTGTTCTACCATCGACTCATAATCCTGATTGGCTCTCAGCTCTCTGCTGAGCGTTTTTTTTCACTCCCTCGTTCTTCCCATTCCCCCCTCTACATGTTTCATTATATTTTTCAATTTTATATCATTTGGGAGTCATATCAAGTTACCGAGACATCTCTGAGCATGTGTTAGACACATGTTATTATTATATCCCTCATTTTGTTTATTTTTCAGTTCAAATAATCCTTTTGTCATGATTGCAATTGATTTCGTAATGAAAACTTATTCTTCCCCACAGCTAAAGCCTGAAATTGAATTGCAAGAATGTAGACCGCCCCCTCTCCCTCCAAGGCGGACAGTCACATTCTCAAATGGTACGTATCAAGAGCACATGTCCAATTATTCTTTCCAAATATATAATGAATTATCAAATCGGATAAATATGCAGTGTATAAATAACTTAAAAGGGTTAAAGCAGGATAACTTGCTATTCCTATATCTTTTATTATAGAATAGACCACATCTAATCGACCTTATACGGTTTGCCCTTGGGAAATCGTACAGAGTTTATCTCCCTTCGGAACTTTTGTCACATTAATTATTTGACATAACTGCATGGTTATTACAACAGAAGAATTTTCTGAAATCCCCTCTTTACTTTTTAATTGTTGAAATTTTCGAAATTCTCTTGTCTATTTCTTTTTATAATATATTCACCAGATCTTTAATTAACAAAGATGTTAGGAAGCTATTACGTTATCTTTTTATACCTAAAATTAAATCATTAGTTGAAAGAAAGTACAAAGTAATTAACGTTTCTCACGATTTACACTAGAGCAAATAGTATTCGACATTTAACTGTGCAATTTTCTTGATGTCATCAAAGAAAGTGTTTTCTTTTTTCAGTATATCTTTGATGTTTTTACTATAACATTTTGCTTTCAAACTAACTTATTTGTTTTTCACAGTTATTGTACTTTTCTTTTTGTGTTTTAGTGAATCAATATATAGACGAAGCTGCGTTGGCGCAAAACAGTTTATATTCAATGTTGGAAAAATCAGATCCGGCTGTTCTGAAACATATCACGCAACGGGTAGAATGCTCTAAAACCTTACAATTATGCAATTCGGTAAGTAAGATTGGCTTAGATCGAGAAAAGTAAATATCGCTTATGGGAAATCTTATCTTTTTTCACCAGCTCCATCTTGCGTCTCTGCAATCTTTAATTGCCGAAAAAGTTGCTGTTAAACAAGAAATATCGGTGTTAGAAAATGACAGGAGTCGCTACGAAGAACGAGTGACCGAACTACAGTCTGTTATAGCTGAATTACGGAAGAAGATTACTACGTCCTCCAAACATATTGATGTTATTAGGTAGTCATTAGTTTCTTTATTTTGTATCCTTTATATACAGGAGAATAATTTGTATAAGATTCATGGTACAGTAGGCTGTCTCAAATCGAATTAGAACTAGAAAAATACCCATATAAAACGAGAGATTAAAAGGCCAGTTACAAATGAAAAATATTTTACGAGGCGTCGTTTTTTGACCTTGCCTTGTTTACTTTTACTTTTATTGCCCCTCCTCTCCCCCCTACTTTTATTCACACGGAGGTAGACTACTGTTAGCACAAGAAGATACTTAAAGACGCCTCAATAGATTTAGTAAAAGTGAATATTGTATATAGTTTTTGATAGGGAAGAATATTCTATCTTATATCCTTTTTTTATAGTCTAATACCATATCGATTGTTTGTCTAACAGGGAAGAGGAAGAAGAAGAAAACGATAGTGTTGAAGTAGAGCAACGTAAGTAATTAAGTAAAATGCACTTCGTAATAAGAAACTTACAATTAATTAATTATTGGTCGATGTATATCGTGTATAGTCCTTGTAAGAGTCGCTAAGATTCGATTAACAGGCGTAGCTAATACTATTTTTCACCTAATGAATAATAGGTCTGTTTACTTGGACAATGTTGACTTTATCAATTATATGAGAAATTGATCGATTTTTTTATTTTATTTTGTAGCTAACACAAATTTGGGAGCCTCAGCTCAAGTTGAAAAAGACAATATGAATAATTTACATATAAAGGTGGGATGCTTTTTATTTCTACATCTCCTATTCTATTTAAATGTACATTTAATTGAGAAGAGGGGATTCTGACAGCAATTTTAGAGATTTTAATATTTTTTAGCTAATCCATTTAACGGGTTTCGTAATCCTCTCTTGTTAATAAATCGTTCATATTTGCAATTCATATAAAATATATTTATATGTTTTATATGTATTTACACATTACACTATATCTATATATATACGTATATAGATATAGATATGAGATGTATGCATGTTAAAATAAACATAGGCTGATATGGCTATTTATCTTTATCGGAAAAATTAGCATAAACGACGGTGCATTTACGTAAGTAAAATAAAGAATTATTTGATAAGTATTTCATCCTTATCAATCTATTATCTTTCCTTCTCTTAATATATTAGTTCACAAAGCAAATTGATTTCATGTTTACAAAAAATAAAAGAGCGCTGAGAGCACGCCGAAAATCTGATTAAGATATTTTAACAATAATTTTTACAGTTTCTTTATGCTGATTTGCTTTACATCAGCAAATAATCTAGAAGACTATCAAAGGCATAATCTGTATGTACAAAGAATAAAGTACTAGACCATAGAGAATTTAAAAATAGAAGGAATAAATAATGAAACTTGGAAATTAGTCTGTTTTTTCTCTCATTTTTGATATTTAGTTTACGTATTATACGTGATTAATCCATTTATAAATAGACTACAGAGGTCCTTATTTTTCAAGTTTTAGACCCCCACCTTTTCACACCACATTACTTTATTATAATTTTGAAATCGAATACAAGCGACAGCTACCGATTTTTTTTCTCTTATTTTATTATTAATACCACTTCGGCCTGCTCTTTCGCTTCGGCCCCTTTATTATTACTATATTTTTTTTTCATAACGGATTGCATTGTTGTAGCTGTTACGTAATACGTTTAACAAGCCTGTGGTTTTTCCTTTCTTATATTATAAATTCTTCGTTGTTGTTGTTCCACGGTCAATTGCAAATATTTTTTTTCCGTCAACGGTTTTATTGTTCCAACAAAATGACATTTTTTGTGTTATCTAAGGTATTTACTAATGTGTTTTACTCTTGCTTCATCATTATGATGAAGATTTCCTTCAGAATTCAGCGTCTCTGGACATAGTTCTCTTTAATGCTTAGAATACTAGTTGTTCTGAATTATTTAGCTTATTAAAATTTGAAAAAGATTTCGGCAGCTTTAGAGAATAAACAGAGAACGCTAAATTCGTTTGCTTGACATTTTTCAAAAGAAGTAGACTAATTAAAAAAATTAATGTATTTTTCCATTACAGTATTCGACGGAACCTCATCAATCTCTGCCTAACTTGCATTATTCCTTATCGGGTGAAGATGACGTAAGAGAATTGAAATCTCAACTGCATCTCATCAGAATAGAGCGCGATGAACTCAAAAAAAGGATTGACGGTTCAAATACTTCATCATCGAATCATTATGAGAGCATTGACCAATTAGATACTATTCAAAATTCCAAATCCTGCTCAAGTCCTGTAAAAATAGCAGAAAAGAAAAAATTAAAGACCGTTTTTGATAGGACATCTCTTTTGGGTTCGGATTTGACAAGTTGCAACTCCGGATTAGAGAGTGCATGTATAGCGGAACAACTAGTTCACGATTGGAGAGAAAGCTCAAAAATTCAAGAAATGATTCAAGGTATTGGTGCCGGTAATTTACCTGATAGAGTGGTCAAAGAGTTTGAAATAGAAGTTGAGAGATTGAACTCTAAAGTTGAACATATTAAAGCTCAAAACGACGTTCTTTCTCTCTCGCTTTCAGAAAGTAAGGCTCATAGTGATCGACTATCTCAATTGCTTGCCAAATACGAATCTAATCAGGTAAGTGGAAGTTTAATAGTAGGGTAATATAACACGAAACTAACTTCTCATATTCTACCTCAGACTGCTCTGCAAATTGCATTATCGAATGCTGAACAGGCGATCGAATGCTTTGAAGTTCTACTTGCTTTTGCTACAGCTGATAGACAGCTACTATCGCCTAACTGCAGAGTCAGCGATTCGGAAAAGTCGCTAAATTCAAGAAGAGACGCTGAGAGGAGAGCTAAACGATTGCTGAACAATCGTCATAGACAAAGAACAACTCAGTCAGCACCCTGGGAATCGATATCTACGAACTCATCGACAACAACTAACACGTCGAGCGGGGCTGAAACTGATGAAGAATCAAAGTTAAAAGATATGATAGCCGACCTTAAACTAGAAAGGTCCGCAGTGAAGTCGACAGTTGTTGACTTGGAGAGCGTTCACAACGTCGATCCCCCGCCCACTCAGAACCTCTCAACGCAGCGTCTTGATTTAGAAAATGCAGTACTCGTTCAGGAATTATTAGCTGTCAAGGAAGAGCGAGCTGAATTAAGGTCCCAAATACACAATCTACACAAAGAAAAAACAGCTCTTCAAGTCCAATTATATGGCAAAAATGAACTTGACAATACTAATGTTGAACAGCTGCAGAAGGAAATGACAAATGGTACATTGAATAGTACTTTAACGTTGGCCGATTTACCCCCCGACGTCGACGAGGTTTTCAAAAGGGAAAAGAAACTTAAAAATAGAGTTCATGAATTAGTAAGTACTTTAGAGCGAATGTCGAAGAACGCTGAAGCTCGGCACCAGCAGTCGACTGATTTAGTAAATGAATTGAAAAATGCCAATAGGTACGAATTATTTTGTTAGTGCCCCAAGATTTCAGACTATTTTTAAATCTAATTTTTTTTCTCCAGCGCCCTTATCACTGCTTTTGAAAAGGCTAAGAAAAAATATCAGGCTAAAATTAAGAAATTAGAGACCAAAGTACAAACAGTAACAGGTTTATGCGAGGCTCAGGTATTTTACGAGAGAACTTTCTTTTAATAATAAATATATAATCTATTATATCAATTTTAGGTTAAATCTCTGAAGCAGAGGATTGCTCAATTAGAACACTCTGTAAACGGCGGCGTATTACCCCCAACAAGCCAATCACCACAGCCAGCACCAAGCGAAACATCTTTATGAATTAAATGAAAATTTCGACTGCTATTCATAATCCCTACCCTTCCTGCTCTTGTTAAACTTTTAATTTTCTCAGCTGCTGCGAGAGAGAGTTGATAATCTAGTCGCTTTCACTTTTAGAACAGAAATTATCATCTCTATAAAAAGAAAAAAAATTGGCCGTTTTTTTTCCTTTTCTACACAAAATAGTTTTATCTCAAGAAAAAAAATCATCTTCCGCCCATTATTCTTTTTCCCATTTGTAGGGGGAGTGCTTGTGCCAATAGCTATGGAAAAAAGAGGACAGATTCGGCTTGCCCTTAGCATTTAGAGAATTTTTTGTTTTTGTCTGGTAGCTATCTATATGACAATGCTTTATAAAGGTCACTCTAAAGTAAAATATTTGAAAAATATACTGTATATGCTGCCTCGTTTCTGCATATTGGTGCTAAAATACTGGGAAAATACAGTGTTTTATTACAATAATCGATGTTCGAAATCTATTAAGTTTATAAATGCTCTTTCTTTGCCACATTATTATTCTAGGAACGAAGTAACTGCTAATTGAAGTCTCGTCCTCAAAATTGGATAAACAGCCTACACGATTGTTGCCAAATAAAAAATATCAGTAGATTAATCGATCAACATGTAAATTAGGATAATCTCAAGGAATCTTTTAGGGAATTCCTAAAGCATCTGGGTAGATAATATTTCTTTCGGGAAGAGAGATTGGTCTCTAGGCCTAGGATGGATAAGTTTATCGAGTTCCTTTTCCTATTATATAGAAGCACAAAAACTCTCTTCTAATTAAATTAAATGAACTTTAGCCTGAATGAAATCGCCTTATAGTACTTTCTTACTACCTGATGATCAAAAGACTAAAATAGTGTGTCAACTAATCGTCTACTTCAACTGGCTCACGCCATCTAACGCGTATTCTCTTCCATTTAGAAAGAAGGCGTTGCAATAGCTCTTTTTATTGGGGGAAAAAAATTGAACTGAATAGAGAAAAAAGGGAATAGTTAGAAGGAGTATATTATTGATAATATTTGTTTGAAACCATGTATTACGATTCTTTATTTAAATAATTAATAATGGAAATTAAAGAAATGAAGTGTTATGTTTCACAAAAAAAACTTGTAATAAATTATCCCCTGAATAAGGTCAACTCATACATTTATTTCTCTACTAATAGAAATCGAATATGTTATAGATTGTTCTTTAATAATTCAAGAAGAAATTGAACTGTAGAATATACCACATAAATAGTCATTCTGTTATTAGTAAATCATGCAAACATTTACAAACAGGACGTATCCGGAGAAACTTCCACCTACTTTTTCAAGGAAACGGCTTAGTTGATGGTGGAAGGAAGGCGGAAGGAGAGAAAAAGGAAAATAAAAATCCATCGTAGGGTAATACAAACATCTTAGCCCTTAGGATAATTTTAATTTTTGTTTTTTAAGAAAAAAAACACTTATTGAATATTTATATGTTAAAATTAATAGATAAGCGATCTATATAATCACATGTTTATTGGATTGTTCGTTAAGAAGGAAAATGAAGTATGACGTCACTAAAACAATAAAGATGACATATATTGAACATGAATATAATTTATAAAGTAATTTAAAGAGACAAAAGCAGGAATAGAATTTAAAATATCAAAGCATTCATTCGAAAATCTGTGATATTAGCGTTATTATAAAGAGATGAGCCTTATCGTCTCCTCTTTTTAGGAGAATTTAATAAAACGTCAAAAAGCCTACAATGATTATTTTCTTTTTAATTCGATAGACGCAGTATTGTTGTTTTTTTTCCTTGAATATTCATTTTAATTGAACGTTCTAAAAACATGCTATCGATCGCTTTGTCAACTTTCACGCTTAGTCGAAGTCCCGACCGTGGTACGTTTAAAAGAAGAGGAGAACTGTACGAATAATATCATGTGGGATCTTTTGGAAGAATCTGATTATAACGAGGATATGAAAAGAAAATTAAAAAAGCTATCTCCTAAACTAAGGGTTTGTTTAATAAGGGATAAAGAGAGAGAGAGAGAGAGAGAGAGAGAGAGAGAGAAAGAAAGATTTCTGTGTGAAATAAATACACTAATATTCAATCATATATATTAGTATACGAATATACTGATACATAATTAAATTCTTAATAACCTTCCACGTTAATGTCATTGTCCTGTATCCTAAATTGTGGATTATACTGATTAACTCAACCTAAGAATGACTCCTTACTTAACATTTTTATAAAAGAAGTTCGTTATCCCTTTTGTAAAGCATCTGTCGATAGTTTGAATAATTAATAAGATACATATACTCATAAATCGACTGTTTGAATTGATTTGAAACAGTAAAAATATTGGGAAATGTATATATTCAAGAAAAAGGCAATGAAGGAATATTTTACATGAATAAAAATAATTTATTAATGAGTAATTAAAAATTTTACACAAATAGATAATTAATACCTTGTCTATTATCTTATTGTTTAATTTGGCTACGGAGGGAGGAAACCTGTCGATTTTATTTACGAAAGTGAATTAGATTTGTGTGTAATTTGGGTAAATATCGGTTGAATACGCGAATTAAGAAGTATAGATCGATTTGAATATTCAATATCCACAACAAACATTAATGTATACAACTACTCGCATTTCATAAATCATTCAAATAATTTATTGGAAATATACGCTTCAGAGTTTAGTTTGCTCTGAAATGCCATCAAGTATGGACTAAAATGACTTCTACTTCCTCTCAATATATTTTCAACAATATCATTAAGGACAAGAGGAATTGATACTTAATTTTCCTACTCTATTGAAACCTTTTTTTCCCTTTTCTCCCTTCATCTTGTTTGCCTTATAGCCTCTATTCTTATCCTTCCTACTTTATTTCATTATAGGTTTTCCTTTTTTTTTCTTTCTTGTGTTTTTTTTTAATACAACTTCCTGCAAAAATTTAGCAAAGTTTATCTCTCTTCTCTTCTTATTTTTATTTAATCTTATACCCGTCTAACTATCTCAATAGTTCCTCTTCTCAACATAAAAAGAGGCAACAAACACTTAAAAAATAAACAAGATGGATATGCCAGACGATTTTATTGTAAAATTGATGCAATTAAAAATGAAAGTCAAAGATCCAAAATTGGTTTGTAGTTTAATTTTGTGTATATTTTCTCTAAATATTTTCAAATGGTAAAAAAGCTTCAATTCATATCTGTATATTTAAATGAATTTCTCTCTCAATCTCTCTTTGTGTTACTTTCCTTTTTTTTTTCTTAACTTTCTTCTTCTAACTTGATAATCAACTGCTTTATTAATATGAAAATTAACAGGAGAGTTTCCTGAAGAATATGGAAGATATTTACGATAAGGAAACAGATGCCATGATACATTTTCTTAGTAGAAGTCGAACTGAAATGCAACTTACAGCGAATATGATCAGCAAACAACAAGAAGCTGATAGAATGGAAACGGAGAGATTAGGTAATTTTCTGATACTGTCATTTCTAATTACGAATGAAAAAGTCATTTTTAATAATTAATTTTTCATTCACCTGGCTAATAAATTATCAGAAAGAAAAATCCATATTTTTCAGAAATTATATCGGAATGACAATTCTTAACTGTTGAATTTATTCTAATGAACAGCTCTACAATCTAGGCAATCGATGATGATGGGCAATCAGAGGGACCGAACATTTTCAGAAACTGTTAATAGGAAGAAACATACACCTCGAATGTCTGAAAGCGTTTCTATGCCGTCAATAAGCCGTATGTCGACTATTTCTGGTAGGAATACTGCATGGAGTTCCGATACACTTAGTTTTGAGAAGGAAACAAGCTCTGTCACTTCCAACGAAAAAGATCCTAGGCAAAGATGGAAGGAGAAAAAAGCCGCTATTAGAAAAAAACAATTAGAACAAGAAGTAGTCGAACAAATGAAACAAAGGAAACAAGTTCGAGAATTCTTGGCAACTCCTCGACCTCCAACTAGAAATGGAACTCTACCAAATATTAAAGATAAACCTCCAAATATGTCAAGACAAATGACTCTTCTTTCACGTGAATCTTCAATGGTCTTACCAGGAACTCCGGAAGTATGGAAGAAAAAGACCGACGACGATGTCGACTTAGAAAAAGAATTCGCAGAAGAAAAGGAAGCTATCTTAAGAAATATGCAAGTTCATGAATCAAAAGTTCAGAATGAAAGAGCAAGACAATCTCAAATAGTACAAATGATGAAAGAGAAGAGAAAAGCGAAAAAAGAAGAGGAAGCACAAAAAGCAACAGAACTTCTGCAACAGGCCGATGATGTTGAGAAGACGTAAGTATAACACTCATAGTTTATGATATAGGAACTCTTAACCGACTGATCAATAATTCAATTTCCTCCGTCCGAGTATTGGTTTATCTTCTCAGTTCTTTCACGTATGATATTATTCTTGATCCCAAAGACATTTCACAAATTATTAATTACGTGTTGCTCGCTAAAACATAAAAAAAAACTTAAAATTTATTGATTAATGGCTTTCATCGATTCCCTTTAGACAAACCGAAGGCAAGAATAGACAATGGAACAAACTTAAAGAAAAATTAGAAGAAAAGAAGAAAAGAAAGAAGAAGAAAAAAGAGGAAAAGCAAAAAAAGAAACAACTAGAGGCAAGCGCTGATGATGATATTGATAACGAAGAAGTGAAAGCTAATGGGGAAGCTTCCAATAAGGACGAGCAGAGAATTGATGATATTCTTGACGAACTTGATCAAGCTATACAAGAATCTCCTGAGGCTGAAAAATCTAAGAAAAAGCGAAAGAAAAGCAAGAAGGATAAGGAAAAGAAGAAAAAGAAGAAAGATAAAAATAAGGAATTTGAGCAAGAAGAGAATGTTGAATCAGAAGCTTGAAAAATATTTCGATGAGGAAAACAATGAACGAGTCGATAGGTCATTGTCTAACGGACGTCACTTGGCGACGGTGACAACAAATAGAAAAGTTGTCGCGCTTCTGCAAAATCAATTATTGAACGATGTATTGCAGTTGGTTTTTTTTCTTTTTTTTTACTTATGTTATTTTTAACTAAAAACAAAGTATTTGCAATTTTTATATTGTGTAATTTCGCACCTCTTGACATATTGTAATTTACAGCTATAAATTGGTTGGTAAGAGCAACAGGTTTAAATTGTAGATCAACTGTATGCCAGTTGCTGCTACTGCTGCTTGAAAAGAAAAATGTATGGAATAAATGGATGTTCTAGACGTTCATTGAATCCTTTAGTTCTCTCCTATTATATCCCCCTCCTATATAATCGACATCCGCTAGAAAAAAAATTTGTTGCAGTATTTACATTGCGAATGCATATGAACAAGTAATTATATACCCATTTCTGGTTGTACATCTATTATCCGCTTGTGATATAAGTAAGAAACTTATACAGTTTACAATTTACATTATGCTCTATGTATTTATTTGTTCAACTCCTTCTCTTTGTAAGAGTGAAGATGTTATTGTTGTTAAAGATTTAATACTTTAGCCTTTATGTTAATATCTTGTACAATTTTAAATAAATATGTAACTCATTATTATTATTAAATTAATAAATTAATTAAGAAGGAATTGGGGCGTTTTTTTCGTTGTTCGCTACCTAAAGATAACTTATTTGTCAAGCAGCATCAAGTAGGCCATCTAGCGTATATTGCCTGTTCAAAAATTGGTCTATTAAGTGACATCTATTGATTTTTTTTTTTTGAGGTATAAAGCATTTTAAACACGAATAATAAATGGGATAGTCTAACTCTCTTTAGTATAAATTTAGAGGATCATAAAAAACATCCGGGCACAAAATGAAATTACAATAGCGCATATATTTTATACTTCTTATGTATAGGTGTAAAGGTTACAATTTCGGGATTTATGATATGTTTATCTTACTTACTTTTAAACTAGCGGCATAAAGGGAGGGGGGTACGAAAAACAATTCGTTTTTGCCTATCTAGGTTGTTAAATGAATCAAGTTACTGTTTACATGAAAAGCATCGCAAAAACTTTTGGTATTTTGGCCAGTTTCCATATTGAACTTTTCAAATCAAACCGCGATTTGGCTGACTAACAAGAACGATAGAAAAAGGCCAGAGAGAGAGATAGAAGGACATAGGGAGAGCAATCAAAAGACAGACAGACAGACAGACAGAGAGAGAGTGAGGATAAGATACTTAACAAAGGAAATTTTAATATATATATATATATATATATTATTTATATAATTTTGTCTATAGTTTCAAACTTTTCATTGGAAATAATATCTAATAACTCTGAGGATAATTTCTGATAGAGGCGTATAGAGTATGTATCCCTTTAGTCATAAATACTATGCACTATATTTATATATTTCTCTTTTAATGTCCTTTCTTACCCTTTTGCACTCGGTTTTTTTTATACAGTTATTTAAATAAACATCCGAATATATAAATATACTTTTGTAGATAGTTTACTATATTTTGATCTTGTTCTACTACTTTTACATAACGTTATAAAATCTCTTTTTCAGGTTTGGAAAGCTTTTTTCTTTAGGAATGGAAAAAATCGTATCAGTTATTAAGGGAGCCTCTAAAGGTTCTGGGGTCAAAGCTGATGATGACTTTGCTGACAGGTTAAATTCGAGGTATACTGTTGCGCTTATTGTTGCGTTCGCCATTGTTGTATCAGGTCAGCAATATTTTATTGGAAAGCCTTTAAATTGTTGGGAACCGAAACACTTTACTGGAAGCCATGTAAAATATATGAACTCTTATTGCTGGGTTCGAAATACTTATTATCTTCCATTTGATGAATATATTCCCAGACCAGACGAAGTAGGACCAAGAAAAGTTTTACCGTATTATCAATGGATACCTTTTATCATGCTTGGACAAGCTTTTTTCTTTTTCTTACCATCTTTCTTCTGGCATGGTCTTAACGATAGGGCTGGCGTAGATTCCGATGATATTTTATCAACTGCTCACAAACTCTCAGCGACTAAAGATGTGAAAGCGAGAAACAAAATCCTTGAGTTTCTTTCGCAACAATTTCACAGATTTCTAAGAGCAAGAGATACTGTTGAAGGGCAACCTTTAGAAAATAAAGGTGAAGATATTGACGACGGTGACAAGAAGAAGAAAGGTAAAAATACTACAATACAGAAACTTTATTCTCGACGATTTACTGGATATCTTTTGATGATTTTCTTAATCTCAAAAGTCCTATATATTGCTAATGTTATAGGGCAATTTTTTGTCCTTAATCTTCTTCTTGGAACCAAGTATGGATCTTTTGGTTATGACTTACTAAGTGGTAGAGGCAGTAGCGGGCCGTGGAAACATGATGTTGCAAACACATTTCCTCTGGTTACCATGTGTGATTTTCAAGTTAGAAGATTGGGAAACGTTCACAAATATACCGTTCAATGTGTACTGCCAATTAATATGTATAACGAAAAGATTTACGTTTTCCTATGGTTTTGGTTCTTGATGGTCGCCATCATTACCGTTTTAAATTTTCTATTTTGGTTAATTAGATCTGTCCTACCATGGGATAAAAAAAGATATGTAACAAACCACCTTGCCACTAGACAGATCGATGTCGATTCAAAAGAACGTTTAATATCTGAATTTGTAGACTATTTGCGTCACGATGGAGTATTCCTTATACGCCTAATTGGCCATAATTGTAACTTCTTAACAACCAACGATATAACAGGTGCTATATGGGATACTTGGGAAAGGAAGGTAAAGGGATATTCTGAACTCCCAAACCCAAGTCTGCAAGACGTTTAACAAGAGGAAAGAATAGAAATCGAAATAAAGATATTACATTAGTCATAATGAGACACAAGTTCATTGGAAGTAAATATTCAAAAGCTCCGTTGAATTGATCTTTTCTTATGAAATTAATGTTTTAATTACATATACCTTAATCAATTCATGTAACTATACTTTCACTCCTCTCCTCTCTTCTTTCCCTTTGTTCAAAAGTCATAATACTAATACTAATAGTCTAGTTATTTTCTTGCCATTTTTAAGTATTCTCTGATGAATAGGATATGTATTTATCATCTTCCTCATCTTTGAATTAAGCTTTTTTGTTTTTTAACTAAGCAATCATTAACAAAACTCTTAAAAAATTCTTATATTCTATAAGAATATTATTAAAAAATGATGCCTTGCCTGCACTTTATGAATATGCAAATTTATATATATATATAATGATATGATCTATACATTATATAATTAGTTTGTATTGTGAGCTGTTTTTACATACTTTTGATTTTGAAATTAGTAAAATAAAACTTGCTCTCATAGACAAACAAATTTAATTATCTCTCTGAATGGTCTTTAATATTTATTTTTCAATATCTACTTAAACAATTTAAACATTATGGTTCTATTTCGTAGCCTTATTGATAAGAATCTGGTATTAATTTTCAACCTATATTAGACCAGATATTTAATAGTGAAAAGATTACGCAGTTCCAAATGTCTAACAAATCATTTTAAATCCTATTATCAATCTTATTTCAACATTATTATCAATTTCAATTTCTCTCTTATTCTCATATGATATAACTGTATATATATATATACTTATTTACAATTTCCATCCCTCCACTCCTCCCGCTCGGTCTTCTTTTGTATAATTTAAATTTTATCTTAAATAATAACTTATTGTTAGAAGAAAATATCGGTAGTTTTCAATTGGCAAAGTATTTAAACGATTAAATGATCCTCTTGAAAAAGATTAATTACACAAATTTTGTTTTTTATTCTTCAAAAATTTCACTTTTTTTTTAGAATCAAAAAAGTATAAAATAAAGAAAAGAAATTTTATAGAATAATTAGATAGATTGGAAGAGATTAAAGGGAATAAAGAGAGAGAGAGAGAGAGAGATGGGAGGGGGACATATATACACAAAAACACGTGCAGAAAGAGAGATAGAGAGATTACAATCTTCTCTTGTCTAACTGTCAGATTTTTTGTGTTACTTTTTTAGTTTAGCGCTCCTCATACAAGTATTGTGTATACTTTGGTATCTATTTCTATATATTTAAACAAGTTATTATGATTGTTATGACGATGATCGTTATTCTTTTATCTGTTTTTCATCTACTTAGTTAAAAATTAATTGAATATTTTGCGACAACATGCGCACAGACGTAATTTTATTCCTTTTAGTCATATTTATACTGATATAGAGAAATCTAGTTGCCTAAATCTAAATGATAAAATAACCATCTTCCTTTTTCAGTTTTACATGTACTTTACCTTTCATAATTGATAAGAATAAATGAATTGTATTTGACTAGTACTTTAATAGATAAGACCTTAAAATACCTACCAATATCAATCATGTCCCTTAATTTTTATTATCTATTCAAAGATATTCTTTCAGTGTATTTTAGGCCTAACACGTCATTCAACTCGAAAATCAATTGTTCCCACTATTCTTTACAAAAGAATCCATTTTAGTTAAGTTCAACTTCCGAAAGGCCTATGGCCTTGTAAAAGAAGAAATAAAAAGAGAAATAAAAATATACCTAACGCCATCTAGTTGTTCATAACTGGGTTATAAAATTCTGTATCACAACAGTTTGTTAGCACTAGAGTAGGGATGGGATTTAGAGATTTGAAAAAAAAAGCACCCAATTTCTTTTTATTAAAGAAAAAAGAGAAAGCAGTGTATACGTAAAGAAGATAAAAGTATCATTTGTTTATATAATTTGTCCATATATATGCAATGTACACATTCTATTAGAATAAAGTATATATCCTTTAACAATGTAAATTTAAAAAAAACTCCCCAACGGCGATATTTTACTTAGTCAGAATCACTAATTAAGAGAGAAAGGAAACAAAACATTGAAAAGATCAAAAGAAAAATAAAGAGGATATCGGAACGAGTCAAAGAAAAACGGATAAAAAGAATATGATAAAAGGAGGATGAATTAAGGGGGAAAAATAATATAATAAAAAAAACTTAATGTTAATATCCTTAGACATTCTAATGAATCTTAGATAATTTAAGAGTGAAAATATTAGCCCGCAGAGAATAAGAATAATAGGAAAGACAGAAGGATGGAGAGAGAGAGAAAAGGAAATGTGTCAGGGCTTATGTGTGAAAAGACAAAAACAGATAAAGATTAAACAATTAGCATTCTTATATCTATTTTTATCTTTTTAATAAAATTGCGGATAAAGGATAATTTTCTTTCCTATCGATCAATTCTCTTTTATTCTTTTTCTCATCAGAAAATTATACTAAGCCAGCATTTATAGGAGAGAGAAAGAGGCAGGGTGGGAGAAATGAATGATTTTTTATTCATCAATCAAGATTAAATACCCTCTTATCGTTCTTCTAAATAAGTTTTACATAATACGTACTGTATCTATGTATATTTTCAATATATCTAATAAAACAAGAACATTTTTAATGACTCTATTAATTGTATAAATATTTATTCCATTTCCAATAATCAATCCATACTAATTTTCTAAGTAAAATCATCCCTTATTTTTTTAATATTATTAAAGCTGCAGTATAATATTTTTGTCTATTATTTTCCATATTCCATTGTTACAGATTCAAAACACTAAAAATGCGAATGAAAGAGAGTTAAAAATATTATAATTGACGTTGTTCAAACTTCTATTTCCGGTTGTTTGAAAAAAATTGTTACAATTCTTTTCTCTTTTTCAAATGGGTGAAAGAGGATAAGTGTGAAGAGGAAGTGCTTCTATTTATACCAAGAATTATAATCTTGGTATATGGAATTTAATTTTTAACTTTTGAGTTTCCTTCTTCTTTAAAATGCGTCTCTTTTGGAATGCTGTAGATGGCGTTTCTTTCTTTTAAATAAATATTTGTAACGTTTCATTTATTAATTATATTGCAATTGTACAATAAAAGTAAAATTACCATAGAATTTTCGTTCAGCGAACATGCGTCGATCTGCAAAATTGGCAATTGTTCCAGATAGGCGGAATTTAACTAAGCGAACTTAATCTAATCATTGGCCGAACGCGATTGTAATAATAAAAGCCGAAAGCCTTCTATAAATTTCTTTATTATGTTTAGCAGCGTATAATATTCATTCATCTATCTATATTACGTAACTTAAGTATTTAAACACCATCTGATATTTTCAACCTTTTTGAATAATACTTAATCTAAGAGGATATGAATATTCAAAAATATTCATATTGAAATATTCATAAAAAGAAATATATGAAGACGATTACGATACTCATCAACAGGTTAATTAATTTACAATTGAAATTAAGGAAAAATGATATACATGTCTAGTTTCTGATCAAGTAATATACTGTACATATCTCTCTTTGGTTAAAATATATTAAAGTTTTAGAATTGTAACCATTTCGTAAGGTTCTATCTTTCTTTCTTTCTTTTTTTTTTATTCTTTTCCTACTCTCCTCGGACTAGAATACTCGAGTCGCTAGGGAAAGTAAAGAAGAGAGAAGGAATTATTCTTTTCTCTATTCGGCCGTAAATGAATAGATATAGAATAAGCAAGGGAAAAAAACTTACGTTTGTTTGAGATGAACTTGCAACTTTCTCTTGGACGATTGGTTTCGGTAATTTATCGTATGAGACGGCATCACTCTGGCAGAAGAAAGAAACAAGAGTGACGTATACGTAAAAATGATCGGGAGTGAAATTACGGTCGCATTGTCGTTCGTCACAATAATCTTCGCATGACGTCCTTACGCAGCGTCGAACAAAAATGCAAATAGAACTAAACGAAAAAAAGACGCCAGGCCGTCTCTAATCCGCAACGAAGCGTACTAACGCCGGCGCCAACTGCAATACTATCGTTCGGGTATTTTTCAGCAGGAGTAGTCATGCGGAATATTGACTCCTTTAGTACATTAGCTGCATGCATGAAAGGGATAGTTTATGGGTGTGAACGTATGCGAAAATCATAAGAAGATTGCTTCAATAGTAATGTTTCTACCAAAAACCACGTGACGAGAACTAGCGTTCCCTGTACTTGTTGTTCCTAAATATACATCCCTTGCGTAAGATAATGAGGAAAACGTGACTCTAGCGGGATAGTAGTTGACCAAGAGCTCATACAAGGCCTTATTAGCTAATGGCGTCTGTTTGAATAGTCACTCGACTATGGACGTAATTTTCGACACTGGTACACGGAAAGGCTTTTTATCTAGTAAAATTTTATATGAAATAGAGAAAAAAGGAAGGAAATGCCTCGACAAAAGACGTAACTGGTTTCTTTTTCACCTATATTTATTTTTTTTTTTATAAAAGCGTCAAATAAAAAAATTTTCGTTTCTATAAATCATTACGATACAGGCAAACTGCGTTCGCTCCGTACAATCTCTCGGGATGGAGTCTACGGGCGTAGGGCTGTTTCGTTCGCGCTTGTTTTCTCCCCATTTCACACTTTTCGGATCTCGGTAATTCGTTTTAGCATATCGTTATATATTATATATTAGGCGTAAGCCGGGCCCATAGTTCAGATAATACTCGACTTGGTCGCGTAGCCTTTGATGGGAGATTGATGAGAGGATTTAGCAATGAGAGTTTGCCTACTATATAAATATGCTATCTTTCTATAATACGCTCTGAACGTATATTTACACATATGGCACATCCTTAGGTTAAATAAAGGCATTCTTCCACTTCTAATCTCTCTTATTGCAACGGTTGTAAGTTTAGCGTATTGTTGTCACGTGACATAACGATATTTATTCTGAATTGCCGGAAAAACTGTGAACTATCGTCGAAATGGTACTCCGAAATATTGACTTCAACCGTCGGTTAAATGAGAAAATATAGGAAAAGAAAGAGGGGGAACATTTTTCTTTTTACTCCTTTTAGTAAGTTTCATAAATGATAAATCTCGTTCCATCTACGGAAAATTGCAAGATGTCGACTACAAGACAAGAAATGAATGTATGAAAAAAATATGGAACATACCACTAGGGACGTCTGTGATTCGACTAGGAAATTGTGTTTGTCAAAAAAGCGCCGAAATTGAAACTGAAAAGTCCATTATACAAGTTGCTCTATGCCTGATCAATAAATTATTAAAGGCCCCCCCAAGCAAATCGGGAAAACGGTAGAATACGAACGGAAATGTATTTTGACTCTATTGATTTCCCTCCTCCTTTTTTTTCCTCCTTTACCTTCTATTTCATTGTTTCTTAGTTTCTTCGGAGGCTTCGGAGAAATGAAAAGAAGAGAAGCTAATTTACAAAACTTCAGAGCTTACGGCGTTCGAATAGGGAGGAAAGAGCCTCTGTGAAGTTTGATCAGGCGTTGAGGATTAGGCGCGCCGATCTCTTAAGCTCCGCGAAAACTATTGCAAAAACTTCCTATGTCTCCAATTCCCTTTTCATGCTCTATACCTCTATCTTCCACTTACTAATGCTGGCTTGTCTACTCTTAATTCTGTCATCTTCACCATATCTAGTATTATTAATTTCATCTATCAAAATTTCCTGCTCCTAACTGTCCCTTCTCAGATTTTATCACTAGAATTGATTAAACGTAAGTACGGTCACTACTTATCATTACACCACCCAGGGGATCATTAAAGTTTGGGGCGAAAAAATCCGCTAGATCAACTAACAAATATTTGCCTACGTCTTTAACGCCGGCGTCGTATGGTACTTGACATAGAACTGTAAGTGACGTTTCGTCTTCGAAAACGATCGTTAATTAATGTCAATCGATAATATTTTATAGCCGCCTCTATTAATGTTTACTATTTACAAAAGTCATTAAAAATGTATTATACCTGTAAAAGAATTTGACGTAGAATTTGACAAGTTTTTTGGTGACTATTTGTCCAACAATTCCTTTTAATGTTCTTTCCAACGGCGTATAGCTCCTCTCCCATGTTTTCTTCTATCGTCTCCTATCGAAGCGAATCTCAGGAAGAACTAGCCGAAGTCGCTTTTGGCGCGCTTGTCGCTAAAATCTTTTTCAACCAATCGTCGACTTTCGCGCCAAAATTACATATCGTTTCCATTGTAATATTTTATTTTAATTAATATACAGTATTTTGCACAATTATAGAATTCTCTTCTTTTCATCCTGTTCTTCCGTAAAAGCTGTCTTTATATCAAAGGCAGTTTCACATGATCATAGTTCTTCGATAATTTCCATTTAGTAAATGAATATTCAGGGTGCCATAAGCAAGATAGATTTTTGCAGATGTAAGACAAACAATAATATAATTTCAAGCAATAGTTGTATGGATATTTGACGGTTTATGCATTAGGAAGACTATAACTCTATTAAATATCGTCATCGTTTTACTATGTTTCTTAACTAGTCTACAAATAGATTTTTTTCATCTTAATCATCTAATTTCCTTTACTTAACCCTTCATTTACATAGTTTATTTTATATACAAAAAAGAGTGTTTGTATTTTATTGTGATCTGATTAAGAAAAGACTCAGCTGTCCAACAAAAAGGAAAAATCAAAATAATTCACATAAAAGCTAGAAAATTTTATCTGACGAGCGTCGATTGCCAGTCGTCTCCCTTTTGACGGGATGATAACTAAAATAGTCAAGCAGACTCGGTAATTATGGTAAGAAGGCTAATTTGCATTTTTGCCAGTACACCCTACGAATAAACGACGTGCACGCAAGAAATTCCCTGTTGAATACCGCATGAGGGACTCTGTACAATATACTTTAGTAACTGATGTTTATTCTGTCTTTTCCCCCTCTCCAAATTTCAATCAGTAACTTCCAGTTAACATTTCTCTTTGGTTGCAAGTTAGAATATTTTTCATTTCCCTGCCTTAATCCCTGATTATTCATGCGAGGAGGCGTGAACGTAACTGATAAGTAGGGGTGTCGCCATCTGACGATATTATCAATCAGTTCATCGAATCGTCTGACCACATAAAATTGAGGATCAGTTACATCATTTATAAATTGACCTATATACGAATGAAGTGAGTGAAAATGGCTTTACGTTCAATTTCCACAAAACACCGTAAACATGCCTAATAAATGAAATGGGCCTGGGGCCCCTGTTGATTATCTTGAGGAATGGGATTAAATGGAACAGACTCCATGGTGCCTTTGTCGTTCTATAGGAGCAACAGTTGACATTTGTACAAAGAAGATTGGAAATTTAAGTCTTATTAGTACTGAATATTATAGAAAATGAAAATCTTAGTGATTATAAGTAATCTAAAGAGACAATCGATTTAGAGGATAATCACAAATTTTAACATATGTATTATCCTATGTTTTCTAAATCATTTTCTTTCTTTTAAAGAGAAAAAATATTAGAAATTTTAAATTATCAACAACTATTTAGCTAAATTCCCTTAACAACGTTTTTACAATGGCTATACAAACAATTCATTTTCGATTATATTAAACATGCTAGTTTACCAAAACGATATTGCAAACTTTTTGAATCCCTAATTAATACTGTTGGTGTTAATGTCTGTTTTCCAACTTGGAGAAGAGCCGCTAGAGAGGTTAAACAGACAAAGCCTATACCTGACCCTTTTCCGGTTGTAAAACAATATCCTCCACCGTTAAGTCCGATGTACCCGATTATTTTTCTAGATGACCGTTTAATATTTATGGCAGTTTTTGTAGAAGTTGTTGTTGCAATTGTTTCTGCTGGTCCAAAATAATCGGATTTTTCAAGCATCTTTTTTAGATCCGGCTTGTCTGGTATGCAAATCATTGAAAGGCTTTCGCAGCATCCTCTGTTTATAGCATCAATTTGTACAGGTACTAAACACGATTCGTTTCCTTTAGCAATCTCCTGAAGGGATAAGCTTAGGCGATTTCTGACTTCTTTGTCACAAACAAAAAGATTTCTTTTTGATGCTGGCTTCAATAAGTTATCTATTTGCTTTAGTAAAAATCTATCTCTAAGGACGTAGAACGAATCGGATTCCTTATTGTTCCATATATTTATCAATTCTTGCCAGGGACATTTAAATGGTGAATAGCTTTGCAGTTTTTCATAATTAGGACGTTTGGCTGGTGGCATACGTAAATGTTTATCGTTGTGTTCTTTAAAATAGACATTTTCAAGGTCTTCGCCAGCTAAAGTATCTGGTTGGAGATTAGGGTATAGAAGATTACGATTGAGAACCTGGCTGTTAAAATAGCGTTAGAGAATTTTCATTTTAAGAAATTGATTAAAAATTGACAACTTATCTACCTTCTCTCGAATTCTTCCAACCCTACTGCTCGACATCCATTATAAATAAATGACATCCAAAAAGGCATTCCCCATGCGCTGGGTATTATCAAATCCCATCCGCTCGTATATCCAAGAAGGGAAGAAGCACCATTGAAAAATGAATTATGATTTTGATCTCTTCTTACTCTTTTTCCTGATCGATAAATAAGAATGACAGGAATTCGGGATTCATTAGTTCCTAATTCTACTTGCGCATCTGAAAATAACATTTGCATATAAACTCAACATGAAGATATCAACAAGAAATATTCACTTACCGGGTACAGTAATCTTTTCTTTTAGTTTATTTAAATCACCATCGGAGATTTTTTTTCTCAGCTGCTTCCTTACGTCATCAATCCACAGGGGCGAAATGTGAACGTTCTCAGGTGCACATTCTGACAGAAGAGCTTCGGACTCTCCCTCTTCTAAATTATCATCAGCTTTTGCTGACTTAAGTCTAGGATCACCAATTACTAACCCTAAAACACCGCCATCTGCCATACTCTCCAGAGAAGAATTAAAATAAGATTTCTGTTTGTTAAATATATCCTTATTTATATTTGATTCATAATATTTACTCCACCAATATTCATTTTCCCCACTTTCAAATTTTATATCAATACTACGGAAAACTTTTTTCAAAATTTTAGTTGATAGAGGACCAGTCAATCTAAATCTATTCAGTTTGTTGTCGAAACAATCAATTGAAATTTTCGCGTTATGAAACTTTCTCGAACAAAAGAATTTATGATGTAAGAATGTACTCGATAAGGATGAAGATTTCTTCTTTAATTTTTCGTTGTACGCCTCATAGTCATCTAAATATGGTATGCAGCAACAATCCAAAACCTCTTTCATAGTTTCAACCACTGAGGAAGGGTGGACAAAAATCCATAATTTTCGCTCTGAATTTAATGATAAATTTTCGCAAGGATCCCACAGAAATCTTATCAATCCTAGAGACTTAAAAGGATATGAATTCTTCTTAAAAATGCTCGCCATACCCTCCCGATTACCCTTCATCAATGATTTTGCTTTTAAGGTCAAACCTATAACGACGTGATGAAATGATTAGGTTACCAAGACATTCTTTATAGTAAGTACGAACCAGTCTTCTCGCTAAATAATGGAAGAAGACAGGAAGTAATATCCTCTTGTCGTCCACTTACTTGAATGCACTCATAATAAGATATATCCTAACAAAAGATTTTGTAGATTTGATGAGTGAATGTACTTTAAATGTAACTAACTTGAATTGTGCAGTTCCTTTTTGTAGCTCTGTACGCTGCTCTTTTCCCTTTGTCACTTGGCTTTAAAGGAATTTTATAACCCCACATTTCCATCATTTTAAATCTCTTGGCGTGCCATATATGCGTCTCCAACCAAAATTTACTCTGTTGCCTTTTTAAATAGGCTGCCAGTAAATTTTTTGGTCTTCGCCGATGCCTTCTTGATGGACGTTTAGTTTTCGTTGGCTGAGATTGTTCCATCTGTACAAGTAATTTTAATAGATCTGAGGAGCATAACAAATAAAAGGAATAGCAAAGAATTTACGCTCTTCTCAGCCGCAGCTCTCAATCTGAGTGGAAGTCTCTTTGCGTTATGACTAGCTGCCCGTCTTCTCATATGATTTGGAAGCATTTGAGTAACTTTTTTATTTTGCTTTATACGGTTACACGCAAGCATCATGTTTGAAAGTTCCATTGCACGACTTTCAACATATTTCATAACTTTAATTTCTATTAGAAAACAGTAAAGTTTCATTAAGTAGACTTCAAATTTTCCCCTGTTTTTAAATGGTATTTAGTTTCGTTCAATTAAAATTGTACAAAAGTCAAATAGAAATTTAAATTCAAACTTCCTCGGAGATTGGTATTTAAAAGCAAGGGAAATGTCAATAAATTGGTATAACGTCTAGATAAGACAGTAAAAATAACATTTCTTAGCAGATTACCTGTCGCCGTTTCATTAAGTTTTCCATCAGTTTCATTAGACTTTTTTTGTCTCTTTTTCAATTTATTCCCCTCTACTTCTATTGTTTTTCGCTTTCTATCCGACATTGTTAAGCTTTGTGAAAACGTATGTCTGAAAAATAATTTGCAACCAGTTAATGAAAATGCATGTTTCCAAGAGTGCTGTTAAAGAGCGATAATTGAGGGTTATATAATTTAATAATAACTAAAAGAAAACTTTATAGTGTAGTCAGAATAACAGACGAATCGTATAGCGAATTCTGTACTAACAAGTTTCAGATATAGATTTAAATATATTTGAGGAAATTATAACAACTTAACAAATATTTATTCGGCAATTTACTTCAAAAAAGTAACAAACTACATTACGATTGTAGGCATAGTTTGACTTCCGTTTCCGATCTTGTCATGTGATTCAGCCATCTTGATTTACATTTTCGAACAAGAACTTTAGAAGTTATTCTCGAGTTTGTCAAGATGTCATTGTCAGATTTATATTTTAACATTAACAATGGGTACCTAGAAGGTCTGTGTCGTGGCTTTAAGGCAGGTATTTTGAAACAAGGAGATTACTTAAATTTAGTACAGTGCGAAACACTGGAAGGTGTGTTACAAATTATTTATCATCTTTAATATTGCTTAATCAATTTGAATGTCATAGATTTAAAACTTCATCTTCAAAGCACGGATTATGGTAGCTTTTTAGCTAACGAAGCCAGTCCTTTAGGTGTATCGGTTATTGATGATAAACTGAAAGAGAAATTAGTTGATGAATTTACGCATGTTCGAAACCAAGCTGTTGAGCCATTGTCAACGTTTTTGGATTATATCACGTAAGTTGAACCCCACTTATGTATTCATCTATATTTATTAAATACTTACAAATTATAATTTTATGATTTTAAAAGAATTATTTTTAATAACAGTTATTATTGTTAGACAAACTGACTAAGAAACAAATTCATAATTTTATAACAGATACAGTTATATGATCGATAACATTATTCTACTCATTACGGGAACCTTACATCAACGTTCAATCTCTGAACTTATTCCTAAATGTCATCCTCTGGGCAGTTTCGAACAAATGGAGGCTATTCATATAGCTTCCACTCCTGCCGAATTATACAATGCTGTACTAGTCGATACTCCTCTAGCTCCTTACTTTATTGACTGCATTTCTGAGCAAGATTTAGACGAAATGAATATTGAAATTATTCGAAACACACTTTACAAGGCATATTTGGAAGACTTTTATGATTTCTGTAAGGAGCTAGGTGGTTCAACAGCTGATGTTATGTGCGATGCTCTTGCGGTATGCATTTAAATTAGTTATTCATTGTATTTTACAGAAAAACTTTTGTTCTAGTTGGAAGCAGACAGAAGAGCTTTCATTATAACAATCAACTCTTTCGGAACGGAACTAGCTAAGGAAGACAGAGCAAAACTATATCCTAAGTGTGGAAAACTTTATCCAGATGGTTTAGCATCCTTAGCAAAAGCCGATGATTATGATCAAGTCAAAGCAGTTGCTGATTATTACGCAGTAAGTTATGAAAATGTATTAGAAAATGTATTGGCTCATTCTGTATCGAACAATTTAAATCAAATTGTCAACTTTTTCACAGGAATATAGACAATTATTTGATGGCGCAGGCACAAATCCAGGAGATAAAACCTTAGAAGATAAATTCTTTGAACATGAAGTGAACTTAATGAAGAACGCTTTTATGCAGCAATTCAATTTTGGTGTATTCTACGCCTATGTCAAATTAAAAGAACAAGAGTGCCGGAATATTATTTGGATTTCGGAGTGTATTGCACAACGACACAGAGCAAAGATTGATTCTTACATTCCCATATTTTAGACAGTTATTCCATTATTGCATATCCGAAATTTATTCTAAATGCTAATTTCCATATATATTTAAAAATTGTACTTATTCTGAATATAAACTGTAGTCTTTAAATTTGAATAAATAGCGCCATCTAGAGTTACCTGTAAAAACGTTACTCACGTGATCCAGGTGCGCCTCGTTTTAGATTCTGGGGAGTCCCCTTTAATTTGTCTATTTTAGTCGATATTATTTGAATTAAAAAGCGAATTTTCTGCCTGGAATAATCGAATTTGCTCAGATAATTTTAATCAGGAAGTATCAGTGACTTTAGCGGCGAGGAATCGTGAAGAAGATAGAAGCATAACTAACGGTTACGCTCTCTTTCACCTATACAACTGCTCTTGTTGTCTTTGTTAGAAATTATTTGAAATAACCGCTTTGTTTAAGTAAGTTTTCTTTATTTATTTTCATAGCTCTACTCGATCAGTTATATAGCTAGCTTTTTTAATTTATTATTAAAAATTAAAAGAGCGAAAATATGAATAATTCTGAACTCTAGGCCTAAATCAAGAGTTCCCTTTTGTGAATAATATTGAAGCGTAAGAGCAATTATAAAAATAAATATAAATATGGCTGAATTACTAACATGAAAAATAACTCATCAAATCCTGTTACCTTATCAGCGTCAGCGTACTACAATCTAATTTTAACCTTTCACTTTTCACCTAGTTAAGCAAATAGAATAATTTTTATTGAGATAAAAAGATAGAATACATGCTGTTATAGTAAATTCAAGAGTTAAACTTCTCAACCTAGTTAAATTATATTAGCAAAACAACCAATTTTGTAAAAGTTTAGAGTTACTTGCTCTAGTGATTTTATAATGAGATGTAATTATTGGTTTTTCCTGTACTGTTATATGTAATATTTTACTAATTGGCAAACCTATATGTTAGAATTTATACTCTGATTAATATTTACTATATCATAGCTACGTCATGATGATGCAAGACTTTAAATCTTTAAACCTAAATAGAACAAAATACTATTGTTATAATTAGAAGCAGTATGTACCTGTTTATACTTCCTATCTAATCAGTAAAAAATTCGATTTCTATTTTTAAAGTTTTCTTTTTTGATTTTAGGGATATTGTCTTGTTTATTATAATATTTACACTATATTTATAGACCTTATTAAAATCATGAAAGCGTAAATAATTATTCGTTCTTCACAAATTACTATTGTAAAAGAAATATATATATATATATATATAATCGCCTGAAGCTTTTCATTACAGGTGATAAAAATTTACTCTAGTAATGAAAACTTTTACTCTTACTCTTTGATAAGTTCTAACGGTTTATTATTTTTAGATTGACTTAATATTTGAGTAATATTTCAAGTCATTTTATTTTATCAATTAAAATATATATAGTATACTAATAGTTCGGCCTTTTGAAAAAGAAGAATCAATAAGCATCTTAAAGTTGATGAGTATGCTAACATGATCTGTTGTAGAGTAGATAATGCCCCGCAGCATCCCCTACGTGAATCTTTTAATTAAACTCTTGTCACTCGAACGAAAACACTTAGCTTTGCTAACTTGAATAGCTGAGTACTTTGTCAGTAGATGGCGCAGTTCAAAGGGAAGAAGAGTTTGATGCGAAACATAAAATATTAAAAGTTTTTACGATTGTCCCAAAAAGCCTAAAGGCCAGTGCTTGATTGCTTTTGTAAATATCATAACGGTCGAATGCCAGGTATCGGACGCTAACTTTTTCAAAGTTTACCAAAAACCTATAGAAGGATCATGACTTCTGGTATGAGAATAAACATTTTTTTAAATGTATAAAAAGTGCATCGTCACGACCTTGTTATGTTTGGTGATCATATTGCAGCATACGACGTGTTTTTATTTATTCTTATTATTTTCATTCATTTATTTCGAACTCACCTTTTCTCCGAAAGGAATGTTATCCAACACCCAAACAATTAGACGGTATTACTGTCTACTTGAAAAATTTTTAGTGAGAGTAACGTAGATTCAATTTGTCAAAATTCCCCACTCATCGTCCAATCTCCATTTCCGTAGTTGTCGATGAAAAATGATTGTCGGCCCTCTTTTTTCTTTAGTTCGGAAAAAGAGAACAATTTTTTTCTCAACGAGGTCTATAATCATTTTTTTGACAATCGTTAAATAATTGCGGTTAACCGATCCGAACGACCGTTTTCTTTTGAAATGAAATAGGAAAGGTATGAATGGCCTATCAGTGTCGTTTCCCAAAGAAGTAAAAAAACTCTAGATGTATCATGAATTCGTGCGTGTAAAAATCGGCTTGAGTGATTTGAACGCAGCTGATTCGACGAGCCCGTAGGCGGAGCTTAGGCGTTGAGGAACGGCGCACGTGCCGTCATTCGGAATCTCAAGACCGTTCCACGGATATGAAACTTACGAATAATGCTTGTGCTTGTATAAGAGTTTATGCAGATTTATTTTCGAGGCCATTCGAATCTGTGATAATGGATTTAGAATTTATAAAATGTACGGAAAAATGAAAAATACTAATTTCTCTTTCTGTTTTTGTAACTTAAAATTAAAGAAACTTTAGTTCAACAACTTTAATATTATTTTTATTCTTGTTCAATTCAGATTGTCATAAAACCGTTGAAATCATGGGAAAAAAGACGCATGGACCACCGCTCCTGGTTGCTATACAGAAGAATGATCGTAAAAAGGTAAGCTATTCATATTTTTTTATCATTTATCTTTTAAAGAATCGTTTTTTAAACGGTATATGGTTTATATTGTTAAAGGAAAAAAATGTGTAGACAGTATCGTAAACGCCTGTTACGTGAATGATATATATTTTTGAAAGGCAAAAATATCTATTAATTGTAAGATGGGTGTCGCGCGAATGCGTCACCCGTTCATAAGCGAATTTTCACGCTTCGTTACTGACCTCTCGTTTTCGTTGAAAAATTTTCACGTTTAATGCATCGATAACGGCCATTACCGATTCACACTGTAAAAAAAATAACATTCTTTTTCAAATTTAACTATACTATTAGAAAGAGTTTAAGAAAATATTCTGAACATATTTCTATAGGCTTAATATATTCAATTCAAAAATGTTACAGTTAAACATTTTTACTATTTGTAGGATTGGTTTTATATTTGAAATTTTAAAAATTAATATTAATTTATATTTCGTCTTCAGGTCCACGATATTTTAATACAAAACATTCATAGTCGCAATAAAATCCATGACCTTCTAACATCCGACATCAAGCACATGGCGTCCGAAAACGTCGATTGTCCACTAATACTAGCCACGCAGCTGCCCGATCCGACGCTCATTTGCTACTTTATAAACAACCATGGTATAGACGTCAACTTCGTCCACAAGAGGGGCGACGGAAGGAAGCAAAAGATTATTACTTTGCTTATAGTAGCCGTTAAACGTCAATTATATCAGACTGTTGATGAATTATTGGCTTTACGAGCTGATCCAGATGTACGAAACCATAAAGGGAGAACGGCTTTACATTACGCTATAATGGGAGCTGATTATAAAATGGCCAAAAGACTTTGCATGAAGGGCGCAAATGTAAACTTACAAGATAAATTTGAAGACTCACCAGTTCACATGGCAGCTAGATTTGGTCATATCGAATTAGTAAAATTATTGCATCAGTATGGAGCCGACTTGTACAAGGGTGGACCATATGGTGCAATACCCTTGCATATAGCTGCCGAAGAGGGTCATGTAGGTTTGGTCAGATTATTTGTTCAGCATGACGTTGGTGTGAATTCCAAAGTTACGTGTGATGAGGAAGGACGAGAAAAAGCTCCATTGCATATTGCATGCGAGCAAGGACATATTGAGGAAGTTATCGTTTTACTCGATCATCTGAAAGCTGATATGAACCTACAGTGTTCAGAGGGTGAGACTCCCTTGCATTGTTGTGTAATAAGAGAGTACGACAATTTCGGAATGAAATCAAAAGATGATTTTGCCGAAGTGGCTAGGGCATTGATAGAGGCTGGAGCATTTGTTAACTCAAGAAACGGTAGGGGTGAAACGCCTCTTCATCTTGCTGCCAGAAATGAATTTCAGAGAGTCGTCGAAATACTTATAACTAACGGTGCTAACCCTCTAATTGAAGATAATGATGGCAATAAACCCATTGATCTAGTATCAGAAGATGATGGTGTCACTAAACAAAACTTGAAGCGAGCTATGACGGAGCAGGAAGCTGTACTTAGCCAAGTTCTAGAAGTTCAATCGAGAGGATTTAGGTAAGTTTCAATGTATCCATCTCTTTATTCTTTTCGAAACTACTTGAGAAAAAGAACGATTGCAATCGAAACCAGGGTGAGATGAAATTTTCTTGAGTTGCGTAATTATTATTCAATCGCCTCTCCCTGTTTGATGAAATGCCGATTCGTAGGACGTTTTTACTGCGGGCGAGCTTGAGATTTTTATTCTAATCGTATTCCGATTTATCTCAGCCGACTTGTAATAGACTTAATTTATACAAAACTATTAAATAATACGTATTCACTAAATGTAAAAATGGAAAGAGAATACGCATGTAAGTATGCATAATAGAGGTGTACGAAACTAATCAGCCTGCCGTGTACGCTTGATCTGATTCTAAAGTCCTATCAAATTTCTCCCCTTTTATGATATTCAAGTCTAATTAAATTCAAATATTATACAGTACATCCAGCAATATCTTGAGTTCGAAAGCACAATCGGTCCTTAGTGTTCGCAGTTTGTCCTCCCAACAGTATGGAAGAGCCGGAAGTATGCCAGGTGAGCTATTTTTTCTACTAATTTTTTTCTACTCTTTCCACTACTTCTCCACCCCCTACCATTATTCCCCTAATAGAGAATTGGTAGAAATCTATGTATAATTCGGTGACAGATGGTTCTGTTAGAGCGAGTATTTTTACAGCCAGTAAGCCGGTTTTCCTTTTCGCCCTATAACGTTTGAACTTTCACCGATCTTTACGGATCGTTTAGTCGTCTCTTGTTTGCCGAAGCCGATTTTTTTTACGACGCAGGCACCGTTTAAAACTCGTCAAAAGTTCCGGTGCGCATATCAGGCACCGCCATCTGCTACCATACGCGTCAATTTTCTAACACCGTTAACTGGGAGCGGCGATTTCAACGCCGATACAGAGGCCTGCTCTTCATAAGCCGCTTCCTCCCGACCAGTTATAAGCCACTTATCCGTTGCTCGTTAAGTAGAATATGGCCTATTTGAGTAGAGGGTGGACAGCTTTTTTTTTGAATTAGGTGATAGAAAAGGGACGCGATGCATAATTTATTGCTAATTTATACTTGTTTTTTTTCACCCACCCCTTAAATAGGCCGTTGTAGTGAATCTTGAAATACGACTTGAAGTGCTGTACGAGTTTTCGAATCCATTAAACTTTAATCATACCTATTTTGTCGGCAAAAGTACTTTGATAAAAAGGTCATACTATTAATGAATAATGGAAAAAAATTAATTCTTTTTATTTACTTGGCTTGAAGTTAGACTATTTTTTATCATTTTGAACTGTTTAATTACTAACTGGTAGGGCACGCTTTTTTTTGAATGGACAGGTTTTTTATTCGCCACAAAAAAACCTTGTCTGTAATTAAATTAAATCGACAACTGATACGCTTTAGAAAATATATCATTATCGAAATCTAGTTTTTGCAGGTGGTATTGCCAAAAATTCTCTGTGTTACTTTTCCCAAGATCACTCCCCGCTTTTAGGCTTACGTAACAACCTTTTAATTATTTGTTCACTGAGGACCTAGACCATACGGTACGTTTTCGTATGCCTCGAGGGATCCAATTACTAACATGGTCTGTTAAGCGGCGCTTCTAACGAAATATTTATCCAGAGTTGTAAATCTTCGGGGAAAGGCATGTCGTTTCAACCGTCACTCATTATTGAATATGATCACGCGGTATAGTGTTTTCTTTTGTTTCTTTCACTTTTTTTTATTCGGAGGGGCGGTCGAAAAGTTTTATATTACCATTACCGAAGCCTAACTATATAGGTTATAAAGTATGGGGACTGCCAGCGGTCTGTTTTCAGAAAAAGGTGTTAAGAAACTGTAAGAAAGCTCGCAATAAATTATGTTTATCTACGGATACTTCTTTGTATAGTTTGATGAAAATGGCCATTACTGAGCCCACATGCACGCTCTAGAGAAAGAAAATATGAGACGTGGGTGAAGATTTAAAACGGCTAACATTTGTAGGAGGTACAAGTGAAAAGAAAATATAGATAAGTAAAGGGGATGAGAAAAAGGGGAGGACGGGAAGACGTGGACAGGTGAAAATTTTTGCAGAGAAAGTACATAATACCTCGGAGGATGAGCGTCGTTGACGTTTAGGGATTTTAGTAAAAATAATTACCAGCATTGCGTTAATTAAAACGCATATAACGGACATTTTTCACCTGCTCCTATAATGTGACCGACGGCTACTTTTCTTTTATATATTCTTTTATCCTGCCACCTTTCTTTTTCTCCGTCTCTCGCCACCTTTTAAGGCGAACACGCACGCGCACGGTTTCTAAAAATATTGACGTATTTGACGATTTCCTATTCGGTTTCTTTCTAAGGTCATCGGGCTATGGCGTTCCGTTCGCATACCTTTACTTATTGTCCGATCTAATCGACGCTGGTAGATTCTTATCGGGGCGGGCGTCATTTAGTTTAGATTACTATAATTTGTTGAGTGCGTATCTTTCCCTTGGGTCATTCGATGTAACCTAAATTCAAGAAAGTGTGAGAAATAAAACGAAATATTACGATAGCCCTTATTACTTATTCTGCTTGTGCGTGGACGTTGAAGCGGCTATTTTACCGTCCAGTGGACCACATATCGGCTTTCCGTTTAAATAAAGAGGCGGCCTATACACCTGCCCCTTTTCCTTTTACCAAAAGGCTTTTTAAGGATGTAAATTTTACTCTACCCTTTAAGAGGACATAAGCAAGGTCGCTAGCCACTTGTCCAAAGTAAGTTTAGCATAAAAAAGTTGGCTGAGGTTTTTTATTGAAACTACTTAAACCTAACTTTAGTCTTCCTCCTTTAAAATTTTTCCCATTATACTTTTTTTAACACCTTTTATTGAAAGTCGAAGAGGATTAAATCGGTGCGAAATTTTAACATACGCTTTTTTCCTTTAGAAAAAAATCTGTTATCCTGAAAAGGGTAATGGAATAGAATTTTAGGAAGCAGCTATCATATATAAACTTTCAAAACGCTTAAAATTAAAATAGAGAGTACTCCCCCCCACTGAACCTTTTATCCATTTTCCTCTTTTTAAACAGTAAAAGCAAAATCTTTTTTCCTTTCATGTAATTGACTATGTCTTATTACATAATTGGACGGTGTGAGGAGTTTCTCGCTAAATTTATTAGTTGAGGGCGAGAGCCGTTGACTTGAAAGGTTTCTAGTACGGTCATTATTATTCAATAGATGTAATAAAACTGTAATAAATATGCGCAAAGGTCTCATATTCTTGACGTTTCGCTTTCATATCTAACGTTCTTATTGCACCATTAAAATCCGGTTCGAACCGTTTTTTTTCCATTCAATTTATCCCGTATATACCTGTATATCGTCGCCTCCATAAATCATTAAATATCTTCTGACATGACTGTATTATGGCCGTTTATTGAAACTATCGATTTCCTTAGAATAGGCAATGATAGACAAGATTGAGAAATTAAACAAAGTCGAGGGCACTAAATTTGAATTTATTCAAGTTTTTATTGATGCCAATTACAACAGACCCCCCCTCATTCCCTCTGGTTATCTTACAAGAGCAAGTCTTTTGATTTCTTTCTTTAAGGAAAGTCAGTTGGTGGTAATATTAGTTTTTACAAATTTGAGGAAGGGGAAGTAATGGAGGCGTTGGGTACATAGGACTACGGAAAAGAGGAAAGAGGGGGAGGGGGGAGGTGACGCGTGCGCGAAACGCGTCCGTCAACCCGCTCGCCGAGGTTAAACGTAGGTGAAAGGAGGGGAAAAGAAATCGCCGTTGACCGACGCGCGCCGTCCCCAACGCATACCAGCTTGCCAACATCCCACGGGGCATACACATGTCGTAGCCGCCGTCTAATTCTGAAACACGCTCGCCTATATAAGCATTTATATATACATACAAATTCAGTAAATGTATATTCTTTAAATAGACGCTGTATATATATAGCATAGAAAGCTGTTTAAATGTAACGCTCGTGTTTTTAAATATGTGGCCGATGTCGGGAGACAAGTGTAAACCCTTTGATTTTGTCCCTCCGGCTTTTCTTCTGCCCCGCAGTTGCGCAACATCGAAACCCTCGCTGAAACCACCCAAGAATTGTTCTGTCGCTCATCACCTGCTTTTGGCTTTAAAATAACCGACGACACGTAACGTTTTGGCAATTTTAATGCCTGCGCATACTTGAGGGGGTAGTATAACTCGTCCCTTAATGGAACTGATTTACGATAATGCATGCGGTTAAATCTATTTATAGTTGTCGATTAAATTTGGCAGAAAAATAATTAACGAATTTCACCATAGACCACCTCCGTAGATTATCAGCTACATATAGAAACATCATCTGTTCGATCACGTGACACTCCTTTTGAATATTTACGTCGACAGATGGTCTAACTGGTTCGATATATAATTCGCCTATCATTATTAAACCGTTTCTGGCATATATATAGCCCCATTGGCGATCGGACGTCAGAAAACAGAGAAAGAAAGATATCTTTTTTATTCCTTAAAGAAACGTATTCTATTTCCTTTAAATTCACATTTGATAAGTCGATTATAATTATTCCCGCCTTGTCCCACCCAATACCCGCTTCTTTCCCTGCTAGCCAAATTACTAATACTTGCTTTTTATCAATTTATCTGTCTAAGGACCATGTGACTGTCCCTATTCTATTTCAATGAAGCGGATTTTTTTAGTTTAAAAGTTAAGGAAAAATTGCGTCCAGTTAACATCTGCTCATTGCATTCTTTGACGGACATTAAATTTTTCATACTCGTTTCCAATAGCATATCTTTTACATCGAATTGTGAAAAATCTTGCCATGATCGTAAACAAGATAAATTCCTTTATTCAATAAATGAAACACTTCCCAGAGCTCGTTTAATCCGAATAGGCTTTGAATGATAAATTTTATCTTTCGTGTCGCAAGACATTAATGATTTTTTAATTATACATAAATATATTTTTTACAAATAGGTTTACTTGCTGGACCCCGCTATGATGAAGGATATTTGAGACCATTAGGTTCTAGGAACCGTATTGCTGAATCTGTCATTTCGCACAGTCAGGCTCCTAGCGTGTTTGAATCTGTTAGTCAAGTTGGAGCCGATTATCGACATTATGATGATAACAGACAGCGAAGATATCACGTAAGAGAAGATGTTAATGAAGGTGGAAGATTTAGACCTAGAGCTCAAAGTGAAGACACTCTAGGCGAGCTTCCTAAAAAGTTTCAGGAAGAAGAAAACGTGGCTAGAATGAATGAGGTACATATTTTTTCACTTGCTCTGATAAAGAGATGCCATCTAAAACAGCCCTCAGGCAAAATATGACATAGATGAATATATACCCTATTACAGTTCAAAATACTTTTATTCAACATTCATCACCTTTCGAACTTATAATACTGAACATCAATAGCATTTTTGACACCAATTGACACTACTGTCTATTATAACAAAATTCATCGCAATATCACATGACTAGAGGTGATCAGTTACTTATACCATTTTCACTACTTTCAGATGAATAATTTGAAATCTCAAAATATCGAAGACGACGCCTGTTCGAATAATTCCGATGAAACATTTTCAACCGAATTAATTGATAGAAAACTCCAAAAAGGTGGAGTTCAAGTTATACAAATGAATCCTTCAGGACAGCTGAGTCGAACAACCGTTCAATCTGTACAACAACCACAGCCAGTGCAACAACCGCCACAGCCGCAACAAGTAGTTCAAAATCCACCTCAAATAGTGAAAGGAGAACTTGTCCCACCAAACCAAGCATATGTTCCGAAGGAAAAATTAGCGAGACAAATTTCTTCAGAAGAACCAAAATCTCCAATTACAGTCGTAAGAAACGTTCCGGAAGAGGAGCCTGAAGAACGACCAGTAAGACACCAACAACCCCCTCAACCACAGGTAGACCAAAGCCCCGCTTATGAAAATATTAATAATCCAAAGAGGGATAAGCAATACTCGAAAGTTGATAACTGGCTAAGAGATCAAGAAGAAAATGGACCAAAGGGAGAAGGATCGCCAAAACCAGCTGCCCCACCTAAGCCAGCACCACGTCGAACAGCACCGATTACAACCACAGCCCCTAAACCTAAACCTCCTATTGCTGCTAAGCCTGTATTGAATTCTCCAGCTCGAAATGCAAAGAATGCTCATAGAGAAATTCAAGCTCCTGTCGAACAGCCAAGACACCCCGCTGTATCCCACCTTCAAACTTCCACAGATAATATGTCTGTGAGCTCTGATGATACTTGCGCCGACTTGGAGCACCAAACGGCAGCTCAGTTTGAAAAGAGTGCCGAAAATAATTTTATAGTAAGGATGGCAGATGGTCAATTAAGAGACATCAACCACTTACAATCGCAGCCTCAACAACATACCATTCACGAAAGAACTCGACCAGCAAAAACTCCATCTCCTACATATCAAGAAGAGCCTAAACGGCCCTATCAAAGCCAGCCCCAACAGCAATTTCAACAACAATTACCAAGAAAGACACCATCGCCAGAGTTACAGCAAAAGCAACAGCAACAGCAACAGCAATATTATCAGCAAACTCAAGAATCTGATGATACTAGATATTATCGAGAACAATCCAATCAGCCAAATGTTCAACAACATTTTACTCAACCCCAGCAAATGCAACAATCTCCACGATTCAATAAACAACGACCTCAAGTACCACAACGATCATCGTCTTTGAGCTCTTTATCCGGTAATGGCGAATTGGAACATGATCGTTCAAGAAACGGTACCAGAAGAATTTCAGAGAGAGATGATCGCCTGCAGAGGGATGTCGAATGGGGTCCTATTGGCAGAGTGATTGTATCTGTTGTAGGCGGTAACGCATGTGGTGTATTCGTAAGAAAAGCTGAAATAGAGGCAGCTGAAGCTGGCCTCAGGGAAGGTGATGAAATTTTGGCTGTGAATGATAAGAGAGTGAAGGGTGTATCAACTCTGGAGGATGTCTGTATGATGTTAAGTGCGGCCCAGAATATTATCACCAAATTAACAGTTGCTCACAAGAGGGAGGCCTACGAAAGTGTTTTACGTTCAACGGGTGGTGACAATTTTTACGTAAGAGCCAACTTCAGCGTCGAAAAGCCAAGTCAAGGTGAACTACACATAAAATCTGGCGATATATTTCACGTAACCGACACAATGCCTGGTGGAGAATTTGGCGCCTGGAGGGCGACCAAAGAGAATGGTGCCTCGACTGAAACATTACCCGGATTTATACCTAACAATAGCAGGGCCGAGCAAATAGCCCTAACACAGAAGCTGTCGGAAAGAAAAACGAGACCAACTGAAAGAATGGGTTTTATTCGACGTTCAATCAGAAAATCAAAATCTGCTGATAGATCCCATAAAGATAAAATCTCCGAACCCGAAATCACTGAAAGGCCCGTTGCCTATGAAAGAGTAACTGAAATTGTTGCTCGTGTTCCCCGACCTGTTATTTTACTAGGACCCTTTGCGGGAGCTGTTCGTCAAATGCTCCTGAACGATCCGAAATTCGGCGAGGCTGATGGCCCGGTCGAAATGGAAGATTGCAATCCCTCTCTTTTACCAATTAGAAGTTGTATGGCTAAACAGAAACATTGCGTATTAATCTTAACTCCTAAGTCTACAAAATACTTGATAGAAGAAACTGACGTTCAACCTATTGTTATATTTTTGAAAGTTACTAAACAGCTGGCCAAGCCATTAAAGGCAAAATTAGCTCCTAAATTAGAGAAGAAACCTGGACAAATTTATGATGAAAGTGTTGGATTTGAGAAAAAATTCTCAACTTTGTTCTCAGATATTGTTGAATATCTACCTTCAGTCGATCAATTTCTTAATTTCCTTAATCAAGCAATTTCTAAAAAGCAACAAGAAAAGAAATGGGTTCGGGTAGATGAATTACCCAAAGATGACAGCGATAGTAGTATGTTAGATCGAACCCACGATGAATCATCTATGGATTATGATGCCAGACTAATGAAGAAAAGCCAAAGTTTTGCTCATCCCGAAGAAGAGGCTAGATCAACTCCGACAAGATCGTATTCTTCGTCTAATGTCTTAGAAGACAGTCGAAAAGAAACTGCAGTAGCCTATGAGCAAAGCTCCACTCAACAACGAATGATACAAGATTCAATGATGATCGCCCGACAGCAACAACAGCAACAGGCGGCTATGCAACAAATGAGACAACAACAAGTGCAACAAGACCAATTGAGACATATTCAGCCTGTTGCAGCTAGTGGCGAAGGAGACATTATTGGATATGTTTCCAAGCCCAATGCTAGACCTCAATTTCCAACAACTAATGTTCGTCCTTATAGAAACCAACATCCCCAGCAAATGCATCAACCCCAAATGCAGCAGCATCAACCCCAAATGCTCCAGCATCAACCCCAAATGCAGCAGCATCAACCCCAAATGCAGCAGCATCAACCCCAAATGCAGCAGCATCAACCCCAAATGCAGCAGCATCAACCCCAAATGCAGCAGCATCAACCCCAAATGCAGCAGCATCAACCCCAAATGCAGCAGCATCAACCCCAAATGCAGCAGCATCAACCCCAAATGCAGCAGCATCAACCTCAAATGCAGCAGCATCAGCCCCAAATGCAGGAGCATCAACCTCAAATGCAACAAAATTATCCATCGCATGGTCCTTCTCAAACTCAAACTTCTAATCAACCTCATCGCATGATGCAACCTCCCCCACAACCTCCCCAACATCCCCAACAATTCAGACCAAGAATGAATCAACAGACTCAGGACATACAAGCGAGATATAGGCAGACTCGACCGCAGATGGCGCCAGTTGGTGGTCCAACTCAGGTAAATAGGCTTTTTCCTACCCTTTTAATAAGTTTTATCTTTCACTTACTAATAATTAATTAATGTTTTTAACAGAGAAAAGAAACGGACCTGTAAAGTAATATGAATTCTTCCTTCTATTCTGGTCAATCTGCCTTCAGTACTAGAAACTTTTAATGATACAATTTTACATTTACCAAGTTTTAACCCTTTCTTTTTGAAATGTCTTTTTTCTGTGAATTACTATCAAAGTTATTCACAGTCGCCAAACCTTGAACATATCATTTGGCTTGTACAGAATAGTTATTCTATTGTAATTTTTTTAGAGAGTGTAAAATTTTAAATCTACTCTGTGATGGAAAATTTCTTGTTCGCATTCCGACTAATTTTAAATATTATTTCTTGATTTGAACTTGTTTTATGGCTTGTTTGTTCTTTTTTTCTTTGGTTAAGATAATAAAAAAAAATTGCACTCTTAGACCTTTTACTTATTACATAATTAATTTAATTGACTTGACCAATCAACGAAAAAGTAAAAATGACGTCATCATTATAAGTTAGGTTACGTGTTCCACAGCTGACAGACGTGTACATTGAAGGAAGGGTCCTGGGAACCAGATAAGAGGGAATCCACTTCCATTCAAATCGCGGTGTTTCTAACGCCTATTCACGCTAGTTTGATATCGTTCACCATTTTTGTGTCGTTCTGAATATATTGATATAAAGCAAGTTATGGGAAAGATCGAGTTCAGCAATGGAGGTAACCAACATAGATAATTTAAACTCAACTATATAATAAACTTAAAATAAAGTAATTAAACATACGTAACGAAATAGGTTTTATTATAACTGAGCCCAACCCCTTAAACTCTTTTGTAATGAAATATGTAAATTGGTTTAATTTTAATTGTTGTTTAAAAGCAGGTAGTTATGTACCTTCAAAAAACGTCAAATTTGGATCAGCTCCTAAGTGTCCCAGATGTGAGAAAAGCGTTTACTTCAACGAGGAGCAGAAAGCCCTTGGAAGATCTTACCATAAGATGTGCTTTAAGTGTGGTAAGTTAAATGGGAAATTTCCTGTCTAATTCATGTATGATAAACATCACTTTAATATCAACTCACATCTGTTAAAATTAAGGGCAGTACTCTTCTTCCCTTTTTAAAAACAAGAATAATTTTATACAATAAGCCTAAATAAGCAGCTTACTCTCTTTTTTTATATATATATTAAAACCTTTCTAAAACTATAACCTATTTATTTTTGTCTATCTCCTTTTTTCTCTCTCTCTATCTATCTATCTCGGATGACACTGCTCAACACCAACCCCCCCCGCCCCCCCCCCCTCCTATCTTTTTTTCTATTTCGGTAGGACTATAAAAAAAGAATCTAAATAGAATACCGATTAACTGAGTGGAGTATATATTTTCTACGACGTATAATAATTTTAACGAATTTAAATATTATATGAATAATAATTCTTCATTCATATCTTTAGAGTTAAATATATCTATAAAAGTAAATATATGAAAGAGAAATTGTCATTATGTTAAATAGAAAAACTAGGATAAAATTGGTAGAACAAATCAAATGTATCAAATACGTTTATTCAATACCGATATGTCGGCAGGGGGAATAATAAAAAGAGTTTTTATGCCTAATGCTGGCTTTCAAACTTAACCTTAATTCTATATTTGAAAAAAAATGAAAGAAAACCATATGTAAGAGTATTATCGATCGATTGAGAGAGTATTTATTGATACCTATTTATAATAATGATCAACTTGTATTATCCAATCATTTAAATGAAAACCTTATTTGGTATGAAATATTTCGAATATTGTGAATATTTTGTAAATGAGTCATTTAATTGATAAATTACCATAATTGGTAAAATAACTACTGTGTTTTCGTCATACTTATGAAAGTATAGATGGAATACAATATAGATCAAGTGTATTTTTGTAAACTCCATATGGCCTTGTCTGCTTTACATATGGACCTCCCTATTCCTTTTACAAAAAGGCATTTTATATAGGCTTAAAATAGCAATATTTGCACGCTCTATAAACAATACCCCCAGGGTTTTTTAGTTATGTAATTTTCTTAAAGATTTGTATTGACAGACTTCTATTGTTTTTTTATTTTTTTTTAGCAAATTGCCAAAAGTTATTAAGCTCAACTACTTTAACTGATCATGAGGATGAAGTTTATTGCCGATCTTGTTATAATAAGAACTTTGGCGCTTCCGGTTTCGGATACGGTTTGACAACATCATTCAAAAGGGATGAAAGTCAAGCAAACAATAGAACAAGAAAGACATCAGTAGAAGCCAAAATTGATATCAATTACGATAATCCCGATAACTGTCCAAAATGCGGTAAAAAAGTGTTTTTCGCCGAACAAGTTCAAGCTTTAAGAAGAAAATTCCACAAGCTATGCTTTAAATGCTGTAAGTATTTGAAATGTGTAAATATGAAACAAAAGATCTAGAAATTGGACGTTTAGCCAAAGTTAAACAACTTCTTTTTTTTGTTTATTAACTAATTTCACTTAGATATTTAGATAATATTGAAATATTTCGGTTCAGAAAAGAAAGAAAACATTTAAAATTAGCAAGGTCTCAAATCGCGTCATTTTATGTAATTATGCAACATACAACACTTGTTGACAAGTAGACAAGTAGTAATATAATACATTGCGATTAAACTTGTCTGATAAATAGATTTTGAGATCTCTTGTCATCATTGTTTATTTTCCTTATCCGGTTCACAATCATTGCCATTATCTCTATTAATCAGAATTTCCTGTTTCGGTTCTTTCATAATTGTTATTTTTTTCTCTACTCTACTAGCTGTTTGTAATAAGCTCCTCCAACCTGGTGCTTGTTCAGAACACGATGAGAATTTATACTGCAAGAACTGTTACGGAAAGAATTTTGGACCAAAAGGTTTCAGATCATTTGTTGTAAATACAGAGGACACAACATCAGCCCTTTCAGCTCCCTTTAATAATAATGGACCGGCAAGTGGTAATGGGAATGGTAATATCATTGAAAGTAGTAATGGTAACAACAACGGAGGAGCAGGAGTACATCCAGTGAAGTAAGTTTGCCATAGATATTGCTTAATGCAAAAAAAAAATAAAACGTATTTATCAATTGCTAGAAAATCAATTTTAAAGTAAACACATGGCAATTCATTACGATCAATCAACTGGTTGCATTTTAACTCGTACAAATATTGAAATAAGCAATATTTTATAATTAAGTCTATACTTATTTGTAATCTAATAAAATAATATTGTAAACCATATTTTGTATAACAATAATACTTAATTATAAATTTCAGTCAAGGTAGAGAGTTTGAGGATGAACTTACTTTTGACTTAAGCAAGAATTTGTGCGAAGAAGATGATGAAATTCTAGAGGAGAAAGGATTCACCGTTGCTGGATCAACTAAATTATATTCAGCTCATGAATACGATTAACTATTGTACTTAATTAGTTTGGTGCTCTATTTACCTTTTCAAAAAAAAAAAAATATTTTTCTATCTAGTTTGTAGTTAAGACAAACGTTTCTATTTCTTCTCATTTTTGTTTCTTTATTAAATACAATATTTAGAAGTGATATAGAGTGTTTATAGTTAAACTCTGACAGTGAATGCTTAATAAACAAATTAGTTAATTAATTTTTCATTATCATTATGCAGCGTTTCTGGATAGTCTATATCATCCGTTTCCTTTCTGATATTCTCTTTTGCTGAACTATTTCGAATGCCATATATGAAATATATTAGAAATCCTAAGCCCATCCATATTCCAAATCGTACCCACGTTGGCCCACGCAGTTTAAACATCAGGAATACGTTAACAAAAATACTCAAAATTGGAATTACAGGTACAAGAGGAACTTTAAAATAAATGTCGTCATTGTTCTGCTGTTGTACAGCAACGAGAATGGTACAGCATAGGACGATCAATCCAGATATACTTATTAACAATAATGCCCACCATTTTCCTTCTGCGATTTCGTTCCCCAAAAAAGTCACATACATGCTTATTGAAGCAGATGCCATTACAATAGATAAAATAGAAAGAGTAACTTTATGATTCGATTCTTCTTCTATCCTATATCTGAGAACTAACACAGATATACCAACAAGTGTATATGCTAACAAGGTTCCTATTGACATCATATCAACCAAGGACTTTAAATCAAAGAGTAGAGCAAATATTCCTGCTATTAACCCGGCAACCATTGTAGCTCTAACCGGCGTTTTAAATTTATCATTGACAACAGAGAGAAAGTGAAAAAGTAAACCGTCGCTCGCCATGGCATAAATAACTCGAGGCACAGGGAACATACTTCCCAGCAGGGACGTTGTCAAACCACACATGGCTCCAACACCTATCACGTATTGTGCAATTGGATAACCAACTTGACGGAATGCTAATGGAAGAGCAGCATTTTCATCCAAATTATAATAGGGCACAAGAAGAGTAATTATAGTTGAAGTGGCCAAATATGCTAAACAGCACGCTAGTAATGAGGCTATTATACTCAAAGGAATATTTTTTCGAGGATTTATTGCTTCTTCTCCAGTTGTCGCAATAGCATCAAATCCCACAAAAGCATAAAAACAGGTGGCCGCCCCAGTGAGTATTCCCCTAAAACCGAAAGGAGCAAATCCTCCCGTTCCGTATCTAGTATTATTATGTAGAGAAGTTGTATTTATCTCCCAATTCTTTATATCCGCCTTAAACGCACCAACAGTAACAGCATATATCACAACAAGTAAATTCAATCCTGTGAATATAAGATTGAATTTTGAGGCTTCTTGAACGCCAACTGCAAGTATAATCGCTAAAACAATACATAGCGCAAAAGCTAAAAAGTCTGGATAATCTGAGAACATTTTAACATGCATAGGCATAGCTTCCTGAAAATGCTTTGCAATTACACCATTGAAAAAGCTATCCATATAAGCACTCCATGATCTTGCTACGCTGGATACACCAATTATATATTCCAATATCAAGTTCCAACCTATAATGAAAGCTAATGTTTCCCCAACTGTAACGTAAGAATAGACATAAGCTGATCCAGCTTTAGGTACTCTTGCTCCAAATTCAGCATAACAGAGCCCAGAGAGAATAGAGGCGAGTGCGGCGATGAAAAAGCTCACTATTACAGCCGGACCTAAAATAAAACAATAGTTTTTTAAATTACTTTTTTCTATTATATCTAATCAGTTAAACAATGTAAATCATAAGCCTCAGCTATATATAGTTCATAACTTTGAATCATTATTTATATTGAAAGTGCGCATTTAACATACCTGCCACATCTCTTGCAACTTGTCCTGCAAGAACGTATATGCCAGCTCCTAAAGTTGATCCTACCCCCAAAAAAGTTAAGTCAATCAATGATAAACACCTTGACAAGTCAGATTGCTCAATGGTACCCTGACTGATTATCTTCCTTCTTGTCAATATTGTGAAAATTCTATAGCATAAGTTAACATCTCCCATATTAGTGCAGAATCGATTTCAATTCTATCTGAAAAACGAAATAAAATACATATAACATATATTCAAACTTAACTTTATAGAAGTAATGCATTGTAAATAAACTAAATCTTGTTTAAATTGTCAAAACAATATTCGATATGGTAAACTGCTGAAGAGGATAATGAAATATGACTATAAACCACAAACCTTATTAAAAACGTGTGTATAACTTGAACTAAAATTGTTTTAAAATCATCTTTTGCAGTTTGGTCAACTATAAAATGCTTGATTGGAATAATAAACAATAAAAACAGACAAAGATCTCTCTTAATTGTCACATGACCTTACTTCCTTGTATACAAACTGGTAGATCCAGTTTGGTCACGTGATCTGTATTGAGGAGAAATATTGAAATCTCGTTGTGCTCTTTTACGAAAGCATGGGTAAGACTAGAAAAAAATCGACGGCCTCTAAGACGGTTTTGAAATTTGATGAAGAGTTACGAAGGTAATAAAAGATTATGATATCTGCATTGCTGTTATTGAATAAGTGTGTGCAGACCAATAAATGCTTGAATTGTTTACTGCACGGTACTTTATTAAACCCTATTATCGATCATTCTCAGTACATATCTTGCTGCTCACTCTCAACAAAAACGAAAATCAAAGAAAGAAAAGAACAAACAAAAAAAGGAAACGAAAATTGTAAAGAACAAGGTTGGTTAATGCTCTTCAGTTATTTCCTTCATTAACAATTAACAAATAATCAAACAGGTAGAGCCGCCTAAAAGCAACTCTAAGAGGACGTTCAATATATCAGAAAGAGAGGAAACGGAAGAAACTAATTCAGAGACAATTAAGCTACCGAATCACGTAGTTACAATAACTCATTTATTTCAAGGTGCATCTAATGCCAATGATGAAGATGAAAGAACTGAATTAGATGAAGAAGTTTGTAAATGGAATCTCTCTTTAACCGTAATAAATCGTTATTGATAATTACCTTTTACCCATTTTCAGTCGCCATCCTTGGAGAATAATGGAGACTTATCAAATAAAAAAAAGTAAGTATTATAAATACTAATAATATTAAATTTACTGAGCTTTTTCTTCAAATTTCCTATAATAGAAAGAACCATCAAGCTGCTAATAAATACCAAAGACAAAAAAAATTAAGGAAAAAGAAAATGATGGATAAAAGGAAATCTTACAAATCAGAGAAGACAAAACGAACAAAGCAAAAACGAAAGGGTAATAGCCGGAAGAGATAATGCATTACAGCGATACGAACCATAAACAAAAATCGCATTAAAATTGATAATACAGCGATGCATTAAATGTCACCTATTGAAACTTTACAAATAGAGATTTTCAGTTAATGTTATTTTATTATTCTTCGTTGTATAAATCATTTGTACAGCTCATAAATTCTATATTAAATAAAGTAAAAAAAAAAAACAACATCGTTTAGAGTATCCTATACTAAATATTATTCTATATTGTTTATGTTTTTCTACAAATTAACTTAGTTAAACATAATTTACAGTTGAAGAGAAACTCGTATTTTGGCACAATTTACTGATAATGATGTAAGAAAAAAAGCTAATTACGAAAAATATTTATCCATGTTTACGTTACATTCTTCATCTAATTTTTTACTATTTCGTAGAACTTACTCCAGACGGAAAATGTCCTTCATTTATCGTTAATATTTGTAATTTGTCTTCTCTTTTTTCTAGCCCAAAGTTCCTCACGATATGGTTGATAAGTTCAATGAGATTTGAAAGTAATCTATACCTCTAAAATAGATGACCTCTATCATTCATACATTGGGCCCTAGAAATGTCAACAAGTTTTTATCTTGTTAGCGAAAGTACAAAAGTAAGTTGGGTTCAGGTGTTATCTTTTTTGGGAGGGAAATTTTTTTCTTTACTAATTATCTTTATTTTTTCAGCTGTTTTCTGCCTTATCTTCATGCGTATGTGCATGTGCGTGTGCGTGTGTACTTATTCTTCATAAATTAGGATTTTGATGCAAATACACCAGAAATAAATTATCATATATGAATGCTTTGATAAGATTACCTGAATATTTTGTTTTTTTATTGAGATCTGTTACTATACTGAGGTTTATCAAAACATTTAGCTATCTTATATACTCCAAACATTGATATTTTACTTATAACAAGTCTTTATATACGCATACAATAGAAAAACATGGATATTTTTCTAGTTAACGCTCAAATTCAAATCGATAATTTCTCTGAGAGAAAAAAGAATTACAAATTTCTTTTGATCTTTGAACCAAATTTAAGGGTGAGGATTTTAAAAGAGTACTTATATTTTGTTCTTATTATTAAATGTGCAAGAAAAGCAGCCGCTATATGTTAGATGTAACATATTCTCTCGTATACTCTGTATGTATATACTGTATATATAAATTTATATATATATATATATATATATATACTGTATATACTAATATATAAGAAATCCGCCCGTGTTGCTAAAAGGCCAGTTAGTTCATCGGTAGAATACCATAGATAAAATATTGACAAGTAGTTGATAAACGAATATCAGCTTTTTGGATAAACTTTACGGAAAAACAAGAAATTCCTTGCTAAGTAAAAAAAAGTCTGGCTATCTTTGTATAAAAGGCAAGTAAATACTGTTGTTATTGTATACGGCCATACGACGTTACAAGCACCGGTTCTCGTCCGATCACCGAAGTTAAATGACGTACGGCCCAGTCAGTACTTGGATGGGAGACCGCCTGGGAACACTGGGTGCCGTATTCTTTTTCTTTTTTTTCCACCAAAATTCTATCGGTTTAATGTCTATTAGCTTTAGCCCGCATTTTCACTCTACTAATTGAATGCAATATGCTACATGATGATGATGACGACTTTATTAATTTTTTTAAATATAATTCTACCATCTGTAACTAAATATCAATATGGGTAACGATTCCTGCAGATGGCGTTTGCCCCCTTATGGTTCGCTTGTAAATTATAAACTTGCTAGAAGGTTAAGGGAACTGGAAGATGGTTCCAGTCTATTTTGATTCGCTCGACGAGTAATAGCCGCCGAAATATCAACAGAAGATATTGCACGTTGTTTTACTTCACCGTGAACTTTTACTAAAAGAGGAAAATTTCAACGGTTGAAAGAAGTTCAGTGATTTCAACATTTCAATTATGTTCAAAGATTTATGAGATGCAAAGCACATAAAATCGGCGTCACTAATTGACGTTCGATAAGTGAACATTGTCCCTGCAGGTTAGTTAATCTCTATTATTAGTAAATTGAGTACTAATGATAAAATTGTATATAAATACTAACGTTGGAGGGAAAGACAACAGTTTTTTTCAATTTTTTTTAAAAATGTGAAAAGCAGATTTTTCACAGCGGGCTACTGCAAAAGTCGTAATGAATTGCAGGTTTCACTCTGTTTTGTTTGCTTTCAAAGCGGCCGCGCTTTCTAGTCGGAAAACAGAAATCTCTGCTGGAATGAGAAATATACGTAAAAATAATACAATACATCCATCATCATGTCCGGACGCATCTCATTATTGATTAACGGCTAGCACACTTGTCATATATACTGGACGAAATCGATACTGCAATACGTTATTTGCGGCCGCCGTATTACAGTTAAAGGGTGTTGTATGGCAAGAGTGTCGGTTTACTTCGTTAGATTTAATCAATTTTCTTTGCAGCTGCTTTGTTTTGCAGCTGAAAAGGAAACTGCACTTGTCTAAATTCCATTAATCTAGGAACAAATTTTCTCAGGCTGCGAAGGGACGAACGTATATTCTCGCTTCGCTTATCCTTTAAGTCAGACGCCGTGATAATAAATCATTCGACACGCTCGACCCGACCCCTTTTTTGCTCCTACTGCAAAAATCTGCAACGTTTCATGCACGATTGCCTCCCGGTTATATCACAACGAGGGGTGTTTTGACGTCAGAGAGGAATAAAAAAAAACAACGAGACTGACCAAGATCCTTAATTATTTATTGATACTTTCGTTTAGTCGTTCGACTCGTTAAGTCCATATTTGCTCTATGGAGCTTTTACCATCCCCTCTTCTGAGTGGGCGTGAATAATGCAATGCGCAGTTGAGAGAGCTTATATAATAGGCCTGACATTTCAGTTTGTCGCATCGAGCGATAACGAGTTTGTCAGTTTGACTGAAGGCGTGACTTTTTTCTACCAACTTTTCCCCTTTTTCTTTAGATCTTTATTTTCCCGTCATCTAACAATAATCGCCACAAAAATTAACAATTTTCTGTTTTGACCGTACCGGAAATTATATTACGGTTTTTGCCAAGATCTAAGTTTGTCACGAACAACTAAACAACCTAGACACTTGCACTTTAGGATGTTGAGTACGTACTTTTCAAAATTGTATCTTTGAAATCAAACGCATAGAACTATGGAAAGCCATAAAAGTGTAATCGTAAAAATAGTAATAAATTCAACAAATGTACTACTATTGATTTAACTACTCGACAATGTAATCTTAACACGTTTTTTAGATTGCCTCAATTCTTCTTTTTTTATGATGTAGATCAACCATTGCCAGGTTTCTTTTTTTCGGATTTCCATTGATTTTTTATTGGAGGAGAGGGAGATAAAGGATAGAGAGAGAGAGAGAGAGAGAGACAAGGCTATAGAGTGTACAAATATAGGTACAAATAATAGAGGTAACGATTGTATATACCTTATTTAAAATATAGTATATAAATTTATATCTCACGTGTGTGAGAAAGAGAATTAAGTAGACAAGAAGAGAGAGGGTGAGAATAAAAGGAAGGGAACAATAAAAGGGGAAATGCCAATAGCTTTTGAACGAAAGCGATGGCAAATAAAGGATTTGAATGAAATATCTTGCTATAGTGCATAGTTGAATGATAAAAAAATAATATCCCGAAGATATCTGCAAGTTTCAAGTGTTTAACGACAGATTTCGAATTATATATTTAAATACAACTTCCTTCAGAGCTATGCGAATATCTATTTATCTGTGCAATCTGTCCTCTTTATTCACTTTTTTATATGGAATTTGTTTTTAAGGCAAACATTTAAATTTGGCTCTTGAGAGTAGGATTCTCTCTGTTTATATTCTAATAAAAAAAAGCTTTAAGTTCGTTGCTTTATAATATTTATGCTCAATTGAAAAAAATTATGAATCATTCAGTAATTCCCTACTCTTTCTTCTCATCTCTAAAAACAGTTACGACCAAATAATTAACTTTGTCTCATTGCATATACATCAATTTCGATTATACAGAACGGCTGTGCAGTGCATTTCATTGAAACTTATTTAATTCGTATCTTTCAAATAATTTCTCTATATATCTTCAAACCTCAAATTTTAAGTGAAGTAATAGCTAGATGGCTTCTGTAAAACCATATTACATTCGTATAAGCTTAAAGTTATAGTTACTTGCCTATAGCACACATTATACAAACGTCTTTTCCCAAGCGTTACATATATTTTTTTTTTGGTAGATTCATACATTATTCACCAAGTCTTGGTTTTTTATGTTCTTTCCTTTACCCAACAAAGTGTAAATTCATTTCTTTTTTTAAGCAATATTTATATATTATCTATATATTCTATATATATACTGTATATATATATTAATATATATATATATATATATTCAACATATTTCGTTTTTCCTGTACACTAATGGTAACTATAGATTTAGAAAGTATAGACAAAGAACAATACATTTATTAATTTGCTTTGTATAGAAGCTGTTCTCAGCCATTACTTGACGTACCAATTCGAAAAGTTAATTAATATTTTAAGGTTTTTATTTCTATTACTAAAATATTTAATATTAGAAATTAGTGTTTTTTTTCTTCCTCAAATGATAACTTTCATTCACGCACCTGTAAAAATGTTTGTATCTATTTATAGCTTATGTTTCTATTATTTCTGAAGATTTCCGATACAACACATCATTTACAGTTCATAACTGTTTGTAAATAAAGTAATGTCTGTTTTTTTTGGATACACGCTACAACACTGCGTACTGCAATATATGCAGTTTACAGACGTATTTATATGTATGTAACAATATTACATTAACCTTCATTTATTAATGTATACGGATGCTAAAAAAAATCGATACTTAAGGGGTACCAAATCGAAGACGGTCGCTCAATATCATTGTTGGCAAAAGCGCTGGAGCGTCGATTGGCTTGTGTCAATATTTTCGCGGGAATGAATATTTATCAGTCAAGGTTTCCTTTTTAGAATTCCTTTTTTTTATCATAGAATCACGTATGCCTTGTTATCTGGCCTTAACCCCTCACTTTTTAAGTGTCCCCAGATCACGTGATCGAAGGAGATTGCGTTACAGAGATTTTTTCTCATTTCTGATATACTAGATTGCAATATTATCTCTAGGCCTAAGTTATTTAATAGGAATTCTGAGGTAACCTCCTTAAGGGAGTCACTTGATCTGTGACGCCGTATTGAAAAATACTTAAACGCGAGAAAGGTCCATATCTTATAACCAGTATGTTGCCCTTCACACACATTTCCCGTTTAGCAAAAGTGTCACGTGATAACTCAAATGGGAAGTGGACGGAATTGGTTCTTTCGATTAACTGAATTATAGAGTATAGCAGAGGTTTCCTATATTTTGCTCTCTTTTTTCTCCATTTTATCATGTTCTATATTCATTAGCGATTACACAATTTGACTATCATTGTGAAACATGGAAAACGAGGTACATCTTTACCGGTTTATTTGATTTTCTACCCTTCTTTTCAGTCTTACCGCCAAATCTGTCGAATAAACAGGCGCCAAATCGAATCTGCTCGGTCGATTGATGAGCAAACTGTATTTTCTTGCGAAAACGTGGCAAGTGCATAATCCGATTCGAAGAGGAGAGCTGAGTCTCTACAGTTATCGGCCTTGATATCACCATCCCATCTTCGAAAGCCTTATTTGTTTTTTTTTCTCCCAGTAATCCATTCCTCCATTCTCCGTTCTATTTACAAAAAAGTACACTGCAAAATCCCTTATTACAATACGATTTTTTTGCTTTTTCTCCGGAACGGATATTTCGACTGAGCTGATTGATGGCGATTGGTCGTGCAGCTTTGATCGTGCTAGTTTGTCGCGAAACGGACTCAAATTGTTTACTTTTGTTACTTATTTATTTAGGTTTTTTTTTTCGATTTTATGGCAACTGCCTTCCGGTGAAATCTGTCTTTCTCTCTCCCTCTCTCCCTCTCTATTCAGTTATATAATATTTTTATCACCTTTGTTTCAATTGATAGAGTTTCCTACTTAACAGCCTTTGTATCAACTTTTGACACGTTAGTGTGAAATTAGTCTATACTATAGATTAGACATTTCTTAAGGCCTTTGAAGACTATCGAGTCGATTGCACGAGTATTGCGGATAGTTAGCGGCGCAATTTAACGTCTCTCGCCTAATTTACATTATGAAGCGGCACAATAGATTAGCTCATCGTAATGATCAATAGCACTCTTGACCTCTAAAACTACTTTTAATGTCGTTTGCTCTTTACTTGTACTATTTATTTATTATTAAAGTGAAATCGAGTGCTAAGCTCTGTTCTAAAATAGACGCTTTGCAATTATTCACAAAGTATACTTTCTCAAATATGCATAAGAATTAGATTTGCTGGAAAAAAAAAAGCTTTTTTCTCTCACTCTCCCTCTTCCTCTCTCTCGCTCATTCTCTATCTATTAATTTCAATACCCCTCCAAGAAGTCTTTTATTCGCTCCCACTTAAACCGTCTCCCAAAACCTCGTAAAAACAATATTACTCAGACAGCAATTGAGATATTTATAATTGAACAGTTGGCTTTGGCCATTGTCTCTAAGGACGATCACATGACTAATTTACAATTAATATAATCGAATAGTATGAAAGGATATTTTTATGAAAAGACAATAAAGATAAAGAAGGAAAATGACCTTATCTTAAAGATTAATCGATCGTTTATGTTATTTTTAATAACACCAATAATATCATAGTAATATATCCTCTTTCTTTTTGTTTAAGAACTAGAAAAAAATCAAACAAAATCCGCCACGGCTTAGCGATTTCCTTTACCTTTCAGCTCACGTCATAGTCAGGAAACAGTGCGTTGCTTTTACCAGTCACGAAAAAACGCCCTTCCCTTATTTCCCTTCCACTAATTTCATATATTAAAAATAATTATTCTATTAAGAGGATAAGTTTGTTAAAATCTTGAAGAGAATACGGCGTGGCGGACTATAGATATATAGTCAAGTATATACTTATATACTGAATTTAGTATTTATATATATGTTTTGTATTGTATTGCCTAGTTCAATTTACTTCATTCTATTTTTCTTTCTTTCACCATGAAACAGGCCTATTAGAGAATGCTAGCCTAAGGACTACAACTGGTATCCGGGTCCGATCGTATTTATATTATGAGCATTCGCTCAAATCCTTCGGTGCATATCGCGTACGCTTCTGCCTTAATCATCGCTATTCTATTCAAAATGGCCGGTAAGTTCTTTTTTTTTACTTTTACAATACTCTGTTTTTTGGGATTGAATAATATTTTTTCTTATGCTAAAACATGGCATTGAAATCTCTTCAGTTCTTTCTTTTGAAGAAAAAGTTTACTTGACATAAAGTCTAAACGCAGTTTTATCATTTTAGCGGCAATAATATTTTTATTCTAGGGTTTTTTTTTATTGCAAGAGCCGGTTAGCGTCTCAGCTGGTCAGTTGTTCGTTTCCCAAAGGATATCTGGCCTCAAATATTCCCAAGATACTAAGACTAACCAATTTAATGAGTTTCCAAGGCGTTCTTTCTTGCTATACATATACAATATATATATATATATATATGTATAAAAGAACGCAAAGTATTTGAAAGACGCTTATCTTTACTCTCTTAAAAAATGTCATCTCATAGATGAATCTCTTTAATTAGTTAAATTTTTGCATACCACTTACTTTCACATTTGACTGAATAAATATCATCGCTATAGCTCTCGAAAAAGGCCACATAGCTTACTTTGAAAAAGCCATATAAAACGGGCAAACTATGTCGATTATAGTCTCACACTTAAACGCAGTCGGGCGTTTCTTTTCTTTCCGCCAAAGCGTTCCGCAAATTGAATTTTTGTACTAGAGTCACGTAGCTTTTTTTTTCTTCACATATATTAATATTAAACTATCATTAATCTATACCTTACGTCGGTGATACTATGTAAACTTCTTATACCAACTCGAATCTCATTTTTATTACAAGATATATTTTTCAATCTTCTAATAATGTAGTCCTATAAATCGTAAAAAACCGTTGATATTTGATTGAGTGGCGGACTATTGTATGTTCTAATGCAACAAAAGAGATCCGAAAGTAAATATATGAAGTTACTAGAGCAGAGTATGTTGTATAATAATAATAATAATAATAATAATAATAATAATATAGAACCAAAATATAAATTGTTTATTCATCAATTTTCATATTATATTCCCCATATTTTTATTAAATAGGAGGAAAATGTAACAGTCAACAGGCCAAATCTTGTAGAGATGGTGGTAAGTTATGTTTTTTTTTTTATTAAAAAAATTCTTTTTTTTTTTTTTTGCATATATTCAAAAAACTCAACAAACTAAATAGGAAATAATCATTAATTATTAATATTTAAAAAATATAACAAACAAACAAACAGTAAAATAATCTTAAATCCTTTCTTTTATACTATTTCTTTTTCGTCTCTAATATTTTCGTTGAAGAAACTTTCTATACATATATATATATATATATAAATTTATATATATATATATATATATGTATATATGCAGTATAAATACATAAACAATACATATTGTATACTAATGTACCTATTAGTATTTGGTATTTATTGTTTATACTTTATGTTATATTGTCTACGATTTTTGTATTATTTCAAGCTTGTCTATGCGACATATATATATTCCTTTTCTTTTTGTAACGATCCATTCTAATACCGGACGTTATATATCCACTTTTTTATTTCCTATAAAACTCATGTAGCACGCACATTTGCCAAAAAAAATATCTCTAAGACTGCGCATGCGTGGTCTAGTTCACGGCGACGATGCTGCCTGCTACCGTGTTGTGGCTGGCGGCGGTCGATTGTATGACTATCAGTTTTTTATCAAATCATTCTTTTTAAATATTTCGCAGCCCAAAGCAGTTTAAAAGGCAGTAACCATGGTAAGGTCGGAGTGATAGATTCGGATAAATCTCTTATTATTATTATCATTATTATTATTTCTAATTAAGAAAAGATATGCATATAAATGTATATTAAAAGTTTATTAAAGTATATTTTTTTTATTCATGGATGAAAGAAGATTATTTGACCTCTCTTGTCATGTTTACTACTACTTTCAATTGTTATTATAGACTCATGAAAAAGCAGATAAAATAAAGAAAACTCAATTATTCCTCTATTCTTCCTCATTGGCATTTTTCCCAGCATATATACCATATATATTATATCCGTTTTCTCGAGATACAATTTACATAAAAGATATATTCAGATTTATAAGATGTATAAAAACGATATAATCCGCTGCCTTCTTTCATCCGTGATAAATCAGTGTTCTGTCGGTTCCCTTTCCCATCGCCGCCACCACTTTTTTGCATGATATTATTAGACTTATACGAATTATTTTTTCAGTAAAATATGAATAATATATAGATTATTTTTTGTTTTAAACAAGTTTTTAATAGTTTTAATAAAACAGAATGATTCCTCTCAACGAACTATGTCATTTGGTAAAAGGTGTTAAAAGCCATTTAGCAATATTAAAAGTTTTATTTTTAATATTTAATAAATATAATTTTCGAAAATCTCCATAGTAAGATTATCCTAAGGTGGAAATAATTGCCATATTTTCGTTTGGGGAACTCATCACAAGGGAAAGATTTAGCGATAATCGTTTTAAAAAAATTCTTGCTGATTCTTTCTTTATCTATAAAAACTTTATTTTTTTTTATCTTTCTATTCTTATTCTTTATTTTGCACGATATTTCTACCATTTTTTATTAAACAGTTTATTTAAATAACAGATGATTTTCTTACTGTAGCTAATTTTACCTTTTTCAATTTTTTTTTTAAAAAAAACCTTACTTCTTACTTCATGGAATTGATAAAAGTTGCGAGTGATCAGCTTAATGCTATATCTCCTGGTGGTGTTTGCGTCGCAGACGAATATGTTGGAGTATTTACCCACGAATGTACTGTTACCTCTTTCAAGCCTGGTATTGACTACTGTTGCTGTCAGCATCAGGGCAGGGCTATGTGCTGTCTTTATCATCAGAATTGGAACAGATTTCGCTGTAATCAGGAAGATGATACAATTGACACTTTTCCCTGGAAGCTAAACGAGAATAGCGGTTCAGATGGCATGTCTGCATTATCATTACCCCTTCTAATAACACTACCAATTGTCATCGTCCTTATAATAGCCATCGCATTCCTAGCCTATTTCTGGAAAAGGAGAAAGGCGAATCATGAATCAAGAAAGGATGGCGATGGATTGTGTTCTTACAAGTGTTGTTCTCCAGGTGAGTGCAGTAAATGTACTAAGATATTCAAGAGGTAAAAGTTATTTGCTCAATAAATAATACCGCCAGAGTGCGCTTGGCAAATCGAACGTCAAACATAATATTTTATGTACAGGGGTTGGCTAAGAAATTGGTGTGCGATCAGGTGTATAACATTCAGTAATAATCTCCCTTATATAGATTTCATTACTATATGAAAGGATAAGTTTGCCGCTAGACTTGCGTGATTAATTAATGCGGAAAAGACTACTTTTTGTCGCTGAGCTTAAAAAGCATTTATAACATAGCGTAACCAGTTTTTTCACCATTAATTGATAATTGATTTAGTGATAAATGACCTATATACAATTTTATTACAACATAAATATCTTCTACCTAGAGATTGCAATAATATGAAATATTAAGAGGAGCGTTACCAAATCGCTAGGGGTCGCTTCTCAGACGACAATTTCCTATTACAAACTTATAATATAAACATGCTGTATAGAATGGCTACTTTTTATAAACGATTAAACAAGAGAAACGAGAAAGTGTGTGAACGAGGAAAGAGAGAATGTGTGTGTGTGTTTAAAAGGAAATTCCTGTCTTTTCTCTCACACCCAGTTATATTATATCGATATCCTTCAATTTACATTCGCGGCCAAAGCTCAAAAGGTCGATTAATTTTGCTTAAAATGTTATTCCATTCCTTAAGGTATATCTTCTAAAAAGGATGATAACTCTGTTGGAAAAAAAGCAATTATTATTAAGGACCATATGCATTAAATTTTCTTTGGATGAATGGATCTTTTTTATAAATTAGCTTTGCAGCAATAAAAGTAGAAGTGTTAATTATTTGATTATATATAGCTGGGTTTTTTGCGCTTTTTCCTTGTTTTCCAACAATAAAATTAAAGTTGAAAAAAAAAAGCAAGAATAATTATTGTGAATTATTAAACCCAGTGTTTTTAATAATACGCTATTTAATCCCCAAAGTACCCTTTCTCCTGATAGATAACGCTGTTGAATATTCCGAGTAGCGTAAAATATAAATTCCTCTATCTACCAACAGATCACGATTCAGACGATGAGGACAAAGAGCGGGCCGTCGAGATAACGCATCAGAAATCAACGTCTTCTCCGGTCGTCGATAGGCACTTTTCGGGAGCTGTTGGTCTATTAGGCTTCCCTCTACATACTACCGAAAAATATCCGGGACCGCCTCCTGATAGAGAGGAAACAACAGGCTTGCTGCCTTCAGCTCCACCTCTTCCAGCCGAATTAGATTCCTACGCCGTATGCGATCCAAAAGGTGAAAGATGTTCAGTCGTATCGGCCGGCGAAAATGGATCCGAAGTAAATTACAACCCTCAATCATTTCGCGGACTTTTACCTCCACCTCTCTATGAACATCATCATCATCATAGGCCCGCTCCAGACTGTTAACAAGAAACTCTACGGCGAGTAGGATGTTAATTTGCCACTGTAGACTAACTAAAAAACGATAACACCAGACAAACAAACTATTGTTCTTCGTAAAAGTCTTTTTTTTTCGTTAATTTTGCGACAAGCCGCCATGTCTGCTTTTACGAAGACTAGTCTTTTCATTTTCATTTTTTCTTTTACTATTTTAAAGAAATTTTATGCCATACGTATAAAGAAAGTTTTATTGTTTTTAAAAAACAAACTTGCTGACGCCCACAAAAAATGCATTTTATGATTAAAATAAATTGATTTAAATGGTGCGTAAAATGTGCAAGTTACTTAGATCTTCATTCACACATAGACACATTTTCAAATATTCATTTTTATGGTAGTAATTTATTTCAAACGGTCTAAATGAATATTCATCGTATAAAGATAACAAAATAATGAAGCATAAAGCATAAAGCGCTAAGCATTTTCATTACTGCACGTTGAAATAACCAACAATTTCTTTTTATCGGAGTGTAAAATAAATAAAAAGCTGAGTGAAAAAAATGAAAATAAATTGAAAAAGAAAACAAACTAATAAACACAAAAAGTATATTTGTATGAATAATATTTTTTCTTTTATTTATCGCTAATATCTACTTGTCGAATGAATATTTTCAACTTAAGCGTTTCCTGCCGTTTTAGTTTCTTATTAATTCTCCTTTTTCCTATAAAACAAGTGAAAAATGTATTTCATTTGAAATAGAGAAAAAAAAACAATAATGAAAAGAGAAAGGTTTGATACAAAAAAGGATAAGCTTTAAAAAAAATCATCGACTTGACGCACGCAAACTACCTGATTTTCTAAATAGACTATAACACATTTCTCGTATTTCTTTGACGAAGTTTCGAATCTTGCTTTGACAAACTCAGCCGCAGCTGCAGATACAATCGCTGCTATAAAAAATTGCAGCTGTAGACGATTGATCGAAGGATTTCCGTTTACTGATTATTCGTATGAAATTACTCTTGTCCCCCAACTCTTCTTCTCATTTTTATTTGAAATATTAGAATTTTAATCGAGCAGTTTGCGAAATAATTTTGTTATATAAAGGAGAAGATATATCAAGAATAATCGTGTTTTTGCAACAAATCAAAGATATTCTAAGCGGAAAACTCTTAGAATGAGACTCTTATTTGAGAAATGAGAATTTTTTTCATACATAAACGCATTTCTGTGTATTAGAGTCATTTCTCAATGTATCAATTTATTCTCTTAAGAATTTCTCTATTTTTCTTTTTTTTGCTCTATGATTTGAGTACAGTTTCTTACATCTAAGCTTAATATCTTCTTTCTAGGAAGTTTAGTCAGTAGAAAGAAAATGAAAAGGGGAACAAGAAGAAAAAAAAACTATAGCTCTAAATCATAATCGTTTCAGCAGAAATTTGATGATGAGACGTAGACTGAACGTTCGTACCTACAGAGTCGCGTGGCGAAAATTACTTGAAAAAATATCAAGGTTATATTTCATAGTTTCCAATTACATAAAATACATCAATGATAATTTTTTGTAGTTCTTTTTTAAACTTATTTTGCATCATTACTTAGTGGCTTTTTTTGCAAACCTTGTAGTTTTAAAATATTGTACCATTTTAAATGTACATATTATATCTAATCCTTTCTCCTTTTAACAGTCAGTAGAGAATGTATGCATTGATCTATACTCACTTGTTCTTTTCTTTTCGTTGCATATCATTTACAGCTTCGTCTTCGCGAACATCGTCTACTTCAGTCATCTGGCCAGTGATTACTTTATAGATAAAGTGAATGATATACTACAATCAGAAAAATTTATTGTATGAGTTTAAATAAAGAGAATATGTTTCTTTTTCATTACCATAAACCAGTAGATGTTTAAAATTTGTAGAATTAATAGCATAACATTGAAGAATACGAATATCGTAAATGGCAAATTATTAGGTGTATATGTAATAACTCCATGAGTAGACGAGTATAGAACTTTGAGAGGATACCAATAGAGTCGGAACACGAACCTTGTAAAGGAAATCAAAGTTATTAATTCAGTTTATATATGAAGGAATATATAATAGTAAAGGAAGAGCATCAAATATAACGGTCATTTTATAAAATGTGTCTCTTTCTATATAATGTAACGAGTAAAAAAAAAATCTGATTGATTTGTTCTTTGATTTACAGCCAAATTGTAAATCAGGCAAGTTTCCAAAGAATTTCTCTTTACAAACGTGCCTATACAAAATATATATGCTTTTGACCAGTGAACGAAAATAAATTAACGCCTAATTCTTTTAGAAATATAATAACAAAGAGAAAAAACAGGCATTCTTGCAGAAAATAACTTTTATGTTAATTATATTCATTAATATGTATAGCTAGATACTGCACAAGAAATTTCTATTACTAAATAATTACTTTTTTTTTTAAATAAAAAAAGAATCATATTTCTATTATCATTAGTAAAACCTACTAGAGTATAATAGCTTGTTTATATTCTATTGACTTTCAATCAAACTTAATAAATAATTAATTCATTGTAATGAAAAATGTTGACATAAAAAGCTATAAAGCTTTAGAATCTGAAATTAACAATTGTTCTAAGTACCATGTTGAGGCGAAACTGAGAAATCCAACTGTACTGAGATTATTAAAGAGCCCAGAATATTTTCCCCCTTTCTTCTTCATATAAACCATACATTTAGTTCCTTCTAAACAAATATCAGTTATATCATGCAAGAAAAGAACTAAAACTCCAATTTTGTGGAATCTGTTAAATAAATTAAAGAACATAAAGTACCTGTACAGTTTATGCATATTTAAAACATGTATACAATATACATATATTTATTAGCAAAACTTCAGACCTTAGAGAGTATGAAAAGCCAATAAGTGCCATAGTTAAAAAATGGTGAAATACCATTACTAGAGAATCCTGTATGCAATTGTTAAAAATTAATTCAGATATTAATATCGAATGATAAACAAGAGAAAATACTACATATAGAGCATCTCCAGAAAATGATAAAGATAAATTATTAAATGAAATTTGTATAAATGTATACTATATGCATATATAATGCTTTGAATGGTAAAAAAGTGTCAATACTCTATAGATTAAATTCTTGTCTAACAATATCTCTGAATAGGTTGATTTTTTTTTCACCCAAGAAATAATAATTCTTTATTAAAAAAATGTTTGGATCTACGAAAATATTTGAATGTTGGTATGAAAACGCATACCAGATATTTTCCATTAGCTCTATTTTTACAATCTGCAAAGTTTGTTTATAATGGTAGTCATCTGTTGACCTCAACAATTCTTTGTCATCCTTAAAGCCTATTATAGGAATAAAGTAATTATGATACAAACTGATTTAATCTTAAATGACCAACACTTTTGAGATAATCTTCTTCATCAATGGATGTATAAGAAAGAATAATTCTAAAGGCACATAAATAGCTTTTAAGTGTATTTTCTGTCTTAGAAGACTTATTATTCTTTCCTTGATGTACATTAACGCTTCTGGCTTTCTTAAAAAAATCAACATTTTTTGATCTATCTGCACCTAGGTTTAATGGGAAATTTTCTAGAGATACTTTTATATCAGATAGGTTAAATTCTTCCTGGCTTTAATTAAGCCCAAGCACAACAAGTTCTATACACTTTTATCTATATAATCACCTTCCGCCAATGATCCATAAAAAAAGTTGCATAGACAGAGTGCATATAAAATGAGAATTGAATCATATAAATTCCAAAGACATCGCCAGGTATTTCGATTTCAGGTTTATAACCTAGTTAGCAGTTACAAAGAAAAAAATACAGTTTTTCTTTTTAAATGTAATAAAAGCATGTTAATTAATAATCGTTGGGGGGAAACTTACCTTTCCACACACTTAGTGGTTTATGAAAATAATCATGTTTTTCGCTAACGAAAAATAAATAGCACACATATGACCAGGTTGAAACATAGTACAATAATTTCCAAGCACTTTCTGGAAACTTTGCAACATCCGCTTTGGACAATTTTAGATGAGATCCCAATGGCTTTTTAGAGTAAAGTTGTCAAATAGGTTTTTTGAATGGTAATTATTATTTAACTCTTATATTTGAAACGTACTTTGAATATTAAAAATTGAAATAGATAGCGGATGTAAGTTATTACGGCTGCGCCGGCAATTGCTATATATATTTCGCTATGTTTTATCTTAGCTCGACTATATAAATCACTTTGAAAGGTAGAAAAATAAGAAGCATCCTTTTTCAGAGTTTTGGGATAAATTTCGACTGAGCTAATAGCTTTTGTCACTAAATCAAAATAGCTTGGCAACGCTTCGCTTTGGTCGGTAGTCTCCATTTTAGTTATGACACTTTTCGTATAAAAAAAATAAAAATTAATTTTAAGCCTTAAATAAAAATAGAAATATACCTTAATTAATTACGAAAACAAAATAAAAAAATTTCGGATACGAAAATAACTTTCAATGACATCCGGGGTAAACTAAACAAGCAAACTAGCCAGAGAAGTTTGTGGGATTGGTCGCTAATCAAGAAGTTATGAAAATATCTCAAATGATAAGCAACTAATTCAAGATAAAGGTAAGATTATTAAGAATTATATATATAATTTTTTCCTTAAAAAAAAATATTATAAGAGGCGCTGATTGGATAGTATCTATCGGTTCGGTTGGCTTAGTTATATATGGATCTTCATTGTTTCCCAAAACTTATTTATTTTTATGCGAGAAGAGAAAAAACGTTCTTGAAGAACAAAGAGAAGCTTGTACGATCGATATGAGAAGCATAGCGTGTATAGGAAGACGGTGGTAAATCGATGATAGCGCATTCGTCAATATTTCGTATTTTGGGCTTCTGGCCAAGAAGTATCGGCCGCGTAGCCGTTAAACAATGTTTATAGTCGATTGTACTAGCATTTATCAGAAACCGATTTAAATGACGCCTGTTGTTAAAAGGTGAATGGGAAATTACACCACAAAGCATGATCAGTCATTATTTGTCGAGCGTTCGGCGTCTATCGTCTATTACCTTGTATTATTGAGGTAAAAGTTTTCAAGCCTTGCTGAATGAAATAACCGAATTACAACTGTTGTAAAAAGCTAGGCCGTTTGAATCTTCCGCGCACTTAAAGCAAGGGATAATTTATCAATCGTTAAGAGTATCGTGTTAAGGGAAGAAAGAGGTGAAACGACTGTTTTATTTTAAATGAATCAGCTGACTGACGTTTTAAATGTACCGTTGATATCTTACTCTATCCGATCAAACAGATGAGCGTGAAGATTTGCTCCTCCTCTCGCCTCCAGAACTCGCCAGTTAAAACGGCTAAAAGGCAGACCGGTTCATATATGGTATGTATTATAAATAGGGGTAGGCTTCAATTTCCAATGGCCGCCATGTTTTACATGTAAAAAACCTACCCCATGCCTACCCGCTTACCTAATCGTACCCTTTCTTTGTTCAGTGCTCGCCACCGACCTCCGATTTTATTAAAACCTGCTCGCCCCCACCCGTCCAAAAGTTCAAGTGTCAAACGCCGCTGAAAAGTCCCTGCACTACTCCAAAACGTAGGAAGAGGAATAATCGGCGTAAGTTGACTAGTCTCTTTGCCATTTTTTTACTTTTTAAAGTACGATAGCTTCGACAACAAGAAGAGGCATTTCTTTTATTCTTCTAGCAGTTATGTTACTGTTTTACTTGTATAAATAACTGTTACAGTTGTTTTGACATTTTAAGGATGAGAAAACTGTTTTTGTAAGGCATTAGAAGAATTTTTTTTAGGAGTTTGCTTTCTTTGTTAAAGATCGTCAGATAAGATATTTTAAAGCCGTGCTAAGCGTTAATTATTTTTTAATAGCTTTCGGAAGTCGAAGACGGCGGCGTCGAAGAGACAGCGGATCTATTTTCTCTCCGGAATTTGTCAATCGTGAGTAAATTCAAATTATTTAATATGAAAGGGAATAGACGAGTAGGGGGTGACTTTCACGACCCTTTTTGAGTCCCTACTTAAGAAAGGAGACCTCTTGAATAACGATGGAATTTCTATCGGGCGATTGAAGACGATCGCATTTGTAAAAAACACTGTCACTTAACAAAATTAACTATACCATTACACTAAAACTCATTATTTAAAAAAGTAAAATTTTTTCAGCTGCAGTTGGTCAGAGTGAGCAAGCAGCTACAGCAGATGGTGAGATTAAATTTTTTATCTCTATCTTTCTCTCGCTCTTTTTTTTCTTTTTCGATATCGTATTTATATAATTAATTCTATGTGCCTGGGCATTTAGTTTACCCAGTATAATTACGTGTTTATTCTCTGTATCAGAATCTGAATCAGCGGTCGCACCAACAACTAATAGGGAACCTTTGGCAGACGTTCCCGACGAGCTGCAGGTGGCACCGGACGACGATTTTGAAACGTTTGTTTTTATCAAGAATCTACCCCCTGAGCAGCCTCTCGAAGGTACTCCCGCCTTACCTATACGGACTCGAAGAACACCAAGATATTCATTGGTGTTAGATTTGGTGCGTAAAAGTATTTTCGTTTTATTTTTCTTTATACTCACATCTTTAGTAACAGTTCAAAGTTGACTTTTATTCGGGGAAAGTGAAGCTTTCTTCCCGTGTTTTTTTTAAATTAGGCTAGGCGGAAAAGCCTAGTATATCTCTCTAAGTTAAACCAGGATTCTTATTTGCTTGTAACTCGAAGATGATATAGGAATGTTTTTACCTCAAGCCTTTTTCTATTGTTGTACTTGGTTAAACTTTCCTTTTTTAGTTATTTCATGATGAAAACCTTTTGATGACAAGATATCAATAATTAGAGCAAAAGTAGTACTAAAGACGCTAGTACGTTCTAAAAATCCCTAAAAGGCGTGCCTCTTTTGTCAATACTTTGTTTGTAAATTAGGAGATTAGCAGGACTATTTTTTGCCCATGATCTGTCAGTCTGTCTGTTGATTGTCGATTGACGGAAAGCATTAGAAAATTAGGATAAACGGTAACGTTTATAAAAATAAACATTTCCAAGTGTTTCTCATTATTCACTCTATATTATAGATTCGCAAGCACATGTTTAAATTATAGTATAACAACGTGGTGACATGTAATTATTGTCTGCTATAACCTACGGAGATCGCCTCAGGTCTAGGGGAAGCCTAAAGCGAGTAAAATCACGTGATGAAATTATAGAACTTTAAGGCCTAATCATGTATACCATGCTGATGCCGGTTCAAAGTTCTAAGAAAATTTATTTATGTTCAAACACTGTTTTTCACATTTTCATAGTATAAGTTCTATTGAAAGGTAGTCTTGTGTCTATAAATTTGAGATTGATGGCTATTAAGTGTGTTAATGTGTTTATATTTCTTATACAGGACGAAACTCTGGTTCACTGCAGTCTTGAACCAATGACCAGCTCAGACTATGTGTTTCCTGTCTCATTCGAAGGCGTTACCTATCAGGTTCACGCTCGAACTCGCCCGTATCTAAAGGAATTTCTGACGCGAGTTTCTCAGTTGTTCGAAGTTACAATGTTCACAGCTTCAAAGAGAATTTACGCAGATAAGCTGATGGACTTGCTAGACCCCAAAAAGGTTTACGTAAAGCACCGTCTGTTTCGGGAGCACTGTGTAATCGTTAATGGAAATTACGTCAAAGATTTGAGGGTGTTAGGAAGAGAATTGCAAAAGACTATTATTATTGATAATTGCCCACAAAGCTTTGGATATCAGCTGGATAATGGTAAGCATTCCCTTTCCCTTATCTAAACAATTTGCGCACGCCCCCCTCTCTCCACCCGTATAGCCGGCGTCAGATTGCCTGTGCGATTAGACTCAAGAATAGTACTTGATTGCCAGAACTAACCGAATAGAATCGATCGCAGAAAGCGTTTATTATTTAATTCCATTTACCCTCCAGGCATACCGATCGAAAGTTGGTTTGACAACGATGACGACCGAGAACTATTGCTACTATTACCTTTTCTAGAACACCTGTCGTGTCTCGTGAGTATATTTTAACCATTTAGTTTAGTTAGCGTTATTAATTGATTACCACCTACCAATTTTCACTCTCGTTCTCTTTTTTGTCCGTAATAGGGAGATCGTGGCGACGTCAGGAGTCATATACGAAAACGTTTCAGACTTCGAGAACGTCTACCAACCGATGAAGTGGCCAAACAATATCAAAAATTGCTTGATCAGCAAATGCAAATTTAAAATCAGTCTAGCAGCGAATTTATTTTGAAAATTTTTTGAAAGTATATTTTTTGTTAGGATTCTCTTTAAGGTTTACTCTCCTTCAAGAGTTTAGTTTATTTTTTCACGAATACGGCGATGATGCACAAGAGTTTAGTGCCTTAGTTTTTCGTTCCTTTTCTTTCATATTTTTCCCTGTTTTCTTTTTTGCTCTAGTTTTGGATTTTTTTTTTAGAATGTTTATATAGACTTGTATTTACAAAAATTATCAATTATATATGCAAATGGGGTTATGTATATATATATATATTATATAGATGTTCATCGAGCAAAATTTAAACGAAAAGAAAGATAAACTTTAAAGTCAAAACTTTTATATTAATTGATCAGTGTTTATCAGCCGATATATGCTGATATTAATAATCACTGCAGTTGTTAAAAGCTATTCTATAATGTAAATTTGAAAGGAATGTTTATTTTTTTTTTTTGGTAAATTATTAAAAATATTACGGGTCTAAAAATTAACTAATCTTTTAAAAAGGAACAGAATAAATAATATACCAACAAATTATATAAAAACAATAATGTATTTAATCGTACTTATTAATTTTTTTTGTCATAGTTCAAAAGAAAAACTGTTCAGTTCAAATCGATGTCTATGCTGAATATGTATTGTTTCTTTTTTTTTCTCTTTTTAGTTTGATTTTGGGTAATGGTTTTTTTAAAAAACCGTCAAGATACAATGTATAACTGTCACTGTTTTCTGCTTTATCACACCTTATGCAATCTGTCAACTCAATTTTTACCTTTTTATTCGGGAATATGTTTACACCTGTTTAACTTTCTAAATATTTCCGTCGAAAATAAAAACGTCCTTGTTAATTTTTTTCCTATCAAATAATTAATAGGTTTTATATTTAATTCTTTTTCAATATATATATTTCTCCTAGATCTCTTTGACCTTGGTTAAGGTTGGTGTATTAGTCATAATTCTTCATTTCAAAAGTTAGTTACGCTTCTTTAAAAAACTGTAATGTGACTCTGATTCATTTTCTTCAAAAGCTGTTTCTACTAGGCTTAAATTTCGTAAAGCAATGTCCTGCTTTTCGTGCGTTTTTCGATAGTACGGTTTCTAGTTCCTTGTTCAAAGATATCAGTTTGAATAAGTTAGGGAATATATATACTTTTTTATGCAATATTATTTTCTGTTTACAATAATAAGTTGATGGTCTATTTTCTTTGGAACGTAGTGACAACTTCTTAAATACTCAAGCGAACCCTCGTGCTAATGTTATCATTTAGATATTAGAATAATGAATGCGTCTTCGCTATCAGCCGTATGCCGCGGTAGAAGAACCCCATCTCCAGATATCCTTCGAATAAGCAACGAAGAAGACGGCGAAATTAAGGAAATGATAAGGAGAAAATCTCAAGCAAATGGTGCTTCAAATCAAAATAATGATCATGAAGGTTGTTCTACTAGTCTTATATTTAAAGTCTATTTTTAGGTTTGAAAAAAAAAATAATAACACGCGTTAGACCAGTCAATAAAAACAACATTGATTTGAGAGATAACAAAAGGCATTTAATGACGTGTCAGGAATCTCTAAATTAAAAATAGTCTTCTCTATTCCTTCTCTTTTCATGTTAAACAATTATCCATATTGTTTTAACCCGATTATCTAGAGAATAGAATCCATATTTATTTCTGACATTGAATGTAGAAAACGAGAAATTATACGTTTGCAATAACATTGTCCAATCAGTCAATATTAGTACTTCGTAATGATTGTATAATTATATGAAAACAATAAAGCAGTACTGTTTTTCACGCTAACTTATTTTTTTTCCTAATTGTATAGATATTACTATTCGACCTACTGCGTTTGGTACTTTCTATCTTGAAAAGGAGCAAAGTTTACGTTTTAGACTTCGATATTTCTTTATGAATCCATGTCAAAAATATAGGGCAAAAGGCATTGTACAATGGAAATTATTCTTTCAAGTCTTAAAAATTATTCTTGTTACTATTCAACTGGTACTTTTAGGAGTTAACGTTTCTGCCCATGTAGAATTTATAGAAAGAACAAATACGGCTTTTCAGCATTTATTCTTAAAAAATTGGACTGCATCATTAGAGACTATGCCATATCCTCCTACCGCAGGATATTTTTCAGTTTATACTAAACCTGAATTATACGCCAGCATTAATTACGTTTTGGAGCGAGTAAGTTTATTCAGTATTAGAATTCAGTCCATCACGCCAATCTAACTATCTATCTTTATTAATAGTATAATAATACAGAGGAATTAGCCATAGGTGTTTTTCAACTCTTCAGACAAGATGATAATAGAAGAAAAATCTATCCCGTGGACATGTACGTTACACGATATGAAATGGGGAAAATATTTCCGAATAATCAAAGTTATGAATTCAATAATAGACGAATTACTGGTACGTAAACAAGCGTGTTTACTCTTACATGATTTACTAATGAATAAATTAATATTAATAAATAATACTACAGAAAAAATAGAATTAGATTGGATAGAAGAAGGGGGAAAAAGGGTATTTGATGTTGAAAAATTCCTCTCAATGCAGAACAAGTCACTACACTTTGATAGAGTAATTTTAATTAAACTTAAATTCGCTTTATGGACTGTACATTTGAAAACGAAGAGTAAATTCGATACGCCTGATTGTATACGATTTGACGTGCAAGTAATAAAAATACAAGCATAGCTGTTCCTCAATCAAAGCATTTCAATGGCACTTTTGTTTCTATAGATTTCTTACGACAATGCAGGCCATAACGGTCAAGTACAAATTGATTTAGAATCAGAACTACAGATATTTGATGACTGCAAAGGGAAAACCATTTTTTCTGGTACAAAAAATACAACTATAGTATTATTGCCTTAATGTAATAGAAGAAAATCTATTTTTTATTATTTATATATTAACAGATGACAATAGAAGTTACATAATTGGAATGACAGCTCTCGATTGTATAGTAATTCTTGTTAGTTGTCTTTCTCTTCTCCTATGTATTAGATCAATTTTGAAGGCGATGTATTTAAGAAGAGTAAGTAATATTTTACTTGTTTCATTTCAATAACGTAAATACGAAGTACTCTGTTATTGTTAAGCAATAGCTGTATACGTAGTAAAAGTTGACCGATTTTTTTTTATTACTAAATTAGGAAACTGTGAAATTTTTTCAACAAAAATTCGGAAAAGACCTAAGCAAGAGCGATAAATTAGAATTTTTCAATTTCTGGTCAGTGGTTCTCTTAATTATATAGGACTACATTTCTAATTTTTTTTTCTTTTGAAATTACAGGTATCTAATGATTGTAACTAATGATGTGCTAACGATATCGGGTTCGATTTCGAAGATAGCTATTCAGTTCAAAGTAAAGACTAAAGAAATACATTGTTTTAATGATAAATAGACTTGTTAATTATTTTCTTAATTTAGATGACTACCAATTACAATACGTGCTGCCTCCTGTTGGGTACTGGAAGCCTTTTTGTTTGGTTTGGAGTGTTAAGATATTTGGGATTCTTTCAAAAATACAACGTAAGTTTTAATGTTGTTTTCTCTTTACCCAATGGAATTCTGGTTCTATTCGGTAACTTATCACAAAAATAACTATCCATCAGATGGCGCCCAGAAATAATATATTTTAACTATTAGCATTCATGAGAAGTTATAACTAATGATTTTATCTTGCTTTCTTTTTTTTTTTAGATTCTGTTATTAACTTTAAAAAAGTCAGCTCCAAATTGTCTCAGGTTTCTCGTCTGTGCGCTTGCATTTTTCTGCGGCTTTGCTTTTTGCGGCTGGGTAGTACTTGGCCCTTACCACATAAAATTTCGTACACTCTATTCATCTTGCGAATGCCTCTTCTCCTTAATCAATGGAGACGATATGTTTGTAACGTTTGCTGCTGTCACAAAACCGGCATATATTTTCTGGTACTCGAGGGTCTACCTGTACGGCTTCATAAGCTTATTTATCTATATAGTTCTCAGCGTCTTCATTTCAATCATATCAGATGCTTTTACTACTATTCAGGTACGATTTCCAATCTACTGTATAAATCTCATCACGCTAAAATTTATGGTATTATTTTTCTTCAGGATTGGTACAGAAACGGCTATCCACGTAGCGACTTATTCGCATTTATAGAAGAGGAATCGAATATACCGACTCCTCCTTCATCTATTTATAAAAAGGATAGTGTAATGGAAGAATTGCGTTGCTTATTCTCGTGCTTGCCATGTATAAGACATCGAAGAGACAGGTTAATAACTTATTACTTTATACAATTGCTTTTTGTCTAATTATAATAATTTTCCATTTGTTCTTTTCCTGCTTATTAGTGAAGAGACGCAGACGTTGCTTTCCAGTGAACATTCTTGAGAAAAGAAATTGGTTATTAAAAAAAAACTGACAGTATTATTATACTTTTTTCTATTTTAGTTTATAAAATTCTTACACTTGCATTGGGTTATCTAACTATTTTAAATAAGTTTTGTTGTACAAAAAAACATATAGGAAGAATATACACTATATATTTATAGAGAGAGAGAGAGACAGAAAGAGAATGATAATAGAAAGATTGATAGTACTCGAAATATTTCGGGAAATTTTTATCCTGACATAAAATTCCCTTGGTATTTGATTTCCACTTTCTCCCATTATATTTTAATATAATGTGTTTAATGAAACGTTATAGAGAAAAAATACTTTGTAGCTGAACAAGAAATCTCTTTGTTGAATGAAGAAAGGAGAAAAGAAACAAGTAAAATCTCTCGATAATTGTATTATCTGAAATTGAAGCTAACTGTGAAATCGATAAAAGTCAATTTTTTTGAAGACTTAAAAAATAAAACTAATTTAAAGTAATTCTAAATCGGCTATTTTGACCTTCACTTCCTTTTCCGACTTTTCTTTGCATTTTTGAGTCTTCTCATTCCCTATATCTTTATCCTTTTCACTTTTTTCATTCGATATTTTTTCCAAAATGTCTCTATCACTTTTAGCTTCATTATTGTCCATCCTTTCTACCGTTGACATACCTTTATGATAAAAAATAAAACGATTATAAATCTTCCGGAATTAAAGGCTAAATGTGGTTTGGAAAAGAAGAAAGCGGGGAAGGAGAGAGGAAAAGGTGAAAGTATCGATCAATCTGCTTACCCAATTGGAAGAAAGCGTTAAAAACCGGAAAGAAAAGTAAAACGTAGTATTATATAGAACGACGGGAGAGTTTTACTCGAATATGAGCCAATCGATGCCGTTAAGCTTTTGTAATAGAAAAAATTGATCTACAGAATATTTTTTATTATAGTTTTTACTTTATTTTTATAATTTACTTAAAAAAATTTCATTACCGTTCAGTAAAATCCTTCAAAACTGGTTGAGTTCAGATTCTCTCTTCGATTCTAAACTTTCGCTTAACTGCTCATTGAATGTAACTACCACTCTGCCTCTAGAATTGTAAAATATTCACTATAATATGCTCCAGTCTTTTATATTAATAAAACAATAATTGTTAGATTTTAAATACTGTATAACCTCTGTCTTTTATCAATAATTACCCAAAGCTTTTAAGATAAAAGAATATTAGAAAAAATATAGATATATTTGTATAGAGAGAGAGAGAGAGAAAGAGTAAAATGAAAGGTGTAATCAGACAGACAGAAAGAGAATTTCTGTCCTTATTCTTTATACACCTTCTATCTTTATGTTTTTTAAGTACTTTCTTTCTCTCCTTCTCTTCTTAACTACATTACTCCTTTGAATTGAATGTTTAATGGAAATATTTCATCAAATTAATTTGCTATTGATTTGGAAATCTTATCGATTTTGATTTAATCTATATTGACTTGTTTACACTTGAGAAATTCTTTGAGTGTATTGGGAGTTTGATGGCGTTTTTTTCTCTATTATTTACAATGTTTGCCTTCTTGTTTGTCTTGTGCTCTGCTATAATTTATTGTATACGTAGCAAATTTATATTTGCATTTAGTTCGTTATACCTTAACTATAAAACATTAATTAATAGTCATGTATTGAAGACGTAAGAGATGGGAATATTAATAATTTAGGAAACAATTTTCCATCTACTAAACTAGTCTATCCTGAAGTTATAATGGTATTTAATGGCAAATAAAACTGATGTCGTACCAATTTCAATTGATTTAAAGTAAAAGCTTACACTTAAAGTTAGTATACATAAACACAAAAAAGAAATAACCTAATAATAGAGTTTACATATAAATGGAATGATAGCATAGAGAGAATTTTAAACTTTTAGCTTGAATTACTTATAGCACGGATAAATTATACATTTTGATCTATCTATTGTGCAATACATAGTGTCTGTTACCGTAGGAAGAGTCTATGACTTATAGGCTCCTACATTTATCTGTGCACCTGGTCGGTTTCCATCACAGTTGATAAAGTATAAATATAGCGTAATTGTTAGTTCGTGTTATTTAAATAAAAGAGATTCAAAGATGATGAATCGAATTTATTTCTTATATGTCCTAATCAGTTACTCAATTTATTTAAGCGATCAATATCGTTTGAAAAATCCTGAAAATGAATATCAGTATAGTAAAAACAGAGATAGTTTGATTGCTGAGGAAGAAAAGCTAAGCTCAGTTGATGAAATTAACCTTAATGATGTAATTTTTTTTCGATATTTAAAAATAGATCTGGCTGCTTACCATTGTTCTCTAATATGCCTTTTTTCTCATTCAAGGATGAAAAGATTGTTGACAACTATTTGCACTTTCTTAAAGTTAACGAATTCCTGAAAACTTCTGATTCGAGTGTAGGTTTTCCACCATCTAGGCCTATCGAAGAGAAGCTAGAAGATATAAAAAGATCTGACGTTTATAAAGAATTGATTAATCTACCAAAGGGAGGAAATATGCATACACATGAAAGTTGTTTATTTGTCTTTATTACTGTTACAAAAAAAAACATTATTTTCCCCTTTTGTTTTACTAGTTCATATTGTTGGTCAAAGAATTATGTTGGAAGAAATGTTCAATTCAGAAGATTTTGAACACTTATACGTAATTGAAGAGAGCACCATTTCCAGTGCAAGACTACACAATGTTGATTTCTTTATTAATCCTCCTCCAGAAAGTTCGGGGGATAAATGGGTTCAAGTTAAAGATAATCCGAATTATACTATAGATAAATTGATTTCGAAGCATCTTCTTATCAATATTTTGACAGACCATGCTAAAAAGTATCCCACTGATAGCGCAATGAGATGGAGGCTCATGAACACTTTGTGGGGTAAAATTCAGGGTGCACTCAGACATAGAGATATAAGAAGAAAAATGCTCTGGAATCTATTCGATTCTAGTTTAAAAGAAGGTGTCCAATTTGTTGAAACGAGAGCTAATCATGGGGAAAGAATCTACGTTCTAGATAAAACTGGAGCAAGTGCGAGCACCTTTGGAAGGAAATATTTGGATACGGAAGATGAGTTCGTGGGCCAAACCTATTTACAGTTAACAAGGGAAGTGGTAGCTGAGTTTAGCGCTCAAAATCCAAACTTTATCGGCTATAAGATAATAATGGCGTCTAGTCGAAGAGTAACAAACGAAGGTTTGGAAGAAAACCTTAACATAGCTAGAGCAATGTTTGAGAGAGCGAACGATTTGGTTAGAGGAGTAGATATGGTTGCTCATGAAGATGCTGGAAGATCTCATATGTTTTTCCTAGAAAATCTAGTTAACACATCTAGAAATCCTACATCCTACTTTCACGGTGGAGAAACTAATTATGCTGACGATTTAATTATATCAAGATTCGATAGTGACCCAGTAAATGCTTTACAAAACACCTACGAGATTGTTCTCCTAGGGGCTAAGAGAGTTGGGCACGGTGTTGGTTTCGCAAAACATCCCTATCTTTTAAATGAGCTGAAAAAAAGAGACGTTGCTATAGAAATTTGTCCCGTGTCTAACCAAATTCTTGGTTATACTGCTGATCTTAGAAATCATCCTGGTGTTGGATATATTCGAAACGGTCTACCAGTCATTTTAGGATCAGATGATCCAGGCAACTTTGGATATGATAGTTTTACAGTTGATTGGTATGAGGTTTTCATGGGTTGGGGTTTAGATCTACGAGACTTGAAGAAACTAGCGTCAAACTCGATCAAATACTCAGTTTTAACTGAGGAAGAGAAGCAGGTAGCTGTACAAAAATGGGAAGCGTCTTGGAACAATTATACTGCTACTACTCGACTAAAGGCTTGTAAACTTCAATTTAAAATAGATCCTACATTCAACAGAGTTCTGCCGAGAGAGGGCGCATTGAATGGAGGTGGAAAGGTTCATATCTACGGTAGACACTTTGAGAAGGGAATATGCCAAACCATAAAATGTAAATTTGGAAATTACGAAGAAACTGAAGGAGAATTACTAAACACTTATTTAATCAATTGTCAAGTTCCATCGAAATCAAACAATGACGTAGAGGAAGTTCCAATCAGTATTTCGTTAAATGGAACATCTTTCATAGATACAGATTTATCTTTTACATTCAAATACCATAATTAAACTCCCCTAGAGGTAGATGATTCGTACGTGTCTGCTTGATAATATTTTGAACCAAATATAAACCATCTTTTTCAATATAAAGCGAATAAACAACTTTGTGTCTATTTATAAAGCTCATTTATGCGTTCTTCATAATACGTAAATTTTACTCTCTATAATAAAATTACTATAGCAAGAAGGATATTACGCCAGGAAGTTAATAAGTGATATTAGATTTTCTCTTGTGTCATCTAGTTAATAGGACTGAATGCTTCTTTCTTTTTAATAATAGTCATTTCATAATTTTAAAATTTTATATCCTGCTATTATACATTCTATCTCTTCTCAATTAACATACACATATACTTTGTACTCTTAATATAGGTCAAATATCTAATTTAAAGATTATATTAGGCTTTTAAATCAGAGAAATAGAATCTTAATAAACAAAAGAATTATACAAAATTTCTTACAATATGACAAAAAAAACAATTAGAAAAGATGCTATAGATAGAAAAGAAATTGAATTGAAACATCATAAGAAATTTGATACTGATAAAATGGGAAATAATACTGGTAATGTAGTTTTTGACGCTAGCTATCGTGATGTAAACCATAACAGTTGCTTCTCTCCAAAAATAACTATCGAAAATACATGTTTTTCTACAAAAAGTGAGAATTATTCAGTTATTCACGAGAGCTTATCAAGTTTGTCCGAAAATCATGATTATTTCGTTTCTAATAAGTAATATAAAGTTATTTCTATAAACTGAAAATTAAAGTGTTATTTTCTAGATATTTTAATTGTTTAATGAAAAAATATGCTACTAAAATACTGCTTAGTAAGCAATCAACATTCTTAAATAAATTGAATGGTGGAATATTCCCAAGGTGGTGGCCTACAGGAGAACTAGTAGGTCTATTCGATAAGAGAGACAGGAGATGGATATTATCTAAACCTAACAAAAGTATAGAAGAAAGTGAGGTCATTAACTCTTCGGTATTTATGATGATAAAATGTTTTGATTCTATATAAAATTTATTCACTTTTAATGGATAAATTGTTTAATTTAAGTGTTTATTTATTTGAAAAACAACTGATAGTTAGGAAATCAATCTTATGTCTCTAATTAAATAATTAATTATTTAGCCCCCAAAAATAAATAAGATTCATAACAGAAATATAAACAAAATACCTGTAAAATCCGAGAAAACTCAAAGAGTCTTTAGGATAAAAGGATCTGTGAGTTATTCTTTAATTTTAAAGTCTAATTGATTGTTAGAATCCCCTTTTAGACTCCTCCGAAGAGAATACCGCTCAATTGCCTCTTACCGTCAAAACAGGCTGAAATACGAATGAATTCTAATGCTTTTGAAAGAGAAACAAACGCTTTTTATTACCAGGTAACTATGACTACTTATTATGAACAATAGAATAGCTTAAAAATCTTATAAAACTTAAGGATGTGAGAAAATTAAAATCTTTAAATAAAGGAAGAAAAATAATTATCAACTTTAATAGACTTCGAAAAAAAAGACAATTAAATTTAATAGGATTGCCCAAAGATCAACCATACGATCTTAGTAGGCCAATATGTGCTTCCATCAGTGCTCTACAACGAAAAAGGTTCAAGCTTGCTCTTTTCTTTCTTTCAAAGCAATTAGAAGGAAATCAAATTATCTTACTAATTTCTTAATAGGCGAATTAATATATTGTGCGAAACTAGTTCCCTCAATAAGAAATTAAGCTGGGACTTGGACTATTATGGGGCATATAACTTAATAAAGCATCGAAATCATATCAAGAGCTGCCATCGAAGAAAACAGCTTTCTCCTGTTCGGTCGCCTATACCAAGCTCAGAAACATCGTTAATAACTTCCTCAAATAATAGAATTAACGAAAATAATTCTCTTAGCTCAAGAAAATCTTCGTTTGAAGACCAATCTATCTCTCCTATATTCTCCTCTTCGTCTAGTTCTCTAAGAGAGAATTCTAAGCCCTTTAAACATCGTTTTCACCTGGAAACAAATGTTAAGCTATACAAATCTCTCTTCAATAAGATTGAAACCTCTAAAGATCGATTAATTAAGACTAATATTGAAAAGAAGTCAATTGGGGCGAATTTACAAAAATCTTTGAAAGCTAAACATAGAGGAATTATAAAACAGTCATCAGATTCAATGGATTTTGCATCAGCCTTAAAGGAAACAAGGTCAGAAAATATTGATCCAATTGATGGAATCGTTCCACCAAATAAAAATCGAAACCAACTAAAGATTGAAATGGAATATCCTATTGACTTGGAAGGAGTCGAGATAAGTGACAATTCAACAAGCAAGTCTTTTGTTGACGATGAGCGTATTGACTCCTTTCCAAAAGATACTTTTAATCCAAATTCGGCAATTTCTCAGAAAAGAATTTCTTTAAGGAAGAATCAAGGTGACCTCAAACCAAACGAATTATTTATGAATGAAACATTTATTAGCCAATCAATTGTTTGCCATAAAGAAGATATGGATGAAAATAGTTATCATATGAAAACAGACGGACTACTAAGCTCTAACGAATATCTCGAGGTCAATAAATTCAAACGAAAAAATCTTTTACATTCAATTAACAAGCAAGAAATTAACGAACAAAAAGTCAAATGTGACTGCAATAATGTTCGTTTACTTAGCGAAGATAAGGAATGTAAATCAAATAAATCGGGTAAAGAATTCGAAGAGTGGATTATAAATCGGTTATTTGCAGCTGTTTTTTCTCCCCAGAATTCTTATCGTACGAACAACGAAGATTGTGAAATTCGTTTAAAGAGGTTACCAATTAATAATAAATTGATAGAAAAACCTTGTAGAAAACCTCAAAAAGTTTCCAATAAATTAAATATTTCATTAGAAAACAATTATTTGAAAGAAAAGATAATTTTACCGAATAAGCTTAGATCTATAACGAATTATAGTAATGAGTTAATTGACATGAAAAAGTCTAACGATAATGAATCTTCCTCTTCTACTTCTAGTTTAGAGCAGCTTGTTAATTTTATCTTTACCGAAGACTCTAAAACATCAACTCTTGATGATAATTCATCAAAAATCTTACCAAGTGAAAATCTATTACAAATAGACTCTGATTTTGTAAAGAATGGCTTAAGATATAAACCTTTGACGAAAAGTTCAAATGGTATTAGTCTTATAAATATTAAAAGGAAAAATAATGGCAAATCTTCTTATAGTAATTATAAAAATAATTTGAAATATAAGATTTTCAAACAAAATTCCATAAATAAAGATTTTACAAATAAACAAGATAAACAACGTATTAAATTTGTAAATAATCGAAAACGTTATCAATTTTCCAATCAAGATATAAATACTAAAACTAAAAGAAACTATGTCAAACTAGACGAAAGAACTATAAACAGTGAAATTACTAGGCGGAATAACCTCTCAAAATCGAATAATACAGATAAATTAACAAGCATGAAGGAATTGGTAAGAAAAGATAAAAATTTTCATTATAAAAATACAAACGATTCGTTAAACATTTCCAAGAAGGCTTATGAATGTTGGAAAAATGATTCAATATGTAGGAATGAGGATAGTTCGATATACGGCATAAATAGTATTTCAACAGAAATCATAGATTATAAGAATCAGAGTTGGAATTTACAAAGAAATTTCACATTAGATTATCTTACGAATAATACTTCATTTAATTTAATTAGAGAGATAATGAGCTGTTTGCCAAAGGAAGATATCAAATTGATTGAAAATTTCGACGAAAACAAGAGAAAATCTTTCAGAAAATTCCTATTAAAAGCGCTATCGTTCTACGTCGAAAGAATTAATAAAGATACAAATTCGTTGTCAAATACTATCGAAACTGACCTTCTAAGCTCGGCCGATGAGGAAGAAAACAAAGATAGATTACATCATAATAATTCAATTTCAAATGTAATGCCATCGTTAGTAAATAGATCAAAAAACTTTGATTCATTCTCATGCATATCAAATAGAGACACTGATAAATTAGATATAAATTTCTCTCAATCCAAGAATGATTCATTCGATATCAGCGAAATTTTACAATCAAAATTGAATAGAAGCAAAAAAAGTACAACAAAAGAAGAAATTCTGTCTGAAATTTATAGTGTAAATAATTTATCTTATTCCATAGATGCATGCTCCAATTTGTCAGGATTATCAATACCGGAAGATTACTATTTATGAAAGAGTTAAACCTATAGGATACATTAATAGGAAATCAGATTTAAAAGAATGCTAATTAGTACACGATATTAATGTAAAAATTATTAAAATCTCTATTCTTTCATTCGGCTTATTCTTGCTTTGTTCTTTTATATTAGAGAACACTTTAATTGTTTGTAATGTTAAGGTTTATTTAAATTAATTTAAACAAGCGTACCTCTCTTTATAAGGCTTTCCTATAAGATCTTTAATACTGGATATAGATTTAGTTTCTCTTTAAATTTATGAATATTCAAGATGACTTTGTTTTCATTTATTTCGCGTATTGGTAGAAAAGTTAATTCGTATACTTTGTCTTTGTTATAATCGTCGGAATCTTCCGAACTTAACAGTTGTTCAGTTATTGGTCCAATATCAACATTCTTTGGACCGCTTCCTAAGCTGTTTTTAGCCGTTGATGTATTCTTTACTTTCGAATCTGATCTATTTCTGTCGTGATCATCTCGAATGTCTGTCCTTCTCATTTTTAGAGCATCAGTTACAATTTTCACCCCATTTACAATTCTATTCTGATAGTTATTAGATATCTTTGTTTCGTTATTTAATGGAGATCTTTGAGTAACTTGAATACTCAATTTTCTACGATGACTGCCCTGAGGTAAAACGTGATCAGTTAGCCAGGAAATGACATCGTTTAAATTTAATTTTTGCATGGTTTCTAATTCCTTATTTAATCTATCGAATTTGAGAGCACCAGTAACAATTTCAGCCCAATACCTCTCAGCCTCCTCTCCCATATGGCTATCTTCATTAATTCTTTTTACGGTAACGAGAGATGATACCTTTTTTTATGTAGGAAAGCAAACGGAAAATAACTTAATTACTAAAATAAGATTTAACAAATGGTTTACTTGATTTTTAAATTCTTTTGATGACATTTTGGACAATAATTTAATGACTTCCCTTAAAAACATCTCAATTCGAGAGTCTAATTTTATCATATCAAATTTTGTTGCCATACTATTAACAGTGACACTAAAACCTAAAGCACCGGAAGTAACCCTATCCGTTACAAATACTTGATATCCTAACTGTTCTCTTGTTCTTAGAATATCGAAACACGGCTCCTCCATACAATTTACTAATAATTCATTAGTGACCGAGTCTTTTAGATTTGCTGGTCCGTGTTGATAATAATTAGTTATTACGCAATTTTGATCCTCTTTATTAAAATTCAATACACGGCAGAATGTTTCATTGTTAGGCAGTTCGCGGACTCTTTGATAAATCCTATCTTTTGGGTTGAAAGGTTTAGATCTCCCTAATTTTCTACATATGTAAGCTTCCATTTCTTTAGCTTCTGCTGCTCTCAGATTTCCAACAAACAACATCTCAAAATAAACTTGATCGAAATAGCTTTTTTGGAAATTATGTAAATCCTTTAAGGTTAAATTTGGGAGAATTTGTCTTCTCCAAACGCATGAAATAAACGGATCTTGTAAAATAGATAATCTTATGTCATTATTTAATTTTGCAGGCTTGAAGAAGAAATTATAATACGATCTTAGTAGTTGTTCTTTTTTCGCTATGAAGAGGCTTTCTTCTACGTGACCTTTCATATTGTCAATTGTGTCAACGATTAATTGAAAAAGCAGAGGAAGTTGATGATTAAAACCTCTTAATTTAATTTCTATTCCGGAAAATGTGGCGTTTATGGAGAAAGCTAATTGAGCAGCAGTAGCTCCATAAGCTTTTTCGCTAAGCACATCATTAAGAATTAACATCCACAAATCCAATAACGCCATGTTTTTCGAAGAATCCCCAACAACTGGAGATCTTATCATAACCATTATATAACCCCTTGGCATTAAGTATAAATTATCCTTTTTATAATAAGAGCAACTGAAGTTTGTTTGAGAAATTAATACTGGTAATCCAGTATCAGGGGAATCCGGAACTCTTATTCGGAAATCAGTAGCTATGAAAGGATTCTTATCTGGGAAATGAAAATCTTTATGCGGTTTTACGTTTTGCCATTTTTCTATGATGTCTTGCCCTATTTTATTGCATGAATACTTTGTACCGCACCAAACTTCCGTTAAATCGCACGCGCTTGCAAAACTTCTAGATCCTAAACATATATTACAGTCTGTGGCTGTTAACATGTTAATGCAACTAGATATAATATCCGGATTATAGGTTCTCATCAGCTGGTCTCCTGTAATAATATCCTTTAATGAATAATACTGCATAGCTTCCGACAACATTTCAACATGTTCGCATGGATCACCATCATCTTGTAGATTAAAGTCATTTTGCTGAATAGTCTTTATTTGCCTAAATACTTCTAAACACGGTCCTTGACTTTTTAGCATTGCAATATAACTAAAGAGAGCTAACATTACACCATGCATGTGGGTCAAACCGTCCTCTGTCAAGGCGATTGTTATGTAGAATATTGCCCCTGTTGAATTGTGCTCCCAGGCACCGTAAGAACCCCCCCAAGTCGATATACCAGTAGCCCATAATTTTTTTTTGAGATAGGATAATAGAGAACCTTCTCCCTCGTGTCCAATTAGCCAGCTAATGTAATATAACGGTTTAGTTTTGTAATGTTCTATCATGCAAGGTAACGCCCAAGTGACTTCTAACATATGAACATTTTTTGCTGGTACGTATTTGTATAATTTCCTAAATTCATCCGTGTCATATGGAGGAGGTAAATGATTAAAACTAGGCTTCGGTTTATTATTATTAGGTATTAATGAGAAGCATTCTATAGCCCACTTTTGGAGTACATCTAAAGAATATTTAGCTTGAAGGCAAACCGTCATATGACCAGCAGAGTAGAAAGTTGAATGAAAATCTTTAAGAGCTTTATGAACGTTAATTTCCCTCTTTGCCGGGATATCCCTTAAAGTTTTATGATTCCCCCACATAAATTTGCTGATTGGATGGCCTTTATTAGCCATTAGACAAAATAATTGCTCTTTTCGACATCGTTCAGTAGGTAAAGCCATCTATAATAATTATTAAACTACTTTAAAATAACCTATATCAAACATAAATGAATGATACAAACTTGAAATTCGTTATCTATGGCTTCAATTTCTCTATCGATGCTGTGCTCGCGAAATAAAGGAGAAATAAAAAACTGACTAAATCTGTCTAATGCTTCTCTAAATTTATTAGGCATTACATCAAAAAAAAATGTCGTGTGTTCGTATTCTGTATGAGCATTTGTACTTCCTCCATTCCGTTTGATAAAAACGTCAAAAGCATTTTCTTCCGGATATTTTTCAGAGCCCATAAAGACCATATGCTCCATAAAATGAGCTAGACCGGGTACTTCTACAGGATCACAGAAGGAACCAATACCAACACAAAGAGCGGCAGCTGCTAGTTTGTCATCTTGTTCATTTGTAATCTTTTTAGGATCTGGAGCCTGTTCTCCATCTCCGCTATAAGCGTCACAACAGAGTAAGCATTTAATTCCATTTTCTAATTTGATTGCTCGATATTTTCTCCTATCATTTGGTGATTTCTCTATTTCTAAAGGTATTATTTTGGCATTATTGCTCTGACTTGATGCACGATAGGCTTTTTTCATAACTCATCCAATTCAGATGATAAATATCATATAAAAATTCTTACGTATAGTTTACATGTAAATGACTGAGGAAAGGGAAGGAGATATAGAAAGAGAGGTTCGCTCACGATCTTTATTATACTCTTTTTTTTTTAAAAAAACACAAATTCTAAATTAATCAGGCTATTTTCTTTTACATCTTTTTTGATCTTTAAAATTTTCAAACTTTTCTTCTCGTCATAAATAAATTAATTTGAATATTCATGACTTTTAGTTTTTTTTTGATGATGACAATTAAGATATTTCAATTAGTTACCTAACCATCTTCTACTGCTATTGATAAGATTTTGATAAAATGATACTATTTATACTTTATGTTTAGTACACTTTTTGGAAAGTTGTGCTATATCTCTACACCTGTTGCATTGAATTATCTGATATTAAACACAATTTTAAAAAAAGTTTCATGTATTTTATAATTAGAACTTGATAAAATGACATTAAAAATTATATGCTATAGTCTATTAATTTTAATTCATAATAGTTCTATTCAAGCTCGAAATCTTGAAAATGAATATAAATACAATCAAGAACGAGATAAATTAATTGAGGAAGAAGAAAAGTTAAGTCAAATTGATCAGATCAATTTAAATGAAGTAATAAACTTTTATTTATTTGTAATTTATCTTTTTATTGGATGGATTAATTAGGGAAATAATCGATTTTTTAACGTTTTTCTCATAAACAGGAAGAAAAAATTGTAGATGATTATCTACACTTTTTGAAAGTTCAAGAGTTTTTAAAAACTTCCGACTCTTCGATTGGTTTCCCTCCAGCAAGACCAATTGAAGAGAAGCTAAATGAAATAAGATCATCAGAAGTGTTCCAAGAATTGTCTAAATTACCTAAAGGAGGAAATATGCATACACACGAAAGTTGTTTCCTCTAATTTCCTTTAATTAAAAATCTATATTTAAGAATTTAATTAATTTCTCTTTTGCTCTTCTATCAGATTACATTCTCGGTCATAGAGCTGTTTTGGAAATCTTGTTTAATGCACCTGAATTTGAAGATTTGTACGTCGCTGAAGAATCTAATAGTCAATCTCGACATTATTCATTGGATTTGTTCGTAAATCCTCCACCCATCAGTTCAGGTGTCAAATGGGTCAAGGTAAAGGATAATTCAACATACACTATCGACTTTCTTGTGAAAAAGCACACCCTTATGAATATTTTAACTGATGAAGCAAAAAAATATCCAACTGACAGTCGAATGCGTTGGAAATTAATGGATACGCTATGGGGAAAAGTTACTAGCACTTTTAGACACGTAAATATTAGAGCGAAATTCTTAACTGAATTATTAAGTACTGTTTTAAAAGAAAACGTACAATACATGGAAACTAGAGCAAGTAGAATTCAACGCCTATACATTCTAGACAAATCTGGAGGTAGCTCTGAAAATTTTGGTAAAAAATATATTGACGAAAGTGAAGAATACCCTGGTAAAACAAATATAGACTTTACAAGAGAAATTGTCAACAATTTTACAGCCAGCAACCCTGAATTTATCGGTTATAAAATCATTGCAGCATCAAATAGAAAAACAACTAATGAAAGAATTAAAAATGATCTTATTATATCCAAGGAAATGTTCGAAAAAGCAGGAGATATGATAAAAGGCATTGATTTAGTTGCTGAAGAAGATAGTGGGAAATCGCACATGTTTTTCCTTGAAAATCTCCTTAATATTTCCGGTAACCCTTCTCCTCTTTATCATACAGCTGAAACCAACTGGCCTGATGATTTACTACCTTCACCTTTTGATAACGATCCTGGTAAGGGGAATGTTCTTTTTTGATCTTTTTATGGTTCAAACACTTTTCAATCTTTTATAGTTTCTGCCTTACAAAACACCTATGAATCTGTCTTGTTAGGAGCAAAACGAGTTGGACACGGAATTGGGTTCTTTAAGCATCCCTATCTTTTAAATGAGCTGAAAAAAAGAGACGTTGCTATAGAGATTTGTCCCGTTTCTAACCAAATTCTTGGTTATACTGCTGATCTTAGAAATCACCCAGGTATTGGTTATATTCGAAACGGTCTACCAGTCGTTTTAGGATCAGATGATCCAGGTGGTTTTGGATATGATAACTTCACAATTGACTGGTATGAGGCTTTCATGGGTTGGGGTTTAGATCTACGAGACTTGAAGAAACTAGCGTCAAACTCGATCAAATACTCAGGATTGAATTCTGAAGAGAAAACAATAGCTGTACAAAAATGGGAGTCATCCTGGAACAGTTATATTTCTACCACTCGACTAAAGGCTTGTAAACTTCAATTTAAAATAGATCCTACATTCAACAGAGTTCTGCCGAGAGAGGGCGCATTGAATGGAGGTGAAAAGGTTCATATCTACGGTAGACACTTTGAGAAGGGAATATGTCAAACCATAAAATGTAAATTTGGAAATTACGAAGAAACTGAAGGAGAATTACTAAACACTTATTTAATCAATTGTCAAGTTCCATCGAAATCAAACAATGACGTAGAGGAAGTTCCAATCAGTATTTCGTTAAATGGAACATCTTTCATAGATACAGATTTATCTTTTACATTCAAATATTAAGAGCAAATTTTTTTCAATAAATCAATTAACACTGCAATAAACTACGGTTTAAATTTGTATATGATAAAGTAAAATAGATAAAAATAGAAAAAGAAACAAAGAAAACAGGAAAGAGAGAGAGAGAGAGAGAGAGAGAGAGAAACAAATTTTCTACTATTATCCTCTTATAAAAATTGAAGACAATTCATTTTACTAAATAAGAAAACATTACAAAAACCACTATTCGTTACTTATTTAAAATTTTAAAGCTTTTAATGCAATAGTTATTTATTTATATTATTTATTTATACATTTAGGATAAACAGAAAGATATTAAAGGAATTTTTCTCATTGTATCATACAGTAGTCTTTCCTTGACATTTTCAGTAGGAGAAGCATTATATTTCTAGACATTAATTCTTGATAAATAAATTATTAATATGTTGTTATTAATAAATATAGAAAAAACATAAAATATTTTTGTGAAATATTCGTTAAATGTTGAATTATAATTGTTTATTACTTTTAAATACTTGTACAAGTGTTGTTTGTATAATTCAAATGTATTTTATTTATATATTATAGGCTTTTTAGATAATTTTATACTCCAGTTCGTGACTCAGAAATGCATGATTTCCTTTTAAAACATTTACCTTAGCAACGCCCTATTCATGACTTTCATTTGGTTCATATTTATGAACGCGTTCAAATTTTAAATTATTAATGCAATTTATTATCACTTAATTTATTATCTTGATTGTTAATTCAGCGTTTGTTGTTTTATATACAAGCTTATTTAACCAGAGCAGCGTTAAATAAGCGTTATAGTAGTTTGTTGATAGTTTTCTCTTGAAAGATTTTTAGATTTGGCGCTTCTTTTGACTAGAAGCGCCATCTGTACTCATGCATATTAAAGAAAGGGTTAAATGATGTCGAAACAAACATGGCAGTATGGGAGAGAGGAAGACAGTGTCTATATCGGTTTTAACCAGCATGGAAATATAATTTGATTGAAAATTGAATGGAAATAAATACTGTTTAATTTAATTATTTATACTATGTCATTGTTGACAACCGTTCCTCCTTCTCTTTTCTTATTAGCCTTTGTTTACGTACCTTCAGGTAAAATTTTATCCTTACAAGAACCGGTCGATGACCGGAGAGTGTTATATAACTAATTCACTAATAAATTATTATCTTTTAGGCCATACCTCATGCCTTCGATCGCAAATACGATGTGCATCTGACTTTGTTTGTTTGCCAGCCGAAAGAAAATGTGACGGTGTAAAACAATGTACAGACGGTTCTGACGAATTATTTTGTAATAAAGGTAAAGTTTTTTCTATGTTATATATAGAGAAAAATCAGAGGATTTAATTGCAAACACTTAACAAAATTCGTCCTTTTCTCCCTCAATCAATCGAAAAAACGTACCAAGGACACTATTTTTTTTCCTTAAAATCCTTTAGTATACATAAATTATAAATTAAAAAATACATTAATCATTAGTAATAAAAAGGGAGCAAATATGTCTCTAATTTTCATATATTTTCTTTCTATATCCAACAATGTAGATTGTTAAGGACAAACTTCTAATAGAAACTCATGATATGAAATAACCTAGATATTAATCAATAAAAAATAGTCTATCGAATTCACTCTATATATTACACGGAGCAGTGTTAGATAAAGGAAAGAGAAAAATAAAGGGTTTAACTGGTTATAGCCTAAGTAATATTTTTCATTCAATATGCTTTTTTTTCTTATAACTAGTCCAATGTATTCAGGACTCTAAATCTAATAACCTCGAAATAATACAAGAACTTGTTAGATTGTTTACTAATTAGGATTCCGATTAATTATTATTTTCTCCGTACTAATATGATTTATTAGAAAAAATTTTAGTTACCATAGCACAATTATAAAAAAAAGGAGAGAAATGATAATACTAAAAATGTCTATTGAGTCTTAACTGCACTTATTAATTACAAAGGAACTGATTAGTTGGGAATAGAAATTTTTTTAGTCATTATTTTTTCCCCTTCAATTTTATAACAATAGTTAAGGTTTTTGCACAATAGATGTTTGGAAATTTGTCGTAAATTCATAGACAAATACTATTAAAACATGCAACCAAAGGGCATTGAAAAAAAATTCTACCCCCTGTTTCCTCCCTCCACCTTATTCAAATATAGGTGGGGAAAAGGTCTTCAGAACAGACATTTTTTATATTAAAAGTTTATATTACTATTCAATATACTGTACTATGTAAATATATCTACATCAGTACGTGTAAGAAAACCTATAACATTAATAAAACTTCCCCAGTAAGAATTTAAAGTAAGAAATAAACAGCATATAGCAATTTCCAAAGGATTAATCATGAAACTGTATAAGAATTATTCCTATAAGAATATTTCAATATCACAGAAATAGTAATAAATGACTTAATGTCGTCAGATTTAGATTTTCAATCTAACGCTTTGTTGATTTATTTAAACTTTGTATATAGAAATTAAAGATAGGTAAACGATAAAATTACTCTCCTTCGTATTATTACAGATCTTTAAATTGTAAATGTCTATATAGGTTTATTAATAATGAACTTTTATTGTTAAATATATTTTTAAAAATCTATAAAAGATATCATTTTCTAATCAATTCAAAATTAGGTTAAAGTAAGCTGTTTGTAAAAAGCAATGAAAGATATCATACATTACTAAATACGATATGTAATAAACATGGCATATAAATATATTATATACTGAAATACTGTAGATACTAATATACATATATATGTATATTATACTTTAGATTAATTTATTAAAAATATTGTAATGCATGTTAAAAATTGATAAAAAATTGAAAGTTTATTATTTAACCTAATGCAATTTAAAACTCTTTCTAGTGGGAGTAATATTTCGTGCCTACGTCAATAGAAATTACTTTACTTTCAAATAATTCTCTTACAAAATTCAACTCCTTATTACGCATTTACTTATTTCTTTTATAGTTATTACAGTATATACAATTATATACAAAAAATCATTGAGAAAAGATCTTATTACTTAACAAAGGCGTGTTTCCAAACTCGCATTTAAGCCTGATTTTTGGACGTCTTTCGTTTGTTTTTCCATAAAATATCTACAGCATGCAACATATTATATTTACATACTGTATATACGCACATATGTTTTATATACATATTGTATATCATATACAGAGAAAAATGTATAAAGTGACGCATTGAAAGTATATTTACCTGTAAAAAATATTAGTAGTTATGCTATTGCTTATTACAGAAGCGTGTACGTCAACCGGCCAATTTAAATGTAAGAATCAACGGTGCATTAACAAAGGTTGGGTATGTGATGGGCACGATGATTGTAAAGACGGAAGTGATGAAAGTCATTGTTCCGTAATTGGTAAGTTTAAAAGTTAATTTTTTACACTTTGTCTCGTTATGTGAAATGTTAGAATTCATTATATATCTTTTGATTTTGGCATTTTCCTCTAGTTTATGCCGTCGCTTTTAAATAAGAATAAAATTAGTTACGAGAATATGAAACGGTACTTGAAAGATTGTTCATCTTTATAAAAAAAGAAAGAGTATTTCCACTTTTGTCTGGCTGTTCTTATATCGAATGTCTTTAATAAAATCTTAAAAAGAGAACAAGATTCTCTTTATAAGCCTATAATTGTTTTTCAGATCTTAGACATTTATATAATTCCCGACTTTTGTAGAGAACGTTTTTTATCATATTACTACTGCTTTTCTGGTCTTAAATTGTATAAAATATCTAATTCTTGATGTTTTTCTACAACAGATCAATATGCTAACGACTCTATTAATTCAGCTACAATTGCGGGCATTGTTATTGGTTGCCTCATCGTTCTCCTCTTAACAGCCATATTATCAGCAGTTATCGTTAAATGGAGGAAAAACAAGCCATCCAACAATCGTAACTCCACCGATTCTGCTGGACCAATATCTGGTTACGATGTTCCTCCTATGCCTCCACCAGCCTATTCACCTGATGTTTTAGCCATAGATAACCCTGCCTTTTTACGAAGTGACTCAATTGCCAGATCTCCTCCATCATATTCCTTTGCAGTTGCTTACGATAATCTAGAAGTCTCTCATGAAGCGCCTCCTATGTATACATTCAGAGGGGGCTTAAATATGACAATTGATAGCTCTGGTTACAGACCTGAACCTCTAATAACCAGCTCTAGAAGAAGCTTAAATTCGAACGATAACGAAGCAGCAAAGTTAAACAACTCACCTACTATGCAGAACCTAAGTGTTCTAGACTTTATAGAAAATACATATAGTGCATCTAAAGAACAGACAACGACAATGAGTGCTCAGGCCAGAAGTTTATCCGTTCTTAACGATGAACAGCAAGAGGCATCATCCATAAAACGGGCTAGTTCGACACCTGTTTTATTAATGACCTCTAAGAGTAATGATATAGAATGTTGAGCATTACAATCAAACTTTAGCCTAACGGCTTTCATTCCTTTTTTTATTGCATCGTGTTCAGAGTTTTGCTATCACAGAGATTCTCGCTTTACGAGATTATGTCAAAAAATAAAAAAATCAATAATTAAGATGTAAATCCGATCATCTGATTGCTATTTATACGATTATGTTGACCGATTTCGATTTAAGCATATTAAGGTTGATCCGTGGGCAGACGATAAACTTTGAACTCTAACTTCATCTCCACAGAGAGGAAAATCGACTGACGATGGCTTTAAAGAGTCATTATTGTCTTCACGACCCAACCTTCCTCTGCTTTGTTTTCCCCAAGTAAAAACTTTATGATGGCCTGTGAATTTTAAATAATAATTTGAAATATATATGCATATACAATCACATATTTGTATATATATACTAATATATACAAATTTTATACTAATATATATAAATTCAATTGAACAATAAAAACCTTCAACAGCTGCCACTGTGAAAGCATCACCACAGGCAACATAACAAACTCGATCGATGCTCGTTATCTTGTAGGGCAGACGGTCACTATGTCCAAATGATCCCGTTCCTAATTGACCAAAATTATTTGATCCAATCATATAACAATATCCATCTTCAGAGACGAAAGCCGAATGAGTGGGGCCGACGTCCAAAGTTTTGATTTTCATTTCTTTTAGCGTTTCCTAAAAGATGTATAATTTGAAGAATTATGATATCATACAGTTGCTGAACGCTTAAGTTAAATATAAACAGGGGGATAAACTCATAAGATATAATAAATAATAAATAAGAGTTCAATTTTCTGCCTAATGGCAAGTACATTTTAAAAAATTCTCTTGTCTAAATATACCCTAAATCTCTATAGAACAAAATTTTCTTCTTAACTGCTCAATATAGAAAGTGTCCTTAAATGTATAATATATTGTTTTTTTTTTGCGATAAGTATTAAATTACAAACCTGCTCTCGAAAGCAATATGATTCGTCTACCTTGTCACCATATAACGTATCTAAACAAAGTTTATTATGACGATTACTCCCTGTAGCTAATATTGAACCATCATCAGTTAGTAATACAGAACAATCACTGGAGCAAAATGCTTGAATAGGCTTGTAACTAGGAGAGATTGCTGCCAATAAAGGTTTATTTACTGATGATGTTCTTCTTAATCCTAACCTTCCGTTATCTGACCTTCCCCAACAATAAACTTCATTATCACTCGTTACTGCAACACAGTGATTGGACCCACAGGCAATATGAATAACTTCGGATCCTAGAAGACTTTGAACAATTTTGGCTTGTTCAACATCTCTATAGTCATTATGTCCCAAACACCCTGAAGCTCCGCCCCCAGAGGTCATTAGTAATCCTCTATCGGTTAAAAATGCCATGAATAGATCACCACAGGCCACACTTTTGATACAAACAGCTGATTCACCATCAACCAGTCGAGGGATATAGGATCTCTCTCCACATTCTTCCCAAACAAAAAGCTTCCCGGTCGAGGTTACAGCGGCCTTTTGCGTTCTTCCGATGCAAATTTGAGTCAAAAGAGTATCATTGGATGGTAAAGGTAAAACGGCGGGCTGACAAACCCCATTACCCCACCAATAAACTAAGCACGAATTGTTTGGTTGTTGAGAAGTGCCACCAGAAATGCTTATTTCATTAGAGGTCAAATTTCTCGTTGGAGCTGGTATAATATTTGGACTGTCAATACTACCTAAATCGCAAGAAACATCTAATAGAGCAATCAATATTAAAGGTTCAGCCATAATTTGGTAAATTGTGGCTCTTTTTTCAGCTGACTGTTCCAGCATACGATTGGCAATCTCCTTCAATTCATCGCTGTATTTATCGCTAATAGAATTATCCAACTAGGGGCATAATTTAAACTAATAGAAAAAGAGAAAAAAAATCTTTCGCTTTTTCTTCTACAAATTGCTTCAGTCTTTATTTTATAATAAAAAATGTAAAGTAAACAAATTAAATACTTCTATTTCAAAAACTAGCTGGAATTATTTACTTTTACTGCAAAACTTCTCTTTTTTTTATAAGCAAAGCTATTATATGTTTTAGTTTATAAGATCAAAAATCAATTATAAATTACGCCCCTGTCCTTTCATTATTTTCATAACTAATGCTGGTAGATTTTCAGCATGAAACGCCCTCTTTAGCGTTAACATTTCATACAAGATACAGCCAACAGCCCAAACGTCACTTTTTTGATTATAAGGTTGACCCTTGCATAACTCAGGACTTATATAGCAAGGTGTCCCAACAACGGACACAGCTTTACTTTTACTATCAAGAATCTTTGATATACCGAAATCTCCAACTTTTATTATATCTTTATTTTTATCCAAGAAGATATTCTGAGTTTTCAAATCTCTATGTAAAATTTGTCTGGAATGTATATGTTGGATAGCTAAGAGAATTTGAGCAAAAAACTGAAGAACTTTCTGAAAAAATAAATAAAGAAAAGTTCATTCTTAGTATCAGGGGTAAAAGATATAAACGCATTTTATTTACTAACAGTCTCCTCAATCAACTCCTCTTTTTGAGATTGCAAATAATCATTAAGAGTTCCTCCTAATAAAAAATAATTGTTAAATTAATCCTTTTTAGATAATTTTTAATAATAATCTTTTATGTTTACCTTCTGCATATTCCATTACAATCATTAATGCTTTATCTTCTAAGAAATTTTCAAATAACTGTATAATGTTTGGATGGGAAAGCATTGATAAGACCTAGGAAAATAGATATTTGACCAGGTAAATAAAGCTAAAATACTATATAAACGTACTGTGACTTCTGTAACGGCTAGTTGCCTCTCTTCTTTCGTCATCTGATCAACAGTAATTTGCTTGATGATCACTTTTTCTTTATCATTTTTTCTTTCGCATAGATGAACGACACTGTTTGAATAGATCGAGATATTACGACATATATTTAATGTCCTCTAAAACAAACCCGAAAGCTCCTCGACCAACGACGTTGACTTTTGTGTATTTATTCATTAAGCATACGTGATCTGCCTTATACTTTTGCATTAAATATAATTAAGATATGTTCAAATCACTAATAAGCATTTGATTTTGCTGTTGAAAGCAATAACATCTTCCAAACATATGTCAATGTTCATCTCTCTTCAACATGAAATGAACAAGTTTTAAAAAAAACATAACTTAGACACAAACTGCCATTATCGCTCAGTAAAACATTCCAATCATAACCAGCTTTCCGAGCAAAGAGACATCGTTCGGGTTACCTCGTCAGAACAGTAATCCAAAATGGATACGGAAGAAACTGCCTCGCAACGTAAGAACTTTTTAGTTTTCCTTTACTCTTGAAATTTAGTTTTTTAATATTTTCTTTTTTGTAGTTATTATCAAACCATAACTTTAAATAACTTAATATCTCATAATTATTTATAACCTTCAAATTTAAGTTTTATATATCCGTTCAGACTTCGGAACTGTGACGATATTAGGTGATTTGTCTGATTCATGGTTTATCGTTTTTACTTTCAGCAACTTCGGAAGAGGTGGACAAAATATTTTTCAAACTAGTCCATACAGATAAAAGTCAAGAACTTGAACAATGCCTGAAACAATATTTGTGCTATTTGTTGAAGGCTATGAGCTCAGAAAAAGTCAGGAAAACGGTAAGATCAAGTTTTGTCTATAGATAAGTCTGAAACTTACGAACAATGAAAAAATTGTTAATCGCTTAAAGCAGATTCCATTTTTAAATCCTATAAAATTCAATTGTAATAGAAAACATACTCCAGATTAAATTGTCTAGGATGATGAGCCTACCCTCTTACAATAATTATGCAAATAATTGTCATTTATTGGATTAGTTTTTGTAAAATGTTCTATATTTTCGTGGAACACTATCGCTAAATTATTTAACAAGTGAGCCATCTCCTTTTCTTAGATATTGGAACTATTCGTGCATATAAAGAGGCGTATAGAAGCTGATGACAAAGTGAAATTACCTATTGACGAAATGATTCAAATTTTTAATGATTCAACATCTTATAGTATGGTAGGTTGCTCATGAGTTTCCAGCAAGACACTTTTCTTAAGAGTATTTGTTACAAATACAGAATTTTTCTCTCGTCTTTATCAAATTGGGATTGAGTAGAGAGGACATACAAACTCAAGTTCGTTGTATACCAAAACTTTTGAATGCCGGAATAAATGAAGGGAAAGTGCAGCATATTCAAGACAAGTAATTTTTTTGTGATAGGTAGTGAAAGAACTTGATTAATGGATATTTTCTTGCAGTGTACTTCAGCTTATAACACCATCTTTGATTCATTTAAGACTTGATAATGACAAAGAGACTTGTAATCTACTGAAATCACTCTCGGACCGTTGTAAACGTTTACTTAGAAATCAGTTAAAAAACGTCTTACTACTTCCCTACGGGTTAGAACTAATAAGGCTATTGACAATTTATAATATAAAATTTTATTGTTCCATTTTGTGTAGATTATCATTGCCATTCAAGCCTAAACCAAATACAACCACCGGTAGCAAAGAAGTCATTGAGAAATCGACCCTTTTCTCACCATGTGGAATGAGTAAAAATTCATTGAAAAGTACTTGTGGAACTGTTGCTCCCAGCGCAGAAAACTTAGAACAGGTAAAAAATTTCATACAATTACTTAAAACTAAAGCAATTTTTTTAATTAGTGGAAGAAAGCAGCGGTTCACATTTTAAGTTCTGATGTATTAAATGAAGTAGATGTTATCGTACCGTTAGTTATAGCATCAGCTGATACGAGACATAGTGTTGCTACAACTGCCGATTTGGAGTTAAAGAGAAGAGCAGAGTATGAATTAATATTTGATTGATATTAAAAACAATTGCAAAATATTTTTTTTCCCTTCAGTGAAGAAATGTGGAATAATAAAACGGTTATGAATGAATTAGTTATTTTGCTAAATGGTACTTGTGGACAAAAGAAGGCAACGTTAGAGGTGAATAGAAAAATTTAACAAATTAGCTAAATCTTACCAAAACGATTTTCAAAATAAACATTCACAGGGGAAATTGAAAGAAGATGATCTAACAATGCCAGCTGATATTCGATTAAAAATGAAATTGTTACCACTCTTTACAAGATCAACCTACATTCCAACATCTGTTAGCCTGGCTATACAAGTAATATAATATCCAACGATTCAGAAAAAATAGAATACTAAATTGCTTTTTTTTAGATAATCTTTCCAACTCTTTACGACAAGAGAGTTCCTCCTAATCAGAAATTAGTGAACTTACTAGTAAAATTTATTCACTCTATAACTCTGAGGTAAATATTACTACACTTAGATATCTTCGATGCTAAAGCTTTTTTCAAACAGGACCTCAGATAAAGTATTCGAAGGATTGGGACCGCTTCTAATGGAACATATGATGAAATTTCGAAAAAATGAGACTGTGGTAAGCTTTATACTATTTAAAATTTATCCCTTGAAAATAACTATAATTATTTATTTACAGGATCCGAAAAGTTTAGGTATGATTTATGAAGTTTTAGGGAAAGTTTGTCAAAGGCTTCCTCACTTGGTTGAGAAATACTTTGATGATTTTAAATCTTGGTTTGATATATTACATCTCGAAAAGGTATTCTATCAAACAAAGTATATAATTTGTTGGTAATAATTTTATTTTTTATTTTACGTTAGGGAGATAAAGAATTACAAATGAGTGTGTACCAAGCTTTGATAACTATGGTTGCTTCATTCAAAAATCTTCGAAAAGAGCGGTTGGAATTTCTTCAGTGTTTATTGCTTCATTATATAGGTCAAAAGCAAGATTTGCTACGGCATGCTGCTGTTCATTACGCTGAACAGGCCTTTCCTTCAGATCACATACCAACACGATTTGTCTTACTATTAGCCGCAGCTGATAAGTAAGTTTAGTTTTTAATAATTAACAACTTTTACAACTCATCTCTAATTTTAAGAAAATCATCTATAACTCAAGCCGCCGATAAATATTTAAATACCGCATTGGAAGACGGAAATACTAAATTTCCAGTATTCGAGGATATGTTGGAATACACCGTTGAGAAGGTTAATTTGTGTATTTCAAATTGAATCATTTATAAATTTCATTTTATATAGTTGTCTGAAAATAAAGACAAAACACTTGACCCGAAAAAGTATTCAATGGAAACTTTAATAAAGGTTTACCTTCGAATTATTTATTCTTAGCTGTTTTATATTTCCTTTAAATATCTTTACAGATTATTCATTATCTATATAAGTGCTTGCAAGATACCAGTAAGAAAACATGCACTATAAAAAATGACACATTTCTTAACATGGATCGAGATTCTAGTAACCGAGCAAAAGACTTAAATTTGGATTTGACTGTTCGTGATTATGTTATTAAAGCATCTAATGATAAAACTCGAACAGAAATATTCAAAACCTGGTACAACCTTCTTTCACAGGCAGTCCAATTATCTAACGGTTAATAAGGTTCTCTTGAGTATTAATCAGATGATCATCTTGTATTTCACACAGATCGAGAATGTATTTATTACTTGATGGAATTAATGGCGTTTTGTCCACAATACTATAATGATTCTAATTCTTCAAAGTTGTCCTCCCGCATAAATCATTTAATAAAGAATGAAAGTTATGAAGTTAAGAAAGAATGTGGGCGTCTTGTTAGTATTTTAGCAAAGAACTGTTGGAAAAGTAGTGACATCAACTCAATAATAAATTTGTTCTCTAGTCACGTTAAGTCGGATGTGAGTTTAAAGTTGTTACTTAATATTTCATTAAAGCAGACCGAAATCAACTTACTGGTTCAGAATTAAAATTTTAATTTATTTTTCAGTTTAAAGCATCTCAAGGTTATGTTTGGGCTTTAGGTGAAATCATTAGTCAACTAATGATTCAGGTAGATTCTTGTGAAGGAACAAAGCGTAGGAAAATAGACAAAAAAAATGAAGACATGATCTCAAATAAAATCAATGAAGTGATTGTGTTATTATGTATGAACTACATTATTAATTGTCTTGAAGCTCATTATTTAATCTTTATGTAATTTTTAGGTGAAGAGCTCGTAAAATGCGAACAAAAATGCACTGGAGCAACCATGAATTTAGTTTGTGCTTTATGTGATGCTATTGGTAGTATAGGTTTGTCATACGCGCTACCTTTACCTGAAAAAAATGGTGGTAGCGTGACTAAAGAGCGATTGGTCAACAAACTCTTAGAAATGATTGCGGCAACCAACGTGAACGGCAAGGTGATGTCTTTTTTCTATTACAAATTCTTTACATATTTCACCTATACTTTCAAAATTAGTTAAGAGAGCATGCTGCAATAGCCGTTGGTCGTTTGTGCGTCGGTGAAGAAAGGTTTCCATTTAGAGACAAAGTAAGTTGCACTTCGAAATCAAATTGAGTATAATTGTTCTTTTGTCTACGATAGATCCTGAAGGAACTCTTGAACAGTGCTGGACCAAGGCAGCTGAACCTTCATATAACAATTGGAAGAGCCCTAATTGATGTGGGACTGGGCAGATTATCTTTTTCAAAAAATTATCTGCTCCAAAAAGACGATGATACTTACGAAAAAGAAACAAAAGAAACATTGAACAATCTAAGCGTTGTATTTATATTTAAAAAAACATATTTACTTATGCAATGTGTTGACAGGATGATGATCGAATTGGAAAGATAATGACCGAATTAATCACAGTACTATTTAATAGCCAGAATCCTCATATTCGTCAGGCTGGATGCATTTGGCTCCACTCAGTTTTAAGATATTGTTCTTCATTTCATCCCGGAATTTTATCTCGATTACCAGAAATTCAAAATGCTTTCATTAAACTTTTAGTAGACAGAGATGGTATCAGACAAATATCACTAAATTATCACAATTACTAAATATTAACATCTTTCAGAATTAACCCAAGGTCTAGCTTCTCAGGCTCTGTCAATTGTTTTTGAGAGAAGTCCTACTAGCGATCAGAACAAGATGGTATCAACTCTTGTGGATGCATTAATGGGCAAAAAAAAGTAGGTTTTCAGTAAATGAAATTAATATATCATAATTTAACTAAAATGAACTGAGGATTTAGTGGAATGGGATCACCACCAAGGAAAAGAAATATAGTCATTAAATGTTATATAATTTGCAGGCATAAACAAGAACTAACTCCAGATACAAAACTGTTTGAGGAAGGTGCTCTAGGTCAGACTCCAGATGGACAGAATTTGTCAACTTACAGAGAACTTTGTTCGATTGCAAATGACCTAAATCAACCTGATTTAGTTTACAAATTTTTACATTTGGCTAATCATCAAGCCGTTTGGAATTCTATGAAAGTCAGCGACTTTATTCCCAATTTATTCATTGTGTCATTAAACCTCCCTTTATAATGCAGGGTGCAGCGATTGGTTTTAAGTCTATTGCCTCAAATGCTAGTGACCAGCTTGCCCCCCATCTAGATATCATTATACCAAAACTCTACCGATATCAGTTTGATCCAAACCCAAAAGTCCAAGCAGCTATGTCTTCTATTTGGAACGCTTTGGTGCCAGACGGTCATAAGAGTGTTCCTGAACACTTTTTGAAGATATTATTAGAGTTGAATAAAAGTATGATGTCCCAGTTGTGGAGAGTTAGAGAGTCATCTTGCCTTGCTCTGAACGAACTTTTGAGAGTTTGTGATATGAACAACGAACTAACCTTTTTGGTTCCTTTATGGAAAACCATTTTGAAGGTTGTAGATGATATGAAAGAATCTGTTCGACTGGTTTGTTTAAAAACTTTTAAATAATTTTTGTAAATTCTTTTATTTTGCAAAACCCTAACAGGCGGCAGAGAAAACCTGTAATACTCTAAGTCGGATTACAATAAAATTATGTGATCCAAATTACGGACGATATCCTGCGAAGGCTTGCAGTCAGGTAATTCCAGTGTTCTTGGATGAGGTAGAGAGCCGATGTGAAACAGTAAGGATTGTATGGTGAGTAATCTAATTTTTATATAACTATTAGAGTACATTGTTATGCTTTATCAGCTTGAAAACTCTGATGCATCTAGAAATAACTGTACATGTTCGTGATTACATACCTGACATAATAATCACAATGCTCGAATGCTTGAGTACTCTTGAACCAGCAAAGTTGAATTATCTATCAAACTGGTTAGCGAATGATGCAGAACTAAAAGATAAGGTAAGGTGGCCACCTTTAGTAATAAGAAATGATTAAACATCTTGATCGACCAGCTTGAAACTGCTCGGGCCTCAGCCTCTAAGACTTCTACAGCTATGCAGGTTGTTAAAAAGTGTGTAAAGCACATTGATTGTTCTACAGCAGAAAAATTAGTTCCAAAATTGGTGGATTTAATGAAGCGAGGAGTTGGCTTAGGAACTCATGTTCGTATCTAATGTATTAAGTTTTTATGATCTTTTCATGAAGATTTTTATTCTAGATTGGTTGCGCAAACTTATTGACTACTTTAGTAGTACACAAGGCGGAGGAAATTAGACCTCATGGAGGTGAAAACTATAACATACTCATTTTCAACAATTGATGTAAATTTGAAAAATTTTAGATACTCTTCTAAGAGCAGCTATTCACAAATCCAATCAAAAGGAAAAGCAAGCTATAATAAGAAGATCATATGCATCTGCTGTGGGTCACCTCGTTAGAGTAAGTACTTTCCTGTTGTTAAACAACAATCTGATCGATCTTTTAAGAAAAGCTTTTAATTTTTTTAGGTGGCCACCCCTATTCTCGTTCAAAAGATGTGTGAGAAAACTCTTATTAACGCTTATTTAACTGCTGATAACGACGAAGCTACCAAAAACGACGTTCGACAAGATGTTTGTGAGATAATTAATGCGTGGTCGAAATATTCTCCAAGCCTATTTTCTCAATACCTTTCTCTTATGCTACCTTTGATATATTTTGCCATGCAAGGAACACGTCAACGCGGTAGGGAATTAGCAAAGAGTGGCGAAACTGAAGCACAGGAAAGGGCCATTGCTCAAAGACATACTATATGGCAGGAGACGTGGACAGAATTTACTTCTTGTATGTTACTAATATATATTCTCATACTAACCTAATTAAACAAGTACACATCTTTTTCCAGCATCTGAAAGTGCTTTACGTCTGTATAGTAATGAACTAACAAGCCTCGCAAAAATTGCCCTAATATCCAATAGTTGGACTTTAAGGAAGCAAGGAGCATTAACCATATCAGCTATGACTGACTTTATCGGCAAAGAAATGCTGGATGACGAAAGGCACCGAGATCTGTTACAAACAATGATTGAAATGCTTAAGCAAAGCTATTGGACTGGAAAGATTGAAGTCATAAATGCTATTGGGTCTATATGCGCTAGCTATGACCCACTCGAGAAAAAAGTAGAGGCAATTGAATGTATTAAGCAGGTATTTGATATAATCAGCCGTTTTATTAACAGTGACATATCTTTAAATTCATACCTCAGGCTTCAGCTGCCTTATTAAAGGAGAGCAAAAAGATGAAATATACAGATTATCAGTCTGCTGCTTTATCATCTTTAGCAGCCCTAAATGCTAAGAATAATTTAAATTTGTTTTGTGATATTTGGTCGATAGTTGAAGACATTCTGAATCCAGATAAAACTTTTGAGATTCAAGAACTTTTTGAGACATGTGCCGAAAAAGACTGGTATCAACATATAAACACTTGTCTCCTTGTCGTTGTCTTATCATGGCAAACAGATTTAGAATTTCAAGGTATATTTAATTATATTGAATTGATAAACAAATAACGTTTATCTCCTTATCCAGAGAAAATGTTCACTAAAGTAACTGAATCACTCTTTAAATTGGCTGCATCGACTAAGATGACTTCTTCAAAACTAGAAATAGCAGCGCTAAGAACTCTAGCCCGTATTGTTGAAAAATCTGCGAAAACAGATATATCATTTGTCAAAAATCTCATACCGAAATTTTGTCAATATGGACAATCAGATAACTTCAATATAAAAATGACTGCATTTGAGGCTCTAGGTTCTATGCTTCAGCGCGTAAAAGGTGAATAGCTTGATTAACAATATTTGATTCAACAATATATTATATGTATATATAACATTTTAGATTTGAACGAAGAAGAGATTATGCAGATTAAAAAAGCTACAGACTCTCACCTAAGTAATGAAGATATCGAGAAATTTAGACAATCTACGGTCGCTACCAAAGACAGTACAGTTATATGGAACACTTTAGTGGACTTTAAAAAATGATTACTCCTATTGAACTCAGTTAAAAAATATGTTAAAAATTGTTCTAATATCAACAGAATGTTTGTTGGAGGTGTTGACAGAATTTCTGTTTTTCTTCCTATTTAATTAAAAAAAGAAAGCTAAGTTGTTTTTGTTTGCACTTTCATTAAATAAGAGAGGTTGTATACATTTACGCTATTTTTTATTGAGTAATCTAATGATTATAATACAAGTATGGGCAAAGAAAAACTTACTGGAAAAAATAGGATATTTGTGAAACATCTATAACTTTTATTGTATTAAGATAAATAATAAGGGAAAAAGTTGCATAAACAATGATAGTAAAATATTGTATATTGTATTTAAAGTTATCTCTATTGTATGTTTATTGAAATAAACAGTTTGATTATGAAATATGGGTATAAATGACAATATTTTTATATTATTCTCCTGTATTCATTGGCCTTAAAAACTATATTAATATGCTCAGCTTTGACAGTACGTTTGAATGCCCTTTGAATACAACCAGACATGGTACGCCTGAATTCATCTTTTGCTATTCAATAAAGAGGAACTACCGGTTTCTATCAAAAGGGCCAGTCTTTTATATGGTGAGCAAGTGTGAACTTTAAATCATGTGTATCAAAGACTGTGAAAGTCAGTGTACTGGTTTGTAATTTTTTAAGGCTATTTATACAGTTTTATGAATTGATCCTGATTTGAAATTTTCATGAAACTCTGAATCTTCTCGTGAAAAAAGTTACTTGAAAATTACTAGAAAGGGAACAATCGTAGCGATGACGATAAATAATATAATTTTCGATTTTATTAAAAGAAAATGGAGAGATAAAGATTCTCGAGGCATATTGCTAAGTATGATTAGCGTTGTTCATTTTTCTATTGGCTTTGGTATTTTATTATCATTTGGAGAATTTATTCCAGTTCTTAAAGGTTCGATAACGAACAATGAAACTTCTTTAGGTAAGCGTTATTCAATTAAATAAAAATACAAATTACTGAAAAATATTTCACTATAGGTTTAATCAGTTCATTATCTTTATTCTTTGCTTTTTCTATGGCTCCGTTTTCGACATTTTTAACTGACAGACTACGAACTAGGAAATCATTGTTGGTTACCATAAGTTTTGCATCAGTCACTTTAGCATTTACTGGAGCAGTAAGTAACCTTTGGTGGGTGATGATCTTCTTTGGCGTTCTTTTTGGCTCATCAATGGCTATTTTAACAAATCCTCATTTTTTTCTCTGCAATGATTACTTTCCCTTTCATCACAAAAGACATGTCGTGGCTACAAGTCTTATGACCTGTGGATTTCCTCTTGGATCGTTGATATTCAACCCTATAACTTATTACTTCATAGCAAACTACGGATGGAATACTGCATTTGCTGCCAATGCTATAATAGCAATTGTTGTTATTGCACCTACAAGCCTACTTATGGTAGAAGTTTCAGACGTACAAAATAATGAAGATTCAGATGAAGAAGAGAAAAAAAGTATTATTGAACATGAAGAAGATGCGAAAACATCTGGTATGAAACTTAAAGTATCCACAAGACTGATAGTTGGTTCAATATGGTTAATGGCAAATCTTCTTAAAAGTGTAGCATATTCAGCGCCGTTTATGTTCTTAGTAAGTATAACTATTAAAGTAATTTCTTTCAATAGAGAGAACTTATTATAAACAACAGGTTCACTATATGACTAAAAATGGCATACCCCAAGGTAAAGCAAGTCTTGGTATGACACTTATGTCTACTTGTGAATTTTTTTCGAGGTTGGCTTCATCGTACTTTGGTGATAAACTAAAAGGAAAATTTATACTTGCATATGTCATATTCTCTTTCATATTGAGTGTTGTTAATTTCCTGGGTTCATTTACACATAATTTCCCAACGATTATAATTTACGCCATTTGTATGTATAATATTAATTGAATGAAAATGAAAACGTTTCCGTTACGTTTATTTACTTATACAGCGCTAGGTATATTTGATGGTCCAATTATTGCTGTCCTATTATCGTCATGCATCGAACTACATGATGGATATCATCTAAATGAAACGTTCTCAATATTTCGTCTAGGTATGGGAGTTGGATATTTAATTGGGCCTACTTTATCAGGTACAGACTGTTTATTATTATTAGTCTTTGAAACAACAAACGCTAATTAACTAATTCTTATTATAGGATTTTTATACGATTATTACGGAAGTTTCAAGCCTATTTTTTATACAACGTCATTGGCATACTTTCTTTCAAGCTGTTGTTACGCTCTTTGTCTGCTTTTAAGAAAATATAAAAAGTCTTGGTGGATTCCTGAAAAAGTGGAAAATATTGAAATGAATAATCCGTCTACATCGCAGCAATAATTAATGAAGTTGAATCTTTATGTTTTTTTTGTTATAATAAACAGATAAAGACATTTATAGTTTACAAACAAAAAAATTCTACATTCTTCTTTATTCATCATAAGTCAAATATGAAAAATGATATTGAAAATGAGAAAAAGAAGAAGGAGAAAGAACAATGAAAGCAAAATAAACAAAAAAAAATTATCTGCGAAATTTCTTTGTGTCCATTTAGATTTTTACTAGAAAATGAAAGAAAAATTCCTTCTCTTTCGAATAGATTTTGCAATAGTAAAAGCCACAGAAAAAAGAAAATTGTTTTCATTATTTTTCATTTTTCATTCCTTTTTTTATCATTTTTTCCACGTGTAAAAATTCCTTCTTTCCTATTTTCATTCCCTTAACTTTTCGTTTGTCCTGTAGGAGACGCCATTTTATAATCAGATAATCAATTTGTCGTCTATTTATATCGTTATTTATTATATATTACTAACGTTTAGCTTTTTCTCTTACTTCTGCTACTCTTTCATTCTTTTTTGCTAATTTCATTAACTTTTCCGCTTCAACTGACTGCAAAAATGATTGTTATTTTTTATGTTAACTTTTTAACCTAAAACTCTAATTTCCTTTAAATGAAATAAGAATGACAAATGTTCTATAAATAGTATTCATGGCCAGTCTTTTTTACATAAATTAGTCACCAGCGTCTTTTTAGGGTGATATTTATATAAAGTTGATATTATTATTCTATGAAATATAGATATTTTAGACCTTTCTCCTCTCTTCGGCACCTTGTAGCTTCTTGTCGATATCTTCCATAGACTTAACTCGACAAGTTATCCCACTCTTATCCGCTGGAGGTTTAGCCGCTTTGGGCCGAAGTATAACCTCAAATGCGATATTTCCATTTTCAACATCTAGTTGAATAAATAAAGTGAAATTTATTGAAATTGGATTTCTTATAGTTTGGCTTGAGAGAAAAAAATTACTAAAAGTAGGCCCAAATGGCAGATGTCTGGGAATTTTGCGTATCAGACCATCCGACCAGGGCATTAAAGGACAAGTTATTAATGATTTATTAACGCTGTGAGTCAAGGCTGCTGATTAATGATATAAACGAATTTCGTTTGTTTCTTTACATTGTAATCCTCAGAATGGTATGATAATTTTATACTGATTTCGTTTAACAATTCGTAAATTATGGTTAAAATTTTCTCTTATTCTCCTCTTGTTATAGATTATTTCTTTTCTATTAGAACAGTTATGCTACTTACCTACAATTGGTTTGCTCATTGTTTCCAGAGAAATTTATCTTCCAAAAAGTAATCGTAACAGCTTTCTCCAAATACTGCAACACTGTAATAGACAGTCAGACGACTGTTGCATTATAATACGGGACGCCAATCAGACGCCGCTTTTTTTAGCCTATAGTCTTTGGGTTTTGAATGCCATCTGTATTATACAGTTGTAATTACTTTTTGCGTAAAATATTCCTTGGATGTATAAAAAACAACTGGTAGCTTGCCCCTCATTATTTAGTTCTTAAAAATAGATTTTAGATGATTTATTTAGTAGTTCGTAAAAATTAACGAGAGTTTATATAATGACGAATACTGGTAAAGTAAAATTTGGATGGAAGAGGAAGCTGGGAGATACTGTAGTCCATTCAATTAAAGAACAGTTTGAAAACGATTCAGCTAACGAAACAACTATCCAAGATCTCGAAGATACAGGAATAGATTGGTTGACATTGAGACCGAAGAAGCCAGGTTTATAAATCGTTTTTGTTATTTATCCAGTTAGAATAGAAAAGAAAGAAGCTACTCTATTTTAAAGGAAATAGCATATAAAGATATCATTTTCCCGTAATCTAAATAAAAATGATATAAAAGGAAAGAGTCTTTCACACAGAGGAAATGATCCTATAATTGTAGACAATTTAAGATAAAAAGATGTTTTTTGTAAATAAACTATAAAAGCATTTTTTTTTCAGCATTACAACTTGAAGACGCCCTAGCGAAATGTCAACGTCTAAAAGGAGAAGGATGTACCTTAGCCGATAACGAAAGGTGATATTTTTTTTATTTAAAAAGAAAATGACACCTTGAAAGGTCCTTAAGAGAAAAATAAAACAGATACTGGGAAGCTATTGACAAATGGAATCAAGCGTTACAACTTGTTTCCGCTGTTGCAGAAATACATGAAATGAAAGCCCAGGTAACTTTGTTATTAAGTTCAATTTACAATGAGATGGAAAATGGAAAATAAGATACTTTTAATAGGCCTACATGGCCTTAGGTGAAGTAATGCCGGCAATTCAGAGTGCTGAGGAAGCTGCAAAATATAAACCCAATTGGTATTTAGCTTGGCAAACTCTTGGAAGATGTCAATTAAATTTAGGTGAAGTATCTATGGCGATTCGATCGTTTAGTAAAGCACTTCACCTACAACCAACTTCATTGGAATTACGGGAAGAGGACATAAAACCAACATTAGAATTATTAAAAAAATTTAAGAAACGAGAACTGCAAAAGAAAATTGAAGAGAGGGCATTAAAAGATGAACAAGAAAAATTCACTAGCGTTGATATTAACTCAGAAGAGGTTCGCCAAGTACTGAAAGAATGCGAAGAATACTTTGAGAGTAATGCATCTTTAGACGAGGAAGAAACATCAGAACAAGTTAGAGAAGTTGTGAAATTTAGACAATAGCACTTCGTGATCCTTTCCTGTCGTATTAATGCCACATTTTCAGATTTTTTTCTTGACGAATTCTAATACCTGATTGCCATAAGCAGTAATACAAGAGGAAGAAAACTTCAATGAACTATTTTTAAATGAAAAACAACCGTCATGTTCAATTAAATGTATTAAGCTATTGAATAAATTTTTAATTAAAGAAAATTTTTGTGACTTTACCAGAAATATCAAATTGTTACTTTCTTTCATCACTAATGAATAGACGGTTTTAAAGCTTTTTCCTCTTTTGTTAATCCACAAATTCAAGCTTAATCACTTAAAAATGGAAAATATTACAAGCATTATTAGCTTTAGTGCTAATCCAACAGCAACCCAAATTTAGAATAAAGTGTCCATCCGACGCTTTTATTTCCATTTGTATTGACTAAATTTATAAATAGACTAATGCTACTATTAATGTTTGATTTTTGCTTCGTTAGTATATTTATTATGATTATTCTGACTTTAAAAAGGTATTTTTATCTTTTAAAAACTAAGTAAAACGGTGGCGCATTGTAGATTTGGGGAGACGTCTGGTGTTGGGAAGTAGTAGCTGTGTGCGCTCTTTTTCATCCAAGCCACTTGATATGATCACTCTCTCAACCTTTTTTTTCCTTCTTCTTCTCTTCGCTTCATCAAGTCATAGTTTCGAGGATGGTTGGTTATCTGAACCGATAGAAGACGTTCAAGAAGTAAATCGTCAATTGCAGTGTCAGGAATTGTTAAATATGAACTTGAGGAACAGAGATCCTACTTTCCCTCCTTCCAATAGTCGAGACGGATTTATGGAATCAGTAAGCAATTAGAATAAGTCATGATCACGAACCTACTTCAGCTTAAACTAAATATAAACTATAATGATTTTTTTAGTCTTCATTTGAAGAAAAACGCAATATCCCTATGGAAAGGAAGTATTTCATTGGTTCGTGTTCCTTTCATATAATTCTATATCATAATAGACTTTTTTAATCCCTTTACTTAATTATACTTATGATACTAACAGCTAAACTTTTTGGATGTACTTTCGCAAAATAGAAATTTCTTATATCATCTATAAATTGTTAAAGAAGGGCAGTGAGAAACAATTTTCGAAACGTTGTAATATATAGTGTAAAAGTTTGTGTTAAATATTCTATAATATATCTCTGATTGATGCGCAGTTATTAACTTTATAAGAACAATCTGTTTGATATTACATTTCAAACTACACTTTGCTAAATATAATCAACCGGAACGTGACTAGCGACCTTTCGATAATTCGAACAATAATCTTATATTTCAAGCAAAGTATTACGTATTAGAAATCGACATAACTTCCTTACGAAGAAAACGAAAAATTCATAAATTTTCTATGATAATCTTTAACGCCGGACTTGTCTCCATCCATCGTCGTCGGCTGAAAAAGAAATTCTTAATATAGATATACATTTATTATTAGACTAAAGAGATTATAAAAAGTAATCTTTTAATAGGAAAAATCATAAGGTGTCATTGCACGGTATTATTCAGTTGACATCCGCATTGATAAAAATTTCTTGAGAAGGTCTTTACGACTCATCAAACTAATTTAAGAAATGTATTGTATAAATTATTCATTATCTTTTCAAAATGAGTCCTCTTAGTTCTTCTATTTATAGACAATTTCATCGGAATAAGTGCCGTAAAACATTTCATAATATACAGAATAACAATGAAAGATAATATGTAAGGTCTCGACTTTAAAGTAGGGATATTTTAACTTCATGGTGCAGAGATGTCGATGGGCTGACGCACTTTTAGTGATTAGCATCTTTTACAACTCTTAAAAAAACTTAGTAAAAATTCGAAAAATTTAAGTTGGATGGAAGGAAATCCGATAATTTTTCTGAACTTAAGCCCAAAGGACTAAATATAGAAACTACTTGCATGCGTAAATAAATAAGAGCGACAACTTATGTATTATTAGTTGTATGGAAAGAGGTAGAAAATGATTCCAGAAAACAAAGCAAGCTTAAAATTGATTCACTTATAAGCGTGGGTGTTTCTGTTGTTGGTAGACAGTAGTGAAGTCCAAGTTTTTAATTTAGCGTATAAAGGACTTCGCAACATATGATAATGGTTATAAGAGAGTATTATGACATTACTTACATTTTAATGATTTATCAATTTAAATTAAATGTATCAACTTTATGAAAAAGGACTTAATATATGGGATGTTGCTTAAGTGTGAAAGCTCACGTAAATTGGACTATTAATATTCAAATGGATTTTATCAAATAACTAAATGAATAAATACCTTGAGGTTTCCTAGTATCATCTCTGTCGTCTCGTTTTCTATCGTCTCGACTGCCCCCCATTCGCCAACTAGAAGAGGATTGGCCGTCTTTTCTATCTTCTCCTTTCCTCCATGAGGAAGAGTCGTTGGTTCTCCACTTGTTTTCGGCAGGCTTATCTCTATCAAAATCTCTTGAAGCTGGACCTGACCTCCAGTCCCTACTATCCCTATTGTCCCTGCCATCTCTATCTCTATTATCTCTACGAGGTGTATAAGCAGAACTACCACGAGGCTCCTCTTTACCTTCCGATCGCCATGGTCCACCTCGGGATTCATCTTTGCCTTCCGAACGCCATGGTCCACCTCGGGATTCATCTTTGCCTTCCGAACGCCATGGTCCACCTCGGGATTCATCTTTGCCTTCCGAACGCCATGGTCCACCTCGGGATTCATCTTTGCCTTCTGAACGCCATGGTCCACCTCTGGGCTCTTCTTTACCTTCCGTGCGCCATGGTCCTGCACGAGGCTCTTCTTTGTTTTCTGTGCGCCATGGTCCACCTCGAGGCTCTTCTTTGCCTTCTGTGCGCCATGGTCCTCCTCGAGGTTCTTCTTTGCTTTCCCCACCTGCACGCCATGGTCCGCCTCGGGGTTCTTCTTTGCCTTCCCCACCTGCACGCCATGGTCCACCTCGGGATTCTTCTCTACCCTCCGTACGCCAGGCATTACCAGAAGATCTAATGTCTCTCGGTGCTGAACTGGCCGGAGACTGTTCGGCAGTTCTTCTCCAGACGCCATCTTCTTTAGAAGAGCCTCCTCTCCAGCTCTCTTGTTTTCGAATTTCTTTATCTCGCCATTGAGCAGTAGACTTAGGCCTCCACGGTCCTGAACTGCTGCCAGAATCACGCCATCTGTCTTCACCTTTAACTCCATCATTGGGCCTATCAAGATTAGCTTTTTTCTGTTGCTCTCTGAGCTCAATTTCCCTTTCTTTTTCTCGTTTTTTATTCTCCATTTCCTGTAACTTTTTAAGTTTTTCATCATATTCTCTTCTCTCTTGATCTTTCTTTTCCTGCTCTAGTTTTTCTGTTTCTTCTCTCTTCCTTCTTTCTTCTTCCATTCTCTTCCTCTCTTCTTCTTCTTCTTTCTTGGCGTAATATTCTTCTCTTCTGTCTCGCTTGCGTTGCTCTCTTCGAGCAGCTAATCTTTCCACACGAATATCTTTCATTTCCATTTCCCATCTCGTTAACTTTTCCCTATAAACTGAGAACCTATCCTTTTTCAATTCTTTCAACCAGTTTTCTTTGTCTTGAAGCATTCTTCTAAGACGATCTCTATGTTGCATAGCAAGAACTCTCTCTCTTCTCAATTCGTCAATTCTATTATGTTCTTGCAATTCCCAATATCGTTTAGCTTCTTCTGTCATCTTCTTACTAAATTTTTCTAACAGGGGTATCTCTTCAAGACGCTTAGCTCGTTCAAAATGATCAACTTTTTTTTCTTGGGTTTTTAACCTCTCAGTTAATTCCTTCTTTTCTTTCTCCAACTGCTCTACTTGTCTAGCCATTATGGTGTCAGGATCTAATTGCTCTATTTCTTCTTCATCCATGCCTTCAAATACTCTTCTTCCAATCTCTGTAGCTCTCATCTGATCGATTCTAGCTTTCGTTTCCCTCTTCTTAATTTCATCGTGTTCTTGTTGTCTCTTTTTTCTCTCTCTCTCTTCCATTTCTCTAACTAATCTATCATTTTCAATTTCTTTTTGCTTTCTTCTTTCCTCCTCTTGTCTTTCGTATACTTCCTGTTGTCTTGCGGACTGCTCCTCTTCTTGTCTAACTTTTCTCGACTCGATTTGGAGCTTTCTCTCAAGAATTTTATCATGTTCAGCTTTGGCATGTCGTTTGTAATCAATAGCAATCTTTTGCCTAAGAGCTTCAATGTTATCTTCATCTTGTAAAGAAGACACTGCCTTCTGCAATATATTGGCCATATTAACTAGTTGCGATCTAAGTTGTTCGCCAGGAAGAGCTTGTAAAACAGGTCCTAAAGTAAGATCATCTGAAATTCTACCTCCAGTACAACAGGCACCATCCGCAGTAAAAGTGATGCTTTTTGTTCTATGATCAATTCTTAAAGGTAATTCCAAGTTCTTGGCTACGTTTACAGTTATTCTTGCAAGTCGTTGTCTTTCCATGAAAGGAGCCAGCTTAGTAAATCTTTCTAACGATATGGTGTCATAGACTTGGGCTACTTGAGTAATAAGACGCGTAACAGTCACAACATTCAGTGGTTCAATGTAAGGAGCCAGAGCTTCTTGTTCCTTGCAGTATTCCAAAGAGGATTTAACGCGTTCAGCGAGAGTAAGAGGATGAAATTCAACTTCTAAATGGAGATACAAGGGTTGCAATTGAGGATGTGCGTGTTGAACAGCTCCACCCTTTAATAATTCTGCAATTAATGATGCTCTAGTAGGAGGAGCATTAAGTCCTAAAAGAGTGGCTAATCTTCGTTGCTTCTCTGTTGTCGTATCTTCTACATCCAAAACATGAGCCAGTGGGGATTGCTGAGGTACAACAGGAACAGCCAATGTTGCAACTAAAACCCTAGAAGCCAATTTTTGTAACTCTTCTTGGCTCAGATTTTTTCTTTGGTCTCTTGAAAGTCTGTAGAGAGCATGCCAGGCTGCTGCATGAAATAAATAGCTACCACTCTTCCAGAACACCAGTGCAACTTTACTATAATAATTAGCCATTAAAGAGGGCTTTGGTGGTTTCTTTGAGAGTGAAACCAAACCATGAACATCTTCAACAGCTTTTAAAGCTTCTGCCCATAATTCCATAGTGATGGCCGAATCCAGTTGAACTAATCGAGTTTCCAAGTGTAAAGCCTGTGATTCAGGATTACTCAAATTTATCGCTCGTTGTTGATTATGGTGCTTTTGAATGTGCCCAAGATGCAATCTTAAACTCTCACATAGCTTGCGAAATTCGGTTTTTCTTTCATACTTGATACAAAAAGCAAAAGCTGAAAAAATTAATTAAAACGTTATCAGAAAATAATTATATATACTATGTAATGGTAAAATTCAAAAGCTTATTTTTACCTTGTTGAGCAATGTCCTGGTATAATTTTTCATAGCTTGAGTTGTTTCTAAGTAAATCCAAACATTGCCTATAAGATTCCCACAAAAATTTAACCCATGGAGTCAGAATTGCTCTATCTGCTCTATCTTGGGTATCTTCAGCACTTACGGCAGATAGCAAAAGGCTACAGAGAAATTTGTCATGAGCATCTCAAATGAAAGCTTTCAACAAGTTACCTCTCTGGAGTTTGTGGACATTCCAAATCATCAATATCAATTACTGCTTGGTGGGATTGTTTACTTGCTTCCTCAGTTTTTGTTTCGGCAAGCTGAAGATACAGTCTTACAACTTTTTCTAGAGAAGCAACGTTAACCTGAAAATAATACATGTAGAAAGATCACTTATTAAGTGGGTTAAAAAATTTACTTGTTGACAAATGTTCTTGTACTGATGCAAACCCTCTTTAGCCACGTGACTTTTCTTCAATGAAACACATAGTTCCAAATACTTTTCCATGATCGGCTCATGAATTTTTTGCCATGTTCGATGTTTCTTACTTTTGATAACATCACAAAGAGCATCCAAAGCTCTAATTGGCTTTCCAACATCAATAAATTCTGAAGCACAATAAGTAAAACTACTGATAAACACGAGGTAGCATACTGCTTCCCGCTAACTTACCATTTGCTCTCTTCAGAGCGTTCTCAGGTCTTTGAAAGTAGGTTGGCATATCAAATTATTGTATCCTTATGATTACAACAAATAATGCCAGTTAGTAATAACAAATTTAACTAATAACTTCTATCGGCGTGTTAGCCGCAGTAATTTTAGAGGTTGGAGTAATCGAGATAAAATCGACAAAACGATAGTTGATAAATCGACAATCATATACAAGTTCAACGTAAATCGATAAAGTTCTAAAAATTTGTGAATTCATCGATTTATAGCTTAAAGTATTGTAATTATTTCCGTTACTAAAATAAGACATGAAAATTAAAATACTATGTCTAATAAAAATACTTTTTTCAACATATAAAACTACTTTTTTTTAGATAATATTTATGTGAAATTCTTCTCGATTATTATCGATTTTAGATATTTATATCGCATTTCTTATTTGATATGGAAAACGATTATCGCTAGAATGCAATATGTCATACTTCCTGTGTGAAATATCCGGTCATGCCTTAGACTATTCTAATACGCATGTCCATGCATGGACATCGTTTTAAAAAATTGGACATTAAATCGGTTCAATCGTCGAATAATTTAAACTCGAGATGATGGTATTAATCAAAGAAGTCGTTTAATGTTACTAAAGATTTATTAAAATATTGACCCAAATAATAATAAATATATTTTCTTTCAGATAATTATGACACAAAGTACCACTTTAATACTTAGTGTACAATATAAAAGTATTATTTAACATCTATTTCACATGTATGGAATCATTTCAATTGCACTGTTCATTTATAAAATTTAAAACTATTGTATTTTAAGAATTGTGTATAAAAAGATATTTAATAAAATTGATTGTCCACCTCCCTAGTAATCTCCTTTTCTTCTCATAAAATAGTTATTTTGTATTAAGTATAATAAAGTGTATAAATAACAAAATAGTCTAAATATAATGTTAAACTTGAGATATTTAATAAAGTAACTATTTAAAATATATATATAACTTAATTAAATTTATTTTTACCTTTTTTTCCATACTTACTGTGCACTGCCATCTAGCGGTTTGGCAACTGTCAAAATATTAAACTGTTGAAAGATACTTTTTGTATTTATTTCTTATTTTTATAAAAGAGTTTATATCATTTAAATCAAATTTATTAAAAGAAATAAAGGTGTTTTAGCTATTTATAAAAAAAGTAATAAATTTTTATAAAAAAAAAAATATTTTGTGACGTAATATCCGATGACAATAAATTTTTGACGTTGTAATGAAAAAACTTTGAAAAATGGATCTTTAAGTGTTGCAAAATAACATAAATAGATATAAGTACATTGTAAATAATTCAATATACACCAAAGCGTTCTCATCTGATTAGAATATTGATAAATTTACTCTTATTTCCGCCTACCTTGTCAACTTATTCATTTGAAAAGGAAGTAGTAAAAAGTCGGCTAATTATAGGCCTGTAACAAGTTTTCTTAAGGTTAAGTATCATTTGGAGTTTAAATTTGTTTTGATTTCACTATCCCAACTCTCTTGATAGTTCAATTCAATATGAAAAAAGCCTAGAGTTTTCTAATCGACTTGTAATGTATTATTTATGAAATATATTCCTCCATTAAAAGCATTAAATGACTTGATAAGAACTTTAATAAGTAGGTTTTCTAAGCTTTTAGAGTAAAAGTAACCCATTTCGCTAAAAAATTCAAGCGGAAAAGTATTTCTTTAAAAAAGAAGAACGAAATTAATGTATATTCAATGTTCTTTAGAGAGATAAATACTAAGAAAAGAAACTAATCAACAAATGAATATAACGCGAATTTTTACTCGATTACTATTCTTTAAAAGCTGATTTTAATTAATGATAATAATCAACGGGTAGTTTCGTTAAAGGGATGAGAGAGGGAGTCAATTACTACATTTTTTTAAAAATCTGCATCTCCCATAGGAAATTAGAAAATTTATTTGTTAAAAGTAACGTTTTCTCTTTCTGTTAGTTTATTCTATTTTCCCTCAAATAATGTTATATATTTATCTACTGTATATGTTCATTTTGGATCTTTCATCAATTTCATATTTATATAGTGTATTGTAACTTTATTGTATCAATTATTATTTATTTTTCATTTATTCTTAATGAAAAAGGAAAGATATTAAATCAAAAGGGAATTATTTACTTGTTGTTTACAAAAGATTTTGTACATTTGATTATATTAATTAATATATTACGAGCTAAAGTGGTTTATATATGCTTTTATTAAGAAATATATACTTTAAATATATATACATAGGAAAATGTGCACTCTGATAAAAGAAGGTACCTAAAATAGAAATATATTAATGACTTTAAGCCTAAAAAAAAGAGAAACAGAAGATGTATGCTCTCTACGCCTGTGATTAATTATCAATTTGCAGACAGTTTGCCTCTTAAAGTCTCACCGCAATATGACCCAAACGTAACCTCATTTCCTTATCCGTTGTAAATTAATTATGAATAATAATTATTGAAATTGAGAAATGAAAGCTGTCTGGAAAGTTTTAAGGTAATGATAAATAGTGGAAGATGGGTTCAATTTTTCACGTCATTGAAACCATCAATAGATCTGTTGCTAATAGCGTGTCAAGACGACTACTTAAAGAGATAAAAGATATGGACAATATACCCGCATAGCAAAGTGAGTATTGTTAATGCATACAAAACAGATTCTTTTCCACGGCCTACCGGACCACCTTGATTTATATAAATGACCCTTATGTATAAAGAGATATTTATATACAAATATATAAATATTTCTCTTGATAATTAAGGTGTTTACAAGCGACATGAATAATAATTTATAAATTTAGCTCCATCTGACGACCAATTGAAATCTTTAGGATAAATTTTTCCAAATTGACTTATAATTGTAGATTTGGTTTAGTTCATTGTTAGATTAGGGTGAACATATGTGATATGAACATTTTAAAGGTAATTTTCGAGATTATTTACTTTTTTTAATTTTTTCATAATGTAACATTCACGCTATTAATAAGAATAATCCTTAGATGTATTTGCATAAATTATCTTCCCCTCCCCGTTCCCTCTTTGTACTTTTTTTAATCTGTAGCTATTTACTTTTAGCAATAGAATTTTCGTTTAACCCTAAAAATAACGATTCCATAATTCACGAGAGGTCAGATCAAAGGAGAATAATAATATAGAAGAGTATCACTTACATAATCTAATTACATGTATATTGTGGGAAATTTTATTTTAAAGGAGTGTGACCAAATAATTATAGTGACGTCATGCGATAGCTATGACATCACAGATGACTGATTCGGTTCTTTGATCCAGAGATATTTGTGTAAACATTACTTATTATTGAAGTAATATGTTGATATATTTATATTAACTTTTCTCCTTTATAAAAATAACGATAGAGACTGATGAGAGGCAAACGTTCATTAATCTGCTTTATTGTATAGCTTAAACAAAACTATTGGCAATTCGATAAAATACGTAATTTAATTACCAGTCAATATCTTTTTTCTTTCCTCCTTTTCTCCATTTACTCTCTTTTTTTACGAATTAACTCTAGTATTAATAAATTGATATAAATAGCTTTTTCTTAAGTATTCGATTTTCTCTCTCTTAGTAAATAAAAAATATATGTACTACTGTACTAGAGATTTTAATAAGAATTTTCATTAACTTTTATTAACATAATCTATACTTTGAGCAAAGACACATAAAAGTAGGTCACATCTGCCATTTTTTTATCATTTAATAACCACCATATTAGATATATATATATATTTATACGGTTGCAAATAGAATATTCCTATTAATTTGGAAGCATGCTGTATAGATATTCCGTATACTTCGTATATTAATATATTCATAGATGTACTCTATATAATGTATACTGTATATACAGACGTATATATATATACGTACACAGAACATATATTTTACATATGAATGCTGATATATTCAATAACGTATGTATGTACATTAAACGAAGAGAATTTATATACAAAACATTTCACTTGAACGAAAGAAGGCACAATCTGTCTTTAATTAATATATAAATCACGAAATATTCATGTACGTGTAGTCCTCTTCTCCGTCGGACAATTCATTTCCAATATTGAGGTTCCCGCTACTCTTTTTAAGCCATGCTTCCTATAAAACTGAATAGCTTCCAGCGTAGCGCCGGCAAATTCGTTTTGATCTAACGAAAGTTTTGCTTTAGCGGCACTAACGTCACTTTGTAGCTCGTCCAAATCGCGTTTCAATTTTGCCCGGCGGTTCTGGAACCAGGTTATTACTTGTGCATTAGACAAGCCTAGTTTCATGGCTAATTCATCCCTATCGGCAGGAGTCAAGTACTTTTGGAACAAGAAACGCTTTTCTAATTCGAATATTTGATTATTGGTAAAAGCTGTTCTAGATTTTCGGCGTCGTTTTGGCGGTTGCGCTTTAAAGATGTATTGAGCGGACGCGTTGCTTCCTTCTGTTGAAAAAAAAAACGTTGACCTCATTTTGAACAGAATAAAAATAAAATAAATTCACAAGCTAATAACCTAAAATATAGAGTTTGTTTAAATTTTTTTAATTCTTAATGTGAAATATTTTATCAGTATATATTAAAAAATCTTATTTTTTTTACAAATATCCGTATTTAGGTTATGGGAAAAGTTGTCCTACTTTTGAACGGAAAAAAATACTTTTTGTCGCCTAAGAATGGCGTTTTTTTAAGCATAGAATCTATTGAACCAGGAAAAAATGCGTTGATTCAATCGCTTATATATAAACTATGTAATAAATTTAACGAAAGATAAGAATTAACGAATTTTAACAAACAATGAAAACTGTACAGAGAAATAAGTAAAGAGGAAAGGAGAAGAAAACAGGCTTAAAATGTCCGTTTTATCTATGCAAGGATTAAATATCATTGAAATTTGTAAAAGGTATTCCTATGGTACTTTATAAATGTATCGAATAAACTTATTTGTCTAGTTGTGATTTAGTTCTAAACGAGTGAATTAGATATAGGAATACATTTCAACACTTTAACTGTGATAGTAAATGATAATATTTAGATTTTTAAGTTATATTTAAGTCTAAGTAGAACAGATTAAATACCTAAAGTATTAAACTATACGCACAAGTTAAAGTTTCATATGACCTTTTCCTTTCTAATAGAATGTACCCGCATAACCCTAGGGATACAGGGAACGTCATCAATCATTGCCGTAAATGATGACAATAGTTCTCTTTCGCACAAAGAGCCCTGTTATTAACCTTAATTAACGCGAGCCATCTTCATATTGGCTCACTAGTCTATTTAGGATCTTAAAATAAATTGGTGTGCCATAAAAAAAATGCGGCTCAAAGGGGTGTTAAAATCGCCGCTAGGCTGTTTTCCTTTGTTTAAAATTGTGTTATGACGCATGCGCGTAGACATTTATGAAAAATGACACGATTCGCATAACAAAGACGTGCAACAGAGACTTAAATAGCTTATTTTATATATTTGGCGCCATTATAAGTTTAGCCTAAATCAATTTAAGTCCGGTTGCAATGAAATTACTATAATAGAGCCATCAATATAAATAATGACGCTGGCCGCTTTGTAAATACGTTTTTCAATGGCTTTGTAATAAATTCATTACTCTAATTTATTCCACCTCTTTTGGTTGTGAAAGGAATTCGAAACATGCTTTATCTTAGTTTGGGAATTCAAAAGAAAGAAAAAACTACGTTTCAAAGAGATAATGAAGAATGTTACTAGCCCCGTAATCCGAATCTCATTTTCTGCTAACATCAAGAGAACTCATCACGCAAAGCTACGATTGGAATGCTTTCTTTTTTTCTAACGGAAAACTACCAGTTATCGTCTGCATTTTTGAACTGACAGCAAGGCTGGCTTGCCTTGAAAGTTGCTGATTGCTTAATGAATTATGAGCCCACGTGTGCTCTCTTTTAAATTATGTACTGCAATACTTTTTGTATATTTTGTCGGTTATTCGTTTGGTTTGGTTAGGTAATATATTTTTTTTACAAGATTTCCATCATACAAGTCAAAAGTTATCACCACTACTTAAACGTTTTATTAAAAGGAACGAACTTCGTCTTGACCTTGTTCTCCTTATTCACTTTTCAATTAAATATAATAAAAGGTAAAGAAAGGTCTAAGAATGATCTTTCTAAACAAGTACTTGTCTTTCTATAACAAAACTTTGTTGTACCAGAGGATAATTTTCTCTATGAATAGAAGAACAAAGTATTGTAAGAAGGCATATATAAATAAAAAGGCATCATTTGCAGTAAAAGACGTAAAGCAGACGGTTGGCAAGAAAAGGCGCCAAAATCGTTGGAAATGATGAAGAATCAGCGCAAGTGGTGTATGTAGAGCGAGAACGGTGCCAATTTCGGACACTCTGGAGACTGTCAAGGGCTGACGCAGCTGCTGCGTATACGCCCTTATTTATACCGTTACAGTAGGAAATATTATAACTGTTTAATTGACTCTTTGTTTGTACCCCGTATCAAAAACAGGTAATTATTAACGTATGGGAATTATTATTCATTACACTTATCTTTACTTTTTAGCGATTATTTCCCCTAATTTAAACAATAAACTAATAATATTAAATGCTCAATTAACAAGTATAAAACTATAAAATAAAAAAGATCAGATAAAATCTTTCGTTTAACTTATGATTATTTAATGTACATTGTATACAAATAAATACGTTTACTTTTATATAAATTACGAACCAACATAACCCCCGACCCGCTGCGCGTCCGTCATTTTCGCTTTAGAGGGAATTTATTGCGTTAAGAACATCTTAATAGCAACAAGATTTTCTACTATAAAACATCTACACACATTCCTTAGTTAAAAAAAAAACTCATTTCATATTCAATACAACGGGCTATATTGACCTAGAGACATTTGTTATCGTTTTATATCAATTATATAGATATATCTATATATATTCTTTCATTCTTCACAAGATATATATTTATAATACAACTCTTATTTTCCTTTTTGGAAGAGAGTAAATATAACTCTTTACGTGTTTTTAGTTTACTTTATACAGCAAATACTTCGACTTTACGACCCGATTAACTATTTATAAGAAAATTCTCAATTATTGAATTAGGTTAAAAGGTATAATTTTATAACAAATAGTATTAATATTTCATTTAAATACTATGTTGCTTATGTCAATGAGTAACTTTTATCTTCATTTCCATCTTAAGAAAACTATTAAACGGTAATTGATGAAAGATGCTGATTTATATTTTCTATATTTAGATTGAAATGGTAGAATGGGAAAAGAAACAGTTTAAGTGTTAGAAAAATAGAGAAATATTTATATCATCCTTGTAGATCAAGATGTTATAACAAGCTAATATATATATATTTTTTTTTAAAAAATGGTACTCTATGGATAAACACTACTCTTGTTATTTTTATACGATATTTGATATATAGTTTGGGAAGAGCTAAAATTAGTCACAAATATTTCTTTACAAATGATTAATGGCTCGTGTTAAAATAGTTTAATAGGCCTAGCAAATTGTATTATACAATTTAAAGAAAACAGAATCGTTGACAATCAATTAGCTTTATCATGCCAGCTCAAGACAAACGACATTTTATCCTAATAGCCACGGTTGATTAGAATTATCTAGAGTCAATGCTTAAATGAGCAATTAACGCCTCTTATCTAAAAGCACAGATTCGTTTAGTAAGAATGTCGAATTTATGACAAATGATGAACTGGTGCTGTTTTTGTTTTCTAGCATGTGCTGGCCGTACATCAAAGAAACGAAAAAGCCTCTTTTTAGCACCTCTTTCCCTGATTTTGGGAGGGCATAGTGCACGTGAGCGTTTGAAGTATTACAACATCACAAAAACGATTTTGACCGCTGGCTATAAAAAGACGTCAGAAGAGGAAAAATTTGCATAATGCTCTACCTCATTAGTATTCATTAGCCTTCGGCTAGTGATGTATTAAGTCGTCATTTTCGACATTCTCCGCTAGCTAATGGCGGAGAATGATCACAGAGGCATGCCGACTGGCGCAAAATTGATTTATTTTTCCCACCGTCTAACACGCACCTGATGCATTTTGATAAATGTCGCAAAAATTGCTAATAAGATTAAATCTAACCAAGAAAAAAAGGCGGAGATGAGCCGCCTAGATAAGAACTTCCGACTAACATTTGATCTTGATGAATGAACTCAAGTGAAGTTTCGGTTTGCTAAAAAAGTTTGTAATCACTATCGTTAGGACACGTTTCGCTTCTTTTTAGCCTTGTTCATCCGTCTATACAAAAAGTTGATTTATAGTTTAAAGTGACATTCAATGCGGCACAGTATTATATGGTTTCGGTATATAAGAGTAGATCTTTTATAATAAATAAATATCCTTCATATTTAATCAATTATAGATCGATTACATAAATTTATCAATCATCAGTTTGCCTGTTATGAAAATCAGTTACAGATCAGCTAAATGGCGCTGTTGAAAGGCTCCAGTCACTAACGCCAAAACCGATTTAATGAGCCGTAAGACGTTTGGAAAGCACGTATACTTGCTAATTAGTCATTAAATCCTGATATAACGGAACAGATGCGCATCGACTCATTTCATTTTATCGCCCAAGTAATTTCTTCGTTTTTAATTCCCTTCAAAAGGAATTTATACTTGGACGCTTCTTAAATCGCATTCTATTTCATTTTAATAGCGATAAATATTTTTTAACATCAGCTAAGAAATTCTTTTACATTATAGGCGTCATTGCTTTTTGTATCTCTCCCTCTATATATATATATTTATTTATATTTATCGCTTTCCTTCTTCCTCTCTATCTCTCTCGCTCTCTCCTTTTTCTTTCTCTATTCTGATATTTTCAATTCTTAGTCAAAATCATAAACTATAGGCTTAAAACTGACTGGGCGTCTTCTAACATTCCTTCTGCTACTCTACCCTATCTCTCTACCCTTTTTAACCAAGTAAATAATCCTGTATTTTATGGAGGTGAAGATAATCGTTAGACAAGCTTGACACACAGTCTTTTTTATTTATGGTCGGATTATAAATTTTATGTTCGCTCTGTACATAGTATATGAGTGAATTATCGAGCAAAAACAGAATGAATAATTACCTATTTTCGGGAGAGGTCAAGTTAGACAGGAGTAACATTAATTAAAGGTTAGAAATTATTATATGCTTTCACAATTATATCCATGTATATATATATATATATATATGCAAGATATAGTGTGATTTCGGACACCTGTCATAATATATTATTCTTCAGTGTTATTCAGGTTGTCAGAAAGTGGGATTAAAAAAAACATAGTCTGAAAAGTGAGTAAAATTGATAGATATACGCAATTAGGTGAAAGTTGTAGTTTAACCGATTTAGCCGCCAGCTTCGGCATAGAAAAATAAAAGAAAACTACTTCTAAATGTAAAATAAATGACGGTAAGGAACGCATAATTTTTCGCCCCTGTAGGCTTTTCACTTCTAGACATACTTCTTGACATTTTTATTGAACACTTTCACTGTTTGACGTTTATATTTTCATTGACTTATTATGCACAGTTAACGCTGGAGGCGTTAAACAAAGGCAATTTTGTCACGTGTTTAGATACAAATTTTTCGGTAAAAAAGTTGTGTCAGTTTTACGCAATTCATAGTTATAGAATATAAACAGGGTTGGCTATAAATTAAATAAAGCATGTATTTATGCAAATGCATGCAAATCACCCGCACTCCGACTGCGCTTTCTGTAAAGCTTTCTCTATATATTCCTTAATAAACGAAAAATGACCCGGTTATTAGCTATTCGTATGCCTAGGTAGAGAATCCCGTTCACAGAGCTTTATTTTATATATCTGTTGTAGAATTTTTAGCTGATGTCCAGTTGGAAACAGTTGGATAGATACATAATGCATAGGTATCAGGTGAATTTGCATAAACATCAGCAATTTGTTTAATTGACGGCATTTATATATACAGTTGCATTACTATTATTTAAATGTCACTTGTAATAGAATTTACTGTTTTGCTAGTTCCATTTTTTCAATAGGAGTCTGTTCTATTAAATAGGCAATTCTTATTCGATACATTGATACGAAGAAAAGTCCTTTCTATAATAAATAAAGCTAAGTAAAGCTAATAAAATGGAGGCTAGATATTTACCACATATGCCACACTTAGGCTTGTCAAACTGATATTTTATTTACGTATCAATTACGGCTATAATGTCTCAAATAATCGATTTATTGTCGGAATCTCCCTTTATTGACCCAATTTATTGACCCAAATGCTATTAAGTAAGAGCACCCCCCCATAATAAAAACGGTCTTTCTCTTCACCTAATTAAATCCCGGCGTAATACTCTAAGAATCAATCGGAAGCGTTTGTCTTTCACTATTCACAGAATAGAAAGACCCCTTTGTTTACGTAGATTTTCTATGCTTAACGCGTGCCGAACAACACTCTAATAGAATGTGACGTAACGTCCGTTTCCCTATATAATCCAGACGCCGCAGTCTAAAGCGCAGAAATTTCAAACATTCGACGAAAGATTAGGCAATAAGAGGTCGGGGGTAAGGGCTAAGGTTAACACTTAGTAGACAGATATATAGTTATCTTAGATAGTACAAACCTGTATTTTCGCCACCGGAATCCAAACCCTTCAGCGTCTTTGATGTCATTTTGAACAAAGCGTCCAAAGGAGAAGCCTTAGAATTTTTACTGCGCGGAGGTAAATCTTCAACATCAATAATTTCATCTTCCTCTTCAACAGTTGATGATGTATCAGCAGATGAGTAGTTTTCTTGATGGTGATTGTCTGGCGATTTCGGTTTATGCAACTGTAGAATATCTTCAATAAAGAATGATGATCTGGGTCGGGAGGTAGTTTTGACTGGAGGACAATTCATCTCTAATTTTCTTATTGCTGCGAAAGGATCCATAGAATTCTCACTTTGAGACACCATTTTATTTATTTGAACTTCTGAGCACCGTCTCGTTCTTGTTAGTGAGTTACGGTAATCAGTAAAACGGTTTGGGGTTTAGGCTCCGCCCACTTAACTAACTAAAGGTTTCTCGGCCAATCAGCGCTCGGAGAAGAAGTTCGCATGGACCAATCAGCATCGAACTAGTTACGTTTAATAGTTCGACTAGAAATGTGATAAATGGGATTTCTGTCGAATTTTGAAGGTTGTATTGTGTTAAATGACGAGATGCGGTGATAAATAGACAATGTCTGTGACATTACTCTGCGTTTTGAGACGTTTCTTTGCGCCGTTTGAATGATTTTTTATGATAATTCTCAAGCTTATTTATGGCAATTTCTATTAGTTTTTGATAGTTCTATAATATATTTTGGCATTACACAATTGAAATCTAGCAGATTCCTGTTAAAATTCTATCGCAGCGTTGACAAACGGAAAACAGATAAGACAGCATGTTTGTTAGACTAATTTAACAAGATGTCCGACCGAGAAGTGACGTTAGACACGTCGTTATTATGTAGGTAATAAGATAAGAGTTTGTCAATAAGCTATTCTTATCTAGCGTAAATGAGGAATGCAGAGAAGGAGGGAAATTCCTCATTGAAGAAGATTGTAAGACTGGAGAGCGCAAAAGTGTTATTAATTCCCAACTTTTGCAACATCTATAATGCTATTACACGAAAGAATGTGCAACAAAGCGTTCCTATATTTTCTCAATATACTACTATTTTAGATCAGGTTACCCACCGGAAATTCTAGTAGAATTCTAGCAAATTATCTAAGAGAATACGTGAACACTATTTGTTAAAAAGTAAATACTACGCCTTTTATCATCCTTTTTTCTAATTTCAATACTTAACACTAAAGCGGCAACGTTCAAAAGGAAAAAAGCCATTAAAAAGTTTAAAATTATACAACGGGAGAATTTTACTGTTAAGTTTTTTCCGTTTAAAGTCGTGAGAGTTAGCCCGTAAGCAGAAAGGGAAGAAAATAAGGAAAAAGTAATGAAGATACAACGGGAGAATGACGTAATTCAATTAGCTCGAATACAGTTGAGCACCTTTGAGGATGAACGCCATTAACGTTTTGCACTTAACTTGATTTGGGGGAAACAAAATGGAGACTGACAAAGACTGTGCCCGATAGCCGATCCATCATTATCCCGTATACACGCAAAAAAAGTGCTCTTAAGAAAGATATTTTTTCGCTTTTCAAATTAAATTAAATTGCATCCCTTAATTATTATTCCATCGTAAATGTATCAGGGCGTTTTAACGGAACGAAACGATTTTTATGCGGGTTGATTTCACCTCTTATCATTTCTCTTTCAGTTCTAAAAGCTATACAATACAGCAGACGCTACCTGACGTTCTAATACATTTAAAAAAAGACAATTATATCAGCAACAACATTTTGTACATAGATGTATTATGCAATACTTCGCGCCTGTCCGCCAATGAGAACTCCCTGGTGATTGCATAAAGTATATTTGAAAGCGTTTTACGTCACTCCAACTATTGCTTCCATTAATTGAATACGAAATCTCTTTTTTGTTTTTGATATTAATGAATTTACAATGTTTTCATTTTTTTCTCACGTTTTTATTCGATTTTAAAATATATTCCATAATAGTTTGAAAAGTTTGAAAGAGAATGTAGTGTTAACTCCATCTATCGGATAAAAAAATATTGTTCTTGACGGTAGATTCGTAACTTTCTTCTAAAGACAGCATAAATATTGAGATTGTGCAACTAAAAATTATACTTGAGAAGAGAATAAAGCGTCTTAATACGCTTTTCTTTTATTGGAATATTTTGGTCTGAAATTATCCATCATAAATCGTTTTTTTATTGGCGCATATATCCAGTTAGAGATGCTTTTAACTAAGAAATATTGTTTAATAATCAATGTTTATTTTTACCGAGAGGTGACTGAGTACTTTGGTGTCTATGCATAATAGATTACAGACGCTTTTCATCTAATAAATAAATCAGTCATAAATACTGTATATTATATAGTTGGCTTGCCATGTCCAATACATCTCTTAACTTCCGCCAACAAGTCATTACAACCCTTATTGAGTTATTATCATGTAAAGCTGAATGACATTTCCAGGAAAGACGGATGAACCTTTATAAAAGTTCTTAGTGTATTTATATACTTGGTTTTGTCGCTAATGGACTCATCATTCTAATGTTCCTAACGAAAAAGAATCTCCAGACAACGACTAACACGTTTATCTTATCTCTAATCGTGTCAGATTTCCTCTTCGTATCAATCGTCATGCTTATTTTAGCCTTATATATATTACAAATAGGATACAATAATATAATTGTATGTATACTTACTTTGACACTACCTATTTTCAAAATACCTCTATCAATTTTAAATTTACTGATATTCTGCTGTGCTAAACTCTTTTGTAAACCATTTAAGCACTAAATGTATCAAACGAAAGGATGTACTCTTGATGCTTTCTTTCCAATTTATTCTGGGCTTGCCTTCTACAAAACAGAGATAGTATACGATAATAAATTTTCAGTGAATAGGTAATTATTTTACTTTAGTTATGATTTTCGTTAGAGTTCCAGGTGTTGTGTCAGTAATTTTGTAATTTTCTATATTAAATATCGGTGCAAAACAAATTGGAAAAGTTTCTCCCATCAATATGGCAAGTGGCAAACAAGAATGAATAAAAATTATAAATAGGGAAGCAAACTTTACATTTATCATACTAATCTTGGTGATTATATACTGCATATAATCTACTGTAGAATCGATTATTTCCTTTGTTAAAAGATATAGAAAAGAGTATTTAAAGTACAACACATATGTTGATAATCATCTCATAATCCTTTCATTAACATTATCGGACACAGTGATTTAAAAAAAGCTGTTTCATCGATGTCTAATAGGATATTTAAAAAGCACTAAAGTGTATAGTGTATTCCCTATGTCACATTGACTTGATCTAATTATATTCCCTTTGCGAATAGTCGTCGTTTAATAGTTCTATGTGTATAGTCAATTTTGTGCGGTTTATACTTAAAAACCCTGTTATTACTGATATAATTACGAATAAATGTTTGCTAAAAGTATTCATAGCCATATGATTTGATTAGCATTGAAATATTTTCATTATCTTTCTTTGTAAAAAAAAGTACATAACATTTTATTAACCTATTTTTCACTTTTAATGTGCATTTCAGTTGAATTTGGCATAGTGGGAAAATAGGTTGGTAGGTGCTAAAAAAGAGGCTGCTGAGGGTGTAATTAGAGATTAAAAATACATATATAAAAAGTATCAAAGAGGAGAGGAAGAAAGGATGTTTGACGGTGTAAAAGTAATATAATATAGTTTACTAATGTAACGATTAGGTAATTGTAAATATTCATCGACTAATAGTTTGTAAACAAATAAGAACTTGGATGGTATGAGTAAATAAATAAAGAAGCTAATAAATCCGCTTTCGCCCCCATAAGAATGCCATTTATTATACAAAAAATAATAAACTTTTAAAGTTAATTAAAGTTTGTATTCTGGTTATTTAAGTTATGTTTATTTGCTCATGTTGTTAAATTTAATGAACAATCAATTCATTTGTAAATTATTAATTCTACAAAGTGCGTTTTCGTGGTGTTTGCTTCCATATCTTGGTTCCTCATTCTTTCCTCATTTTTTACACAGTTTAATGACTTGGTAACGCCATCTATAAGATTAGGCGTTTAGCATTCTTTTCAAGAATTTGAATTTATTCTACAGATGGCGCTATTTGTTGGACTTGTGCCGACTGTTTCTAACGAGCATGCTTTATTGACATTTTGGACGATATTTATAAATAATTTAATTCAAGCTGGCCTTAACTAGAATTTGAATCATTTGTAATTTTTTGACCATCGATCTGTGTTAAGTTAAACCGCTGGTTTTCAATAAAAATAGACAAATTATAAAATTAAACGAGCGATAATAAAGCTATAAAAATATTATGTCTGATGACGAAGATATACCCAATTTAGTTCCCATAGAAAATGAACGTGAAGGGGATAAAGTGCCTATAACTGTTATAACAGGTTTCCTAGGTTCTGGTAAAACTACCTTGTTAAATTATATCTTAACTGAACAACATGGGAGGCGAATAGCTGTCATACTTAATGAGTTCGGAGAAGGTATAAGACAATTGTTACGTTTTTTTGTTATTAAGGGATTAACTGTTTTTTTACTTTTCGTCTTAAAGGTTCAGCCATTGAAAAGTCAATGTCAGTTGGACAATCGGGAGAATTGTTCGAAGAATGGTTGGAATTGCGTAACGGCTGTTTATGTTGTTCAGTAAAGTAATTACCTTTATAGATACAGTTACAAGTAGTTAAGGTTTTTAGATAAAATAAAGCTATCATTATCCTTCTTTCTTTTATCGCCAACACATTTTAAGCTTTTTATTTATTTATTTTCCAGAGATGTCGGTGTGAAGGCCATAGAGAATCTTATGAAAAAGAAAGGGAAATTTGATTATATTTTACTTGAAACAACTGGTTTAGCTGATCCGGGTTAGATATAAATATTTATTTAATAAGTTAATCGTACAAATTAGATGTTCTTTTTTTTGTTCCAAAAAAATATAGGTCCAATAGCTTCAATGTTTTGGTTAGACGATGAATTGTGCAGTGACATTTATTTAGATGGTAAGCCATATATCTTACTTTTTTATATAAATATAAACAAAATTATTGGTTGATATTACAAACATAACAACTATAAACTTTCAGGTATAATTACAGTTACAGATGCCAAGTATTGCTTGCAGGTAGATATATACAATTAGCTTGGAATATGTCTGGAAACTAGATTTCTTTCTATTCTTATTCAAAAAAAATATATTGTATACATGTGTATATTTATATCGATTACAGCATCTAAAAGAGGTAAAACCCGATAACGTTATTAACGAATGTATACGTCAAATTGCATTAGCTGATGTTATCATCTTAAATAAGACGGATTTAGTTGATGAAGTATCTTTAAGTGAATTAAAAAATGAAATAAAGTAATAAATAATTAATTTAATTTATTTATTTATTGGTTAATTTATATTTTTCCCCTTTTTTATTCTAACAGGATAATAAATAGTATGTCAACATTAATTGAAACACAATACTCAAAGTACGGAAAAAAATTCTTTATACTTTTTATCATTTCACAATTAATTATTTACACAGAATTGATGTGGGTGTAATATTAAATTTAAACGCCTACGGTACTAATTGCCCGGATACTTTGACAATATCAACAGGAGAAAGTCACATTGATCCCGTAAGGAGAAAATTTAAGACTTTTTCTACTAATTATAGCGAAACTCTTCCTTTTTTTGTCTATTTTTTATCCTTATCCCTCTCTTTAATTTGTAGTTGGTAACAACGGCCACTTTTGAAACTGGCGGCTACATTAACATTGAAAAATTAGAGAGTTTTTTTAACGACCTACTCTGGGAGAAAAACTATAAGGATTCGAGTGGAAATATTATTGAAATTTATAGAATGAAGGTAAAAGTTGTTAATAATAATATTTTTATTATAATTCTTGCTTTATAACTCTACCAGTATGTTTATTTTTATATCATAGGGAGTTTTCTCAGTTAGAGGCGATGGGAAACGACATATTGTACAAGCCGTACACGAAATATTTGATAGATCGAGAACAAGTGACTGGGAAGAAGGAGAGGAGAAGATTAATAGAATAATTTTCATTGGCCGAAATATTGATAGAACTATATTGAAAAATTCTTTTCTTAGTTGCATTTCCGACTGATAGCTAATCTTATTTTTCCTATTAAATAATTTCTAATTATGCGATATTTAATCAACTGTTGTTTATTATCAACAATCTTGTACGATCAGTCAATTTTGTAGGGGGGATTAGGTAATTCTTTTTTACGCTCATATAATATTCGTTACATGAATTCAAATTAAGATTCTTTGATGCTTTAGTAACGCTCGATTAGTTATCCGACATCGTCAATTGTCCATGTTAGATTGGTTATGAGGGCACTCGTCCGACTCCTGAAAATAGCTCTTTCACAGTATGAATTGATGAGAAATTCAACGTAGGGGTTTTATTATTGCGGTCTCATATTCATTTCAGTACTTCATTCCCTTTATAGGTAACCGAAACTTTTTACAACTTGTATAAATTTTCTTTTGAACGTAAATTTTATTGAATTCTCAAGTAGACGTGTTGACTTTGATTGCGACGTTTTTCCCTCTTTCTATATCGAGGTGCTGCCATCTGTCAGTCGGATAATGAAACGTCTTTATTCCTTTTGAAAACATGCTAAAAATTGACTGCTCGAGGCATCTCGCAATAACTCTTTTTATAACTCGGATGCCGGTAATTTAGAAAAAGGGGACTACTGCTGAGGAGTTACGAGTAAATAACTATAGATGGCGTAGCTTGTTTTATTAGATCCTCAGGCAATAAGAAGGGTGTTTGGGTTTTTATAGAAAAATGCGTGAGAAAAACTACGATCTTAATATTTACAGACTTTCTGCTTTAGAGAAAAATAGACAAAAGAAAAACAAGAATTGCTTAGTGGCGTAACTCGCAGTGTATACTGTACAAACTTCACATGTTTCTAACTGCACGTGCGAGTTGATTTGTTTTTACAAGTGCGTTCCTTATTCGCCCGCTTCATTGTTTAACTTATATATGTTTTTGAGGGTTTAAATCGCGTTCTTTTCTTAACTTTTATAGCGCCTGTTTGTCATTGTGTTTGCCAGAACTTGTAATACGACTGAACTCTGAAGAACAATTGCAACAAGATACTATTTCACAATGATTAAGAACTATAAACATGGATTATTTATTCGTTTTATTCTCTATTATGCAATTTAAAATACTGTAATTCTTTCAATGGGTAATTAATTGCAGAAGGACTTATTTTCATTCAAATAGCTTTCATATGTGAAAAGAAAATTGATCGAAGGTCTAGAATGAAGAGTAAGAAAGATGAGGTTGTAGCAGAAAGAAATTGCGCATGACTGCGATTAAGTTAACTAAGGAAAAAGATGGAGGATAAGAAGTGATTTATCTTCGCCTTTCCGGAAAGCTTGCGTTGTTTTCCTATTTCACCGGCGAACTTAGTGTTTTTATTAGGCGAGAATTCCACCCAAAGCTTTTATGAATGTTATGACAACTGGAAATTGATTCGCTTTTTGCCAGCATCTTCCTAAATGCCTCCAGTTTTTTTCACATGCCTCCATTCGGTAGGCGAAACTGCCGGTCGATAAATATCGTTTGAACTCGTATCTTCGTGCCTCCGGCCGTTCGGCGGGAGCCACTTTGAAACGGCTCCGCCCAAATATTATGAGTAGCGGGGCGATGACGTACCCGTCGCGACTCGGTCAACCGTATTTACATATATATGTACTCAATATTCCTTTACTCTCGCATAATATTTGGAGGTTAGGAACTTAGAGATTAGCTAGTTTCCTTTCTTCTCGAAGTAATAGGGTATAGAAGGTATTTTATACTTAACCGCATATACTTGTATTATATATAAATAGTATATTTAGACTACTTTCTCTCTCTCTCTCTCTCCCTCTCTGTCTCTCTCTTTCTCCTCTCCTATTCTCTCTTTCTTTTCCTTCATATTACCTCTCCCATTGAATCTTTTCCCCTCCCTCTTCTCCATATACAACTTAATAAAACACTCTTTACAATATAAGCCCTAATTAATCCAATAAAATCTAAGGACTTTGAATAAAATATTTCCATTTTGGCTTATGAAGGCTTAGTAAAGTAGTTCAAACGAAATCTTATACGTTTAATTAATAATAGAATATAGCCACAGAAAGAAAAGATAGAATAGCTGGCATATATTTATTTTTTATATGTTTATATAAAAAGCATTGAATTTTGAAAGGTAAATGAAAACATATAAATAAGTTCTCATTGAGAAAAGAATAGTGTATATAAATATAAATTTCATCAGTCAAAATCGGCCGGCCGAGAAGTGAAAATAAACACGAACGAAAATGAACGTATTGTTAGTGCTTGCAAATTGTACGAGTTGATGACAAACAGTTTGTAAAACAAAATAACCGATGCGTGACTGTAGGCAAACAAACAGGCCGCCGTTTATATATAGTTTTCGCCAACCGCAAAAAGTTTTACAGATGCCGTTATTCAAACAATATTATACGAGTTAATTGGCGGCCTAAACTGGAACGGTATACCATATGATGGAGTGATTTATGTTATTTATTTAAATAAAACAAAGAATAAGATGTATTTACAATATGTACGTTATATATAAATATATATATATATATATATATATATATATATATATATATATTATATCTATATAAGTATACGCTGGTCTGTATTGTATATACAGTTTACCGTATTTTTTAGGCGGGTGAATGTGTATATATACAATATATAGTCTTGTTTACGACGGGGGCAATTAATCCGAGTACGTACGTAACCGGTGTACACCTTCACTTCTAATTGGCTCGCCGAAACACTTGAGACGCTTGTTTATTCTGCGAACGCATCTGCTTCATTAGACGCCGCCGTCTAATCGAGAGCGTCGAAAAAACGGCCCGCATTCAACTTTCGCCTGGGTTGTAAATAATTTGCCTACGTCCAGCTGCGTTGGTCCGACGTATAGGGGCGAGCCCGAGATCGAATAACCGTGGATCGTGCCGGAACCGTAGGACCACGTGGCAAACTCAGTTTGCTTCTTGTTTGGCCAGTTGTGTTTCGGTTGAAGTATGTAAACAGTTTGTACTGAGCCGGCTGCCGGGTAGGGAGAATATTATCTGTTGATCACATTTGGCAGCAAATTGCCAAGTCAGGGAAGCATAAATAAATGCATTAGCTAAGTACCTTTACTCTACGTTGATACAAATTGCTCATGATACGCCTCGATGAATTTACACCTGTCCACACCCTATCACCTGTATTATCTCAACTTATTCATTATTTAACACTTTATACGAATTATTTGCCGAGTACAAGCAAAATAAAACTAACCTCTCTTGGTAAATTGTTACATGAATTATCAAGCATTATGTTCTTATATTAGATACTTTTCAACAATGTTTTTACCTCTTATTACATTGCGCATGCGCTTTAGAATAATGTACATCTGTATCTTCCCTTTAAACAAAGAATATAAACGCTATTATAAAGTATGTGAGAGAATCTTAATAGAAAATATATAATTATTGAGGAATTATGGATTTTTTTCAATCAATAAAAAATTTAGAATTTTTAATAGACTGCTAAATTGATAAATCATAAGCACCTCAGTTGAATGCATTTCTTTCCTGCTCTCGAATGACTCCCTCGCCCATTTAAACGGCTAAACGACTCATAATAACGATATTTCCTTTATTCCTTTACCCCAAGATATATCACTTGCCACCAAATCCTTCGCTAAACAAGATTTACATAAAACGATTTCGCTGACAAATTAACCTCGTTGTTCGATTGAGCGATGTCTTTTCCGTTCGACGGCATTCCTTTCTCTTTCTTCTTCACTAATTTTTTCCTATGAATTTCATTATCTATTCAAACGTCCGTGCTCCTTTCTTGTTCCACTCTTCTCAATATATAATTAAACCGCCCCAGTTGATGGCGGATCATAGCCGTTCTGCTATAGGGGTAAGAAGTGATAATTAGCCTATGAAATTTCCCCCCTTTCCTTCCTTTTCAATACGCATACGAACATTAAGTACGCTTCTAAGGCTACCCTAACTGGTTACTTAAAAAAGGGAAAAGGTAATATTTAACATAGGAAACCCCTACCGCTTCACCGCCCACCCGCCACTAAATCTCCGTCGTTCCTCTTCTATTCCATTTTTTACCCGTCGTCTTTGAAAATGTGCCCAACGTGGGCAATCTGTATTGTTCGCGTGCCAAAGAAAAGTAGGGTGTATTCTTACGTCATCACCGTATTTTTGTCCCATCGCGTCCAACGTGATATCACACATCGGAAAGTCTTGTTTAAATAAACAATTTTTCAAATGTGACAAACTGTGAGGCATCCCCGTCTGATCATCAAAGGGATGAAAACAAACAAAAGGAAGTTTGCACAAGCGAATAAAATGATGTCCTGCAGGAGAAAGAGGCGCAATAACTTTGTCACGGCGTTTTGTCAATGTTTGGTCAGCCCTGGGGGACCATATATATATACATATATATAAACTCTATATTGTATATGTATATATGTCGTCTAGATGTATAAAACTATAGATATATATTTTCATTTCTTAGAAAAGATACGGTATGTTGAAGTTTTTAAAAGAAAGGACTTAATATGCAGGTTAATCCTTCCGTTGATAAAAAAAATCCCATTCATAAGAAATCAAAGAGTGATTAGTTAAGTTATATAATATTATAAATGTCTAAGAGACAGATTTTTGGGATAAAAAGTCGAGTAAAAAATGCGGAGTATCAAAGGAGGGTTCCTGCTGAGAAAACGTAGGCACACACGCACAGGAAGTGCGGTCGATTCGACAAGATCAAAGCAGCGGCGAGTTGACTAGCAGTTTGTAAGTAACTGACACTGTTTATCTCGCTAATTTGTCAACATGTTGAATTTTCGGATGTGACGCGTGACGGACGTCCGCGCAATCAGGCTTCTCACCCTATTACATTTCTTCTTTACATAACATATACAACAGAGTCTTTCCCCAATAGTTTTAAAGATAATAGTATACAGACACAAAAGATAAAGGATAGAAAGAAGGAATAAAGAGGGAGAAAGAGAGCGAGAGCGAGAGAAAGTCAGCTGGTGGTTGTTATTCAAGGGGCAGTAACAGTTTTTTACTTTTCTTTCCGATATTATGGTCTGTTTAGGGGCTTTTTTTAAACCCGCATTATTTTCTTTTCTTCTTTTTTTTAAAAAAAAAAATAAAAGAAAAAAAAAATGAAAAAAAAACTAAAGCCTGAGGATTTTTTTTCATATCTAATTCTCTATTTAAATTTTCCACCGCCATTTCTTTTGTGTTGTTAACTACTTGTTTATGGATGAATAAATGCGTTTAAAAAACTTATAATGGCAGATTTTTCTTGTCGCGAGGATTAGCTTTTGGTGCTGCCACCTGCGGGTCGGCGATTTTTCCTCGGGTCAAAAACATCGATTATGAATCAATAAACAATAAATGTTGCTTAATTATCGGCTCTTGTGGACGTTTTCATAAGAGTCTCCTGCAGTCAATTCGACTTTTGAAAAACGGAAACGGAAATAGTTTGGCTGTGTTTGATGGCGTATTTCCGCTAGACGGACTTCTCTTAGACGTTAAATATCCACTTTCTTTTGCAGTCGCCCGCTATAAAATTGCAGTCGATTACGTCACGCGTCAATAGTTTCCTTTTTAAGGATATTATGGTCGATAATAATAATCGAAATTCGTTGAAAATCTTAAACATCCTGAGAGACGTTTTCTTAAACTTATTGCTTAAATGACTCGTTTGACTTTATAGCCTTAAGCGCTTAAAATGAATGTCATCTGAAACTCCACTAATGCAATAATAAATAGGCGAAGTGGACAATGAGACGTCCGAATTAATTACCATCTATTATTAATTGAACAGAATAGGATTAATTAAGTTATTTTACTGAAAACTTTGGGTAAACATATAATTCGATTGTTCAAGGAGTCTTAAAAAAAGTTACCTCTACCTATAGAAATTTCTATTAAAACCATGAATAAAGTAAAAGGATTACGGCAAGTAGTATATATAGGCCTAGTTTTAATCTTAAATTGTATAACGCCTCGTTCGAGACAACAATAAAAAAGTGGCGGAAAAGTAGTGGCACATTTTACAAATTTAATTGTGTACAAGCCACGTGACTTTAAAAACACCTTAATATAAATGAAATGCGGGTTAAAAAAGCGATAACAATCTCGGATAAGTTGTCGATGAAAGAGTATCATTCACTCAGGTAGAAATTCATACAGCGACGCTTCAAAGGAGAAACGAGGAGATTAAGAAGAGAACACCAGTTACAGATGGTCTGATAGTTGCGACCCTTTCACCGGACGCCTTTCGTGTGTATCGAGCCGCAAAATTGCTGCAGACAGTTCAGTTTTTTTCTAAAACAGCCTATTCTCTTTTAAAGTGTACACAAAACATCACAGTATAGGCCTACAGTAGCAAATCCGTAAATTATAGACGCTCTGGTAAAATTGTGTACATACAATACTAATTTATTTTTTAGAGAGAAAAGTAAGAGACAGAGAAAAAGAGTGAAAGAAACAGATAGGCAAACAGACAGACACATACTGAGAGAGAGAGAGTGGACAGCATACTATGTATATACAACATATAACAAATGTAGATATGTAAAGATATGAAGATAGAAACCGGAAATCAAAGGCGGTCGTTTGGAAAGTTATAGAAAATAAGCTGTATGAAGGATACTAGATGTCAAACGCCGCTTGTCTTTGATCTTATCGGCAAAACAAAAAAAGACTGGTATTGGCGTTAAGATGAAGTAGTAAAAGTAAAAAATAAAAAAAGGAAGAAAAAAAATAAAGAAGAAAGGATTCAGCATTTAAAGGCTATAAAAGAAGAAGAAGGGAGTGGGGAAAAAGGAAGAGAAAGAGACAATTTCCCCTAGTCTCTTAATAATATTTCCTCTCTTTTTTTTCTTTATTTATACGTTTATTTTATTGATATTAAAAAAGCGAATATTTTTTTTATGACCGACTGTAAAATTTGTCGCTTTTTTTCTTTTTCCTCCTCACCCTTTCTCTAACTCTTTATACACAATTTAGCAAATATAAGGTTTTTATATTTTTATTGAATATTTCCTTTATTAGCGTATTTTTAAGTCTATTCGCTTCGATTTTGTTTGTTGATTCTGTAAAGAAAAAAAAATTGGTTTTTGCATTTATGACTCTTTTGTATATTTACAAAAATTTATATAAATATTTAGTATATGATGGGAAATTAAAAGAAAAAAAAAATCTAATTAAGCCTATTTATATTAATTTTTTATTATCTTTTGGGTGCGATAGATTTGAATAGATTTTTCTTTTTGAAGGGAAAATAGAAACCGAGTAAAAAGTATGAAAGAAAGAAAAGAATAGGAAAAAGAATTGAGGTTTTAGGAGAAGAAAACAAGTTTTTTAGTCAGTGAAATTAGCATGCGCTGGGGAAAATTCAATTTGTCATGCAGCCGGCTGAGAAATGAGGTAGTCATTAGGAGTTTGCAGTTCGTCTGGCTGCCGTGATTGACAGTAACAACAACTGCAGTCAATTGTATGATAACAGACAGGGAATAGTATTTAGTTTACGTATCACGTGACCGACCAAATTGAATCTTTATTTGGTGTGGCGGTGATTAGTCAAAACCCCTTTATGCGAAAACTTAGGTATATAATCATTCAAATGTAATTATATACAATTATGAAAACCCAAACTTAAAAGTTCAAAAGTATTATAGCAGAGTACAAAAGGATCAATTCGGAAAGGATATCTCGCTTTACTGACTATCTGGCTATCGATCTATTATGAAGGCGTCTAATGTATAATACAGAAAGGAGGCAGAGGGGAGCTTTAAGGGGAATTTATATAAGTCGAAGCCAAACCTATAAAGTCGATACGCTCTCATATACGGGAATATCGACAGTTATCGCTAAGGAGACGGCTGTTGTAAGAAAAGTACAAACACATAATTCGACGCACGCGTCTCTCTTTCCTGTGTTTTATTCCTACAGGTATACTGTCTCTAATATATCTAAGAAATAGATATACACTATATAGTTCTTTGATTATAGCTTATAATATATACAAGCAGCTTACTCGTATTTACATAAGGCCTATTCGTTCGATTCCCCCACAACCGTATCTATGCGTGTGACAAAATGTCGTCGGCTACTAAACGACCGATGAAGACGGCTTTACATCAGGCTATTCTTGATGGAAGAATTCACCAGGTTCGACTACTTGTTCACAAGCATGGCTCTAATATCGATTCGAAAGATGTGTACGGGAGAACGCCGCTTATGTTAGCATGTTTGTTGGAAAATGACAAAATGGCGTCAAAAATGACTAAGACAATGTTAAAGTCTTCTGCGTATCCAAATGCAAGAGATTGTATGGGAAGAACAGCATTAAGTTACGCGGCGATGAAGGGCCGTGAAGAAATAGTAGCAAAGTTGTTGAAGGATGAGGTCGTTGACGTTTCGACGCCCGATAATGATGGAAATATTCCATTACATCACGCTGCTCTGAGCGGCAATCCAGGAGTTGTTGACATGATTTGGAACGTAATGAAGAGCTACGGAGTAATTGTTGATTCAAGAAATGCAATGGGTTACACACCTCTATTGTTAGCATGTAAATATGGCCATTTCGCTAGCGCTTACATACTAATAAGTAGAGGTTCCGCTTGCCCGTCTCTAAGAGATAATGAATTTTTTTTCAATGCCTCCGAATGGATCTTACGAACCGGAGACTTACATAACGCATTTGCCTTACACAGATCAAGAACTATGCCTATACATACTGCTCCTAGATTCGAGAGGGAACACACGTTATATTCTGTTGACTCTGCGCCAACTTGCCGCCATTTTACCCCCGCTAGATATCCCCTGGGAGAGTCTATTGATTCTGCATTGAAATTACCAAAGATATTTCAGTATACGGAAGTTGACGAAAGATTAGAATCAATGTTTGATGGTAAGGATGCTCGAAACCTTTTATTGAAGGCCATCGAAAACGCTTCTAGTGATAAAAAGAAATCTGCTAAGCCTAGACCTTTTAGTAGAGTAAGCAGCGTTTTTACGCAAACAAGGATAGCTAGTTCAATAGCCACTTCTCGGTTATTGTATGAATCTCGCAGAACTAGGAAATTCGGATCTGGTCAAGATATGGCTACCTTATTCCAGCTATATTCTGACCAATACGATCCAAGCGTTAAAATGAGAAGGCAATTAACAGTTTTAGAGTGACAATCTGTAGTTTGTCAATTGTCCAATTCTCATTACAAAATCAACAAATAGACCGCTGAATTGATACTTACTTTTTATTTATTGCCGGCACCAAAATGTTGTGTTTAAACAGATGTCATTACTAACACAATAAACTATTATAGTCACTGGCTAACGATTCGCCGATGTGCGCAATCTATAGTTGGTTACTATAAATAAACTCTTATATACATTTATATACCGATATATTGGAAATATATAGCTAATCTCAAACGATAAGACTACTGTAAAAAAAGAAAAGAAACAAAAAAAGCCTATCGTTTTTAACTTTTTTTTGACGTAAGTAAGTCAAAAAAAAAGAGATAATTAATCGGTATCCTTTTAAGTTTTTTTTAGCTTAAATATTTTGATTATTGAATTGATATTCAAGAGAAATTCTTGATAATATACCATTAGAATTACAATATTAGCTTTTCTTATTTACAGTGCAAGTAAACTATATATTCAATAGTTATTAATTCCAATCCTAATCATTTGGGGCAGATCAAGAGGGTGAACGAAATCAGCGGGGGGTAACTGCAGGAATTGATACTAGTTGTGAGGGAAAATAAGGAAGAGAAGGAACTCAAGTATTTTAATTAATAAAAAGTATATTATTACGGGAAATAAAAACTAAGTAAATATATATTTTACCGCTACTTATTAAAATTATAAAAAATTTACTATTTGTCAAAATATTAATCCTTGTAAGCTGGTTATGTTCTTTGAAAAATTGAAAATGAATCGTAATTAACTAAGCGTAATTAACAATTGCGTCTAGTAGCGACCCCAATTTCCCATAGCAATATAAAATATATCGAGCATTCACTGAGGACATTGAATAGAGTAGTATCGATCGATCGGGCGTCGTTTGATCTATTTTACGACGAGAACGCTTAATTCACCCAATCTAACCGACCTAATCCGTTTAATCCGGCCAGTTGCTAAACTTTACTTAAGCATTTTCTCCCGTCACTTTGTAGCCGTGCGAATCGGTGGATGAATAAAAAGTTTATAGTGTCAAATTGTTTATTATTACAAGCCTGATAAGATAAGACCCGCTTATCGCCAGATAGGCTTATTTGTTCAACAATAAATCCATCAGCTTTTTATTGGTTTACACCATAATAATTACGTATAGAGAGTATATTTTTTTGTTAAAGATCATCTTCCTAAACGTCTCTATAAACAAGGAAAAAGAAGAAGAACAGTGTTATATTTTTAAACTAAACTAATGCGTATATAAGGGATTTGTATAACTATAGACTTTGTATTAAACTAATAAAAAAGTTACTATTGACTTTTAGTTGTATACGTAAATGTTTACTAAACAGAATATACAGAGGTTATAGACTTTATATAAAGTTTACTATCATAGACCACTTTTGGTTATGTGCACACATATAATGTACATATAATTATAATCTTGTGTTAGATTCTTCGTATTGGTAATAAATACATATAGTACATAAGAAAACAGCTATATAAACTGTAAACTATTGTTTGTAAACACTCGACGTCGGATGTTTACACCCGTCTAATCTGGCTGTTGGTTACAATACTCAGGTGCTGAGGTCGGTATTTCGGGCTCTTTGATGTTTTAAAGGGACTTTAGATAAACTCTACTTGTTCTTAAATATTCGTTAAAAAACACCAGACAAATAGCACGGATACTTTAATCCCTGTACGAGACTTTAGAATTCCTCTCCCTTTCTCAGTCGTAGTAATGTGTTAATAATAAGCGAATAAGCCTTTATTGTTTTCTATAAGAAACTCAGGATTAATAGACAAATAAGTAAGGCGGTCTCTTTCAACTATTTATTATTTATGATCAAAAGAGGTTATTTAAGACGGACGAGAGTTTTTTCTACGAATGATATACAAGTATATAATGTATATATTTACGCTTTGCTAAGCTTCTATGAGAGAACGCTATTCTTTAAGCAATATCCTGCGAAAAGCTCATTTAAATTGGAAAAAACTTGCTTTTCGTTTTTATCGAAATTTGCTTTATAAAACAGTGAAATGATTTATATCGAATAATAGAACATCATCGTCTTGACCTATATAAAATATCTTATTAAAAGTGAAAACTTTTACTAGTACCTTATAAATTATTGATGTATGTCACGTACTAGATTTCTCTTTACTTCATAATCGTATAATAAAAAAAGTATATAAACGCACCTACCCTGTTAACGCGTGTTTGCGCAATAAAAGAATTATACTAATGGAACGTTTTGTAAACAGATCCGTATTATTCCATTGACGGATTAGGTAGGAGATTAGCAGGCAAGTACAAGAAAAAAAAGAGCAACAAAGCCAAAATGAGCGTCGCTTTTTATTTCATCTTGTTATTTCATTTATAATATACAAATGCAGATTATTCTACAGAACGGAAAAGAAGAAAAGACTATACATGCATATATTGATATGTATACTTACTCTATTCAGAGATACTTTGTTATGAATATGTATGAATATGTATACAACATGTGCCCCACCTTTATATACACTTTATGTACACATTGTTTTTAAAAGCTGTTTGTTACAAACAACAGAATAGAGAGAAAAGAAAGAAGAAAAGAGCATGCGAAAACTTGCAATGGTTTGTCGCCAGCGGGCCAGATTTAGATGACTCGCTCAATGGAATGTCATTATCTGTTGATGCAGCCCGCAGGAATTTATCAATAAATTATACGTATATTTTTTTATTAAGCGTTCCATGTTTATTAGGTGTGCGCCATCTAACGAACGATTAACGATTGGCCCAAAAAAGTATTCGAAATATTGGCAAATCTAGAACAAGATGTTCGATAAGTCTGAATAGTTAGATTATTATGTCAGATGAAAAAAAGAATGCAGTTGGCGCCGATGCGATAGCGATAAAGGAATCATAACAAAACTTGATAAAACTAAATTTTATAATCAAAACCGTTTGATTTATTCATTTACGACAATTGTTATCAAGCAGACGGCTTATCGGTCGGTGGCTGAGTGGTGAACGCTTTTCGAAAATGTGTTGAGGAAGCAGAGCTTTCTGTGTACTTTCTCCACTTTATATGCTATATCAATCGGAAAAACGAGGAAATCACCCACAGGCGTCTCTAGTAAGGAGCTTATGGTCGAATTTTGACGCCCTTGCTACGAGCGATACAGAAACAAACACATTTGTATGAGATGCTGCCGTAATCTCTCATCTACCGAATTGAAAAATCTCCCTTTGATCCCATCTATTTCATGATTATATATTATTTTTACGACTGCTGAAAAAGTGCCTTATAATCTGATACGTGAAGAGTATATTATTTTCTTTATACAGTATACTTTCGTTTCATACACTGCGTGTCCCAGTCGTCGGCGCATGCGCACTGTTATAGAAAATATTGAAATTTGCCAAGTATGTATTTATAACAATTATGCAATTTCCTCGATATGGTATATTTAAGTTATTTTATTATAAATAATATATACATATATATGTATATATATATATTAAAAGCTATAGAGTCGTTGTTAAGGCATTTACAGGGTTCAACTAACAATAAATTGGGGAAAATATACAAGTAGATGAAGTAAAAGAAAAACGCCAAGGTAATAAACTAAAGTGAAGTTGTTGAAAAGCCGGAATCGGTGAACTCGTAGGAAATCTGCCTCCAAATTACTTCTGGCAACTATTTTTCCTGCAACTGCAGTTGGCATCTAGTTGACTGAAAAAGACGCTATTAAATCGAATCGCTTTGATCCTTTGACGAACGCATATTTTCCACTCGCCCGACTCAATTCAGTACCGACAAATTCTATTAGACGAAGGTCGGAATTAAACGAACGCCAGCCATATTTTTTTGACAAACAAGAGCAAACTGTTTGATATATGTATATCTATACTTTTATATATATATATATGTATTTATACCATATCTGTATGGCAAAAAGGTGCATATATTTGTGCAAATTTATAAAATATATATATATATATAAATAGACAGATGAAGCTATATCAATATAAATGTATTTATATATATACTGTATATATATATATATCTTTTTATATAAATTCTAGGCTATAAATATATATATATTTAGAATATATTCATATATATATATATATATAACAAATAGATTTTCAAGTGATATCATGATGACTATAGCATGCCAATAGACATATTTTTTTTAAATTACAGTTATAAGGATATATATCTAATGCTGTAAAATGCTATTGAACCGAATCTCTTATCTTTTGAACAAGTTCAAATAAAAAGGGACTCCTGACAAACAGACGCAAATGTTTTACAGGAAAATATGTACTTTTATAATTATTAGTCTTTGTTAACTGCCGATTGTAAATCATTCGCTTATTACGTTTTTTTCCCTTTGAAGTGTAGTTGATTATTTGCACTTGTGACTGGCGTCGAGTGTTTTGTTGATAATGTTTAGTTTATATCTGACTTTATTGCTTATTCTCCGCTTATCTCATTCGTGTATAGATAAGATAGTAGCTTGTAACAACAAAGTGTTAGATTAATTTTACTTTGTTCCGAACGAGACGGTCGATTGCCGCCGCAAACAGGCGGCCTTGATAAGAATGATACAATATAGTATACGCATGTATAGTACGCATCAGTTGGACGTTTGTCAAAGGCAGCTGTTTGCAATTTCTCAAAATCAGCAAATTTGCCCGACTTAAACAAACATGTTGGTTGCTTCTTCCCTCCCATATCTTGAAAATGTACTCTTTGAAGTTGTCGCCCACCCGAGGTGTCTACCTTAATGTTTACCACGTTTGAATTATTTTCTTAGACGGACCTACTCCCTTGCCCCCTTTTTCCATCCTTTCGAGCAAATATTTAAATGGTGCAAAGCCTCTAACGGTTTAACCCTATACGGAACTTTAGAAAGGTCAAGCAAAAGCGACCTTCTGGTTTGTCAATTTAGTAAAACTCAACACCTCCTTATCGCCGTGTCAGTTTGTCCTCGTTCGATTAATAGGCTCTGATGTTGTTTGCAACGCCTAATTATTTTCGATTCGAAAGACAACCCGCTACGTGAAAAATGAATGTTTTCGCCGTCTGACCTTTGCAAAGTAAACAGCAGTTTGCCAAATAAACAAATGTATTGTGATCAAACCTTGTAAATAAACGAACTGCTACCTTTTAGGACTTCACTACGAAAATATTACGTTTGCAGGTAATTACAACTTTTACTGATTGCTGATTAGGATACGGATGAGCTCGCCTTTTGCTGGTTTCCCAACTATGACAGCTTCGAGGCCACGTGACCCTCTTTTTTTCAAAGGATTTTTTGCACTTCTGTCAATCGAACATCTTAAAGCCTAATATTAATGTTACAATTTTTTTCCCTACAAGCTGGATAATCCCCTAACAATCTTCTTCTTCTTTTAACTAATAGAGTAAATAATTCGTTATTTATAGGAACCCTTGCAAAGGTGGAAAAAGAGTTTTTAAAAGAAATAAAAAGCTTGACTAATTAACAAATTGACAATGTCGGTTAATAATGATTCTACGAAAATTGAATGTATTATAAATGTATATAAGGGGGAAGTCTTTATTACCGATTGTGAGGGGGCGTTTAGTGTAATAAGCCGAGGCCTAAAAAGAACGTGGAAAGAAAAAAAGAAAAAACAGTCTAGACCCAACTACAGTAAGTTAATTAGAAACTTGTACTTCATACAGGCGTTTATAACCCTTAAAAGGCACAGGGGATCGGTTTATTCAATAACCAATTCACTGAGTAAAAAAAGTGTGACAAACTCGTGTAGGAATCCCAACATGATTCTTTTGGCAGATGCCACTTTGACACGCTCGAATGTTATAAGGATTCCTAGAGTAATTAGTGTAAATATATAAGGATAAGAGGAATTTCTCTGAAAATAATTCGAGGTGTTTATAGAATAGAGAGCAGTACACCCTTTTTCTTCGTTTGAGAAAGCTGAAAATTGATGGACATGTGCGACGGCCCGTCCATGTATCCGCTAATTAACCAGATCGGCACGCGAGGGGCATTGAAATCGCTACCGAACGCTCCCGAATAAGGGAAAGTGATACCGCCCGCTGTTTTTATCATCTCTTTTATATAGTTTGCAAACAATGGCTAACATTTAAGAGGTTGATGGTTTCGCCCGATTAAACTTCTATACTTTCTAGCATTTCCCACATGATAACATCGATTTTTCGCGCCCATTTTTTTTGCATATTACACATGCATATTCATCGTATATGTTCTTTTCATAGACGTATATAGAATGCGACCGCTAGATGCTTCCGCTCTAATCTCTACTTGACCCACTTCCAAAACGCGCCACTTGTTTATAAACATTGATAGATACGTGAGCGATATTACACGTACTATTCCATTACCGTCGGCTCCTATAAAAGCCCGTATTGTTCTATATCTATGGAGCTTTTTGCATAATTTATTATATTTATGGATCGATATAGGACGAATAATGAAAACCAACATCCAGGCTCGTATTTTTTCTGTACAGCCTTAATTAAGAATATTTTCGCGTAACATGTAATCAGCTCGTAAAACGCTTATCTTATCGCCGTTAGCGCTAAACAAAAATGATAAGCAAACATAATAAAAAAGAGAGCCGATGTAGATATAAGCATATAGTTAATAAATATTTCGATTGTATATAATAAAACATTTTATTAGATACGGTATTTATCATCGATAGCTTATTTATTATATATTTGACCTATATAAATATGGAATACTATAACTTTTGCGTAAATATAAAAGACAGTAGATAATAATTTTAGGAAATTAATTTGATGCTCTACCTTTGATAATTGTCTGTATTGACGTCATACAACTTGTTGTTCTAGTGATACAAGAAAGCGCGGGCGGTCAATCTATATAGGAGTGGATAATCTTCCATTTACACTTAAAGGCTTCAGCTTCGTTGCCTCACGGCGAAAATTTGGCAGCCCTTTTGTTTAGTCGGCCATTTTCGTTAGTTGCCAACCCAGATTATCCGCAATCTCCGTAAACTATTAGAAGTTGGAAAACTTTTTGTGAATAATTAGTGTCAACGTTTAGAGAATTAGGAAACAATAGAGATTATAAGGATTCTTATTTCAATCCGCAGGCCATTTATCACTGTCGGTCTACACAGAGCAAACATTTAATAATAAAAAAATAATATCCTTGTGTCCCACTTTTTTCCATTCTTATAAGAGGTTAAGATTATAAATAGAAGCAGAAGAAAAAAAAAAAGAGAAATCTTAGGGGCGTTACGTAAATGGTAAAACTGTATTAATTAAGCACACGACGGAATGATTGAGGATATAATTGAGAAAAAAAAATTATATTTCCATAGTCATCGCCTGACAAAGATATAAACAATATATTACAGACACAACGCACTAAGACAACGGAAAATTACTCAGATCTCATCTGCGAATTAAATTTTATATGACACGCCTTTATACATTTATTTTTATAAATATATATATATTTATATATATATAGTAATATGTATATGAAGTATTTATATAATTTTTATGTATATACTGTATATTTATAAGTTAGTGTATATAGTTTTTTTTCGGATATATCAACTCACTCACCTCGGCAAGGTGGCAAAGGCGGCTGCGTATTGTAAATACATCTGATTCGCCATGAACGGAGGTCGGTGCGGAATGACTGGAATTGGAGGCTTTAAAATTGGCTGTTGAGGAGGCGGAGATGGAGAAGGACTCTTCTTATCCTCCTCTTTTGAACCGATTATCGAATCGATGCTAAAACTCTGTTTTTGCTGAGTTGCAGATGTTCTTAATTGTTGCTGTTGTTGTGCTAGTGCAAGAGCAACCGCCCTTTGCTGTACCAATTGTCCTATGTTGATTTGGGAAAAGAAAGCCGCCCGAGGATCAGGAACTATTCCTCCGTGAGCTTGAAATGGTAGTGGAAGAGGCCCGTGGTGTTGAGGATAAGGAGGATGGGCAAAATGATTATTTGGGTGCATGGACTCGGCATTGAGACGCTTATATCGTTTCCTTCGGCGTAGAAACGATCCGTTGTCGAACATATCTTCAGAGGCTGGATCCAATGTCCAGTAATTTCCCTTTCCCGGATTTCCGGGCTCTCTTGGAATTTTAACGAAGCAATCGTTCAAACTAAGGTTGTGCCTGATTGAATTCTGCCATGCAGGAAATTTATCTCTGTAGTAAGGAAATCGGCTCATGATAAAGTCACAAATGCCGGATAACGTGAGTTTTTTATGAGGAGATTGGAGAATCGCCATTGTTATGAGAGCTATATAAGAATACGGTGGTTTGACTAAACTGTTCTTCTTGCCTTTAACCTCCTTATCATCCTTATCATCGTCCTTCTTGTCCGAATCTCCTTTCTCTGAAGAGTCTGAGTTTTCAGGGGAACCGGGGCTGATCAATTCATCATCATCTTCGTCTTCGATATTAAGATGACCTTCTTCTTCGTTTTGTGAGGAAAAATACGAATTATATGTCTCCTTGAGTTCTTTAAATTCTTTTTTATGCGCATTCAAAACCTGCTGGTAGTTTAGTAATTCATTGGCAGTTTGGCGAGACATATCTATGGGAGACGCTTCTTGATTTGTATAGCAATTCATGTCCAACATTTCGGACAGGAATAAGAGAAAATCCAAAAAAAATTTGAAGCAGTCGCCGCCTCTCGATATAAAGTGAGACGTGTTCAGATGTAGTTTTCAGCCACCGAATGCTTATTATCAAAGCTAGTCGCTGATTGGTTGGAAGAAATGTGGAGCTTAAAAGTGGGCGGAGCCTAAACCAGCTTCAGCTTTGAAACGAGAGATACTCTTATATCAGTGTTTCATACTGAGAAGCATGTCAGTAAAGTTCTGTGAAGATGCACTAAAATTATGGAGTCGTATTTTCAGCGTCTGTGCTTACACTGTCAGTAATAAGAGTAAATAGTTTTATAATCGTTGTCGAGCTTAAAATTACATTGTTTTTTACATAAAATGAGCGAAATTAACGTGAAAGTGCTCAAAGTATATTTTTAAACCTTGTTTATAAAAATGGCGTCTGGTGCAAACATACAATTTGATAGTTTGCTTATATGTTTTGCTTGGCGTGAGATGGCCTAGCAACAGATGTAAAGAAGTTTTGATTGAGAAGTAAAAACAAATAGAATTCCTACTGTATAAATATTCGTCTAGAATATTCTGCCAACCACATGCACGAAACGCCTCACGCCGGCAATTAAGACAAACAAAGAGACGCTCTAAATGCAAACTAATTGACATTCCGCGGACGAGATGTCCTGAAATCCTTGACAACGAATGCGAATAATTTACATTCCTCGCAGAGCAAGAAATGTCATTGATGTCGTACTGAATTAATTATACAAGGCGTTAATAAGATAATGACAATGATAAGTTAGCTGTGAAGTTTAACAAACGTTAGACGAATGATGTCTAACAGCTGCCCGAATATTCGCTCCTCGTTCGCATAGGCAGATAAGGCCGGTGGCGATAAGATAACATTCTTTTATGTGGTCGATAGGGGTAATTACGCAGCACCCGCTCGCTACTATACGGATCGACGAATATCTCTTCTTTTAAGCTTTAAGCTTGCCTTCTAAAGCCTACTGTTGTTTATGACTGTTTATAATTATTTTTGAAGGTTTCCGCTAGTTAGTGTGTCCAAAGAAAACGTCAATGACGTCATAAATTGTAACGGTGAAACTTCAACGACCATACTGTTGTATTTAATATGCATTTTCTTTTCTCTGATTGGCTGACACAGTTTTTATACAAAAACTTAACAAGGATGAACTACTCTATGAGTGGAAGATTTCCCAAATGATATCCTATCATTAGAGTATTTTACAGCAGCAAAAGACAGCTTTTATCAAAAGGCATTATCCTCAAATAAACAAAAGTTTAGAGTTTATTCAACCGCAAATTAGCTAAATTACGATTGTAATTCTTTCCTTTTTATTGTATGTTTTCTTTGTGCGGGTTATAGAAGAATGGTTGTAAAATTTAGGTCATACGCTAATATCATCATCTCAACGCCCGTGCAAGATAAATAGTCGTAAATCTCTTGAAAAAGATGCGAAAAGTTAACAGGGAACCAGTCGACAGCTGTTTGGGCGGGAAATCTAAACAAGCATTCGCGTCAAACAAATGTTATGAAAAACTTCGACTGCCGCACTTAATAAAAAAATAAAAAGGAAAAAAAATGTGTGGAAATAAAAAAATCTAGGTCACAAGTATGCAACAACCGTGTAAAAGGGGCCATAAACGCACGGCACGTATTTAGTTAAAGGGGAGAAAATTTGTTGGAAAATATCGATGACACGGTTGACAATTGATACACTTATTAGAAGACACTTTCGATCGTTTGTTCTTGCAGTCACGCAGCGGACACAAAGGGTAGTCAATGGTGTAAGAACTTGGATACAAAGACCCCCCGCCTTCATAACACAATAAACCCGCTTGTGTGTCGGGTCTTCAAAAGATATAAAGCACTGTTGATTTGACGCTGGAAACAATTGAAATGGTCAGTTAGCTTTCATAATTACATCATAATTTGCGACCCAAGTTTCTGAGGGCGAAGCTAAAAACACTTTGAAACTTGACCTAAATTTGATACAATACCTAATCGGAGCGGTAAACAAAATATTTTCAATATAGAAAGAAAGTATATATTATAATCTAATCCGCTTTTGAACAAGAAAAATTATTCGTTCTGTGTCCACAGGTGTCCGATAAGTGGTCTGAATGACGTCACGAGTTTCTAATCTTCTACAGCTACGGTAAAAGTGACGCCTGTACAAATTACTCATATTAGAACCCTCGAAAATCAAAGCGGTCTCTGCACGGCTTCGATTTTTTTGTCTGCCGCCCAAAAAAACGTTTCTTTGGCGTGAGTATTACCACGTGCGATAAACCGTCTCATCGTGCCATTCCCAAAGGCTATTTACCCAATTCATTCATCCCAAAGGGGCTGAAGTCGGATCAAAGCAATAAAAAGCAATTTTCGCAGTTTGCGAATGGCTACAAACTCGACGCATAACATAGAGACGCTTATATATAGAAAATCCATGAGCGTTTTGAATAGACATGACAGTTAATCCTACATGGAATAGGGTGGTTCCGTGTCAATAATTCTTTCATAGCGTCGTTAAACCGTAATTGAACTGGAGCTGCAGTGGATAGTGAGCCTTTTTCAAAGCGTTGCGCTTATTGTACTTGCAACAATCGAAATCGAAATGTTTGCTCAGATTATTACACTACGCTTTCCATAATATTTTCCGCATCGATCCTCCATTGTACAAACTGTTGTTGCTGCTTTTGTTTTCTCTAACGGCCTACTTATTTGAAGCGGGTAGTAAATTTGCATAATTTATACCTTTCGATCGTATTGTTTATGGTTTGAAGGTGGCGTTGAGACAACTTTTTACAAAATGAAAAATACTGTTGGGAATAGTTTATAAGCAAGTTAATTGACTGCTAAATCACTCTCATCTTTACTCTCTTTCCGTTGTTTTTATTGCAGAATATATATAAATAAAGGTGAATGTTTGGCAACACTAAACGATAGAATATAGAATATTTGGATGAATATTTTATTTCTTCATAGCTTTTAACTTTTCTTTATCTTTATTAGATATTAACATTTTTAACACTCGAATTTTTTATTATCTCATTAAATACACACCAAACAATGCCTCATCATAATCAGTATGAAAAATTTAGATCATCTATAGGCTTAATGCATATTTCCTCTTTTATTCAGAATTTCAGAATTTTTTTCTAAAGGTTGATCGTCATTTTTTTATCTACAAGAGAAAGAGTGTTGAAAATGAGAAGGAGTGAAGAAAAGAGATTAAGAACAAGCGAGAGAGGGAGAGAGAGATAAATACAAATTTCTTTTTCACTTTTCAACTTTATGTAACTATAATAAATTGCCGTTATATTTTTTAAACATATCATCGACGAAAATAAATATATAGAGAAGATAAATAAAATAAATAACTCTATTTAGTGATTCAATATATAAATAGGAATCACTTTTTTTAAGTTTTTCATAGATTACGATAAAGAGTTTGTAATTAATTGTAAAAAAATTATCATTTAATTTATTTACCTTTTGGTTTGCAAATATTTCTCTGTCAACAGTCGGTCTTGCTTTACAACGCTTATAAGTCTAATTAATCGATTAATTGATGAGATTCTTCCGTTTTGCTGGATTCGTTTGACAAATAAGGCATAAAAAGATTGCGGAATAGGGCACCATGCTGCGTGTTAGTTATTTGCTTATATTTGAATCTTATTATGCGTGGTAAGTGACCCATTCGACTTTTTCTATAACTAGTTTTAAAATGAATTATAAGAAAAGGAAAGCTAATCATGAACGTACAATATCATAATTATTGTATTTAAGAAATGCAACGCTCAATATAGAGCCGTCCGAACTATTTTGAGATGCTTATAGAATTATCCGATTGGTTGATTTTAATTGGTTTTTTTATCCGAAACCTTTGATAAGCACTTCAAGTATCGAATATTCCACTATATGAAATCTTTGGTTTAAGAGATCTACACCTACGAGCTGATTGAAAAAGAATAAAACACCTATAAAAACATTTATTCAAAAAGTATTGAGAAAAATAATGAATTGAACGGTGGAATTTATATGAAAGCATTGAAGCATTGATTAGTGTCCGTCGGTCGAGTGAAGTACACTTATACGCACCAGGGGGCGCCCGAAGAGGATTTTTCGGTTGAAAAGGGTGTTTTGTCGGCTTTGAAAAAGTTTGTTTGACTTGCTACATTAACTGAGTAGCTTATTTCTACACTTTACTGATTCGATTGTATAGAAGAAAGGCTGCGAACCTTAAATAAGTGTTTAGATTTAGAATATTGATAAATGCTGGTTGTTTGCTATGCTATCTATGGATTAAGCAGCTTTTATGAGCAATATTTCTGACGTGTAATATTCCCACGTATCATCGTGGTCGTTAAATAGTATTTACTTTTATAATAATATATTATTGACAAATCGTTTCGATTCTACAAGGGAAGCACATTTCTTACGATAATATTATATTGTGCAGTTTTTCAATGATTAGGAGTGTTCTATTGTTGGTCGAGTGTGTGATTATTTCGAAATGGGTGGTCGATCCGGTTAAAAAAAAAGAAAGAAAAGATTTCATTATTCTAAGGGAATAAAGTAAAGTAACTGAAGGTTAAATATGCTGCCATCTATAGTGAACCCATTCACAAATTACACGACCCATTAATTCAGTCAACAATTAGGGTTCCAATGCTTTCTAATTTATCAAGCTTCTTATCAGTTGTTAGGAGCCTTTACTTTCCTACAAAACTACTTATAAAATATTTAACGGGCCTATTGTCCCCCCTTAAGTAAGGATCATGAATAAAACTGTAACTCGGTCAGAGACTGACTAGATAAAAAAAAGGATAAAAAAGGATAAAAAAAAGACTGAGAAAGAGGGAGAGACAAATAAATAGATAAATTGATAAATAGATAGATATATGGATAGATACATAGATAGAAATAGTTAAAGAGAGAGAGAGAGAGAGAGAGAGAGAGAGAGAGAGAGAGGAGGAAAACGAAAATAAGTTTGATAGACTCTATCCTTTCACAAAAATATTTAAATAGAGGGTTGATTTTTATATCATATGTGCA